TTGTTCTTTACCTGAAGACCCAGCTATCGAGTCGTTACCAGCCTCCGGTCCTTGCGAAGTCGTCGTCTGCGCTTCTACTTCGGGAATCTCTTGATCAGGGCCTGCGTCCGACTGGTTTCCAGTCGGGGGCTCTTGAGTTGTTGCCGTTTCAGTTGTTGCCGACTGGTTTCCAGTCGGCGGCGGGTCACTCGGATTGGCTCTATCGCACGAAGCATGGGCGCCAGTCGGCTGACTTTCAGCGGTCGGCTGGTTTTCAGCAGTCGGCTCGGGGTCCTTGGATATACTCTGCTCTGTCATGGCAGGATCGGGGTCTTTTCCAGATGGATCTATATCAGATGGTTTCCTGCAAAGTGTTCTTTCGGTATTCAGCATCATTTTTATGAGCAAAACATGCCGAAGCGGAATCATATCGAGAGATCTAATACCTGGAAGATGTTCTGATCTTTGGCATTGCACGGCCGGCCAGTTTTTTCCTGGGCATGGTACGCTTTGGGGGTTTATTAGGCGAACCTTTATCCCCAGATTTATCATCGTCGCCTTCATCATCATCAAGTACCAGCTTTCTCTTGCGAGGACCTGTTTGACCAGCCAATTTGGAAGTCTGAGGTTGCGGATCTGGTCTGATTGTTGGCCCTCCACCTCCCTGAGTGGTGTGTTGGCGAGGAGACCGGCGCTGAGAGATTGGTGGATCTGACTTCATCAATGCATATTCCTACACAAGATGCTTCCATAGTTAGTCAATTCAGCATGAAGATAAAACTATGTTCTGATCATGGTTTGAGGGTTTCCGATGCATACCTGTGGAGGCGGATTGAATGCATTATATGGCACGACTGGCAGTTGGTGAGAGTAGCTGACTACAATTGCATTTGAGAAGATTTTGTACATCCTCTCCTTCATGATTTTGAAATCCAAGGAGTCTGGTTCTTCACGGTTGGGATCATGTTTGCCGTCGAACTCGAATGCTGTGCGGGATCTTTCCTTGATTGGCGCCAGTCGGCATTTGATGAAGTGCCGAGTGATTTGCTCTCCCTGTAAGCCTTGTTCTTTAAGGTTTAACATACGATCCAACAACTCCAAGGCTTGTACTGCTTCATCTCCGATCGGAAGAGAGTTCCAAGTGTCTTGGTACATTGGAGGAAGACAAGAGTACCCGGGAAGAGCAGGCTCGGGATTCTGAACATAGAACCAGTTCGCATGCCATCCTTTGTTCGAAGTCTTGAAGGGCATCGAGAAATATTTTTGGCTTAGAGTTCCCCTTAGTTGGAATCCTGCCCCCCCGACTACACACGGTTTGTTCTTGTTTGGTTGGGGTTTGAGGAAGAAGATTCGGCGGAATAGGGCAAAGTGAGGTTTGATCCCCAAAAAGGCTTCACAAGCATGGACGAAATTGGCGATATGCACTATGGAATTCGGGTTTAGGTGATGCAAGCTGATTCCATAGAAATTCAAGATCCCGCGGAAAAATTTTGAGGTCGGAAGAGCAAAGCCGCCGTAGAAGAAATGCGAGAAGACCACGATCTCATGAGTATCCGGAGACGGGAAAGCCTCACCGTGCGCTGGTCGCCACCCGATGATTTCCTTGGCAGGAAGAACGCCGTGCGCCACCATCTCCTTCAGATTTTCTTCTGTCACGTCGGATGTCGCCCATTGGCTTTCGAAGCTTTCTCCCTCTTCCGCCATCGGTTTCACTCAAATGTGCTGATTTGATTCGAGGGATGGCTTGGGAGAGGTGAGGGATTGAGGCGGTGGATCACGGGAAGGATTTTGATGCACTTTTTTGAGGTGGATTTGGCCGGAGTTGTGAACCCTAGTTCGCCGGCGCAGCTTTGCACTGTAGCAGGGAGTGGGGAAAATGGCGAGAGTTCCGGCGGGGAAGACGAAGCGTCGCTTGGATATAGGATTTTTCAGTTTAGGGTATCGGAGGTGCTAATGGGCCTAGGCCTGAACAGTACTTCAGCCCAATACTTTTAACAGCGTGGCCCATTGTGTTCCTTAGGGACTTAGGCATATTTTGCTTTGGCAATATTATGCGCACAACAGTGTTGCCCAATGCTGCTCAAATCCTTTTTATGCGGTCATATAATTCTTTGGAATTATTGCAATGCAAATTAAAAAGGTGCCCGACAGAAAGGCGTTATGCTATTTTTGCAAGCTTTTTTAGGCTACAAAAGCTGTTTGGGTTAACTAGGAATGACTTGTTTTTATTATAGTCATTTCCTTGGCGTGTTATATGCCTGTTTTCACGGTAAATAGTCATGGCCTAGGCTATTTGACTTTTTTATTACCATAATCTTTATAATACTTGATGGGTAATCTTTAGAGTTTTTATATTCGGATACCTGTCAAGTGTGTTCATTCGTGAACTTTTTAGAGTGTAAACCACTCGGATTTCTTTTATTATGGCTAAAAAGCAGTCGGCTAACATGCCTATTTAGGCGCCGCATACGCTTTTGTCATATAATGCACAACTGTGTTATTATTTTGTCTTTCAACTATATGTTTAGTTTGTTAACTAATCACATAGTTGGGGGCTACACCTAATTAGGTGCATCTATTCGATGCACCATATTCTTTTTCTTTTCGCCCTTTACAGTCCACTTGGCAGGTTTTGGCTTGAAGAGTTAGAAGTACTCGGATTATTATCTTTGAGAAGGCTATGATGGTCGACTGCAAAGGACTCGGGGGCTACTGTGGAGATTATGGGTAACCCATATCTACACGGAGACGGTATTTGGATTGGGTACCGGATACCTAATGTAGATAGAATATCTTATTTGTATCTTGGGTTTGTTTCTTAACTTGTGTATCAAGGAAACACCCTGAAATTTAGTCGGTTACGACTGTATCTTACCTATATTTTCATATTCCGTTAGGGATATAGATTATCTTTTGTAACCCGGACTCCTTCCCATATATAAGGGGGGTCCGGGCGCCTCTAGGGGCAGTTGTTGATTTTTCCCGAATCATACAATTAATAATACACTCGGCGGATTCATCCCCGGACAGGAGTAGGGTATTACTTCTTTTTTAAGAAGGCCTGAACCTGTATAAATCTTTTGTCTCCGAACCCATACACTTTCCAAGCTTGATAGCCACCCCCTTTTATTATTGCCGAAATCTAGTTTCGACAAGTAGGGTGAGGCATAGCTCCTGCAGCTGCTGGTTGCTTGTCGTGCGCGATAGGAGGTCCGGCGGGGATCCCCTGCACTCGTCGTGTCCGGCGGAGGCGGCGCCGCTGGCTGTGGACGAGGAGGGGAACAGGGACTTGACGTTGTCAGAGACTCGATCTGCGCCCAGCGAATGTGGAAGGAATGAGCCAGCAGCGGACGCGGAGCTGGTCATGGCGCTGCCGGTGTTGCCGAATCCGTAGGACGTCGAGGTCGCCTGCTCGGTGGCCTCTGGCTGCTCCGTCGACGCCACGTCGGGTGGTGGTGGGGCCTCAGCGCAGTCGATCGGGGAGCTCGTCGATGGCGGCCTTGGCGTTGCACATGAGCCAGTCGACGACCTTGCGGGGCTGGTCGTAGAACCGAATGGCAGTGTGCCAGTGTGCGCGGCGAGGCGGATGCGCCGGTCCCCGCTGCGTGTCCCAACCGTTGTCCCTCTTCAAGGATCCATCGCCAGTTGTTTACTAGCCGCGCTGCCGCTGCCACGACCACCGCCGTCTCCGCGGCTTCCTCCAGATCTTTCCCATCTTTCTGCCAAACAATGGGAAAACAGATGAATTTGAAAAAGAAGTAACTGGAATATAAAAATTACTATGGACTTTTTTTTGTAAAATGAGATGGTCAATGCTAATGTGGCACTTTCGCTGAGGTGGAACAATGGCGTGGCAACTTTTGCATCATGAGCGCACCCACCTAGCCAAGTTTTTGTACCGCTACGCTCGGTTTTCAAGTTTTTGCACCTAATCGCACCCACCTGCCAAGGTCTTGTACCGTCAACGCAAATTTTACATGCTTGAATAGATGTTTGGAGAACCTATTTGATAGGAAGTCTAGATATGACACAGAGAAATTTATTTTGATCCATGATAAATGAATCGAATAATGATAATAAATTATTTACTCTGGCTACATTAAACCTATGGAATTTATCGTAAAAAACAAAATTATAAATTTTCCTATATGCATATATATCATGTTATCATTTTTTTCTATATTATGCGTATGTATCTGCGCATTCTACCAAATTTCTTATAATAATATGTTGTACTAAATGTCTTAGGTATTAATTTATATCTCTAGAATATGCCTAATTATTTAATAACATTGACATATATGCATTTTGTAACTTATGGGGTTAGTTTGTAGATTATATTTTATTATAGGACTAAAATGCAAAAAGGTCATTACATCCCCATTCCCCCATTGTACCTCTACACTTCCACAGCCCTCCTTTTCCTTTCCATTGCTGTAGCTGTTCCTCATTCTTTTTTCTCTCCCGCTAATCTGTTATCTGTGGAGGACTCCAGATGATAAAATGATGTGGAATTGTTTGACCGACTTCCTCCTTTTACATCGGACGGTTAATATCCATTCCACCTTTTCTTTGCTTCTTAATCCAATGGCTATGAATTAATACATGACGTGGCTCAGTGTTGTGAAATCTTGAAATTTACTTTTCACAAATGTAGATATGCACAGTTTATAGTCGACCTTTAGATTCAGTCCTCATTGTTTCGCAGTTCATGTTATGATAGATAAGGGCTGCTGAATAATAACCTGGTGATCTTAAAGTCTAATCAATTCAATTGCCTGCTCAATTCCTAGCTTGCCTCTAAATATTTTGAGAGGGATTACCAGGGAATTGAATGGGCTGCTGCTGCCATAGCATCACACCCCAATTTTCGTTCGGGATTAAAAATCATTTAATAATTTATTTTCTAGAAATTAAATTAAAATTAAAAGCAATTTAACAGGTGAATTTAATGAGGGAAATAAAATTTACTTTTAAAATCATGGCTGGAAATATTTTTGTAATATTCTCCATGCCCTAAAATAGTCTCTAGAATTTCCCGTGGATTTTTGGAGGTCAAGAAGTATTTTTAAAAGCACAAACATCACTTAATCAATTAATTAAATTGAAAAACAAATAAAAATCTCCTTCTTTCTATTTGGGCCATTTGGACTAAGTCCACTTCGCCTCCCTTGGGCCCGTCCCCTTCTCTCTTCTCCCGGCCGGCTTCGTCCCTCCCTAGTGGGCCTCAAGCCCGCTAGCCTCCTCCCTTTTCCTCTAAGTCGAATTGACGTCCCTCCTTCTTTCGTGTCGCCAACAGGAAGAGCCCACCTGTGGGGCTCACCTTTAACCTGCAGGCACCTCTCCCGAAACTGCCGGCGTTCCGTGCCTCTTCTCCGCACCCCATGGAATTGGTGCGGACGCGGGTCACCTCCCTTCCTCCAACTTTTTGCCCCCATGTCCTGCACTGAGGCCCTGTTTAGTTAGTAAAAAAAAAAGTTTTGGCTTTATGTGCCACATCGAATATATAGACACACATTTGAAGTATTAAACGTAGTCTAATAATAAAACAAAATGCATATTCCACCTGTAAACCGCGAGACGAATTTATTAAACCTAATTAATCAGTCATTAGCAAATGTTTACTATAGCACCACTCTGTCAAATTATGGCGCAATTAGGTTTAAAAGATTCGTCTCGCAATTTACACGCAATCTGTGTGATTGATTTTTTTTTCTACATTTAATACTCCATGCATATGTACAAACATTCGATATAATAGCGTAAAAAGTTTCTGCGTGAGAACTAAACAGGGCCTGAATCAAAGAGAACCAACACTATCTGTGCTTGCTGATGCATGGTAATGTGGACTCTTTTGCGGTTCTATACTAGAAATTTTGTGGACTTGATTACTACGAGAAACTTTGTGGCAAGATCATGTTATGTTGAAAACCATCCGTGTAGTAGTAATTTATTTACTAAGAGAAATCTTGTGGTGATACCAATACGTTAACTCTAAGTAATTTATTTACTAAGAGAAGGTGTACAAACCAATTAGGAGTACTACTATCCTAAGTAATTTATTTACTAAAGAAGAGCTGAGAACGAACTAAGAGTAATTCATTTACTAAGAGGAGGAATCAAATTGAGAAGGGTTGAAAACAACCTGGGAGTAATACATTTACCTGGTGCAGCTGACCTGCAAAGAATGCAAACATCAAAAAAGACCAGCAACGCATAACATGGCTACTAAAAGTATAATTACATCCAGAAAGTATGAGATTGGGCAGTTAGCCATGAAAGCAAGATTGCATTCTAGAAATTAGTCACCTTCTTTTCACCCATGCTCTATTGAACATGCAATTATATCTGTGCTTATGTTAACTTTTTCTGTGACACACTAGATTGAACCTAAAACAGTATAGTTAATGCTTATGTTACATTGCTGGAAAGCAGCATGAGTGAATGCTTTTTAATAAGTAGGCTAGCACCAGATTTTATGATATCTCAGGATTAGATTTCACAATTATTCATCATTGTTTTCATCCTGAGAAAACTAACGAGTGAAAGAACCTTAAACATGTGTCCTCTCGGCTCTCGGCCACAGCAGGAGGCATATATGTATGAAGCAAAAACATACTAGTCAATAGGCATTAATCGATAAGCAATAACGCAATCAACAGTACGGTAGAGGACATGCGCATGGTAAGAACGCAATCAAATTAGGCCAAGTTTTAGTTCCAAAATTTTTCTTCAAACTTCTAACTTTTCCATCACATCAAAACTTTCCTACACACACGAACTTGCAACTTTTCCGTCACATTGTTCCAATTTCAACCAAACTTTCAATTTTAGCGTGAACTAAACACACCCTTAACCAAATGATGTAAATACTCTACAGGAAGGAATGCCCACAATCCAGCAGTACGGAATGCCACAACCAAATTCACACATAGCCACAAATCAAAAATCAAATAAAATCTAGCCACCAAGCAAGCACACGACCAAAAATATACATCGTGTACGATCCTATCCGTGCTCCCTCACCTCACCGGCCAATCCCCCCCAAGCCCTAGTTTCCCCACACGGACACACAACATTAATTAATGCACGAACAATCTCGGTGCGCCGCGCCCCGGTGAGTTCATCCCCGGCCGCGCGCGCCGCTCACCATCGATCCTCGTCTCCGGAGGAATCAATCGCCTTCACCGCCGCCCCCCCCCCCCCCCCCCTCCCCCTAACCGCTCTCTCGTCTCCTCCTTCCTCTCCCCCACCGATCGACCTCCACCGTATACCACCGCGCGCGAGCTAGCGATCAACAACCTCGCTCTCCGGTCTGGAGAACAACACCTACACACCATTTCGAGACGAGATCCAATCCAGGAAGGCAGATTAGCCGGAGGAGAACTCACTTTCCCATGGCAGCGACGAAGGTGGCCGGTGACGATTGCGAGCGATTCGCTCGAGGTGGTGGGGGTTTCTGGGGTTTCTCTCTCTCTCTCGTCTCTCCCCCTTCTCTCACAAGTCAGAACTCACCAGCGGTCGAGGCTATATATTTGAATTCTCGATCGTTCAGATCCGAACGTGCGGCAGCGATGCCATCGGCTCACCGCGGCGCACGCGGGAATGGGCCCACCTGCTTACCTTTGTGTAATTCCGGTTTGGCTGTGCAGGCGCGGCAAATATGGGAATTTCTTTTTACTACTTTACTGTAGATACATCTCAGCTACTGTTGTCGCTGGTTGTAAAGCAGCACTACTTAGTTTCTACCAGCCATGTTAGGGGAGTTTCTACCGGCCACAGCTTCTCAGATAATCTCAGCTTCCCTAAACAACCCAGATTATCAACCAGATTTTAAAAATTTATAATTATAGAATCTATAAAATAATTAGAAATCGGAATGGATAACCTAGCTTCTCTAGAAATAGGGTCTTGGTTGTGTTGTTCCCACTCCTTTCCCAACTAATCTCCTCGTTTTTCGTGCGCACACTTCCCAAACTACTAAACAATGTATTTTTTAAAAAAGTTTTTATACGAAAAATTCTTAAAAAATCATATTAATTTTTTAACTAATACTTAATTAATTATGAAAATAAACCACCGTGTGTTTCCATTCAATCCCGAACACAACCTAAATAAACTGGTTTAATTCGTTAGCATGTAAAAAAAGTAAATTTCACAAAACTACAGAATTTTTATCAAATTATCACTAAACTACATATTTAGTGTGATATATTATAAAACTACATACTTAACACTAAATTTCTCACATAACTACATCTTTAAGGTGGAGTATCGTAAAACTACATATTTAGTAACAAAATTATTACAAAACTATATGTTTAGTGACAATTTAATCTAAAGTTACATGTTTATAACTCAAACATAACACTAGTGCGAAGGACTTAAACTCTAAAATCTATAGTTTCGTGATAACTTTGTTATTAAATCTGCAGTTTTGTGATACTCCACTTTACATCTGTTGTTTTGTGATAAATTTAGTGTTAAATCTGTAGTTTTGTGATACATCATCTTAAATATATAGTTTTGTGATAATTTGATCAAAGTTTTGTGATACGTAGTTTTGTGAAATTTACTTAAAAAAAGTTTCAATTCGTCGATAGAGGTTCCCTCACCTCTCCCGGTCGCCCACATTGCCTGAGCTTGAGCTTAATCGGTTCCCTCACCTTCCTCTTCTTTTTCTCTGGACCGTCATAGCCCTCGCTCTTATTGTTGTAGACTTTCCAGTGCCACTCAGTCATCTCCTACGCCGGCCGCCGGCCCTCTCCCCGCCAACGGGCTCTAGAGAAAGTGAGGGGGAGAGATGGAGAGAGTGAATAGGTGGGAGTGGTATAAGTCCATTTACATGTGAGTATTACATATTTTTTTTATTTTTTAACTAAGATACCACGTCAACCAAACATTGATTCGTATGATCTGTATGATTTTATTCAACCCAGTTTTAAAATATGGGGTTCAAAAATCTGATTTTATTCTCCTTAGGTTTCCGCCGCCACCGCTCACGGAACTACGATCCGACACGCCCTCGCCGCTCCCCCGCCCGCTCGCCTGCACACACACTCTCTCTCTCTCTCTTCATGTATGTTGTCGGTGGATTTCCCGGATCCTCTTTTTTTTTCCGGCTGTTCCTAAGGGAGAAAACGTGTGATTTTCGGTATCGCGTGAGATTTACCATTCTGCTGTAGTTGCTAGAATGCTACTCCCTCCATATCAAAATATAAGTATTTTTTACTTCTATATAGTCTTCGAGATGTTGCTTGGACTAACAATATCTTAAAAAAATAAAATGTTTTAAATAAAAATGTTGCATATTATGATTGTTTGTTTAATGATAAATCTAGTAACGTCAATTTTACATGATTGAGCTTTTTTTCTATTAATAGTCAAAGTTAAAAATGTTTGACTTGACAATATGCTAAAAATGCTTATATGTTGGGACAGATGGAGTAGTTGTTATTATTACTTACTGCAATTGAAATGATCATAAGTAGTAGGTTAAGTTAAGAACAAGTTGGTTTTGTGGTTGTATGAATTCGTTCCGGAATGTTTGGGATGCCACCATGAGCTTATCATTGTTAGAATCGGACTCAACGACCCTTACAATTTACATATCATAAACAATAAGCAGGATCGTTGGTTTTTCCCTACAAGCATTGGATTTTACACTTACTAGTTTTGTTACAAACGGCCCAACACAGATTCTCCATGGAGTTAAACAAAGAACATATCCTCGTAAGTTCTGCTCTCCAGTTCCCGTCGTAATAATTATATTTTTTCATTTTTATTACCGATGCTTTAATTCATTAATTTAGCACAATCTAATTATTGTAGCAAGTGGAGGATGAAGATAGACTCAGCATGCTTCATGATGATATTTTACTATCAATCCTGGGGAGAGTTGACATTTGTACAGCTGCAAAAACAAGTGTCCTGTCAACAAGGTGGAGGCACCTACCTTGGCAGTTAACTAAACTGGATAACCACCGTGTACATTGACGAAGCTATGTCAACTCTCACCAAAGCAGCAAGGAGTCTGCTAGCTGTGCCGCAGAGAGAAACCTTCATTACAAGTCTATGCCTTAAGCTCTACTTGATGGGCAATTACTCGAGAGATAAAGGATTTCTATTAAGTGAAGCGATTGATGGTGGAATAGTAAAAGATTTGGACCTTGCTATTTTGAACGAGAAGGAACCTGAAGATTGCGATGACAAAGATATGTTTTGTCAGGCCAGAGTTCTGAAAGCCTTTGCTGGTGCTTTTCCTCGTGTGCTTCACTTCCTCACAAGGCTCTCTGTACAACGTGTTATCTTCACCGAGACATTCATCATATTCTGTTTGACTGTTGCACTCAGCTGGACATTGTAAGGCTTAGAAATTGTGATGCTGGGTCCAATGCTGTATGGAAAATAGATGCGCCAAACTCGAAACTCCGACATTCTGGAGCTTTCGTTGTGCAGCTTTTGGAGATTCGAGTTAGCCTGCCTCCCATAGCTTGAGGAGGTCCATTGGGAGATTTGGTTCTGTTCCTATGCCCCCTTGTCATTTGGCTTCGTCCCAAGCCTCAGGGAACTATTTCTTGCATGTGGTGCCCAATTGGGCTTCGAAGGCTTCATGTTAAGCGAAGTTTTACAAGGCACCAAAGATTTGCATACTTTGACAATAGATTTCCAAGGAGAAAAGGTAATTGAATATGTCATTTTGATGAATCATTATTATTTTTTTATACTATAACTGCTACAGTGAGTACATGCTTTTCATTACTATGAATCTGTTAATTCAGTTGTGTTGGACTTTTGCACAAGTCATGAGGATCTAGCAGTAGAATGCTGTCATAGTTTCAGTTGGTTCAGTTCTAGTACTACTTAGGTGCATTCACCTTCAGTTTTTATTTTAATAAAGAAACAACCTACTTAGGAGCATGCATTCTTCATTAAGAAGAAGAAAGACATCTGAATTTGAGTTAAAAGGACACCAACCTAGGTGGTGTGCTGTGCATCTACACCTCTCAGTTTTGGTTTTAATTCCTCTTCACTCAAGACTTGTAATTGTCCAGAAGGATTTTATTATTAGGAACAAACTGAGACTAACCCTTGTTTGTGCAATCATTTAAACTCATCGGTGTGCTTTGTTTCTGTTTTTTTTTTCTCTTTTCAGCTTTGGGTACAACCTGAACAAAAACAATTCTGCCCTGCATTCAACAATCTAAAGACTTTATCTATTCTTTGTGTTTATGTTGAATTTGACCTGTTATGGGCTTTAAACCTCCTTGAAGCTGCGCCATCCGTTGAGCTACTTTTCATTGATGTAAGTTTTCCTTTCGTTTTTTCAAAATGTAACAACATGACAGTAAATGTAGCTGGAAATTCTCACTATTTGCAAAAGATTTACACAAACCAATTTCTCACACTAAATGCAGACCTGGGAACATATATGCTTGGTGGACCAAATGGATGAAGAGGGAAGAAAGGATATCTATGGAGAAAGAACACATCCTTCATGGGAGATATCCGAGTTTACTGGCACCAGAAAATGGCGATTGAAAAAACTCCAGTTTGCCGGCTTTAGGCCACTCAAGCAACAGCTGGTATTTTTAAAAGCCATCATGGATCTTAGGGACAATATTTCATCGCCATCTCAGATAATTTTCCTGTGAATCAGTAGAATTTGTGTTCTATAGCCGCTTCAGAGTTCTATATGTAAAAATTTTACTGTGCAGCAATGATCAGCTCTTGCATGTTAATATTATATTTTAATTTTGAGTAAATTGTATGCGATCTAGTGCAAAAAAATTGAAAAATGAGCAATACCAGTACAAAAACTTGTTCGCTTTGATAAGCACATCTACAAAGCATGCAAGTCATTGTTCAACTGCATTGGTTCTCCAATGATCACAAGCTGAATACACACCGGCAGCCAACTGCCAACCTAAATATCCAAAGACATACTTCAAATGCATACACTTCTTTTGAACACATTGCGTAAGGACCATTATATATTGTAGTCAAAGGTTTAAGAAAAAACAGTCAAAAGAATACGTTCCGATCCATATCCTCGTAGCAAATACTAGCAAGTTGTCAATGAGACAAAGTTCAATTCAAATATGGACGATCCAAAAAAGGATTACATCAAAAGTAAGGTACACTCTCTGCAGTATGATCAAATCTCTCAAATCATCAGCAAACATACAATGCCTACCAACAAAAGAATCAGTTGATTGAAGGGATGAACTGAAGGAGCCCAGTTGGAGCCAGGGGGAGCAGGGGAGTAATCACCTGAACCCGAGCTCGTGCTGAGGACAACGACCACCCAATCTCCCTCATTCGCGATCCCAACACCAGAGAACTTGGTGTCATTCAGATACTGGTTGTACTGTGACTTGGTGTAGTTGGTCAGAACCACATCAGGTACAAGTCCGGGAACGCAGGCCGGCATCACCTGACCGTCTCCGGTCACCGACGCGTTGAGATGGCAATGGTCGAGGTACTTTGGGTAGTCGGGGAACTGCTGCTCGGTGCCAGGGACAGTGTTTGCTCCGGTGGTGTTGGTGCAAGGTTGGTCTTTGAATTGCTGTGCTAGCTGCTCAGCCAAGCAGGCAGCATTCTTGTTCTCGGATAGCGCAGGGACTTTGAGGGAAGCTCTGTAGCTGTTGATGCCCTTGAGAAGCTGTGAATCACTTCCTGGAAATGGGAAGCAGTGTCAAACAAACAATGTAAAACAATGATTGTATCTCCAAGTTTTCCTGATTTAACAGTGGAATAGTTTGCATGCATATCAGATCTCGACCAGCAAAAGGTAGAATTTTATCGTTCGATCTTCAGCAAATGATAATCGTAATAAGTACTGTTAACAAATGACAAGTGTATGAATAAATGCATCTCAATAAACTATGATACTTCATATGTCACCAAAAATTTTCACTTGAAAGAATTTTCATTCGAAACCATATGCATAAAAACTGTGCCATATGTACCTAAACACATCAACTCCAATACATAGCAATTGTGACTTAAGTTACTGAAAAATTTTCTCCTTAGCAGACTACCACTGAGTCCTCCCCGCAAAAAATAAAATAAAATAAAATAAAAAATCTACCACTGAGTCCTAAACATCAGATCTTGCACATCAAAAGCTGGATTTGTACGAAAACAGCTTCCCAAACAAGATTTTAACTCAAAAAAGAGGACCAAGCAAACCTCGAAAGTGGCTCACAAATCATGACCATGTGACTAGTTACATCAAAATGTATAGAACACCAGTGACCAGATCTCTGACCAGCACAAATGCCCAGTGCAACCGCTTGAGCGTTTTCTAAGCGATCGAACAGAGACAAACTAATTCGTACGGATTGAAACAAGAATCATCTTCTGCAGACTCCCAGATCCCATGAACCAATTAAAACTCCCAGAGTAATTCTCAATTGAATTTGAGCAACAGGGCAGCTAAATCATTGCACTACTACACAGCAGCCAAGAACACGCACTCCAGCGAATCAGATCCAGACACACTACAACAAACAAATAATCAAAACAAAACTACAACAATTCTAACCATCGAAGCCCGAATCAGATTGCAGGAAGAGCAGCGAGAGCCAATAAGCCATTTTTACCATCAGATCTGGCGCAATGCAGCAAGGAGGAAGCGAGGACGAGGAAGCAGACGAGGGAGATCCTGGAATCCATTCTCGCCGACACAATTCCTCGCTGCTGCAGCGGTGTTACTGTTGCCTCGGCCGGGGAGGAAGAAGAGTGAGGTGCGAGGCAGGCAAGAAGTAGGAGAGGAGTGAGGAGGAAGGAGGCGAGTTGCTGTCACCAACCACTTCTTTTTAATTTTACTCTTTATTGAATCTTGATTAATCTTTACTCTTCCTTCCGGTCTGTCCTAAAAACTTTTTAGTAAAAAGTGGTGATAAATGTTTTTATTAGGGTCCTTATTGTATATTTACACTGGCAAGATAATTCGATTACTTTTGTATCTTGTACCTTCTGGGCCATTTTTCACTGGCAAGTGGTAACTTTTTGGGTTACAGCCTAGCTTTAGCAGTTGTAGTTAATTTGCTTAAAAATTATTGTGGTCACATAACTTCAATAAATTCTGAAAGGAACTGTATAACAGTTTTTATTTATTATATATCCAAGTCACCTTCATTACATTTTTTATATATTTATAAATAAATAGTGCCTAAAGAAGGTCTAGAAATAGTTTTGTTCCTCATGTGAAAAATAATTATCCCAAGGAGGCATTAGATGCTTTAGTAGTCATAAATTTCCCTGTATAAAATCACGGAAAAATTGTGAATGATGCATAAATAACGGTAATGATGCATGCGCTGAGTACATTTTATTTATTTATACATACAGGTCGATATTCATATGAAGGAAATACAAATACAATAATGTAGATTCTGAGAAAAAATAGCCCCTTATTTCACCTGACTATAACTCTATAAGTTATAACACTTATTAGCGATAATATATATATATATATATATATATATATATATATATATATATATATATATATATATATATATTCTTAACGATTTAAAAGGTAGTATTGAAAAATAAACTACGATGAAAAATATCAAAATCAATTTAAAATTAAATTTTAAAATTTAATTTTTGGTTATGGCTACGAGCTATTTGTGTTTTAAGTTAATACATGTTTATGGCATGGTGGTCGTATAGTACTCCCTCCGTCCCAAAAATACTTAATGAGAAGTGGCAATGAATCTGAACTACCCTTTATTCAGATTCGTTGTTCTAGTAGGGGTCACATCCCCTCGCTTGAGTTTTTTTCGGACGAAGAGAGTATGACCCTGTTTAGATTCCAATTTTTTTCTTCAAACTTTCAACTTTTTTCGTCACATCGAACTTTCCTACATGCACAAACTTCCAACTTTTCTGTCACATCGTTTCAATTTCTTCAAACTTCAAATTTTAGCGTGGAACTAAACACAACCTATATTTGCATGGGCCCACCCCCATTATATTCTCTGTGCTTATAAAACAAACTTCATATACTCTACGAAACCCCAAGCTGTCGGTGTTTCTCAAGTAGTTGCTACAACGTGATCATCTGAGATGCGGCCACAAATAACAAATTTATTCTTATCAGGAAAAGAAAAAAGAAGCATTAGTTGAATTAAGCCATGGACAACGTGAAACAAATAAAAGAAGAAAGGTGCTTGGTCGATGCTTTTCATCATCAAATAATTAATTTCGCTGCGTGTGCGTCTTCTCCGGTTGGTCCTGCACTGACGTTAAAAAGGTTGGTGTAGATGATGATGATCTGTGCAGCGAGCGAGCGAACGGCGGGACAGAGAGACAGCTCACCGTGTGGCGACGGCGATGGTGGAACCGACACAGCGTACGCCAACACTCAACACGACGCGGCGGTGGGTAATACGCAGCGCCAGTGCACTACGTACGTACCTTACCTCATTGTTTGCTAAATTTTAATTTCAGAATTGATTTTAAAATTTTTTTAATGTAGTTTTAAAATATTAGTTTCCTGACCACATATTTACCCCTATATTATAACTTATAATCAGCTCTTAATAACTAACCAATGGAAGAGTGAATCACTGTGCAGTCGCAGTTGAGTCACTTACACAGGACATTTAAACTATTTGCCACCTTTAATATGTGATGTTTAATAATTTATTACTCACAATCTATGACGTGCCCTTTTACATATCTACAAGTACGTAGTAAATTGTTAAATGTCCACTTACATATAAGCCCCGCTCTAACTTTTGTGCAGTTTTCGACATTTCCTGTGAATATTATAACTGTAAACTGTGTATCTCTATAACTGTGTACAAGGAAGCCTCACCCAACAATGGAGTTGTGGTTCATTTTAGCAATGAAGGGCTTTTAGTACTTCCAATTCTAACGCAACATATTGAACGCACTTAACTGTATGAATATATCGGACGCACTCCTACATCCCGCTGCGATGCAAGTCGACCACGGATTCACGACCCAGAGATCCTTTTAACCCCTGACTACAATTTTTTGCCAAGATTTTCCTGACTCGTATTTGCATACACTCGAAAAACAATCGCACTGGTTCCAAGGCTAAACATCTGCATTCATGCTCTGAAACTAAATCTCTTTATAAATATCAAATAGAGCACTAATACGAGTAAAGCTAAAAGCCGATATTTCTTATCTACATGATGAGACTACGACTAGTTCACGGTTGTTGCCAAATAAGGTTAATATTTACATCACCTACGAGCAATCTCGGTTAGGCTACAAAAGGCTATGGTAAATATTTGGCCAGGCGACAATAGGCTGAGTTTGTTTTCACTTTTCAGAACCACGGGTGCCATGTCGGATCCATCATGCACAGGTTCCTCGAAGATAATGCCGCTTCCACGAGATCCGTGACGCCTCTTTGGACCGACTGAGGTGGCTCAGATGAATTCTCCTCCTGAAATAGGGAGAGAAAATGCTCCCAGATGTGAATATAAGAGCAGGTAAAATAGCAGGCTATAAGCTAGCTATAAACATATTTTAAAGAGATAAAGGAAGAGAGACTCCCAAGAAGTAATGTGTATATGACAGATAGGATCAGGTATTAATAGTATAGTAAGCAACTAATGTATGAATTGGGTATTACATTGGCTATAGATGATTTGGAGCTAGCAATTGGCTATACTATTAAACTTGATCTAACTTGAATGACTTGATAATGAATTTGGACTTGCTAATGTTACTATCCAAAATGGTTTTCCAGTTGATTGAAGATAGCAATCCTAAAACATAGTACTAACTGATAGTAGGTGCGCAACAAGGTGAAATCAGTAGGGAATATAGTGCAGTATTGGAGCATTGCTATCATGTGAAATTGTCTAACTAGGAACAAGCGAGTGAAACACCTCGGCTTGCTGAATATTTCACTTTGTGCATAAGTGGCCTCTCCAAATAACAATAACTAAGTAAAGAAAGGATTAGCAGTGATAGCATTATCATTTTAAAAGTTAACGGCCAGCTAGGGAAATAAGCATGACTGAAATCGGAAAAAATGATATATCCAGAGAAACAAAAATCAAGTTTAAAGAAATAGTTTACCTCATCAGCAAGATAATGTGGTGATATTAATTTGATACGGGTAATGACATGCTCCACATTGTTTATCACCTTTTGCTGGAAATCCAACGGGTTAATCATTCCAGCAGCAACTGGAACAGAAGGAATGCCAAGTGGCCTCCTCCATGACCAAGATAACAGTTCATCACGGAAAAACATAGCCAAATGGTGCCATATATGCTGGCTTTGCTGAAAATCACAAAGAAAACAATCCGATTACGTAGGAAAAATAGAAAGATGAACCACAAGGGACAATCCTAATATTAACCAAGACGGAAAACAATTAACAGTAGGAGTACTATCATTAGCGCATCCTACTATAATTCACTCTTTAAAGAATGATACTCACTTTTGGTGAAACCACAGACTGGGCAGCAGAACACATGGCAGACACAATGAGACCTTCAACACCGAAATTTGAGAAGAAAGCTTGCATATTGCGTGTCAGCCTAAAGGGAACTAGCTCATTGAACTCAATCATTCCATTTGGATCATAAGCTGCAGATAAGCAAATGTGAGTAATAATAATTTCACGTGCATTATTTACAATTACTGGTAATAATCAAGAAGAGTACCTGGATGGAAATCATTCTGGAAGATCTTGCCAGTATTTTTAGCAAATAATATTTTGTTAGGAGCCCTACCACCAATCTGCAACATGTACGACATGAAACAGGACAGAGCCACTTGGATTGCAAACTGTTTCTTGAAGGTCCAGAGGTGATTCCCAGTTGGTAGAATCTTATGCATGTATTGAGAGAAGATATTATCATTAACGATATTTTTAGTAATTTCATTATAGGCTTGCAAGCGTAATTCCACCACTGCTTCAGGGGACACCTGCCCTGAGATGGCTTGATTTAGCTGTTCTTTGAAAATTGTAATAGGTGAATCAGCTTCTCTATTATGTCGGGCACAGTTAATTTCATACACCTCCAGGAAAGTGCTGTACATCAAATCATCCTCTACCATCCGAACCTGGATCAAGGGAAATTAAACATAAGGCCAGGATATTACCTTGGAAGCTGAAATAAAACAGCTAAACATGATTATTATCAGGTATGGAAGAATGGAAGGTATTTCACCTGTGACCAAACAGGAATAATGATTGGGGTGTGAATAGCAAGATGGCGCTGCCTCGACTCTTTATGTTTGTCAAACATTTTGTTTAGTACACGGAATAGCTGCAGCATTCTCTCATCACTCCGGGCATTTGGAGTCAATGATGTCTGAACAATAAAATGGCGCTGTGAACCATCAGAGCCAATAAGTGTCAGACGTCGGAAGCTACTACCGTGCCTCCGGACAATAGGAATATCAGGTCCAACTCTGTCCAACTTGACAGTATGATCAGGTGCAACCTCCTGCAAAAGACAAGTAAAACTTAAAACTAGCACATAGAGAGGTGAGGAACCGTGCGAGAAGCATAAAACTTTCACAAGACTGGCTAACCATCCATATGGTAAGAGATAATGATGAGTGACATATTGACTTCAATACTGAGGATAAAAGGTAATCACTGTGACCAACCTGATCTGTGAAGTACTGCCCGGGAAGTTCTATATCAACAACATGGAAGTCCCTGAGAATTTTACTTTCTTCCTCTAGCTTTAAAATTGCAGGGAACCGATCCTCAACATTACTCTGAAGAACATTCTTCCAGTGCTTCAATCTCTCAGTGAGTTCAGCAAGTGTTGCTGGAAAAGTAGTAGCACTTTCTGGGTCAAGATCACGTTCAAAATCTTGCTTGTACTCCTTGACAAAATCAACATGCTTGTTAACAGCATCTTGTGAAAAGCAAGCTCGGCATACACCAGAAAGTTCCTTCTTGAGAGATTGTGGAACCTCGCCTGTAGTTGCAGTTGGATACTTGTAGCAGCGGTGAAGCAATGCATTAACCACAGCAAGAAGTCTTTCCTCGGGAAGAGTAACAAATCTTGATCCAATTTCAGACAGTAAAACCTGAAACCAGCAAAAATAAAAATATTAGCATACTTAGAAACACAAACAACGAAAGTTCTAGCACTAGATTGTTGTTTCTTCATGTAGATTTCTTCAAGATTCTGTAATCCCAACAATTCAAATCAAATAGTCCCTCCAGTCCCATTACAAACAATATTAGATTTGTTGTCTTGTTTGAAAATATAAGGCATACATTTAAATTTAGTGCAAGCCTTTCCCCCAAGTCTAAAAGTATCCCATCCTCTCTTGGACTCCTTTAAACATTTATGCTTGACAACCAACACATACCACCATTTTCGAAGCACTTAATGGAAGGGCAATAAAGTCATTCTCTTATGGATTCCTACTTCACTTTTTGTCCCTGGCCAAAATATGCCTTACTATAGGAACCAAAGGGCACTGAATATGCATGGAATTCTGTTCTCTTAAATGCCAGCTTTGCTACAAAATAAAATTCCTGGCAAGCATGCTAAAAATTTCTATTGAAAAAAAGGAATGGGCAAAGAAAGAAATGGCTTATTCTATACCATTGTCATACACGTTGGCCTGTATGTATGGTAAGACTCTAATTTAATAAAAAAGTAATGGTCGTAGTCATCTCCAATTTCCTAAAGGTTTATAAACCACTTTGTTATTACTTCTTACCTCAAGCTCATTGGCTAGATTGGTATGCTTGCTCCTAAGAGCTTCCATTATATCCTTTGCAGCATCAAATGCACTTGCTGCAGAAGTTACCCAGCCAAGTCCATTATTGCGTCTTGCTGGCATTTGCGAACCATCTGCACCAGTTGAACTCGGTTGACCTTGATCATGGCCAGCGCTTGTACCACCCTCAACATTAGATCTGTCTGACTCTTGTCCTTGGAGATTACCCCCATCATGAGAAACTGCCGCACCACCTGACTGGGTAGCTTGATGAACTTGGTTGTCAGAAGTCATGTTCCCACCCCCAAGATTAGATGTCCTCGCGTTCCCTTCAGATAAGTTATTGGCAGCATTGTTTGCCAGCATAGCCTGCTGCATACGCTGCTGAGCTATTCTTCCCATTTCAGTTTTTGTAGCAACATCACGACGTTCCATCAAGTATGTCCGAAGCCAATAATACAATGCCTGCAAGAAAACCTCTCAGATATGCACATATACGAGACAAGAATATGCATCGTCAAGTTCAAGAAATCGATATGAAAAAATGACATCACAATCACCTGTGGATAAACTTGGGCTATTTTCAGCAAAACTAATTTGCAGTGTTGGGCTTCACTTCTCTGTAATGATAGCAATAACTGAGGTATCCACGAAAGCCAAACCCAATGGGGCAACTGCTCAAGATATTTATCCAAAGCCCTTCCAGCAGGTTCATTTTGTGTATCGAAGCTCAGAAGGTAGAGAATTCGTGCAAGATGGCTCCTTGAGTTTGAAACTCCATATTTGATGCCTTGGAAGAAACAACTTACGGCATACTCAAGCCAAATCTCATCTTTTGTCTCCTTGAAAACCTGGCAACACACACACATCAGATCTGGATGATGAAGGGATATTATTAAGAGCATAAAGGATAACATGCATACCATATCGCAGTAATTCCCCCAGCTAATCCATGCTTTTGGCAAATGCTTAAAAAGTGTTATAGCATTTGAATAAGCAACATTTGCATTCTCGCAGTCATTCATTTTTAGCAGGAAGTCACCTCTCAGACGAAATATTTCTGCTTTGTTCTTCACAGGGAAAAATTCCAAATTGGTGTTATTGATTAAGTTAAGACCACTGACTAGTTCGCCTTTCATCTCTAAGTATGCCTTGGCTTGTTCACATATCTTCACAAATGCTTCCTGTAATCAGATTAGAATGCAAACAGGTAAATAAGATGATATTGAACGCACACTATGCAGTACTAAAAATTTGATCACAAAGGCAAGTCACCTGAACTTCCATGGTAGCATGACCATACATCTTATCGAGTATAGTTACACAAACGTCAGGAAGACCTTGTTTGCGAGCTATGTGAGCAAGCTTGTTCACATTCCAAGCTTTGTCTCGGTAACCAAGATGATGAAGTTGAGGATTTGTTTGGCCAAAATCTTTGAATGCGTCTATTACTGAATTGTACATCTCATTCCTCCACTGGAGGAGGTCATACCAAACAGTCATATTATCCCATTCATTAGGAGTTCGAAGTCTCCATGTCTCAAGAATATCCTTGAGGTCAGCAAAGGAGTTGTGATGATTGGAATTGGCACCAGAATTTCCTGAAGCTGGTTTGTTCCCATTTGCAATGTCAAGCAGAATTTTAGAGGATTCTTTCACTTCAACCAACTGCTGAAACTGCTGCAGCAGAGGCATTCGGGACTGCACAGACATTTCAGGTAACTGCCACCATTGTTCTAGTGCAAGTTCAACACCTTTGCTGACAAGGTTCTCAGCTTCACCAACACCATTAGTACCTTTGTCATGAAGAGTGAAAAATGATTGAATAAGGCGTAACTTTGGTGTCTCTTCTACCTGAGCTTTTGGAATAACATTCTCCTTCATATATGTCCAGTCAGGCGCCTTCCAAAGGCAGTCTAAGAGAATCTCGTAATTCTCCACACCTTTTCCAAAATCAGCCAATACTTCCCACTGACCTAATTGAGTGGCACAAGACAACCACTGTTCTTCCCAAAGACACATTTCAGCCTTAGGGACTGTGTTATTATATGTACCTTGAGTTGCTTTTATCATTGCCTGGTAAAAGAGATTTTGTGCCTGCTGCCAGTAACCGTGTTGGACAAGTGATAGCCCAGCTCTAGTTTCTGCTGTGATTGATCTTCTCTTCCATAATCCATATCTCATGTCATCCTCATTGAGAAGCCTGTATAATTCAGCCAGTGACTCTGAGCATTTGGCCTCATTCATATGCATCATATGGCTCTCGAGTAACGCAATCGAAGTATGCCATGCATTGCAGGTCTTTCCGATATATTTGATAAGCTCACTAGGCATGCGCGGTTGAGGATGGCTCAAGTGAAGACCTTCAAGGAGTGCCTGGGCTACATTAGGTCTGCATCCTTGCTGCCTCTTATGATAATCTTTTGACAGAAGCGCAATTATTGGCTTAGCAAGAGCAACTTGCTCCTCTTTGTGTAAGGTTACCCAAACAATTGGGAATACAAGAACCCACAAATGATATGCGACGTTGGGATCAGCAAATGCAAGTTCCCTCAATGGAGCCATGACATCTGCCACCTACATTATTAACAAAGAGTACATATGGGTTATCAGGTCAAAGATTTCATACAAGGAGATTTGTCATAAGGAACCAGGTTATTCCATTTCTCATGAGCAAAACTAACAAATTATCCATATGCAGCAGTAAAATGAAAAGGCAACAAACATATATGGTATGAGGCAGAAAATACTAGCAGCAAAGTAGTTTTGAGCACAGGTATTTACCACAAGCTTGCTTGCCTCATTTAAAAACTGAGCATGTCTTGTAGTCAGAGAATCAAACGATAAAGATGTACCATCCAAGCTTTCCTGAGCATCAGGAGCCTGTTGTGGCATAATCATGCGATCTGAAACTGGCCCAGATGTCATAAGTGCAGGAACTCGAGCAGAATTTGCAGCGAGTGTAATTGGCTCATTTTCAACTAATATTGCCAAAATAAGATCCAGGCCTTGCTTCAACCAGAAAACATCACTCACTGCTTCCCAGTCCTGGGTCTGTATTATAAACTGCAATCTAGCAAATAATGTTTTTCCGACATAGTCATGGTAAAGTTTGAAGAATCGCTTCCTCATTTCTGGGTCTTTAGCTCTAAGTCCAAGCATGTATTGCCTCTCCACCTTATGAAAATACTCTTGCCTCAAAGCCATTTGATACCTGCATAAAAAGACCGTCAGGAACACTACAAGATACTAATAAGAGCTTGCTGTATGTATGTACTTACTTAGCTGTATCTCCACAGAGTGAGTAAAGAAGTTGCAAATATTTTGCATCCCATTCTTCTTGTACAGATGGGGGAAAGCTTTTTCTGTCAACTACTGATAACTTCTGAAGATAAGCTATTATCTCCTTTGGATTAAGTGAACTGACAGAGCCAGTAGATGAAGCAAGTCTGTAGTCATCCTCAATCCAAGCTTTTATCATGTCCAGTATGCATAGAAGAACGCTAGGATCTGTGCCTTTTTCTGAAAGGAGTGCTTGAAGTGTTTGGCCCATAGATCGCCTGAACTCAGAAGAGGCCATCACCCTCTCACTTATGAGTTTTAAGACGGTCTTCATGTTAGATATGACCATAGGGTCTACTGTGGGGCGTGAATTAACTGATGAATCCTGTTCAGGCCTCTGTCCCTGAGATTATGCCAGGTCAATGCCAAGGTAAATGGACCATCATGCCAAATGGAATCTTGCCAAAACATTTACTCATGGTGTTGATGATCAAATCACATAGTTAAACACTAACAAAAAAAACATCCTAGATGTATCTGTGGATTTTTCATCTTAAAAATAGTAAACAGTTCAAAATGATAACTTCACATAAGAACCTAACTTACCTATAGATACCAAGACAGAACACCAGGTTAATAATAATCAGCACAGTGAAAACTAGTCAACTATACGGATCAACAAAGTTAAATAATATAGAAATACTGTGCAAACATACTTGTCGAACATGGTTGCCAGCAGAAGATCCCATGTCACGTGCAAGACGTTGCAGGACTCGAAGAAGCAAACCTATGAACGGATCAATAAAATTCTTCTGTACTTCTGCGAGTGCGTTGAGGACAAACAGTGCAAAGCTTATGATAGAGTTAGCATTGCTAGGTTCAAGTGATATCTGGGGAGTGGTTACAGCAGCAAGATGCTTTTGAATGAGATCTTGAACTCTTTGGTACAACAACTTTATATCTTGTGGTGTTGTAGCTGCTTCAAGGGGAAACGCGCTGAATACCATCTTTAGCAATGAACAAAGAGACTTGCCAGCATCCAACATTTTGTTGTTGAAGCAAGGTTCCAGTATCTAAGGAAAAGAGATCCCAGAATGTATCAAAGAGTCAACGTAAGAAATATCTGCATTGATCTCCATAAAATACAAATATAGCAAAAAGACTAATCCAGAGAATAAGGTTCATTCAAGTAACTTACTTGAGAAATATGGTTGATGTTATTCCGGATGAAGAGGCGGGGTTGCTTTTCTAAGACTTTGTTCATAACATCTAGGCCCTGAGCAAGTGCTGTTGCAGGATCCTTGGACTGAGAAGGTGTCAAATTCCCAAGCAATTTCTCAAGATAATTAAATTTAACATTGGCATTTGGCCAGACTTCCAAAGCTTGAGTCAGTAGATCAAGAGCTTGCTTGTACATTGAGCTAGATTCCTTATCCTTTGGTTCAATCACCAGCGACACCTGTTCAATCAACAAAACTATATGAGTATTCAAGACCTCAGATCAAAAAAGTTCTGCTGAAGACACTAGTAAGGTGGCACAAAGTGATCAACATTCTCATTATATCAGAAAGGTTCACATGAGAGGATGGAACCACTAATAGGAATGCCTTGTCAATCCACTACTGCAATCAAATGTTACACTGTGCTTTGTCTCTTTTCAGGAGAAAAGGCAAGCCAGGCCGCATGCCTCAAAAGCAATCACAATGAATTAGGCAATGAGGCACCAACAACAAAAGCAAGTACCATCAGAATGTCCAGTATTAATTTTTTTTAAGAACATTATCATGAAATCTAATGAAGCAACTTGTAAAATTTAGAGCATAAAAGGTAAACATAAAAAGGATAATCACCCTTATAAGGAATGTAATGATCATCTCCTCCATAGCAGCGTTAGGTTTGTACTCCTCATCTGGTTGCCCGGAAGACCCAGGTGTCTCGATATTAGGTATTGATGCCCCCCCAGGCGACATCACGCAAAGGGGTTGCAACCCTGGTTCAACTTTCACCCTCTTACTCAAATCATCACCAAATGTGGGAACATCCGATGAGCGTTTTGGATCACCGCCAATAACAGGACTAAGCATATCACCAATTTGACTCGTGTTCTCACTTTCCTGCACAACTTTCATCTCACTTTGTCTCTGTCTTTCCCACGCCACCACCAGTCCAGCAAGTTCAATTGCCAGTCGTCTATTTTCTGCTGTTGTGTTGTATGGTAGTCCAAGACGGCTAAGGGAGTTGACCATCTGGGGAACAAAATGGGCTCTGCAACTGTAGAAGAGGTCTGCATGACGAACAATAAGCTGGAATATGTGAATCATGTTGGGAATTGAATGGCCTTCCTCCACAAGGATTTTCTTGGTGTATCTAATCCATATTGGCATGCGGCTGTCCCCTGGAGGGAGTCTTCTAGGAAGGGCAGGCATGAGGATGTCAAGAGCTTGCTTCACCAGCAGCTTATTTTCTGGTTGGCATGTCCGCAGTAGAGCAATAAAAACCTGGGGAAATAATTCATCATATTGGCTAGCTCGGTGCAATGACCTGGTTAAATGCACAATTACTCAGGAAGAATTTAATGTTATACTACCTGCAGAATAATCTTTTCAGGAGCTTGATAGGCCTCTAAGAAATGACACACGTTCACAAAAGCCCATTGCTTGCTGGAATTATCTTCACGTTTGAGATGGTTCCAACCGAACTTTATGAGTTCCTTTCGATGGTGAACAAGATCGCTCTGTAGATACTTCAGAAGTAATGTTGCAAGCTGAAGGAGTTCTATCCTCAAGGGTTCATCATATTCAGCACTGACCTAAAAATATATACATATAAAAAAGCATTGCTGTCATGGGGAAGTAACAAAGAGAAGGCTGACAGGTATTAAGGTAGAGTGGTTCACTTCCCACCTCTTCCGGAGGATCAAGAAGCTTGTCAACAATAGTTTTAATAATAGATGGATCAACAACTTCCCAACTTTGCCCATTTTGGAAAGAATGAGCTAGCATTGGAAGGATAAGTATCTGCATAGCAACGACTAAATGATCTTGTCCATAATGCTTTGACTGGAATATGTTCAGAAAGTGATTAAGAATAATTTTCTTCAAATTTGGTGCATAGCCTTCAGCAACCTATATGGAAAATGTAAAAATGGTAAGAAACAGAAAGAACTGGAGAGCGACACAAGTAACTGTCATGAATTAGAAAAAGAAATGGTGTCACCTCTATAACATAAAATTCCTTAAGAAAACTATAATCAATGCGGCTACGGTACAAGAATATTGATAGCATATCAAATAGCGCACCAACTTCCGTACGATCATGCCTTAGATAATTTAGGAAGCATTTTATGAGCCGCTTGCTTTCCATCACCTGTTCAGAAAGTAAGATTGTTAAGATCCAAAGGTCTAGACACTTGATTAGTGCAGTATGGAAAGATGCAAGGATGCTAAGAAACTTTAATAAAGCAATTTATTGAGATGTAAAGCACAGATAACATGTACGCATCATGTCAGCAAAACCTAAATCATTGAATTCAAAGAAATCAAGCGCATAAGAGAAAATAAGCACCCATACTACCGGACAGTGTTTGCCCATTGAACAGAACATCATAAAATCCAGAATGATAATCCTACTAGCATGGCAGAGATAACAGTATATAACAGATAGTAGCAGTAGTAAACAAAGATGCCAAAATTTAAATATCATGATTCCCCGAAATAATTCTATATAAAGAACCAAGTATGCAACTTGTCCATCAACTCTAAATATCGCATCATGAATTTAACATGGCAATTAAACAGGTGAAAGAAGATAAAAATTACGTAATCGGAACAGGGTAGCAATAGAAATACGTAAATCTACGTAATTGGAAGTAACCAATTAGGTTAACTATGGAACCCAGAAATCGATCACCGATCAAGTAAGTTATTCAGCTTGAGAACTACTATAATTTGTTACCCGGATAAAGGTCACTAGCAATTGAAGAGCAGCAACAAGAGACAATACAAAAACACAAATAAACGGGCAATTTACAAAGGCACCCAAAGAGAAAATGCAAAATGAGAAAAATAAAAGGTAAGTAGGAACATCAATGACTACCTGCGGTAAACTCAATTCCTGCTCATTTTGCAGGCGATCAATTCTTGAGGGTGATTTCCAAGCAAGCAACAAAGTGTCAAAGACAACCCGGTTGTTACAGAGCCATTCAGGCATCAATTTTACAAGGGTTGAAATAAGTTCCAGTCCATTAAAGTAACTGTCAGAACCAGTAGCCATGTTTGATGATGATTGGCCTGTAAAACCTTCAGTTATGGCACCAGTAAGTCCCTCATCCTTCACTGAGGAAGATTGATTACCAGCAGCTTCAGTTTGTGAATAGAACTGTGAAAAGGCGCTAGCAAGTATTTTTTGAGGCGATTTTGCAAGCTGGTCCCTTAACTCCCCAGTATCAGAGCAGATTATGTACATGAACCTGAAATTTTAAAAGGGAAGTATAATCAGTCTCTGGACATGTGTAGATCTGGGTGTTCACATGTTCATTAAAGTATAACTTTACAGAACAAGAAGAGCAAGCTAGTGTGCCACTTATACTACAGTATGCATCAAAAATAATAACAGCAGGGCTCAATAGCTAGTCTCATAAATCCCAAGGTATATGTTAAAAACATAACCAGAATAGCAGTAATGATCTAATACAGACTAAAAGGGAAGTACACTAATGTAAATGAACAGCATGTGAGGCTAACTGAACCTTTTTGTAAGTCTTGCACAAAAGTTTCACAAAGTTGCAGCTAAACAAATAAGACTAATTTTGGTGAAGTGCGTACCTTCTGAAATACTTTGGATGGCTTAATCGAGCAAGAAAATAGTCAACGGCCTCCACGGCATAGCGGTTCAAAAATTTTGCAAGTGGAGCACGATAAGGACTGTTGATTTCACTATAAAATTGATCTTCAGGAAGTGCCCTCTCTAAATCAATTACCAACGTAACAAGGTCATCCAAAAATTTGCTCGCCGCCGGGGGAAGAAGGTGAAAAAGCTCAATCATAGCTGCCCAAAAAAAATAGACATTAGTTATATAAACTCCTGACTCCAACCAAAGGCAACATACAAAGACGACAGCAATTGGTCATTTTGATGTCTGTAAACAAGAGAAAAATTGGACATTTTGAACCACTTTACAACAAGGCAAGACTTGATCCATTTCATATTATCTAGCTCCTATAAATATAAGTTGGAGGTGATGGTACATCCACCTAGATCTTTTTGCGAATGGATATGTGCATGCATATGTAAATCCACCTAGATCTTCTATGAAGCATTTCTACAGTAAAATTGGAAGATACCGAGAGCACAAGCATCATTTGGTACACATTTGCGAAAAAAAGGTTTAAGTTCTGTGTATCAAATTAGTACAATAATATATGAAAAGAATGAAGATCTGGTTTCTAAATCTCGTGTGATGTGTCCTCTTTCAAACAAAATATTGATAGTTAGAGAGGAAAATGCAATAAAATTATGACAGACCTGCAGCTATTTTTGGCTCATCTCCAGCTTTCCAAGATTTTTGACTCTGGGCAAGCTTTTCTGGCTCCAGCCATTTTTTCAAGTGATCCAATAACTTAGCACCTAAAGTGACATTAAACCAGTTTGATAGTAATTCAAGCAGACGAGCCAATCCCTGGAGCAACGGCATGGTAAGACTCCTTGTATGTGCTAAGTTAACTAAGATGGGCCTTAAACTGCTTTGCAGAAGATCTTTTGGCATCCTTTGCTGCTGAACGACCTGTAAAATGCAAATCATCAATGAGAACATGCTAGATGCTGCAAGCGCAATCTAGAATTTGAATTTTTAAAGCAAAACAAAATAAATTAGAAAAGGAAGAAAATAAATATTCTCTGAAATTCCATGTCAATATAAGAAAGCAATTGCAGTAAACACCACCTGACGAAGTCCCTCCTTGGCAACATTGACAATCTCTGTAGTCCTGCATGTCAGAGATTTGAAGAACATTGAGATAATCTTTGCACGTAAGTCGCTATGATTTGGAGCTTTCAGATCTCCCCATGCCATTGCAGTACAGAGTAGTTCAATGCATGCCGTCCTCAATTTGTTCCATGTCATAATTATTTTTGCATTCATCATCTTGGTGACCCAAACAGTCTCATCAGCCTCAGCAATTTGCAGTGCTTCTTGCAAAAAGTTCACGAGCTCAGGAGACAACTTCAGAAGAGGTGGTCTTAGTGCTAAACAGAAATTCAATGCTGTAACAGTACCCACCTGAGATAGAAAAAAAAATAAGTAAAGGATCCATCACTTATATCATGAACATAGAAATCCTCAGAAGTTAAAACATAAAATATATATCTTACCTGCTGCTCAATGTTCTTGGAACGCAAAGATCGTGAAATCAGAGGCTGGAGCAACGGGAGGTACAGAGGCTCCAGCAATTCAGAGACCTCACTGCCAGTTCTACTTGCAAGCAGTGATAAGCATGCCTGCACATTCTTCCTCACAACAATTGAGGTATTTGGGTTAAACAGTTCCACTGCAAGAAACTCCACAACTCCCTGAAAACTTTGTCGGCGATGTTCACTGTTTGCTTCATCTGCATTGTTTACTACCCGTAGAACTTGTGTTAGGACATGGTTTGTCTCCTCCTGCTCTTTGTTTGCATGCATCGGGAGCCTCTTAAGAACATGGATAAGCCCGCGTACAACTCTAACCTGGAAAATGCATAGGGTATCCACAGACACTTTACCAACCAGCGCTCCAAGGCCCATTACACCACCCATCTGAGCTTGCCATGTGCTACCATAACAACAATGCAACAGGCGTGGCAATAATTCCTCAAATACTGCAACCCGCACACTTGGAGGAGGAGAATAAACTGGATTCAAAGATGGACTAGAAACTAACATGGGGGTACTAGGACCACCTCTTAGCATACCAGTATGCTTCATGCGAGCAAGAAAGAGTAGTGTCTCAGCAAAAGTATTTAAAGCAGACAGAGCAGCTTTTGCATGTTGACGATTTTCACTTGAGAGTACTTCAACCAATGAATCCATAAATATTAAAGGATCCAACTCACGGAGATTAGATGAAGAGTTGTTCCTTGATCTAGATCCAATGCTAGATGAAAGGGACGAACCAACAGGTTGTACATATCCAGACTGACTGGAGGATGAAGAATCGATATGGAAAAGCATAGCAAAATGTCGACATAAATCAACAACGAAGTCATCCTTCTCGTCTGTAAGGCTGGTGTCAGAATTAGCTGCAATGATAGCTACAAGCAGAACCTTGAAAACAGATTTCTCTGCCAGTAGTTGTGTCTTTGTCTTCACACCTAAATCTCCCTAAAGATCAAGTAGAAAATAAAGGGAAAAATCAACAAAACACACTCAAGTTAGATTAGGCAAAAGATACTCCCTCCATTCCAAATTGATCTACATATAGTTTTTTTGAGGGTATTCCTAAATGATCTACATATTTGTGTTCATTTATTAGGTCTATTCGTTATTTGTGCATTGGAGTAAATGGACATTGATGCATGCATCCATGCACACATGTATTTATAACCCACATGTAATATCTTGATTTGCTATTGGCTAGGAAATAGTGGGGATGGTGCATGCATTGAGTTTGTTGCTAGAGTAAATATAGTATGAGAGAGTTATTAGCTTTTCTTGGTCTTGATGTACCTATGAAATATGTAGATCAATTTGGAATGGAGGGAGTACAACACAAATACCAGAAAGAACTGCTGCTCCAGTCAAATATTAATATACATAAATACAAGTCATCATTTTGGTATGAATAAAAATCCAAATTTTTAAATAATAAAAAGGAGGTAAGAGGCAAAAGTTTCAAACAATAATGGCATCTAAATGCAGCTGGACATAATTATTCCAAAAAAGGCAACCTACAGATTTTAGAGAGTATACGATCACACCGTTTATTGAACAATAATGCGGAAGTTTAGCATTGCTATTTGTGGTAATACCTGATTTACCACTTTTATGCATTACCAATTAGACATCAAGAGATTGAATGGACCACAAGAAGGCTGTCACTACTTAATAAAAATAAAGGTCCATTTGGAACAAGAAACCAACTATAGTCCAAAGAATGGACATGACTATGATTGTAGGTTAGTTTGGGGAAAAGGGTTAAATGAATACAGAAAAATCATAATGTGACATGTTGTCATTAGTTTACAAGATAACATGGCATGCTGAATAATAAGCATTAATTAATTTCTGAAATCATGCAATGCAGTACTCCCTCCGTCCCAAAATAAGTCCAATTTTCACCGATTCCACACATACCAATACACAACCAAAACGACTAGAATGCCCCTACTTTATCAAATACCAATGAAACTATTCTTCACTTTATCTACTCCCAATACAATTATTCCCTACTTTCACGAACTCCGATGCAATGATTACTCTAATAATGAACTTATTTATTTTGGGACAAATGGAAGGAGCTAAAAATGAACTTATTACGGGACAGAGGGAGTAAAATGTATCAATTATGGGAGCTACTGGACAATCCCATAACTGCAATTGAATGCTAATCAATAGTCAATACAAGCCTACGTTGATTTTAACAATTTCGATCACGACAAATAACTTTGGGACAATGTAAGATCGATGATGTCAAATGTCAGAAGATGATCAAGCAGCGTGAGCAAAATACATAAGTAATATTAACAATATCAATACTCAACATATATTCAAACCAACCTTCATATCAGAAGCATCATTGCGACGCCTTGATGGATCCAAAGAAGATATTAGCAGTGTCCCAAGAACTCCAGGGCTCACACCCTCACCGGGTACATTTTCCCGTAAGTTTAACAAAGAATCCAAGCACACTCGAATAAACTGAAGAGCCTGTTTCCTGTAGAAAGCTTCCATACTATTACCTTGCATAACTGCACTGACTGCAAAGTGTATGCATCTGTCCAGTGGAACTAGAAACGGTGTTGCAGGCTCAAAAGTCAGAACTAAACGAAGTCCATGTTCCGGGTTTTCCTTGCATTCAAGTGCGAGGGGCTCCTTCAAAAATCGCCTATTTCGACCCCCTAGCTTACCTAACAGTTCCAAGGACTTTGTACCCCATGTGTAGGGAGGAGGCCTCAAGTGAGACCATAAAGCAAGAATGACATCAGACATTAAATTGGCCATGCTAGGTTCCAAAAAATCAGGGTTGAGACTATCAATCCAAAATTCTAGTGTACGAAGAGCTAAGCTCACAAGGTCATCACTCCCTTTCAGAGCAAGAACGAGAGGTTTCATCAAACGAGGAATGTGAGGCAGCAAAGAACTCAAGCGAGCAGGTAATATCAGGCAAAGCTCCAAAATCAAGTCTCGCATATCTTCACTAGTTGGTCCATCAAGCATGGAGAGCAACATATTGAGGCAAGGCTGTAAAGACGGTATAAGATCACGCATCAATGAATCAAATTTAGCAATGTTCAATGCACGGAACATGCTACGGAGAAGGTGCATGTAACCAAGAGGTTTCTCAACTTCAGTGGCACTCTTCATGCAAACTTCCATTATTACTGGGACATGTGGCTGAAGAGTGCGCTCACAACTTTCTGGGGCCTTTGCTGCAGCGACAAACAAAAAGCGAAAGAGTTGCAAGACAAGCTTTGCTGCAGGCGAATCTGGCTGCTTCAGCGCGTCAAGTTTTGAGCTAACGAGGAAATTAATCAATACATCTGTGAATGGCCGAAGAACCTTGGGAGCTTGCAAAAGGCTAGAAAATATGTGTAACAGCTGGTTGTTTGTTATCATGCAATCAAAGAGGTCTGGCATGCAAAAGGAAAACATGTCCATTATATCCCGAGCTTCCATTATAGCTAGCATTTGGGAAAAACATTGCAGAATGTCTCTCTCCTCATCCTTTTCCTTAAAAAGAGCCAAACAGTGAACCCCAGATTTTAGAACACCCGAAGTCTTCCGCACCTATAACATATCACATAATTTTATTAGCAACAGTTCAGTTTAACCAAAAGAATAAAGGTGCATGGTGATGGTTTAATGGACCTCATCCTCCCGCAGTCCCCTGAATGGTTGTACTGATAAATTTGATGATTGTTGACTTTGTTGCTGCAGAATACATGATTGGATTATAAGAGCTCAAGGATGATAACATACTGAATAAGATAGTACCCACAAACTTGGGATGTCAATAATACCTGTGGGCGTGGCCAATGAGCATGGGTTATGCTCCAGATTATTGTCTTCATTCCTGGTATGTGTTTAACATGAAAACATTGGAGTTATAAATGCTTAAACACTTTGTATATGTAAATACTTTATTAAAAATAAATCATACCTAGTACGAGTGTCCTTATCAGACTTTTGTAATCATTAATCTCCTTTGTGTACTCCAAGGGTGGTTGCAAATTCAGCACAGTCTGTAAAATTGTTGGAGAGATTTAAATAACCCATAAGTACAAATAAACAGTAGCTTGTCTCTGGTTTCACCACAGGTCCCTCATTTTGCTGCATGGCCCTATCTTATTTTATAGGCCGGATGCAACTAGCCAACAATAATAACTACCAGCATATGATGAAAAAATTGCTATATTTGTGGTTTCGTGTAGAGCAGACAGGGGCATAAATCTTTTATACTCGGCATTTGCCATGAAAGGCTTGAGTATAATCAAGTTATTCACTTACTCATAGTAGTAACACATTAAATGTCTGGAGTGAATGCACAAGTTAATAGACTAACACATGCCCTATTATTTTGTTTTGAGAAACTCAGCTAGACAACTCACTGTTTTAAGTAAATTCAATTACATAAATGCAAAGCATCTGTGAATTGCCTCCATAAAGAGGGCCTATGACACACCTGTAATGGGACTTCAAGTTTCATTCTCAAATTTTGGTGTTCCTTCCCTTCCTCGCCTTCTTCAAGCAACTGGAGAAAAAGAGAGCAAGTTGACCACACAGTGTAACAAACCAAAAAGGAGATAGCATTGATCTTTCTGTTGAGAAAAGTCTAAAATACACAATAGTTGGGAGCTCCAGAGAATATTTAATGCTATACAATTAAAGTCGATCATTAGACACATATCCTTAAGCACCAATCATCAAAATCTGGCATTAAATTTTCGTTGGATATAAACTGAGGCCAACCACAGTTTGCCAGAATAAAAAAGGCACGATAGCCAGCTTTTACCGTTGTCAATTATGCAGAACTGTCCCACTGTTTTAGAAATAGTACCATATTATAAAATAGACTAACAGGCTCTGTTTTATTTCTTATGCATGTACATTGCAGTACACCAGTGCCCAATGCATCTGTCCTCCCATGCGTACAACATGTGCCAGTGAACTGTGCAAGGTTATATTATGCCATAGCATACACTATAAAATATCATTAAAAGCATGCCATATACCTGAGGAATTGTGCGCTTCAATGTCCTGAACTTCCCAACAAATGCATCCAGTATACGCCCCTAGTCATTTCTAAAAATCAGTACCAACAAAAGAAACTAACTAGCGTATCGGAACAGGAAAGCAGTTCTTTTTACCAACAAAATCCGTGCTTCATCCATGCTTGGCTGATCAATACCTTTTTCATATATAGGCTCAACCTTGAAGAGTTCACCAAAGAGTAGCAGTTCAGTTCAGTATAAAAAAATTAATTCACCATTAGTACTATAATTAAGTATGAAGTTCTTTGTGCACACACAAAATCGTAAAAGTAAAAGCTGAACAAAACACAATATGTAGATCCTATTATTACTACTAAAAACAAATAGAACAATAGGGCATAAGCATACCAGATTCAACATCAAACGAGCCGATGTCGTATGAATGACAAGGGTTAGCGAAGAATCATGCATATTCCGAGAGAACAAATAAATGATCCGCGATAGCTGCACAAAAATGAGGTCACTACGTTAATGACATCTGAACATAGAAGATCAACCTCCAAGAGTGGAGTTTGTACTGGTGATAGTGATATCACCCCCAATGAAGTGCCTAGTTTTCATAATCTTGCAGAATGCTGGATCAAGAAAAAATACAGTATATTTCTGCGTCTGAATCAGCAAAAGAGAGATGTGGCACCTACTCAAACTAATGAACTAATTGTTTGAGCAATGCATTGTTCATATTGAATTACAGATGGTGTTTGCCTGTTTGGCAGTTCCCCGTGCAAAAAGAATATAATAAATTGCCTTCCTAAACTTCAACAATGCAAGTGTTGACATTCTTACATAGCAACACCAGACTAACAAAAAATGAGCATCTATAAAAAAAATACATGGTTCACAAATTACACAAACTAAGGAATTCTGCAAGAATCAAGATTAACCTGCGGAAGAGAAAGGTCTCCACGAACATAATGCACCAGCTCGGCAAGAAGGGTATAGGCAAGAGGTCTCAATGTCTCGATGCAAACTCGGCCTGTGCCTATCAAAACCCTGATAAACAAGCAAAATGTTTGGAACAAAGAGTAAGAGAATGTGTATGTACTCAACATCTCCACAGAGACAAAAGGGACGAAAATACTATGCACCCAGTTGGTTTGAGTAGTGCACAGTTATCATAATCAAACAAGAAAAGGAGCAGCTTGACAGACACTTTTCTCTGCGTACTTTCTAGCACAATAAACAGCCAGTGTCTTATTAATAGTTATAGTTTCTCTATTTACAACTTTACAACATTTTTTAAGAACTAGGAGCTGTTTGATCTCGAATTAAGGATAAGTGCTGTCTCTTTTTTTTCTGATGACCCCAAGTGGGAAATTAACTGCTTTGAATTGCCCTTGTCTCTTAGCAATAAATAGCTTGTGACCATGGGTTAGGCGCATTTTGTTTTAAAAACAAGTTAACTTATCAAAAGTGCTTAAATAGAATACCAATGAGTTCAGACATCAGGACTAGCAAGAACTCTCTGCATACTAAACCATGTTACACCCTTATTTACAGAACATGGAACAAGAACTTGCCAGCAAGCATTCGACATATTAGTAATCAAGAACAACTATGCATCAGATCCCAGTAAGGCAACATTCAAATAAAACATGAATAAATTGGGTAATCATATAAATGAAAAGTGTACCTCTCATCAAGAAGTGTGTCAATCAAGGGAAATAAACCACGCCTGTACTCAGTGTTGAGAACTTGCTTCAAGCCAACTAGCAGCTCCTGCAATTCCATACACAAAAGTTTATACAAATGCATTTCAACACAATGTATAGTTCATTAACTTTGAGAAAGATTTAGATAATAACTTGCCTTCCTTATGGAAACAGAGTCCGGGGGGCATGTAACAAGCAAGTTCACAATGCTCTTGCATATGCTTTCCTCATATGACTTTATATGATCCGCGTTGCTCTTCAGAAGGTACGTCAGGAATGACAATGTCTGCAACACAAAAATGGTTAACCAATCATGACCTCCACAGACAAGGAAACAAAATTGACAGAACCTGCAGTACCTTGACTTGTGCACCCTTTAACTCAACAAAGGGCGTCTTCAGGTGTGGTGGCACTTTGTCTGGCCCCTTAATAGAGATTGCAGACACCATGAGTGGTAGCAAGTATGGGATATTTGTCTGCACAAGCTTAGCATACAACTGGAACAAAAACATCACTACTAGAGGGCTCTCTGTGACTATCTTGAATGACCGTGCACTTGGATTGAGTTGTCCACCGCCTGGCACTGCCACCGTGCCTGGGGCATCAGCAGTGGGGTCCAAATGCTGGTTGGGCACGGCAGCAGCAATATTGGCACTGACATTGGGATTATCGAAGAAATGGGTGACAGTATTGGGAAAGTTGCGGTATATGGTAACAACAAAATCAAGGAACGGCTGCACCTCTGCCTCGACAGTAGGGCGAAAGTTACGGAGGAGATCAAATACAATCCTGATGGCAAGAAGTGCATTGTCCTCATTGTCCTGTGTCAATACACGAAGAGAGAGCTTGAGCAGGTCTTGCACAAAGGGTCGGAGCACCTCACTGTGGGGTAGCCGATTGAGGATCTCAATCACCACATTCCGCAGCTTGTGCTCCGCATTCTCAGTGCCCTGTGGTGCGGTGAAGTTGCTGAGGATGGCCGAGAATGCTCTGAAGTAGCATCTAAGAAAGTTAAGATAGTCTGGAGTATGAGTCATCTCCAGGCTGTCCCGAACTTCCATGGCAAGCTGCAGTCGGACTTGCACAGCTGCAGAGTAATAGGGCAAAGGATCAGATTATTGTGTCAAAACAAAATGGCACTCCACCACAAAGACTATGTCTACAAGACAGACTGTAACAGGTTTACACAGTTCAAAAGGTCAAAATGAAACCGATGAAAAACCATGTGGTGGTGTTGTGAGATAGATTGGTACAATCCAACCATTGAACAGAAAAATAGAAGCTTGATATGGTGTTCAGTTCAGACAAAAAGGTAAATTTGAAGGCACCGAGCCTGTTCTCAAAAGAGGCAGAAAATTATATTTTAAAAAAATGAAAGGATAAAAATAGAAATTCGGGATGGAAAGGTGAACAGCTGCAGAAAGTTGAATGAGGAATTGGACGCAAAAACCAAAATGGTTATGAATAGGAGATGCGCATATAAAATAGTGAAGCATCAAACACTTGAGTAAGACTTAACCATGAAATTCGTACAAAAATACAAACAAAATTATATTACATAGTGTGTGTGAGGATGGAAGGCTGAAACGCTCGTTGCGGAGAACTGCAATGTCAAAGACAAATCCAAAAATTCCAGCTAGAGAAACACAGAATTCTCAAATCCGACCCAGACCACAAATCCAAAAAAAATTCCACCAGGTTAGAATTCTCAAATCCAACCGAAACCCAGAATTCTCAAATCCAACCCAAACCCCGGGCAAAATCGGGGCCGTGCGACAAACTCAACCGAAAATTCAGAAAGTAACCGAACCAACCAACCAAATAAATGGACGAGAGCAAATGGGGTCCGTACGAAGGTCCGGCTCGAGGAGCTTCTGCGAGTGCTGCTCCATGTTGGAGCTGTTGATGGGCGCCATGGCAGCCCCCCACCCCACCACCGCCCAAACCCTACCGCCGCGCCCGCGCCAGGGCTTTTAGGGTTTTTGGAGATCGCGCGGCGGCGACCACCACCACCACCACGCCCCCCGCGCCGCGGGGCACGCGAAGCGGGCGACGAAGGGAAGGGCGCGCGCGCGCTCCGGTTCTCCTCCGCCGCGAGACGCGAAATCGCGCGGCCTCGCGCTCGCGCTCGCGACCGAAGCCGAGGGTTTGGAGAGGGGGAAGAAGGAGGGGGGAGAGAGAGAGAGGAGAGAGAGGGCGAATGGTAGGGGGGGACTCGGGATCGCGGTATTATGAGGGGGGGCGCGTTTCGGTCAGGTCGGTTTGGGTTTGGGGTTGCGTTGCATCGGGTTCGCCCGGGTCAACCGCGGTGGATCGGGTGGAGGGAGTTGGGCCGTGTACCTACACGCGGCGGCGGCCCAATTTTGTACTGGAGATGGGCCACCGGCATTTGGTGAGTCCAGCTACGTCTCTAGATCGGCCTGTGGGTGTACTGGGACCGAAACTATCTTTGTTGGGTTAGATGGGCTTCAATAGTCACTAGGAATAAGTCTATTTTTTGTCTATCCTATCTTGCTGAGTACTGGGACCGAAACTATCTTTCTTGGGTTAGATGGGCTTCAATAGTCACTAGGAGTAAGTCTACTTTGCGTTCATCATCTCTTGCTCCTGATTGAATTGTCTCCCTCTATCGTAAAACTAGATATAACGCTTTCCACGTCTTGGGAAACCGGTGCAAATCGATTTCTATGGTGGTTTTTGGAAACGGTTTCTACCGACATCACAAATTGACCACAATTGACTCATTGAGTGAGTTAGCAGGGGTTAGTTTTTCCTTCCTTCCAATTTTACGTCGGCCTATAAGTACGGGACCGAAACAAATATTGTCAATGGGCTTCAATAGCCGCTATGAAGGCACATTGAGGTGAACACTAAAGCCCGTTCCTCCGTCAGGGCAATTTACCACTCCTTCCGTTTAATACTTTAAGACGTAACTTTTTCCTTGCAAGTCTAGCTAGTTTTAGAGAAATATAGCAACTTTTATAACATCAAAATAGTTTTTCGCTACATCAAAAATTAAATATATTTTATACTTTATTTGTCTGGTGTTGAAAATATCACTACTATGTTTTCTATAATTCGGTCATACTTAACATTGATTAAGAACAAAGTTAAAGTCTTATAATATATAACGGATGGAGTAATTATCATCGCAAAAAATCACGTCAATTAGACCTAGACTTTAACATAGTACCATTTTTTACAGGCAACGGTGTTTTGTATTTTTTTTTATTGCGATACTTTTAAATTTTCTCTACTCCTAATAATTATATGTCTGGTTACTCACCCACCTTACAATGCTCGTATTATTTGCTTCTTAGCAGTGTAAACTAATGTTGCTTCTTATGAGTTTCACCGTCTTTACCACTACACCAGTCCTTCGTCCTAATAGTCATCTCCACCACGTTGGTATTGTTTACACCAATATTATCCCCTACAACCATTACCCCACACCCCTAGAAGCAATCTCAACCTTACCGACCCCATTTCGCCTACCTTTCCCTAGGAGATCCATTACTGGCTTCTTACATATTCATCACGCTGTCATTAATCGCTTGCCTAAACTAGCGGAATAATCGGTTCCCAATCTCCTATTGATATCTTTGACCTTATAAGTTATTTGCCATCACCATTAATAACTTGGAGGTAAAGGATACCTTACAATAGTTAGTTGTTTTCAAATTGAGATTTGCTTAGACATTCCCTAAACATATAGGCTGCGTTCGATACTCCAACAAGAATTGGATGAAATTTTGAATACTCGTAACATGTTTTTCAAACTGCTAAACGGTGTATTTTCGTGTGAAAACTTTACATATGAAAGTTGCTCTAAAATATCGGATTAATCAAATTTTCAAGTTTGTAATAATTAAAACTCAATTAATCACATGTTATTACCACCTCATTTTACGTGAAGCACTTAATCTTTATCTTTATCTTAATCTTCATCTTCATCTTCAGGAGATTCAAACAGCCATTCCCGTCGCATATGAGATTAAGATCATAGGTTTGCCTCAAGTTACAACCGATAAATCTAACGCCTCTTTGGGGGAAAAAACTGCATATGGTACATGAAGAGATATATGTTCTTTTATTTATTTTGCTCACTCCTTCGCTTTCCGAAATGCCTTCGTCAGTAAAAAGGGGAAACAATGCCTTGAGCGCCCGGCGTGCAACGGTGTTTGTGAACTTCACTCTACGGCTTCAAATCCGGCGTTTTCCACACAACACCCTGTGTGATCTGACGGCATCCAACGTTTTCCATTCGGCTGGATGAAAACGAACTGGTCAGTTCATCCTGACAGATACATTTGCACCAATCGATGCCTGGGTCACTCAAGTCTCTCTTCAGATTAAGTACCTTCGAAGATTGCCAACTCGGTTGCTTCTCATATATCCTTTCGATGTTGTTCACACGTATTCCTTGCCCATGTCACCAAAATCTCAAAACAATTCGAATTAGTGTACATAATAACTGCAGTTTATCTAACAAAAAATGCAACTAGATTTCATAACTGTACATGTACTTCGCTATCAACAAACAGTGCACGCTTCGGTTCTTGTCTGTTGGAATAGAGAAATCAGAACTGCAGAAAGCCAATCGGTTTGCACTAACCTGGGCTACATGATTTTCCAAGTCAGCACTTAGTATATACTGTTAATATAACCGGGTCAAGATGGCACGAGGCGGCTGCATTGATCAGCAATACAGTGACCGTTGAGATGATTGTTTTTTTTAATAAAAAAAACAGATATAGTTATTAAGATGATAATTTCATCCTTACAAGAAACTGTCTAACCAATCGGGATTTCGTGAGCTGAGAAGTTGCTGCACTGATTTAAACAAATTGAGTCTACATCTTCGAGTCATGAACAAGCAAACAGCATAGACCAAAAAACTCACAGGAAACTATAACCCATATGGATCACTATCAAAATCTCCCTGCTAATAAATTTCATGCTTATCATAGGGATAATGTGCCTTCGTGTTAAGTAGCCAGGCACGTACATGTGTGTCGATCTCCTTAATTAATTGCCACATTTCAATCGAAACAAGCTACTATTCTCTTCAAGCAACTAACCTCCAAATTCATCATGGATTTCTTTACACCCAAGTGGCCTATAAAATCACGAGAATTCGATCAGCTTAGAACCATTTAAAAGGAGGAGGTAGCCAATGGAAGAAGGCATCAAGGAGGAGACGAAGGCAGCAGCAGCAGCGAGCTCAGGTCAGACGACGGCGGCGGCGGCGACGAGCAAGAGCAACAGCACCACCGTGGGCGACATGGCGGACACGACGTTCAAGAGCATCGGCGACGTGCTGAAGCTGCTGCCGACGGCGACGGTGATCGTGTACGAGGTGCTGACCCCGATCGTCACCAACACCGGCGACTGCCACGTGGCGAACAAGGTCGTCACGCCGGTGATCCTGGTGCTCTGCGCCTTCTTCTGCGCGTTCTCGCAGTTCACGGACAGCTACGTCGGCGCCGACGGCAAGGTGAGGTACGGGCTGGTGACGGCGAGGGGGCTGCTGCCGTTCAGCGGCGGCGGCGGCGCCGACGGCGGGGACGCCGCCGGCAGGGACTTCTCCAAGTACAGGCTGCGGTTCGGCGACTTCGTCCACGCCTTCTTCTCCGTGGCGGTGTTCGCCGCGGTGGCGCTGCTCGCCGACGCCAACACGGTGTCGTGCTTCTACCCGTCGCTCAAGGACCAGCAGAAGAAGGTGGTCATGGCGCTCCCCGTCGTCGTCGGCGCGCTCGCCAGCGTCGTCTTCGTCGTGTTCCCGTCCACCCGCCACGGGATCGGCTACCCGCCGGCGAAGCCCGCCACGGCGTCGCTGGCGTCGCTGTAGGCGGCGAGCCCGATTAGTCGATTTGCATTGCCATGCAGGCATGTGCTTCCTTTTTATGGGTTGTGTTTTTTTAAATATTTGCACGTGTGCATATGTGTTCTGTCTGATGCTTTTGTTCGCATTTGTTCATCTGTCTGTTTGTGACCTAATAAGGCCAAGAGCTAGTTTGATCTCGTTGATTTGCCTCATCTTTGTGCAGTTTATGACTTGTTATATTCCATCGCAATGGATGAATCCGTGGGGAACTATATGATAAACTTGGCAAACATTTATGAGTTTTTCATCTGAATTGAATGTCCGCACGATTATATTAGCGAAAATGTTCAGTAAGAACTCTATGAATGCTGTAGTTAGCATTCGTGCTTAGAGCATGAAAAATGGTAGTTCGATCTTGTTGATTTGCCTCATATTGCGCAGTTCATGACTTATAGGGATGGTTTGGTTTGGGGGTCTAAATTAGCCTTACCAATATTTGACAATTTTAATAGCGTTTAGTGTCTATTTGGTTTGGAGTCAAATTTTGGCATGCCTAAGAAAATAAGTCATTTAAATAGTTAATTTAGGCTATTTTGACTTCAATCCAAACACAACTTTGCCTTACCAAAATTATGCATGCCAAAATTTGCTAAAATTTAGCATTGACAAAAATTGGTAAGGCTAATTTAGGCCACAAAACAAACCAGCCTATATTGATGTGGAAATCTTTAATTGAAATGGATGAATCTGTGGGAAAGCAGATGATAAATTTGGCAAACATATATAAATTCATCTGAATATTGCAAGGTAGTTAGCATGCATGCTTACTAGAGCATGACAAAATGGTAGCACCAAGAATAAAATTATTTGCAACGAGGTCCGTCCTCGCCGCCGGCGGCCGGTGAGCTCGAACACGCGGTGGCCCCGGAGCTCCGGCAGTTTTGTCTGCTCCGACGAGACGATCTGGCCGGTGGAGACGTTCGGGACGCCGTGGCGCCTGTGGCCGACCAACGCCGGGGTTGGAAACCGGACGTAGCCGGTGAGGCGGTGACGTCACCCGTTGAGGCCCAACTAATAATATGGGCCGGAAGTTCGCCACAGCACCGTCCCGGCCCAACTAGCATTACGGGCCTCATATGGGCCAATACCAAACTACGGCAGGCCGCACCGTCACGGCCCAACTAATAATACGGGCTGGAAGTTCCCCACAACGGCCCAACTAGTATTATGGGCCAAGCTCCGCTCCGGCCCAATAGCTAGCACTCCAGGTCGGAGGGAGCAGCGCGTCCGTGTGTTGGCCTCACGCTCGCTGCCTCTCCTCTTGGCCCGGAGCTCACCCACGCACGCAGCCGTCTCGTCTCCCTTCTTCTCTCTCCTCTCCTCTCTTCTCCGGCACACCACACCCCAATCCTCCCCCGATCTCCCCAATCCGAGAGCTCCGGAGGAGCAGCGCGGAGGCGGAGATGGCGCTGCGGCGAGCGCTGCTCAGATCTGCCGAGATCTCCCCCGATCGCAAGGTCCGAATCCCCGCCCTTCTCCACTCTCCTCCTTCCCCCCCATCTCTCTCCGGTCTGGATCCCCCAACCACGAGGGGCGCGAACGCTGTTACCGCCTTTGCGAGAATCTGAGAGGAGTGCGCGTAGCGGGTTTGAGCTGTGGGAGGGTGGAGGAGGGTTTGCACCAGTCGATGTGTGTTGGTGGTGCGCGCATGGCGACGAATCTCTTCTTCTTCCGGGAGTAGAGGATAGGTCGAGGGGAGAGGAGTAACCGATGTAGAGCATGGAATGCCGATGGACAGTTAGGAGGGGCTCCATGTCCGTCTCTTTTGCATTTCGTATTAGTTCTGTAGGGATTTCTGGCTGTAAAGTGTTTACGACTTGATGCTTAGGATCGAGTTTCAGTTTGTTGCGGATGTGGTTTCTTGTTATGTCGTGGATACTCGGAGCATGCCGTAAATTGCTTGGATAGGCCATTCAAAATCTCATTTGTGAAAACCGAAAATGACCATGCAGTTGCAGACTAGTTACTACCTCTTTGTATTCGGTATTGCTGATGAAAACATGTGCTACACTCCTTTGCTTGATTGAAATAGAGAACAATAATTCAAAAGCTCGTTTTTGAACTGAAGATGACCATTCAGTTACAGGCTTGTTGCTACCTCTTTGTATTCAATATTGCTGATGAAAACATGTGCTGCACTCCTTTACTTGATTGAAACGCGAAACGATCTTTACTCTTTCTACTATATTAGTGTTTCCCTGATGCCCCGAGCGGAATACCAGTATTGTGGTTATCTTATTTCAATAGATTAAACAAACATGGTGCATTTATGAATATGCTACATTCTGTAGGGATATAAATGTGTTTGATATTGGTATTTCGTGGCTTCTCCTTTGGGTACAACTAAGAACACAACAAATGATACTTCACCTCAAAGTGATACTATCTTTTATGCCTTTCGTAGGCTTACTTAGTTTTTACTTTGCATATAAAACCACTACTACAAATAGGAAAATCGTATTGCAGATACTGAAAACCTGTCCTTTATCAGGACAGGTATGCTCTATGCTGCAATGAGATTATCAAAAACACCAACTTGCTGCCAACTGAGCATTTGATCTTTTCTCTTGTTACTTAGATACTTCTAAAATAATGCTCCAACATTGTAGGCACCTGCTGGGCTTATATATAATTCATGTTTCACTTATGGGCTGATATATTTGAACTTGATGTATTTATTTTGGTTTCTAAATCTGCAAAATTGTTCCCATTCTATTCGTTGATTTACCATTTACCTGCAGCAGCAAGTTTGAGTTGAAAGTAGAGATCCTTGTCACCATGTTCTAATTACTCTATTCTAGTTCACTTAACTAGTTAAAAACTGAAGGCAAGAGCATCAGAATTCTGTATTTCTGATCATTTCTTGATGTTCATGTTGTTCTTAATTTTGCTTCTTTCAACACTTGCTTGGATACTTAGTCAGCTTTCAAATGAAGATTACTTTAGTCTTTTGCTTTTGACAAGTATTGGCGTATTGTAGTAAAGTAACTACAAACTTTTTTTTGTCCTGAATCACATCTCATGGATCAAGCTGTGATAACAAATTGGTTTTTTTTTTCTTGTCAGGCTGCACTTGAGTACCTCCATTATCTATCGAGAGCACAGCCTACTCGTTCTCTAACAGGTGCTGGCCTTTATTCTGCTGGCAAATCATTCAGCACTCAGGCTGCTACTACATCAAGCACACCACAACCTCCACCACCACCTCCACCTCCGGAGAAGACTCACTTTGGTGACCTCAAAGATGAGGACCGCATTTTTACCAACCTCTATGGTCAGCATGACCCTTTCCTGAAAGGTGCAATGAAGAGGGGTGACTGGCATAGAACCAAGGATTTGGTGCTTAAAGGGGCAGACTGGATAGTGAATGAAATGAAGAAATCGGGACTTCGAGGGCGTGGAGGTGCAGGATTCCCTTCTGGGCTTAAATGGTCCTTCATGCCAAAGGTATCTGATGGACGCCCTTCTTATCTTGTTGTTAATGCTGATGAGAGTGAGCCAGGAACTTGCAAGGACAGAGAAATCATGCGTCATGACCCCCACAAGCTTCTGGAAGGCTGTTTGATTGCTGGAGTTGGGATGAGGGCATCGGCTGCTTACATCTACATTAGAGGTGAATATGTGAATGAGCGTCTCAACCTTTTGAAAGCTCGGGAGGAAGCATACGCAGCAGGTCTTCTTGGTAAGAATGCTTGTGGATCTGGTTATGACTTTGATGTGCATATACATTTTGGTGCTGGTGCCTACATTTGTGGTGAAGAGACTGCCCTACTGGAAAGTCTCGAAGGCAAGCAAGGTAAACCAAGGTTGAAGCCTCCTTTCCCTGCCAATGCTGGCCTATATGGCTGCCCCACAACTGTCACAAATGTTGAAACAGTGGCTGTGTCTCCAACAATTCTCAGGCGTGGTCCAGAATGGTTTGCAAGCTTTGGACGCAAGAATAACTCGGGAACTAAACTATTCTGTGTCTCAGGTCATGTGAACAAACCTTGCACTGTCGAGGAGGAAATGAGCATACCTCTTAAGGAATTGATTGAAAAGCACTGTGGAGGTGTGAGAGGAGGATGGGACAACCTGCTTGCAATTATTCCTGGTGGTTCATCTGTTCCCTTGTTACCGAAGCATATATGTGATGATGTGTTGATGGACTATGATGCACTCAAGGCTGTGCAATCTGGATTGGGTACTGCAGCAGTTATTGTGATGGACAAGTCCACAGATGTTGTTGATGCAATTGCTAGGCTATCGTACTTCTACAAGCATGAGAGTTGTGGGCAGTGCACACCTTGCAGGGAGGGAACAGGGTGGCTGTGGATGATCATGGAGAGGCTCAAAGTAGGTAACGCGAAGCTTGAGGAGATTGATATGCTTCAGGAGGTCACTAAGCAGATTGAAGGGCATACTATTTGTGCCCTTGGGGATGCTGCTGCATGGCCTGTGCAGGGACTTATCAGGCACTTCAGGCCAGAACTGGAAAGGAGAATCCGTGAGCGAGCCGAAAGGGAGCTACTGGCAGCTTCGGCTTAGGACACTGTCAATGACGATCCTGCACTAGTTTCCTGATTTCTTTCACAGAAATAATGCAAACTGATGGAGCTCATCTCTGTATACGAAATGCAGCTCCCCTGATTTGTTTAAACCTTTATGTGGATGTTTATTTAATGCACTCAGAAGCTGGTGAATTTTGATGGACTGATGAAAACTTTTTTAAGTAGAAACAAAATGCAGTTACTGTACCATGTATGTCACATGAGCCAGCAAAATATGATGGTGGATGTGGACGTGTACCCTGCTTGTTTTTTTTTCACTGTTAAACTATGCATTGTTTGAAATTGTCTAGAGTTCGTGTGAGCTGGTTGAAACCATGTCTACATCTGGGGCCTATGTTTGCATCTAATGAGCCAGCATAATCTCATCTGCATGGCATATTGTTGATCTGCATACTTCTATAGGGCCACCGGCCCTGGCATGCATCTGTTCGTGATTAACCACCGGATGCTTCATGGTGGTTGGGATATCTACAAATGTATTCTGGACCTGTGTTTATTGTACTGTTTGGTACAGCACGTATCCATCAGCTGGTATGCCGTGCCGTATCCAGTAGTTGCCACCGTCAGATATCTCTGGAATAGTTGGGCTTGCCGGTTACTGTTCTTCCATTTTGTCTCCAGGAATCTGAATTTGCAATGGAACAGTTGAGTTGACTGTGTCCAGAAGATGTGTAATACCAAACTATTTTATAATCTCTGTTAAGTAAAACATGAGCATTAAGCAATGACAATTCAACTAAGGCTTGTTTAGATTCAAACTTTTTCCTTCAAACTTTCAACTTTTCCATCACATCAAATGTTTGGACAACTTTTTTATCACATCAAATGTTTGTACACATGCATGGAGCATTAAATGTGGACAAAAAAAAAATCAATTGCATAGTTTGCATGTAAATCGCGAGACAAATCTTTTAGTCTAATTATGCCATGATTTGATAATATGGTGCTACATTAAACATTTGCAAATGACGGATTAATTAGGCTTAATAGATTCGTCTCGCAGTTTACAGGCGGAATCTGTAATTTGTTTTGTTATTAGTCTACGTTTAATACTTCAAATGTGTATCCGTATACTTCAACAAAATTTTGGCACACGAACTAAACACAACCTAAGCAACCAAAGCTTCGGCCACTCATCACATATACGAGTAGAAGATATGCTGATTTCAGGGTTTAACACTGAGGGTGTGTTTAGTTCACGCTAAAATTGGAAGTTTGGATGAAATTGGAACGTTCTGACGGAAAAGTTGAAAGTTTGTGTGTAGGAAAGTTTTGATGTGATATAAAAGTTAGAAATTTGAAAAAAAAGTTGGGAACTGAACCAGGCCTGAGAGCCTAAGTCACTACTGCATCTCACTTCCACTTCTCCTTTACGGCAAACAGCTCACTCTCTGTAAGTAGAACCAGATGTAAGGTAGTAACCACAAAAAGGGGAAGCCAGGCCAAAATACATTACTTCCACTTCTTGGTCATACATCACATCCTTCAACCTCATTCCAAATATTAGCTGTATACACAATTAAAAGCAACCCACAAAGACCTTTTGGCACCAACAAAGATTAAAAAAAAACCCTGAAATTTACTCAATCAGAATGTCATTTAGCTGCCCATAATCCCTTTTTTGAACACTTCTTGTTTATCTTGACTACTCTCTGTCTCTGGTTGCCGCTTTCTTCATCAGTTTCTTTCTTGTCCTGTATTGTTACATCAACTTTAACGATGTGATGATCAGATGTTCCTTTTGAGGATATGACCGTGTAAGATCCTGGCACGAACTTGTAGGGAGAGTTTGGTGAGGCCAGTATGTAATCCACCCTTGTGCCATACTTGCATGTCCCTTGTACATCTGAAGTTCATAAAAAGTTCAGATATTCAGTAACCACTATACAGCAACAGCGAGTAACTGAAAAACTAACAAAGATCTTGTGTTTCATAAGGTAGCTGAAATTGGTTGTGCAATGTGATAAATGCACCTTAGGTCATCAATTTTTAGAGGAAATCATCTAAAAATGAGGAGCTGCAGTCCATCATATACATCATAGGTTCAGTAAAGAGCAGATTAACTGAAATGAAACTACTTTGTTGGCCATATGGTATCTGAACAAGCTGAGAAATGTAACCTCTCACCTTGCCCTTTAGCAACAACCACCACAGCCTCACATTCTCCTGCAAAATCCTTGGCATCAACATACTGCTTCCCCTTCAGGTACTTCATCACCTCCGCCTTCGGCGTCGGCTTCCCGATCTCCTCATAGTACTACAAAACCATCAAAATTTTGCACAATTCCTCAAGTTACTCATCAGTGTTCCAGTTTCAGGGACACAAAAAAATTCTTGATACTTGAACACTGACTGACTGCTGCTACCTTGACGATGTCGGCCCATCGCTCGTCGGAGTAGTCGGTGCCGTCGAGCGCATTGAGCCCTCCGGTGAGGATGTGAGGGCCATCGCTGGAGCGCAGTATGGCGTTCATCTGCTTCATCCTCCAGCTCTCATCAAGGTGGTCGAGATGTGTGCAGTGGAAGTTGACCTCCCCGGCTCTCGGAACCTCAATGGTGGCCCTCAGCACGTTCCTGCATGATTTGGAAAACAAAATTAACGCTTAATAATCACGTGGAGGGACCATGGATGGGAAGCAGAGGCAAGAGGAGTTATGTTCACTGTTCAGATGGCCAGGCACAATCAGATATGTTGCTGTCATGAATTCATGGTGTTTTTTTTTTTTGCTCCCGTTTTATAGGCTCATAGCTCGTTGAAAGGTGACGGTTTTCTGTTTATGATAGCAACATAGAGTGTAATTGCAGAGCAAATTTCTCTAAGGCTTCTGGTTTTTGTCAACATGAAAAAAAGAACTTTTTTTTTCAAAGGAGAAAGAGGAACGGGTTAGTGTTGAATAATTAAGAAGAAATTGTGAGTATATTGGGAGTCGAACACATGACCTCAAGGTCAGAGTCAAAACCAGCCACACTTGCCACTACGCTAGCAAGCGCATCTAAGATTTTCCTTTTCGAACAATATAATCGAAAATGTTTGTCCAGGAGAATGATGGGTAATTCTTACCACTTTTCTGGGTGAAACAGAAGTTAAGATGATGCTACATGTACCATCCAAAAACTTCTCTCTTCTTTTTCCCTGAAATACTAGCTATATAGACCTATGGTAACATATGAGTTTGTTCTTTGTTTCTCTTCACTAGTTACACAACACAAACAACAGGATGATTATCACAAGGAAGCAGCAGTCGTTGTTGTGCAATTACTTGCCAAGGCGCCGCTGCGTGGCCAGATGTTGCTATCCATCAAAGCCATTGCCCCGCTAATTGTCTTGCCAAGAAAGGCCCTGCCTAGCTACTACTTCTACTAGTACCCTTTCTCGATGGCGACTGCTCGGAGGACGCACGGATTTCAGATTTTCAGATCTCTCAGTTCTCACGAGATTATGTGGCAGCAGCACTTTGCTTTTCATTGACCACATTATGTCAGCATTACTGCATTAGGATAGTATAATTAATATTGCCTATATCTTTTTTGATAATGAAAATAAATCTAGTTTCTACATCAAGATGTATGATCATGGCCGTGTTTAGTTCACACTGAAGTTTGAAAATTTGGTTGAAATTCGTACGATGTGATAGAAAAGTTATGTGTATATGAAAGGTTTGATATGATGGAAAGTTGGAAGTTCGGAAAAAAAAAACTTTAGAACTAAACAGGGCCCATGTCCGAGACGAGTGTGACCAGGGTTCACCTTTTCTTATTGAGATCCGGGATCTCTACCCCTGACGGTACGACAGTTCTGGCCAACTTTTGGTCAAATTTTACTGTTTCGAATTTGAATTCTTGAAAACCATTTGAAATTTAACACCGGAATCCGCTTTTCTCCTGCATCTAAACCTCGAAATTCCGCGGTTTTCAATTGGACCCTGAGTATGATATATATATACATGGAGACCTACCATTCCTTGTCACACAACTTCCACTGCCCTTCAACTGCATCTAGCTATCAACTAGTAGTAGTAGTTAATTGAGCACACCTAAACCTGTACTCCAATCACATGTGAACGCGGTCCTTTTCGCTTAAACCTAACCAAAGCGTCACGCGTAACCCATTTTATAGGTAATAATCAAGCAAAACAAGCCAAATTAAGCTACAATTGGGGTGCCCATTTTGGCCTTGGATTTTATGGGATCCGTATGCATATGCATTTCCCAGGGTTTTGATCTGCCAAAGGAGCAGCTCACCTAATCCTCATTATTATTATTCTACCTTTCTAAGAAAGGAGCATTAGTTGCTAAAAATCTAAATTAAACTACGCATCTGCCATACTTACCCAGTAATCATGTTGCCTCTTGTCGGATTGTGTAACAAACTCCTAATCCCAACTGCTACTGTCACCGCAATCTGCTCGATCAATTAATTAACTAATCAATCGCTTTGTATTATAGCAGGAGACCAGGAGCTAGCTAGTGATCTGAGACCTTGACTAAACTCCCCATCTTTCTTTTCTTAAAACATCTTTTAAAAATTATACTATCTTCATCTCAAAATATAAGCATTTCTTACTTCATCTCAAAATATAAGCATTTCTTACTCCGATCAGACAAGTGATTGTCTACATTCAAAATAAGGCCGTGTTTAGATTCTACCCTAAAATTTTTTGCCCTGACATATCGAACCTTTGAGCACCTGCATGAAGTATTAAATATAGGCTAAAAAATAACTAATTGCACAGATTGCGACTAATTTGCGAGACAAATCTTTTAAGCCTAATTGCTCCATGATTTGACAATGTGGTACTACAGTAAACATTTGCTAATTATGGATTAATTAGGCTTAATAAATTCGTCTCGCAGTTCAGTTCTGTAATTAGTTTTTTATTTTTGCCCGAACACCCTATGCGACACCCTATATAATACCCGATGTGACACGCCAAAACTTTACATCCCTGGATCTAAACACCCCTAAAAAATACTTATATTTTAAAAGCGGAGGTATTACTTAATTATATAACTAACTCAATCCATCATTACAAGGTAGTAAAAGGTGGTCAGCTTCAGGTAAGCTGGACGACGGCGACGCTCACCGAACCGACCACCTGCGTCGTCGTCGTCGCTAGTCCCTCGTCGGATTCCTCCGGCGACGGGACAAAACCCAACGGCAGGCGTGCGTACGGTACGGCCCAATAATTGGGCGGCGACCGCGACGCGTCCAGGAAATTCGAGACAACGGGGGCAGCTAGATACCAAGCTGAAGAAGAAGCAGAAGCAGCAGCAGCAAAGCTAAGCTAGCGGCCGGACGACATGGTGGTTGCGCGTGCCTGAGTGCCTGACCGACGGCAGCTAGCGCCGACGGCCGACGGGGTTACGACCGGGTCACTGCGCGAAGTGGGGCCCACGCGTGCATGCGTGGGGCCCCCTGTACGCATGTGACATGTCACGAGCCACGGTTGGACAAAGGAGTGTATAGTACAGTACAGCAGTATGAGTGATGTACAGATGTAATGGTGGTAGCAATCTGTCTGCTGTTTTACAGTGTTACTCCCTTCGAAAACAATTTAAAATAGAATGAGATGTTTTCTAGTATAATAAATCTGAATAAGCTTTTATTTAAATTTATTATTGTAGAAAACATCTTATTCCACGTAGATTGGTATTTTTAGAGACGGAAAGACAGGATGTTAGAGGGTGAGAATGTGAGATGCAAGCATAGCTTGGCAGCTCATGCGCATCTGAAGCACAGGATGGAACATTCAGATTCAGAGAGTATGGCGTGGCGTGGCCTGCCAGCTCTGAATCCCATTATTATGGCAGTAGTCTGTACTGGCAATTTGCAAGTGTGCAACTAGTAGGAGTACTATCTAGTATTGTCGTGTAGAAAATAAGAGATATATACATATACTGAATCCAATGAAAAGCTTTTCTTGCTACTCATCGAGTGCTCAGTTGGTAGGAATTGTACTGAATTTTCTGGAAATTTACTTAACCTGTTTCTACACTTTTCACCCTTTGGCTTGTTAAAATATCAAAATGGTTCAAAATTTTATATTGAAAAAAATTACGGACCCATCGGCATATTTGCAAATAAATAGTAATTTGTGAATAAGACTTTTATATATGTATTTCTTAGCGATATAAAAGTACATGCTGAAAAATAAACTTTGATGAAAAAACCTCGAATTCAGCTCCAAATTTAAAGTTAAAAATTTAAAATTTAGTTGATAAGCATAAGCATAAGAAAAAAAAAAAGCCCCTTAATCGTTTGCAACCACTGTACACCGTAAAGTGAAAAATCCATGCAAGAAATGTGATGGTTGATGCGAGGAAATTAAATTACGGCGAGGGAAAAGGAGACGATCGGACTGACCGGAAGTCGGACTGGTCGGCGACGCGCTGCGACTTCCAGCGCTTGATAGGCCACCGGGAGAGCACGGCGTTGCCGTACTCCGGCGCCCAGCTCTCGGCGAACACGTACCGCATGCCGAGCCCCTCGGCGAGCTCCGACAGCGGGCTCATCCCGCGCTCCTCCTCCGCGCGCACGTTCTGCAGCCCGATGATGTCGGCGCCCACCTCCCGGAGCACCTCTTCCACGCTCCGCCGCCGCCCTTCCGCGCCGCCGTTCAGCTGCTGCGTCGCCGCCGGCGTGGTTGTGGCGGTGGTGGTGCTCCTCGCCGCCGTGCTGCCTAGCTTGCTCCTCTCCCGGGAGATCTCGTTGTCCTGGAGGTTGATGGACACGCGCGCCTTGCTCGCCGTTCGCGCCAGGCTCGCCTGCGCCTTCAGGATGCCCTTGGGTCGCCGCCCGCCGCCGGCGGCGGGGGTGGTGACACGCCGCGCGGTCTCGGTAGCTGTCTCTGCGGACGACGCCGCCGCCACGGCCGGCGCCATGGAGAACATCGCGGCGTTGAACGTCGCCACGCGGATGGTCACCGCCTCCCCCGTCGCGCCATCGCCGCGATTATCCCGACGCGCTCCCGCTGCCGCCGCCGCCGCCTCCTTCCTCCCGTTCGACCCCAACCGCCGCACGGTCACCCTCGCCTTGCCCTCCGCGCCGCCGTGGCGGCGCCGGCGCGGCCGCGGGTGCAGCGCCCGGAACCCGGCGAGCACGCGTCGCAGCATGAGCGTCGTCGCTTGCGTGTGCGTGTGCGTGTGCGTGCGCGGGGGGCGCCCAGTGCGGGGCTCCGCGGCGAGGGGGATAGCGTAATAATATACCGCTGCGTGAGCGAGAGAGTGTCGCCGTCGCGCGCGCGCGCCCGCGTCGTGACACGCGTGGCGACGACGGCGACGCGACGGATCGCGTCCACTCTACTTTGCTTGGGCGCTGGATATGACGAGCAGAGTTAGTTACACGGCGAAATTTTGGTTGTTTATTTTGGGTATATTCGTATGCGTGTACGCAGCAATTGTAAACTACCTAGGAGTACGTGGCTATACGTATGTCTGCATCTGTCACAAGTGAGATTTGTTGCTTCCTGTACCTATGCGTACACCGACCTCTACCTCACGGTATCTTGGCATCTTGTCTTCTCCATGTCCAAACTGCCGTTGTATTGCCGTTTTTTTGACAAATTGACCCTTTTCAAAAACTTATTTCGAAACTAACCCCTACCAAAAACTTCAACCAAAACTAGGCCGTCGGCTCAGCGCCAAGCGCATTGGCGCTGAGGTTGGCCGTGTCAGCGCCAACGGGACTGGCGCTGACATTGTGCCACCGTGGCGGCCGGGCCGATCCCCTAGCTGACGTGGCAGCTACCTCAGCGCCAACCGCTTCGGCGCTGAGGTGCACAACCTCAGCGCCAAGTAAGTTGGCGCTGACCTTGGCTACTTAGAGCCCGGCCGAGGCCGCCCCAGCCAGTTCTTCCTCCGTTTTTTCCCCAGCCGCCCGCCTAGGGTTCGGTCGCCACCGCGTTCTCCTCGCCCAATCTCCCCCAAAAACCTCTCTAATCGAAGGTGATTTGTGCGGCATTGAGTTTGGGATCGGAAGAGAAGGTAAACCCCTCTATAAACCCTAAGTTCCCCAAAGTTTTATTGGATATTTTGCATTGTTTTGGTTGTAGACGTGGTTTGATAATAGTTGGCTAAGGATGGATTATTAGATGGATAATATGGGTGGGGATGAAGTGTGGAGGTGGCATATCTTTATCCATTTGGTTGTTATTGATACATTTGACAAAATATATTTGGGATGGATGTTTGGTGATGCACTAGGGTTTGATGGGAGATGGATGTGTGGTGATGGCCTAGGATGTGGGATGGATTTGTGGTGATTGAGAGGGTTTGAAAGGGGTTGATGTGTGGTGAAGGGTAGGTAATTTGTAGGAGTAGAGTTTTTTTTATCAATAATGTGTAGTATTTGAGTAATGTACTTATTTATTGGAAAAATTAGACATGTTGTTAGCTTTTGAAGTATTGGTATTGCAATGGTAATTACATATTATTTTCAAGTAATTAATGTTTATGCATGGGTTAAAAATTGTAGATGGATAGATTGGTCCGGCTTCATTATGGTGGTTGTGTGGTAGATGAAAGTACACATGGAAGCCAATTTGAGGGAATGACAGTTAGACAATTAGTGTTTTTTGCGAAGCCTACCTTTGAGGAGTTAATGTCTCGCATCAAGCATGAATTGGATTGGAATGATGAGTCGGTTGGTATGCAAGGGAGATACGATGTGGGCGGCGTGTCATGTCACATAAATTTATGTTAGACTTGAATGGAGAGATCGAATGGCAAACATATATAGATATAGTATTGGAGTCACATTTCAAATCTCTTGAGGTGTTTGCATGGAAGAAAGATGGTAGGATAGGGAAGAAAGAACTTATAGACCTTAATGAAAGTCCACTCATAGAATCACCCATTAGTTGTCACGAACTGTCGGAGAGGTGTAGTAGGAAGGAAGAATTGATTGAGAAAGACGTGGAGGGGGGCGAGGGAGTAAATGATATGGCGGATGTGGAGGTCAGGGAAGAGAATGACCCGGTAAGGGAGGAAGTACATGCAGAGGAGAATGTGCCGTTAAGGGAAGAAGTACATGCAGAGGACAATGTGCCGTTAAGGGAGGAAGTTAATGTGGAGGAGAATGTGCCGGTAAGAGAGGAAGGAGATGTTGAGGATGGTCGGGAGGTAGGAGATGATGTGGAGTTGCCTGAGGAAGAAGCGAATGCTAAGAATGTAAGTATGGGCCTAAGGGAGTTGGCTAGGCTGAAATTCTATACCCGAGAGGAGTGTGAGGAGGCTATGATACGCAGTGGATTGAACCCAGGCTGGTTGGAGTATGATACAGAGGATGAATTGGATGAGTTCGCTTCCGACTCCGATGATGATCGTCCAGTGCGTAAGATGTCAGAGCATGAAAGGACTGTGTTTGCGAAACTGGTGGGTAGAAACCCGGAAATAACACAATTCGAGGATCTTACCAGATCTGGGCTAGCAATTGCTAATGGGGATCCACAATATGACGGTGCCTTCGAACCAATGTGTGATGAACCAAGGAAGGGGTTGGAGTTTCGATCGATGGATGATCTGAAAATATGGCTACAGAGTTATTCTATCCGTGTCCACCGGCCGTACCATGTGAAGGAATCTAACGCGTCAGTAAAGTATACTGTGGCTTGTCTCGATCGCCATTGCAAATGGCAGATTAATGCAAGGAAGAGTGGAGGAGATAGGTGGCGGGTGACTAGGGTGGGCGAAGACCACACATGCTGTAGTGCGGAAGTAACCGGCAAGCATTTGCAACTTACTTCAAGGTTTATTGGAAACAGGTTACAGGCATTTGTGCGAGCTGAACCAACTTTATCTCCAGCAGCGATTGTCGAGGCAGTTGAGCAAATATGGCACTATCGGCCTACGTATGGCAAAGCATGGCGTGCTAAGCAAGTTGCTATGAAGGTTATTTAGGGAGATTGGGACGAGGCGTATGTTTGCTTGCCTACACTGATGCGTGCCATCAAAGCAAAGAACCCTACCATGCATTTCCGTGTTGAGGCTCATCCCGAGAAGTCCAGGATGGTGGATGGAGTACAGAGGCGAGTATTTGGACGTGCATATTGGATATTTGGCCAGTCCATAGAAGCATTCAAGCACTTGAGGCCGGTGCTAGCAATTGATGGCACTTTCTTAACCGGTAAATACCAAGGTACATTGCTCACGGCAATAGGGGTCGACGCCGGGTTACATCTTGTTCCCTTGGCGTTTGCTCTGATAGAGAAGGAGAATACATCCAACTGGGAGTGGTTCATCAACATGTTGAGAAACAAGTTGATCGGTCCTAATAGAGAAGTGTGTATAATTTCTGATAGACACCCTGGCATTTTGAACTCCATCATCCACATCATGCCTCATCACCTAACCATTCACCACAGGTGGTGCATGAGGCACTTCTGTGCTAACTTCTACACAGCTGGAGCTACGACTGATCAGATGAAAGATCTTGAGCGCATATGTCAAATAAATGAGAAAGCATTGTTCCTAGATGAGATAAAACGCCTCATGGGTGTGGTCGGAGAGAGGCCAAAGAAGTGGCTAGAAGACCATATGCCACTTAAGGTCAAATGGGCAAGAGCATTTGATACCAACGGGCGTCGTCATAGCATCATGACTAGTAATATGGCCGAGAGTTTCAATAATGTATTGAGAGGCATTCGGAAACTGCCGGTTACAGCTATTGTGGCATACACATTTTCGAAGTGCAATAGTTGGTTTGTCGATAGACACAAAGAGGCAACTGTAGATATCCTGTGTGGAAAGAAGTGGCCCACAAAAGTTAAGGACATGTTGGAGGAGCAGCAAAGTTCCTAGTTGCATGATGTATTTTCCACAACCCTTGTATATGATATATTGTCGCTAACTTTATGTTATTATGTTTGTCTATTGATGCAGCGCTTGAAGACCCTTCGAGTAAGAGGTCACACGGCCCACATACTGTTCGACGACCGGTACATCCCGTACCTACGGCGGGCGAAGCTCTTGGCGTTCGTGACCATGGCGCAGCGACCGGTGCCTCTGTACAACGCCGCTGCTCTGACGGCCCTAGTGGACCGGTGGCGTCCAGAGACACACACCTTCCACCTACCGTGCGGGGAGCTGACGGTCACTCTGGAGGACGTCGCCATGATCCTGGGTCTTCCTATCCGGGGTCAGGCGGTCACAGGTGACACAGCGTCAGGGAATTACTAACGAGTCTTCGTATTCATTTGTTAATTTTTTTGCAATTACTAATGATTCCATTTAATTTCCGGTTACAGGTGACACAGCGTCGGGGAACTGGAGGGAGAGGGTCGAGGAGTACCTTGGTCTGGAGCCTCCAGTGGCACCTGATGGTCAGAGGCAGACGAAGACATCAGGGGTTCCTTTGAGTTGGTTGCGAGCCAACTTCGGTCAGTGTCCCGCTGAGGCAGATGAGGCTACAGTACAGCGATACTGTAGGGCGTACGTGCTGTACATCTTCGGCAGTATTCTGTTCCCTGACTCTGAGGTTGACTGGCGCTGAGTTTCCCACAGTCAGCGCCATTATGGCTGGCGCTGAGGTCCTAGCCCGCAAGCCATCCAGAAGGCTTGCTGGGCTGGGCCACGGCCGAAACGGCCAAGTACCACCTCAGCGCCAGGTTGACTGGCGCTGAGTTTCCCACAGTCAGCGCCATTATGGCTGGCGCTGAGGTCCTAGCCCGCAAGCCATCCAGAAGGCTTGCTGGGCTGGGCCAAGGCCGAAACGGCCAAGTCCCACCTCAGCGCCAGGTTGACTGGCGCTGAGTTTCCCACAGTCAGCGCCATTATGGCTGGCGCTGAGGTCCTAGCCCGCAAGCCATCCAGAAGGCTTGCTGGTCTGGGCCAAGGCCGAAACGGCCAAGTCCCACCTCAGCGCCAGGTTGACTGGCGCTGAGTTTCCCAAGGTCAGCGCCATTTTTGCTGACGCTGAGGTCCCAGCCCGCAAGCCATCCAGAAGGCTTGCTGGTCTGGGCCAAGGCCGAAACGGCCAAGTCCCACCTCAGCGCCAGGTTGGCTTGCGCTGAGTTTCCCAAGGTCAGCGCCATTTTGGCTGGCGCTGAGGTCCCAGCCTGCAAGCCATCCAGAAGGCTTGCTGGTCTGGGCCTTGGCGGCCAAGTCCCACCTCAGCGCCAGTCCGGTTGGCGCTGAGGTAGCTGCCACGTCAGCTGGGGATCGGCCCCGGCCGCCACGGTGGCACAATGTCAGCGCCAGTCCCGTTGGCGCTAACACGGCCAACGTCAGCGCCAATGTGTTTGGCGCTGAGGCGACGGCCTATTTTTGGTTGAAGTTTTTGGCAGGGGTTAGTTTCGAAATAAGTTTTTGAAAAGGGTCAATTTGTCAAAAAAACGGCTTGTATTGCATCATCGCACTATAATATTTTAGGAACAATAACAAAGCAAAGTTCACAGCCATCATTTAGGCCCCTTGATTCGCAGGATTTGAACAACACGAAAATCGAAGTCGTATGGTTCTCGAATCCTACCAGAATCCAGAACATAGGGAATGATATATAAGAGCCCTTTGTTGGTACCATGGAAGAAACAAAGAAAAATTTATTAAAAAAATCACACATCTCGATAATTTTCCTATGAAATGTTAAGCATAGGAATACAATCGTATATAAAGTTTCGTTCATTTTCTATGAACCAAAGAAACATTTAGGGAAAAAAACCATATAAATTTAAATCCTAACAAAATTCTTTGCCACTCCTATAAATAAATTTTTAGTTTCAAAATTTTTCTTCAAACTTCCAACTTTTTTATCACATCAAAACTTTTCTACACACACACTTTCAACTTTTCCGTCACATCGTTCCAATTTCAACCAAACTTCTAATTTTGGTGTGAACTAAACACACCCAAAGGAGCCCTTATCCATAATTGTGCAGTGGAATGCTCTGAACCTAGGAACAAGACCACATTCTGACACAGCGGCCGGGGTTTATCCATCACTAAAAAAAGCCGTATAACACACCGCATGAAACACATTTCAGAAGATTAAAAAAAAAAGAGCAAAGAGAACAAAGACACAATATGCTGGAAAGCATTAAGCATAATGGCACTACAGTTGCAAAGTGTTACAGCTGATTTTGGAAAGGCAAGAAGCAGTCTTAACGGAACGTTCGAACGGAGGCAACCTGGCTGTCTCAGTGGCTCATCTCCGACTACTCCCAAGTCCAATCCCAATGCATGCAGATGCATTGCATTGCCTCTTTGCTTCCTTTCAGCATCGCATAGAGACCAGGTCACAGCAGAAATGTGTACTCCAGCTCACTTCTGCAGTTGTGTGCCAGTGAACGAACCTGTCATTTCTGCAGTTGTGTTGAGAGGCAGTTGGGACCTGACGTTGACGATGGTGGAGAATCGATAGGTTTCTTACATGATTCAATATCATTATATAGTTCATATGAGATATAATTGATTAAGTACTAGCCTTGTTGATGTTGAAGGATTGTGATAATTATTGGCTTTGACCCAAATAGATGCAATTTAACTTTTATGTTTTAAGCAATTTAAGAGTAAATAGATTTGTATATAAGATATTACTAAAGTACTTTAGATTACGTGCTTGTTTAGATTGATGTCATTTCAAACCATACCATTTTTTTTAGAGTAAAGTTATCAAATATGTGTATCCATTTAGTTTCTTGTCAAACTTTGATAAATATATAAGAAATCCTACCAAAATTTTGGCAATATTACCAAAATTTTGGCATTGCTAAAATTTAGTAAGGTTTATTTTGGTTGCAATCTAAACAACCCCGTCTAATTATACAATTTTGATGCTAGATATTTAGATTATTCAAATACTATTGGTCGACAACTCAAAGTCAAAACCAACAATTTATTTGGAATCGAACGAAGTAATAATTTTGGTTATAGTAAAATAAATAGGATTTTATTGGCAATATACTTTGATTGTAAAATGAATTCATGCTCTGCATATATACACCAAAACCCGGTTATCCTAGACATTTCCGTATTTAATTGTGATTTCAAAACTAAGGCCAATATAGGTTTAAGTAACTTGTACATTGTTACAACAAACATTTTTCAGCATTAATCACGAGCAGCTCAAGCATGTACCAAAATCTACATCTAGAATAGCATGGACCGATACAAGAAATCTTTACAAAGAAAAAAAAGAGAGCAGATCTTCTACTGGTATGATATTTGGGACAGTTCAGGTACTACTGTAGTCTTTGATATTATGGATCAACGCACTAACTGCACAAGCACGTGGATGATTGGATGCCCTTACCTTTTCTACTCGTACTCTACTGTCAATTCATTAATGGTTCATTTTTTTACTGAACTTTAAATCATTAATAGTTTCATTTTTTTTACCGAACTAATGGTCACTTTACTTTCTACTTATCACTCCGTCCCATAATATAAGGGATTTTAAGTTTTTGCTTGCACTGTTTGACCACTCGTTTTATTCAAAAAATTTATACAAATATAAAAAAACGAAAGGTTGTGCTTAAAGTACTTTTGATAATAAAGTAAGTCAAAAAATAAATAATATTTCTAATTTTTTTGAATAAGACGAGTGTTCATACAGTATAAGAAAAACTTAAAATCCCTTAAATTATGGGACGGAGGGAGCAACAATCTTCCTGTCAATATGGGGTTGACCACACCTACCTCCGGTTTCTGATGCAAGCAATCGAAAAGCTCTCTTGCCGTGTTTCTTGTCTCTGCAACTTTGAATGAGCGGTAGGTGTAATGGACTAATGGTGTACAGTTCACTACGGAATCCTCATTAGTTTCAGCTCAATTTTGGCTCTTCATTTAATTTCTCTTAGAAAGTTAGTTTGGCTCATCGCAATTTGCAACTTTTTTTTAAACAAAAAACCTTCGTTGTCATGTGTTTTCTGAAGCTACTAGCTTTGGAAGATATATCTTTGCAACACTTTTCAGACACAGCCACAAAAGCAAAGAATCGAAAGCTAATCAGTGGCAATCATAGATACATAGGAATCAAACCCCCTTTCAGGTTTCAGAGTAACTTTCATAAGATCATAAAGCCATCATTAAGCTAGTTTTTTTTTAATGTATCAAAAAAATGAACTTTTCCGATGATTGGTCAGAGTGGGAGAGTTGTTTTCGCTCCACTGATCGTGTTCTCTGAACTTTCGTTGAAAGGCACGAGCTTGGAAAAAAGATAAAGAAGCTTGGTGGCCCTCTCGATAAATCGATCGTCAATGGCGAACAGAACAGAACATGATTTGCATGCATGGACAGGAGGAAGGAGACAAGGCCCTAGGATTATTAGGATGAGAAAGAGGAGTGCAATGCATGTGAAGAAGCTACAATGCCGTCAGAGAAAAAGGGGCGCAGTGACGAAGTGATCAAAGTGAGCTGAGCACACAACTACTAAAAGTGGAGCTAGTTGTGTAGCTTCTTTAGTGCGTTCTGCTCGCCGGAGCCCCACCACCACCACCGACGGCGTCGCTAGCTCCGGCGACCACCGGAGATTGCAGGGTTGCAATCTTTGAGATGTTGAATTGGAGGGCGAGTGATTCTGACTTTGCTCGGTCATTGAATTGGATTTGGTGTGACCACAGTGAGGCCTTGTTAGTTCCCAATTTTTTTTTCTTAAGAACGTCATATCGAATCTATGGACACATGCATAGAGCATTAAATATAGATTAAAAAAACTAGTTGCACAGTTTGTATGGAAATAGCGAGACGAATCTTTTGAGCCTAATTAGTCTATGATTAGCTATAAGTGCTACAGTAACCCACATGTGCTAATGGCGGATTAATTAGGCTTAATAAATTCGTCACACGTTTCCAGACGAGTTATGAAATTAGTTTTTTCATTTGTTTCCGTAAACTCCTTCAAATATCCAGTTAAACGTTCGATATGACACCTAAAAATTTTTGCGAACTAAACACACCCTGAGTGAGTGACACCGGCTGTGTTTAGATCCAAAGTTTGGATCCAAATTTCAGTTCTTTTTCATCACATCAACCTATTATACACATACAACTTTTCAGTCACATCATCTCTGATTTCAACCAAAATCCAAACTTTGATCCAACTAAACACGGCCACTGTCATGTCTGAACCTCCATAGACACAGAAAATTCAGAGATGGTGCCGAAGATGCCAGATAATCAATCACAAGCCGCGGTTACCAAATGTAGATCGCGGATCCCTGACGTGATTGATGAGTTTGTATGATAATTTGGACAGAGAGCAAGTGACGCTGTACTTGCTGAAGACATAATTTGGGCGATTGGTTGATGAACATCTCAGTATGCATGAGTTCATCCTTCTCGGCACGGATTGTTTGTTTAATGAATTATTGCAATCTTAATCATTATTTCAGCATCGTAGCAGTTGCAGTTTTGCTTTTCTAGTATGCCAAATCAGGATAACCTAAACCACTATTTCGTAGATCATTTACACTTCACAATTTTAAATGTCTTTTCCGACAAACCAATAGCTAAGTCCAAAGAAGCTACTAATACTAAGGCTGCGTTCTTTCAAAAGAGATTGGGGGAGATTGTGACTCGTTTTCCGTGCGCACGCTTCCCAAACTACTAAACGGTGTGTATTTTACAAAAAAAAATTCTATATGAAAATTGCTTTAAAAAATCATATTAGTCCATTTTTGAAATTTAAAATAGTTAATACTCAATTAATCATACGATAATGGTTCACCTCGTTTTACGTATCTTCCCAATCTTCTCAATCCCCCCTCCCTCAAACACAGCCTAATTATTCCTAATTTGCAGTCCATGGATACGAATAAGATTCGGCGGCCAATGGTTGAGGAAGTCAAATCAGACTTTTTTCTTTTCATGAAGTTGTGATATATCCACAGCCAGCCCAGCCCATATAAGCTTGCCTCTCTATGGCCCACCGGAAAACCGAGTGGCAGATCCGTAATTAATATCTAACGTAAGGTCACTAATCCAATTTCCTTTTCGGATTCTCCTCCATTGCCGGCGAGAGCTCGCCGCGGCGGCCGCCGGCGCCGCTCTCCTCAACACCGGCGCCTGCCGACCACCCGCCGCCGCTCTTATCAGCCTCAAGGCGCCCTCAGGGTCTCGCCGTCGCCGAGCGCTCGAGGATGCTTTCTCTTTCTGCGCCCATCCCCTCCTGCTCCGCATCGACTCCATCACACGGGGAGGCGAATCAGACCAAGGCTGGATTATCCATGGAGCTCGATAACAGCCACAACAATGTGAGTTTGTTCTGACCCGATTCGCCACTAGGCACCAGTATTATCTGCTCACCGATTTTGTTACAGTAACAACTCCCGCGTGATCTCAACTAGAACATGATTAGGAACCCAAGCAGCAAGCCTCTATTTAGGATTTCGCCTTTTATTTTGGTGAAATTCCCTGAACTTCTTGGTTGGTGCTGCCTGTCGTTGGTGACTGTATTAGCTTAGTTTCCAGTGGTTGGTGACTGTAACAAAATGTTAGGAACTCAATTGGGTTGTACATGGGCTATGTTAGCCATACTACAAGCCCAGCCCATGGAGACTGAAGAAAGGATACAAAAGGCAGCAGCAGCCCTGCTCGAGGCATCGAACATATGAGACATCGGCGGCTTCGGCCACGGCGGCGGCGGCGGCTTGGTTCGGTTGAACCCCGTCGATCTCTATCCCTCTCTTACTCTCTCTCGTGTTCCTCTTCACTACCACTTCTAGAAGCTTCCTCTACTTCTTCCATCTCAATTCCTCTTCTATTTTTCTGAGATTGTATTTGAATTTGATTGTTCTTGAGATTACTGAGTTGGAAGAAGAGGCTGTTAACAATCTGGTATCAGAGCCGTTCGGTTCACTGGGATTTTTGTCATGGAGGTGTTGGGGAGGCAGCCATGCAAGATGGAGCAAGAATTGAGTTGGGAAGGTTTTCATCCAAGCATCGCCCACCAACTGCTCGATGGAATGCCAAGCCAACCTGGGATGTCCAAGGAAGATCAGAGGATATCAGAGCCCGTTCTCATCAATACCACCATGAATAAAGAGGAGAAATGGCTAGATGAAGCTTTGGATCGGATATTGGAGAAGTTTGAACAAATGGAGGCCAAGCGCCGGCAAGAGGACAAGCTCAATCAAAATTTTCAGAAGTTGGAGGAGATAGAGGCTCGTAGGAGCAAGGCTTCCGAGGAGACGATTGCTGCCATCAGGGCAACCACCGCCATTCTCAAGGCTGCATCATCTTCGACACCTATGGCACCACCTCCTCCAGCGCCCACCAACTGTTTGATGGAATGCCACAACAACAACTTCACTTGGGTGGCAGTGAATTCAAGTCACATCCGCGAGGTACCTGCCCCGATGGTTGCCTTCGAGCTTGGGGACGTCGAGGACAAGGATCCTGTCCCCTACATTGCCGCCAAGGACCTTCCCAAGGTCACGCCCACCAAGTGTTCGACGATATGTTCCAGCTCCGACACCAAGCCTGATCACACTGTGGCTACTGTGGTTACTTGCGCCACCCTTGTCGTGTCATCAATGGAGTTGGTAGCTATTGACGGCACCACTGGCAGCACCAACATTGACACCCCTGATAGTACCAAGGCGATGCCCGCCAACTGTTCGACAGTTGGCCTTGATGTCAAGGGTGGTGCAGACCACGCCAGGGTCACATGCCAGATCATGATGGGTGTGCCTGAGGGTGTTGTATTACCTGATGCATCATCCGAAGTCTTGTCGCCATGGTTGATCGCTGAAATGGACCTTGCCAAGCTGATGCCCACTGAGTGTTTGATGAAATGCCTCAAAGCTATCAAGAAGTTGCTGGTGGGGCATCCCAAGAGAGATCCTTGGCCACCTCCCTGGTCAGGTGGTGTGGTTAGAGGAGGGGAGGTGTGGCACATCCCATGGTATGTACTCGATTCCTTTTGGACAAGTGTAGGTTTGATGCCACCATGGCCACCTCCAACCTGTGATGGAGTGATTAATGGATGGGATTTGCAGCCTATGGCTGGTCCAGAATTCAAACTCAATTGGTCAAGGGTACATCATTTGCCACCTTGGCTGCCACCTACCGAAGTAAGTTGTCTTGCATTGGTATGTCAAGGTAATGTAATGATTCTCACTGAGCTGAAGGATATTAATTTGCACCGTGGTGAGTTGAAGCCATGGCCTCCACCAAATCAAACAAATTGTAGAAATACTTTTGTTCAGGCTGCGCAATGCAAGTGCTGGAAAACTAGAGTGGGAATGAGTCTATGTGCTAGGATGGAGCAGTGGAATTTGTTGAATCAGGAAAGTTGCACAATGGTTGCAGTATCTAGCCTGCAGGAGCATATTAATGGGCAAGAACAAATCTTATGCAAACCTTGGAATCCAAGAGACAACAGGACCTCAATTGACATAATTCTGTTGAATAGTTGGTCTCTAGTGCACTGCTATCATCTGGGGCATATTGTTGGCCTTACATGTCTTGAAGCTTTGGCCATTCTAGTTTGCCATGAGATGGTTAAGTTTGGGTGGGCTGGTACTGTGTACAGTGACCAAGACAGGCATACAGTTGTCAGGCCAGCAAGAGCATTTGTCAGGCATGAGCTTGGCATCGGGAATGGTTCACATATACTACATGTTTCAGAGGCTGGAGCAAGATGTGGGTCCATGAGGAAATTGCTTGAACTGATAAGGAATGAGAGGACTTTCCAAATTAAAATTATGGTGAAGAACTTATTGCAAGAGGTAAATATGATCAGCAGTTTTGACACTTCTATACTTGAGATGAACACACATGTTCTGAAATATTCAGCTTCTACTCAAGTACTTGATGCACATGCACTGAATATTTGTAAGTCAATTGGGCTGCTGAATCTTATGACACACAAGCAATTGCAGTGCCTGCTCATACACAGGACATGGAAATTTCTACTTAGTGTTATTGTCGTTGTCCATGGGAGCAGAGGATCTAGTTTCAAGGCTGGACTACACTTATGTGCAATTTCAAAAAAATATCTTACATATAACAGTATGGCTATATGGGATACTAAGTTGCTTGGCATGACTAGGAAGGACCAGTGCTATGAAAAGAGCCAAACCAATCAAAGGTGGATGCCAAAAGAGTGCTGGGCAAAAAACGATCAATCAAAAGCATGCAATTTTGCTCCAAAGGAGTTATATCGAAGCAACAATCTTAGCACCCATCAGTTTGTTCTTCAGGAAGATGACTATTGGAATTCTAGATGGTTCACATACATCTGCAATATTTTGCATCGGCTTGAGGACAAGCCGAATTCTAAGAAGAGGGGATTGTTAGGAACTCAATTGGGTTGTACATGGGCTATGTTAGCCATACTACAAGCCCAGCCCATGGAGACTGAAGAAAGGATACAAAAGGCAGCAGCAGCCCTGCTCGAGGCATCGAACAGATGAGACATCGGCGGCTTCGGCCACGGCGGCGGCGGCGGCTTGGTTCGGTTGAACCCCGTCGATCTCTATCCCTCTCTTACTCTCTCTCGTGTTCCTCTTCACTACCACTTCTAGAAGCTTCCTCTACTTCTTCCATCTCAATTCCTCTTCTATTTTTCTGAGATTGTATTTGAATTTGATTGTTCTTGAGATTACTGAGTTGGAAGAAGAGGCTGTTAACACAAAACTATATACTCCTAAGTGTTTGTTCTTTTGTGTGGATGAATGGAAGCTGGGTACCCTCTCATATGGGAAAAAATTAGAGCACAATATTTCATTATAATGTAAAGAATCCTGGTAAACATACCGTAGAATCAAGAAAAGTTGTACTAGCTCTTGTTGCTTATTATGTTATAATGTCTATTCTGTTGGCTCCTTTGACAAATGTGTGCTCTGATGTTTGTTTTGTTGTAGGATATGGATCATGAGGATCGGCTCTCAATGCTAACTGATGACATTTTACTGTCTATCTTGGGGAGAGTGGACATAATCTCGGCTGTAAGGACAAGTGTCGTGTCAACACGCTGGAAACATCTGCCTTGGTTGCTCCCTGAGTTCACCATTGATGTCAAGGATTTTCTACCTGTCCCACAACCGAACCGCATCAAGGTTGAACATATGGATGAAGCAATGGCATCTCTAACCAAAGGGATCAGGAGCTTATTGACTATAGCTCGGAGCGAATTTCCCATCAATAGGTTTCAACTAAAGCTTTACCTGATCAATAATTACTCACGTGTTGTCGGTCCTATGCTTGATAAGGCAATTGAGGTTGGCATTTTAAAAGATATGGACCTTTCTGTTCTGGACGAGGAGGAGATTGTAGATTGCACCGATAAGCACATTCTACAGCAAGCTTCATCTGTGAAAGACCTTTTCAGTGGCTATCCTAGTGTGCTTACTCGCCTCACAAGGCTCTCTCTTTACAATCTATGTTTTGCCCGTTGGGACTTGCACCATCATCTGTTTGAATGCTGCAATCAACTACGATACCTGAGTCTATCCAATTGTGATGTGGGGAAGAATGCGATATGGAAAATAAGTGCACCAAATTCGAACATCATTGTTCTTGAACTTGATGTATGCTGCTTGGAGAAACTTGAGGTGCTCTGCCTTCCCAAATTGGAGCGACTAAATTGGGACACTTGGCTTTGCCCTTATGCCCCGCTGTCATTCGATGTTGTCCCGAATCTTCAGGAAGTATCTCTTATCTGCGGTGCAACAAATAAACATGAAGGATTTATTTTAAGTGAGGTTCCAAGTGGTACTACAAATATACATACTCTAACATTGGATTTCCAAGGAGAAAAGGTAAGTCCATCCTTTTTCATGGACTGCTGTTATCATTAGCATATAGTTGTTCGTGATGTACTACTAGTATATTTTCACATGAGCAAGAACAAATGTTTAATGTTAAGTAGCAATACTTCAATGATTATATGTATGCATTTCTAAAGCTGATGCATGCCTTAATTTTGTTTAACTAATTCAAATGTACGCTCATCCATGCATAACATCAATTCTCATGTTTCTTTTTTCATTTTTGTCGTGAATGTTTCTTTTTTTTTTTGACGTGAATGTTTCTTGTTTTAGCTATGGATAAAGCCAGAAGGAAAACAACTCTTCCGTGCATTCAGCAATCTAAGGAAGCTATCTATACATAGCATCTTTTCTGAATTTGAATTGTTATGGACAACAAACCTCCTTGAAGCTGCACCATCACTTGAGATGTTTGATATTGAGGTACTTTGGTGCTTTTCCTAGTTACATTAGGTTAATTTGTCTTCTTTTGTGAACTCTAAGACACTCGTTTAATCATCTACATCCTGTCTCATTCTCCAGGATTTTTAACTAGGTTATTTTGTTTATTGTAGATATGGGAGCACACATGCGATGTTGACCGGGAACCAAAAGTTTTTGGGGAGAGACCGAATCCTGCATGGAAAGCGCCTGATGTTACAAGCTTCAGGAACTCTCTTCTGAAAGAGCTCCAAATTGTTGCTTTTAGACCACTAAAACAACAGTTAGAGTTCATCAGGGTTGTGATGCAGCAAGCTCCCAACCTGGGGACGATCATTCTGAAATACGACGATCCTTGTGAATACTGCGAAGCATTAGGCATTTTTCCACCTCGTTCTTCAACAGAATGTGTATTCCCTAAGAGCAAGGATGAGCAAGATAGGGTGATCAATCTTCTCAAAGATGGGGTCTGCTCCCCTGCACAAATAGTTTTTCGGTAATTGGGGAGCTGTTCAAAAGTTCCATGCTCTTTCCCTGCAGTATTCTGAGCTTATTAAGCGTAAAGAAAAGTTCCCTATCCTCATTATTTTTTTAATATAAAAGGCCCTGCTTGTTTGAAAGTAAGTTCTTGTATCACTCTAAATAAAATCAAGTTCTTATGGTCATAATGTACTAGCATATTTTCAAATATTTATACAAATTGCACAGAGTCAATCATCATATATATGTTTGTCTCCGCAAATACCTTTTCAGAATAGTGTACAACCTTACTAGATTTTGTAGGCGTGTTACGACCACAATTTTGTCGTCTAAATTGTACTTTTTCCGGAACGACAAAAAGGAAAAAAAACTAATCTCGTAGTATAAAAAAAGAGAAAAAAAAAGAGAGGATACATTGCTATTTCCAGGTTCTTCATGGCCCATCAACGCGTGTCTGTCTTGGGTTCGGTTAGACGGTCCAGTAAACCACAAGTGCCCAGTCTGAGAAGGCATAAGATTTCAGTACGCACTTTGGTGAACCATAGCATCAACCAAAATCTGTGAAAATCGTGTACTCCTAGCCTATATAACTGATGATGTGCATTAATTGGTCTTGCTCCTATGGCATTGTGACATTGCACAATTTTTAATCTTGTTATGACTGGCCAAGTTTATGGACGATCTGTTTTGTTGCAGGAAGCCGACGATGACGATATGCTCTCCATGTTGAACGATGATATTTCGTTGTCTATCTTAGAAAGAGTTGATATAAAAACGGCCGTAAGGACAATTGTCCTCTCAAAACGCTGGAAACGTCTCCCCTGGATGCTTCCTGAGCTCTCAATTGATGTCAAGGATTTCTTTCTGTACCACAGCCGAACCGTATTGAAGGTCTCGAATTAAAGCTTTACTTGATCAATAGTTACTCGAGTGTCATTGGTCCTCTTGTCAGTGAGGCAATTGATATTGGCATCTTAAAAGATTTGAACTTGCCATCCCTGAAGAGAAGCCGATGGCTGATTGCACTACGAAATAGTATATGCTGCTCCAAGCTTCAGTCGTGGATAACTTTTTTAGTGCCTATTCTAGGATGCTTGATTGTCTCACAAGGCTGGACCTATGCAATGTGTGCTTTGCTGAATGGGACCTGCATCATCTCATATTTGAATGCTGCAAGCAACTGCGCCATCTAAGTTTCTACAACTGTGGTGCGGGGAAGGATGTGGGATGGGAGATAAATGCACCGAACTCAAAACTCAGTGTTTTTGAACTCACTCTGACCTACTCCCTCTGTCCCATAAAAAGGCAAACCCTAGAATTCCAAGGTAAATTTAGTACTAGTAACAATTGACTATAATGCCCTTAGTAAAGTACTCAAGTACAGCCATCAACTGAAAAAAGAAATGGAGAAAATTCAATGCCAATGCTCTGCTTTCCATCGCCAGGACTGCTCTGCATCCCATCGCATTAATGTTTCTTGGTGGTTGTAGTAGAGTTCGATTTTTTGTGGGATAACAGCTCCACCCCAGGAATCGGCTCTTTTTGGGACGGAGAGAGTATACATGAGTAGTCTAGATGTGATTTACCTTCTAAACCTGGAGCTAGTATTGGCACAGATACCGAGATAGACAATCAGCATGTGATTGATTAACTATTATGAACTTGAAAAATCAATTTATTTGATTTTGAAAGAAACTTATATATAAAAAAAATTGTTACACAAAACACACCGTTTAGCTGATAAGAACTAGATCCATCTATTTTGGTGAGGGATGTCTTCTCTTCATTTGCCTCCAGCAATGCCTTTCTTATGCCTTTTTGTGTGCTTGTGCGCGCGCAGAAAGATAGGAGAAAATTGACCCTATACTAGACTGGGTAAACACCGAGTCTGTTTGTATACGCAAGCTTGGTGGAAAGCAAAGATGGAAGGGTTAGCTAAGGCTATATATACTGTTTTGAAGGATACCACTGACTTTGACTTGGCAATCTATTGATGCTAGGTAGTCCCTCTCGAAATATTCAGAGGGAAGCTGGGAATTGAGCATGCAATTGAATTGATCAGACTTGAAGAAGATCACCAGGTTATTCAGCAGCCATTATCTATCATAACATGAGCTGAGAAACAGTGAGGACTGAATCTAATGGTTCATATCATGTGGAAATGGCACAGAAGTTTAAAATGTGAAAAAAACATTCGTTAAACATTCTGAAAATTTTTGAAACTTTGCTCATCTATAGTTCATATGATGCACTTTGTTGCAAAGGTAGTGATAAAATGAGAACCTTTGTATGTGTATGCACTAGTACCAAAACCATAACTATAACCACAAAGCATACGATTCAGAAATAAACAGAAAATCCACTCTATGGTTGTGCCTGGAAAATTCCTCCATAATATTAAATCCAACCCCTAGCACTGAAAGACGAAACAACCGCACTGTTATCTCCCTGGCAACTGGGCCGAAACAAATGCAAGTAGGGCCACCACCGTCCCTAAAAGACCTTATTTCTAATTACGCATCTCAACAAGTACTTATTCAGATGCATAACTAAAATTACATTTTTAGGGGTGGAGGGCTTAATTAGAATGACAGATTTATTACAATACTTCACTATCCAAGTTTATCACACCTAGGTTTAGTAAGCTGCAAGTTTTTTAGTCACTCTTGACCCACTCTGTTATAGAAACAGAGCTATCAATCAAGTCCAGTAGGCAACAAAGTCGACCAAGTCACCTTCACTGAGATTAATGCAAAATCAGTCTTTATTTCTTGAGTATCATGGCCATGGATTTTCGGCTTGAAGGAAACACAATGTTGGTCGAAACTGGATGGAGATGCGCCCACTTTGAACTTCAAATCTATAGAAGATTTCCAATTTACAGCAACCACCGACCTCTTCAGGAAACGCGACTCAACAATGGCACCATCAAAGAGCCGCATTTCCTTATTCAAGTCACTGGTTAAACAACCAAGCAGCAAATTGAAACCGCTTTGCACTTCTGATATGACAACCTCTACAGTGGCCTCAACTGCATTATTAAGGTGTGCTACAGTTATGTCAACTGCACCGTAATCGCCTGGGATCTTAATTGAATATGGCTGATTCCATAGGCCTGGAGTCCATAAGAGTGTTGCACCATCAATTAGCTGTAGGTCATCTTTTTCTTGTTCGCCTGTCTTGATCCTCACGTCAAATTCAATTAGAGCAAAGTCCATCAAATCTATCCCTCGCTTAGGGCCCATCATGTTGATGAGCGAACCCTACAAAGTTATTATATTTAGTTGCTCTTCATATCTCTTCAAGTGAATAAGAACCACCGGATGCACGACAAATTTAATATGTACCATTGGATCTAATGTTAGGCTAAGTAGGAAGAGGTTGGGTCAAACAGGAGTCTTCTCGAGAATCACCGTGAGATCCACATCGTGCTAGAAACACATGGACCAAACAACATCGCGAGGAAAATAATGAATGAGCTAGGCAGTGGGAAAAAGGCGAGACAACAACAACAAAAAAAAAATCATAGCTTTTTTTTTTCTTTTGACCAAGCAATCATGTTGGTCAAAAAGGACCTAATGGGCTGGTTATGCCGCTCAGGCCTAATGGTCCTTTGGACCATATCAAATTCTGAGGACAAAAGAAAACAAAGAGAAGTTAAATTTACATATAAAACTTTATATCAGTTAGTAATATTTCTAAAGAGAGAAAAAGAAAAATTGTTCTTATTTTGAAAAAAAAAATCTGACTTATTAAGAAATCACAAATCAAATTCCTCTATGTTAAAATTTAACAAATGTATCGTTTCCTGCCAAACACGTGCTCTAAACATCAATGCTATTCAGGCATGTAAAAAAATTATTGCTAAAACATATGTACTATAATTTATAAGTGAAGAATGACAGCCGTGCAGCAGTGGAAACGACGGGAAAGGCGGTGGTTTACTGATTTTGGTGGTGCTGTGGGCTGAGGAGTAGGGTTTCTTCTTTACTTTCTCTGTTAAAAAAATTAGGAACGAATCTAAATAAACATCTGTTAATTTTCATCTATATAAGTTGATTTTTTTCAGGAACGAAAGGTGTACTCAGAAAAGGGCTTATATATTTTTTTTCACACATATGCTTGCATATTCTGTTTCATAATAAAATTATTTCTAAAAAACCATTAAACACTTTATAAGGTTCAAAAATATTGTTTATATAATATCATTAATAGATATTTTTATATACTATATAGTAGGACGGTTAGTCGTGCGGATGCACGACTTCGTATACTAGTGAAATTACGAAATATCTAAAGCTAGATGCTTCCCTTCTGTTGTCTGTTGTTTCACTTGTAACAACATTTACTTAAAAAGGAATATTCTACAATCACCAAGATCTTCGTCATGTATCAAACAAACTGGTTACAAAATGCATAATGGTGGTAGAGAGGGGATACTGGACCCCGTTGTTCATTTTATTTTGTTTCAAATCCCAAAAAAAACATAAAGCATGTGTAAATGAAAGGACAAGACTTATGTAGTGATGGGATCATTAATGCTATGCATCTTCATATGCCTATAAACAAAAGAAAATCAATTTGTGCAGTGTACTAAGCAGCAACCAAGTGTCCAAAACTATTCAACATGTTATTTTTTTTAATACATGTACACCCTTAGTTTCAAATTTTAAATTTGTTCTGATAGTTAGCTATTCATCATAGTTCATCAATGTAAGGCGCATTTTGGAAGAAGTCTTCGAAAGTAGGTTTTGACATTTGATTTCTGTAACAATATATTGCCAATTGCTATAAAATTAACACCTCAAAAGTATGAAATTTTCAAAAAAAAAAATCACCTTGGGCAAATGTACTAGTGGCTTATACAATCCAAATTATTTTAATATTATTCTACTACTTTTGGACAGATTAATCAAATGAAGCGGTTTGTTTGCATCTAAGACAAAATATTACAATGGAGCTATAAAACAATATACATATATGGAACAACAACAATAAACTAATCCTGTTTTTAGTTATTAAGGAAATTAAGACTCAAACTTAACTTTATGTATACTAAATAATTCAAGAGCTACAGTGATAAAACATTCACAATATATCTCAACTTTGATGATGTAGATTAGCAGTTGTAGGATGCCATCAAGAATATGTAGTAATCCAATCTCATATGTATTATGCATGTGAGAAGTTTAGCCTTATATTATGAATGAAATAAATAATGTAATTAAAAATAAGGAATAAGTCTACTTAACCCCATCAAGTATCGAGGTTCGTCTACTTAACCCTCATCCGTACAAAATTGGGTATTTGGCCTACCAAAAGATATACACCTAAAATGATTCTCTTTTGCGGTTTTGGTGGTGGCTTTGCCCATGTGGCAGCATCGATCTAACAAGCCAGGAGGGTGACACCATGTCACACCCCAATCCGGCACCGCCGTACAACGGCACCTGATATGAGCGTGTCCTAGGAAAAACAGTGCGAGCCGCTTCCTACGAAACCGCGATCTCAGTACCAGTCCCAGGATGTAGCGCTGGTACCCACGGTGACAAATATGAATCATTGCAATCCTTAAAATAAGTAGAGGACTTATTTACCTTAACTTAGGTTGCAGCTCAGACAGCCCGAGAATGCAACCGACGACACGGACAAGGCAAACACCAACAACAGCGGCAACAGCGGAACCAACGGTCTAACACCCAACACCACAGGCAACAGCAGGGAACTAGGACGAAACCCTAATCTTTACTTCACTTCAACTTCATCTTTAGAGCTGGCAGAACTATATATTTATATAGAGCAAGGGTGAGTACAGGAGTACTCAGCAAGCCATGGGAACTTAGGTGGTTAATGCAGGCTTCAAAGATAAGGTTGTTATTTTGCAATTGGTTTTGTTTGCAAGCATTTTAATAATCTAAGTGTGTGCTCTCTGCGACCAGAGCGAGATAAGTCTCAGCTCGGTCGGGAGGTGACTAGTGACCAAAATTTTATAAAGATTTGCACAACTCCCAGAGTTGGCCTCAAAGCTGGTTTTCCCAAACCAAACCATTTTTCCAAACTTTCCAATAATAGTGGTCCCCAAACGACCAATCACTTCCAGGGACTTCCGGTCCCGCTGTCCCCCGGACAGCTAATTGCTTCCCAAGCATTAGGTTTCCCAAACCTTAACACCTTTTCATAAAACAGGGTAAAACAAAAACTACACTAAGGAATCACCTCACATCCACCCATGACCGTGGGCACGGCTGTTCGAACAGTTTAATAACCTTTGCAGAGGGGGTACACTTTACCCACACGACGTTACTAGCCTTGGTCACCCAGCCCGTGCAGAACAGCCACGTCTGGTGACTTTGGGGCTTTCACGACAAGGCATTTCGAAAGCCGACACAGGGTTACCATATGCCAACGAGAGGGGTCCCAGACCAACAACAGGTTAGGTCCCAGACCATACTGTGCCAGGAAGCCCGGGGGTTCTCCCCGACACCACCCCGTTGAATCCACATGTTTCTTGGCATCAAGGCTCCCTTGATTAGCTATTTACTCAGTCAGGGGTGTCTCATTCCACCCGTGTGGTCGCACTATTGTATGCTCGGATGTAATTCCAAAGGAATCGGTCCTTAGATGCGACCGCACAAGTATTCCGCCCAGGAATGGCCTTGTGTCGCGAGTTTTATTTTTAAAACTCATTTTCTTTCACAAGGCACCGACCCAGGCGTCGGGTTTTCCAAAGCTTTTGTAAACCAAGTTTTACCCAAGAAGTTACTCAGATTTTAAGTTTGAAGGCGACCGTCGATACTCGCACAGAGTGCACAAATATCGAGGCGCAACTAGATGGTTACAAGGGAACATGATATAACAATTAACAATGGAAGGATCAGATGCAACAAGTTGGGTAGGCCCACCGGTCTGCCTTGCAGACGGGGCAAACAGATTAAGTGCAATCCTATCAATGCATAATATTTTGCAAGCAATATAATTAAGTTCAAATATAGGCTCAATATGTTCAAAGGTGGCTTGCCTTGCTCAGGGTCTTCACAAAGCTTCACAAATCTTCGAGAATTCCACTTGAAGAAAAATATCCGGTAACCGCAACTAGGCGCAAACAATCAAAAACCTAAACAAAGACCAAATAAAATATCCTATTTAGGCTAATTAATAGTGCCATTAGATAGATCACAATTTAATGGAATTATTGGAAGTGGAACAGGGTAAATCGGAGTTACGGATCAAGAGATATGAATTTTGGAGGTTTAATTGGAATTTATGGACAAAGGAAATGATTTATTGGAATTTATAGAAATAATATTCTCAATAATATTATTGACAGTCACTGACGTGCGGGACCAAGGGAAATGATTTAGGGAATTTTGGAATGGAGAATTGGTTTATGGAGGCAAAGGAAAAAGGATTCAATAAATCCCTTGGAAAAGAAAAGGAAAGAAGGATGGGATTTATACTTCCTCGGGGTGGCTAGGGCGCGGCCCGAGGGGTTTACAAGGCTCAGACGGCCAATGGGCCGAGCGTGGCCACAGGGAGGCGGCCCAACAGAGGGGGCGCGGGGGGGGGGGGGGTGTGAGAGGCGGCCCGGTGGACGCGGTCCACCGCGCGGGGCCCACGTGGTGGTGGTTGGGTTCATGGTGGGGAGGACGCACGCGGGGTGCGGCGCTAGGGTTTCGGGTGCGCGTGGCTTAGGAGCGGTGCACCGGGTGGACAAACGGCGGCGGGCCCACGCGCAGCCGCATGGCGCACCGTGGTCCGTGCGCTCGGAGGGGGAAAGCGGGACTGGCCGGTTTGACTCGGTCTAGCCGAGTTGGCACCGACGTGGCGCCTACGTGGCAGCCACGCGGGCCGGCGGGAGGAGGAAGAAAGGGGAGGCCGAGACGGACGGCGGACAGCGGCCAAGTTCACCGGAGCCTTGCGGGACGGATTTGGTCTTCGGGGAGCACACCGGAGTGACAAGGGATTCGAGAGGGAGCGATCCAACGGCTCGGATTCTCCGGAGAGAGGTCGGCGACGATAAATCGCGGCGGCGCACGCCGGCGGCGAGAAAAGGGGGAAAATCCACCGGAGCAATGGGAGTTCGATTCGGCGGGGTGGGAGCATCTCCGATGTTCAAGGGGTGCATTCCCGGCGTCGGATAGGGTAGAGAAGTACCGAGGAGGGCCGGCGACGAGCGGCGGCCTTCGGGATCGGACGGCAATGGCGGCGGGGCCATGCCGGGCGGCGGCGGGGCTTGGGGCGGCGTCCAAGCGCGTTCGGGAGGGCTATCGAGCCGCTACGCAAGCTGGAGTGGAAGAGGAAAAGCGGGGAGGGAGAACGGGGGCTACCGCGTCGGGAGATCGCTGGGAAGAGCGTCCGACGGCGCGGCGGGACCGCCTCAGCCTCGGGCCGGGGAAGGGGACGGAGAGAAGGCGATCGGAGTCCCCTTCGGCTCCGCGCGCACGCCGACTTCCCGGCACGTGCAACGGCGAGGAAGGTGGTGGCGGCAAGGCGGCAAGAACAGAGGAAGAGCGGGGAGCGGCTTGGCTTTTATAGGCGGAGAAGAGGCGGTTTAGGAGGGGGAACCGACTTAGATGGTCAAGGGATCTCGGCTGTCGCGTATGGTCAAGGTGGGGGCGGCGAACTTGGCAGTCACGGGCGGCAGAGGGGGGGGGTCGATGGTGCCGGTCGGGGAAAAAGCAAAAGGGGAGGGAGGAAAGGGGGCTCTGCCCATGCCATTCTGGGAGAAAGGAGGAGGGAGAGAGAGCTCTGCCTCCGGGAGTTGGACGCACGCGGCTTGGAGCGGCCAGGCACGCGTCGTAGGGGGTGTGGGGCCGAGCGGCGCAGGCGGTGCAAGCGCGGCAGGGCTGACGGTGGCGGTGACTGGCCGGTCGGCCACGCGCGAGCGCGCGTGAAGGCGGTGGCGATTCGAATCGGCAAGGCGCTGGCGCGGCGAGGAGCGAGAGCGAGCGAGAGAGAGAGAGAGAGAGAGAGAGAGAAAGAACGAGAGAGCGATCTCTCGGATCGGCTCGGCGCGTGCAACACACGTGCGAGGCTGAGGGAGGGGATAGGCAGGGGGAAAATGGGCCGAGAAGAAACGGCCCACAAGCCAGAGGGAGGCAAACTAGACTTTTTAAGAGAGATTGAATTGGAGAGAATTTGGAGTTTAGGTTTGAATTCAAAGATGATATTTAGGAACATAGGGTGGAGTCAAGGAATGGATTCAAAACGGGAATTGAATATTTTTGTAGTCGAAGCGAATATTCGGTAAGGATTCAAAGGAGACTCCGTATCCTTGGGGTTGGGACAATGGTATGGGATAGATTTCAAAGGTAGTTAGAGAGGTCAATAGATAGATAGATAGCTGGGTAGACAGATCGATAGGTGGACTGATTGGTAGAAGGATAGATGGATAGATAGGTTAGATAAGTAGATAGATCGATCGATAGGCAGGGAGGGATTCAAGGTAGGGATTTGATATTTTTGGAAACGGGAACAGGTATTTGGCGAGGGTTCAAAGGAGGCGATTAACCTTTGGAATAATTGAACTCGGAATTAGAATCTTGAGGTGGAGGATTTTGATGGCGATGGGAGGGAACAACAGGATTTGAATTGAGATCCAAGGCACGACTTAGACTCACACTCAAAGAACAAAAATTTTCGCAATTAGGATTTTCAGTAAATTAGCTTTTAACGTCTCGTGAAAAGCGGGGCGTTACAAACCACCACCGAAGCTGCCCCCAAGGTGGTTTTGTACTTGAGGGCCTAAGCGGACAAACCTCAATATTAAGGGGTGTTAGCTAGACTTATTCCTTGAAATAACTGTGGATAAGTATAGATGTGTACCTGCTCCACAATGATAGGATCATCCCTGCTAAAATTGATGATATAATTAAGCAATGGATCCAGATCATCCCGCACTGCTATGTATCCGTACAACTCTACTAAGCAACCATCATTATGAATTTCAGCCAACTCTAATGATAACATTTGCAGCATGCATCTAGGAGGATGTTGCAAGCAAGTTCCATCGTCCTTGATACAGTTAGTCGGATCTGAAAACCTCATTGCTTCCAACCGAGCTTCATAAAAAAGTAACGTCGAAATGTAAGTTTGTAACCGGAAATTAATGTAGTAAACAAATACTTGCCATTTGAAAGTACATGTGTTATTCGATGATTATATGGCCTTATTGGAAATTTTTCCTTCCATCTACAAAGTACAAATAACCTATGTTCCTTTTACTAGGAAGTGTGCTCCTCCCTGAAAAATTTTTCTTTAGGAACACCCAAAGAAGCATTGCCTCGAAATGCATATCAATTGCTTCCAATGAAAGCATTTGAGCACGGGGCTAGTGTGGATTGAAGGGGATATTGGCATAAACTGTACGGCATCTTTTGTCCCAAAGCATACAATATGCAACACATGCCATCTATTTAGATGAGATCAGTTTGGTAGTAGTAGTTTGGTAGGAGTTGGCTGGGATGGTTTCCAGTCCATTGGTGATACAACTCGATACCATCTAGAATCACTGCAGAAGAGTAAGGGAGGATAATAACAAATCAAAAATAGAAAAAGAGAGATATAATCGCTTACTCTCATTACGATCTGCAATACGCAATTCCTTTTTCCACCATGTATCCATGATGCCCCTGTATATAGAACCATCACGGTGTCTACTTTTTGGAAATAGAATGTCCATAGAATAATCTTCGTCATCAGTGACTTCCTTGTCGTCGTCATTGGCATCCCTCTGTTCCTGCATTTCGCTCCTTCGGTCTTCCTCTTGCCCTAGTAATTGCAGGTTGAAGCTTGGTCTCGGAAGCACAATCTTCTCCATGGACTGATTATTGTTCTTCGGTTCGTTTCCATCTCCAATCAGTGGCAGCATAGTAGGTTTTGTTGTGTTGAACAACCTGTGGCGCGTCAGTTTGACGCAGTGCAGAGATTTGGCTCTAGGGATGCCATTGTCCACGAGCAGATTCAGAAACTGACGCGAGAGGCCCATCTTCGATTGTTAACTTCAAAAACAGGGCATCGTCATAAAATTTATACAACAAATAGGATAGGTTAATTATTACTTCCTCTGTTTTATAATGTAAGTCTTTCTAGTATTGTTCACATTCATATAGATGTCAATGAATCTAAACATATATGTGTGTCTAGATTCATTAACATCTATATGAATATATGAATATGAGCAATACTAGAAAATCTTACATTATAAAACGTATGAGCAATACTAGAAAATCTTATATTATGAAACGAAGGGAGTACTTCATTGCAAAGAAGACCTAATTTCAGGATCGAAGAAGAGTACGTACAACTACCAGCAGCAGTCAGGCACAGGCAGCAACAATTAGCTCACTCGATTCGACTCCAACTGCACTCTCTTTATTCTTTCTTGTGTCTTTCCTTGCGATCGATCAAAATTCAAACGGCAGGGATGGCTTTGAAGACGGACGGGATGGGCATCACAAAATCCTAACAAACGAAGGTGAGGAGATAAGAAATTGGGTTTGGATCAAAGAAAAGAAAAGAAAAGAGGGTGAAGATTAAGCAGGCGGCTGACCTGAGGCGCATTGGAGAGTGGAAGCTCCTCAGCGGCGCCGGAAGCGGAGCAGAACGGCGGCGGCCGGCGGGGGTGGGCGTCGTCGTCGGCGTCGGCGTCGGCGTCGGCGTCGCTAGATTTGAGGGGTGGATGGGCGTGGCCGCGTGGGCTGTCCGTGGGCTCTTTTTTCTGAGGAGGATATGGGCTGCTTTTTCAGGAGTCTTCACATGCAGTTAGGCCTGCCTGAGTTTGTATATAAAACGTGTGGTTTTGTGTTCCAACAGCCCTGATTTTTTAAATCAAATTTGCTCATCTAATAAATTTACCTACTTAAAAATCTAAGTTACTTGTATTTAAGTCAGTTTTTAAGTTTGTTCACTTTTAAAAATACAGATCCGTGTTTGAGTTGAATTTTAAATTCGTTTGCTTTTGAAAATACAAAATGAATCGTATAAGAAATCTCTTTAAAATAACTCGCACGCTAACTTGAGATGAAAGTAGGACTCCTAATTACAGCTCATGGTTTTCTAAAAAGAAATATATCCAAGCGAATTCCCACAATGAATTTCATTCTAGCTAAACCATATAACAATAATAACATTAAAATAGCATTCACCCGTTGCAACGCACATGCATTTTTCTAGTCTATCAAAAAAAAGATAAAGCTACAACTATTTTGCAGAACTCTCAATTTTCCACGACTTTAGCTAAGTGTTTAAGAGAATTACAACAATAATACACAATTTTTATATAAAAAACTACAACTTTATACGTCGATAGTTTTTGGCCTACCTGTCATTCACATATGCAATAATCATGTCGTTGCATGTTAGGCTCACATGTCATACTCACGTATGCAATAATCATGTTGATGAGCAAAGTAATAGATTTGACCAAATGAAATCTCCAAAAAGAAGATTTGACCAAATGATTACATGTTTTCGATTTAGTCATTTAATTAACTAGTCGATTGCAACTATATGGCGGAAAGATGTTAGGGCTTGTTTGGTTTCAAGCCTAATTTTTACTCCATCAAATTTTTGGTAATGCCATAAGTTTTTGGCACTACCAAATTTGGTGGTATACAATTTAAATTAGGGTGGGTAAAAATTGTTAGCAAATCAAACATGCACTGGGTACTATTGAAATTGTCAAAATTTTGGTAGGTCCAAAAGTTGGCTTCAATCTAAACAAACCCTTCCAAAAATCAAATCCTGATATATATAGCTACAAAAGAAAAAAAATCATCGTTTTCATGATTTCATCCCAACCAAATGGCCAAATCCAAATGCAAAAAAAAAAAAAGGTTTCAAAAAATAAAAAAAAAGAAAAAAAACACATTAAGCTGCCCTCTGACGAGACGGTCCCACAGGCCACAAGGCAGTCGGACTATCGCCGGCTCGCCTCGGCGCTCGGCTTCTCCTGTACTCCTCTCCCCTCCGATCTCTCCACTTCAAAACACTCGCCGCCGACGAGCTCGCCCGCCGGGCTAGGGCTAGGGTTTCGCGTCGCCGCAAAGGGCGGAGCCCCCATGAGCGCATCCGGCTTCGGCCGCGACGCCGGCCCCCTCAACCGGGGCCCGGGCACCGCCCCCTTCGCCTTCGGCGCCGGCGCCGCCGCCGCCTCCACCCCGCCCGCCCCTGCTCCCTTCCCATCCGCTCGACCGGTCGCCCCTATCGGGCCCCCCGCCGCCACCGCCGCCGCCTCTCGCTTCCCGAGCCCTCGTCCCCAGCTCGCTGCCACCCCACGCCCACCCGCCACTTCCCCCGTTCCCGTACCCTCATCCTCCGCGCCGCGCGGCCCGGCCTTTGCTCACGGCGCCGCCAATCCCGTGCGCTTCCCTAGCTCTCGCCCGGCCATCGATCCTGGCGTGCCCGCCGCCACTGCTCGCCACGTTGGTCGGCATCTCCAGCCCCAGCCGAGGTGAAGTTCTGTGCATTGTTTAGTGATGGTTTGCATTGGTTTTTTTTTTGTGAGTTTTGGTATCAAGCTGATTAGTAGTGATTAGGTTTCAGTACTTGCTTTTTCATCTAATTCTAAGTAGAAGCAATCTATTACACATCGCTAAGCACAAAAACTGTAGCTGTGCGCTGTACAGAGCTGTAGTTTATCTACACTAGTTTTGCACATGAGATGATTGAATAATGCGGATGATATCCTTATTAGAGATTTTTGGGACGCAGACAACAAATTTTGTCTGGTCTGTTGTACGTAGGTATGCCAATATCGTCAATCGTATTACTCTGTTTTTCCAATACAACCTGTGTAAATTTGGCCATTCAAATCATATCATGGTCTTACAAACTATACACATCAACTTTCTAGCTCATTCCCAAGCTCTATGCACACTGGTGAATCAAGTGACTGATTTGGAGCAGTGCTCAGATCTAAATTGCATGTTCAGGTTAATACAGCATGGGTGAAAATAAGGTCTCAATAATTGCTAGGATGCAATTCCCATCCCATCTTGATGTAGTTATACTTAGTATCCATGTTTTTTGATGATTGCATTTGCATTCTTTGCAGGCCAGCTGCATCATCAATACGCAGCCCTGTGCGTCCTGTTATCTCCTCAAGGAGCAGGTCCACATCTCCTCTATCAAATCAGCGTATTGATTCTCCTGCAGACTATGATAATGGTATGGGAAAAAGAAGGTAAAACTGCCTTTTGATGTGCCTCTTGTTTGTTCTATAAAGGGATTAAGTTTGTTCTGGTGTCCTATATATGTTTGTGTCCATGGTATAAATACTTACTGGAGTATAACTTAAAGATGTCTAGGAAGTTATAACTGGAAAGTTGGCAAACATATTTCTCACTTGGGCTTATTTGTTGTGCTTTTTTTTTGGTTGTTTGCTGCATATACAAGTTTGAAATTGCATTCAATGGCTTTGGTTCAAATACAATACCTCAATATAATATGTATGTTGTCGGTGGACGTGAATCTCTTGTGGAAGTGTTTGCAACGAACGGTGAACCAAACTACTCTACTTATGTCAGTTAGCTTTCAGTCATTTACTACAATGTTGCGGTCATATTTCATTCACTGCTAATTGTTAAACAGAAAACTACATGCACTACAATCTATTCGTGGAGTGCACATCATGGATTACTCTTGATGTTGGTGCTGCCATGTTTGGCATGCTATTCATCATTTGGAACACCCTGTGGGATGAGTATAAGCACGGTCGTACAGATCTGTAAAATATCTCTTTACTATGCATTAGTTCACTCGAGATCTTCCTGGAGTTTGCTGCTATTGCTGGCTGGGTGCTGTCCATTACTTCAAAACCTAAAATGTTTCTTCCATTGATAGGGTGGTAAACTATGCGGACCCATTGTTTGAAAATGGAAGTGCACCTATAGAGGACATGAGGACACAGCCTTCAGAATTTGGGAAAACAGCACGATCACCAACTTCAAACATTACCAGCAAGTTTAGACCACCATCAGGCTTCCAAAATTATCACCCTGTGCAGGCTGCCAATCCTCTTGAATACAAGTAAGTTTCTTTCAAACAATCTTCCCAATATTATGTACTGTATTTCATTTTAACCTCTGCTTCTCTTATAGTACAGACTATATCAAAAGATTGTATAGAACTATCTAGCTAGTACATGCAGTATTTTACTACTGATTTTGTTTATGGTCATACTTTGCTTCTTATCTCTCTACTGCTGCTGATTTTTCAGACCTAATGTAACACCTGCGATGTTCGGAAACCAGAACCTCCATGATGTACGAGCAGCTCCCTCTCCTGCTTTGAACAACAACCGTTTAGTTCCTGGAAGTGGCAGACTACGTCCTGCCTTAGGGGGTGGTGCATCTCCCACGGTGCTTGGTGATGCAAGTCAGTATGATAATTCAACACAATCAGTTATGGCTCGACAAGAGATGAGCGAACATATGCGACCGGTATCACAAAGGTGCTGTATACTAGAACTGTTGATCTGATTTCTGTGCTTATAGTTCTACAATTTTCTTTTGGGGCTTCTTTTGTACCCAGCCAGTATGATCCTCAATATAATAGCATTTTCTCTTTATGGAGTATGGCAGTTAAAAGCCTTAGGTAGATAACTGTTCCTTAGGTAGATGACTGTTTCTATGTTTTCCTTATGAGTTCGATTAAATTTCTACTACATACATGCTGGTAGCTGATAGATGTCACATGGGGCAAAATCGTGTCGGTACATCCAAAATGGAAAATTATTTCTGTGGACACTTTATTGCAAAATTATGTTACTTCTTTGCCTCCCTTTTGCTTGCTGGGACGGATTCTCTATTGCTGATGAAACCATATTTCATGATTTGATTTGATATTTTGAATAGAAAAGGTAAAGCTGCTGTGTGATGTCATTTTATATCTATACTTGTGTACATTCAATATCTTCTTCTATGTGTGTGCGTGTGCGTGCTTGCACATACGTGTTGGCTGTAATGTGTTTTTTCTTTATTTTTTTTAGGTTTCTTGCTTCATTTCAAAGCCGATCATTGGATCATAATATTTCGAAAAGGTCTAGGTCACCTACTTTGTCCCATCAGGATGCTGATGGTGCTGAAGCTCATCAAGATGCTGGTGTAAATGCTAGAAGGTATCTCAGATGTTCATTTCTCCATATGGTGGTGAAAATTTTTCTAGGAATATTTGGTGCACAATATGCATCCTTTTTATCTATTGTTTTGACACCAACCAACATTTGCTCATCTATCGGTTTTTACGTACCAAAACATCTGTTTTCTATATAATGATTTGGAAGGAAATAGATAAGTATGAAGATCTATTGGAAATCATTTTGCTAGTATTATCTGTTTAGGAGAGTAAGAAATGCTGTCTACATCATTTTGGCTACGGTTACCAATGCAACACTAGTTCTTTTTGTTACCGAACTGACCAAAACATTTTGAACATGCTTTTTTGTAAATTTATTTCATTTTAAGTTTACTTTTCTTGAAGTAATATATATTATTTTCCTTGTAAACTTCACTCTTGCTAAAATTGTTGTTTAGAAAACTTATGTTTTTTAAGCTTCTAAATGCATAACCCCTGCACTTAAGTTGCCAGTAATAATTAGCCTGATGTTAATCCATCTTTTGTACTTTCATTTTTAGAACAACCTAAAATTCTTTGGGAAATCTGTTAGTATGAAATTATTGTGTACTTATTTTCATAATCTCATCAGTTGTAGTAAGGTTGTGCTTATTATCTTAATTTTGCCTAGTTCTCTTAGATTTTAAAAGGGCTTAACTTTGTAGTGGTCTAAAACCTGATGGCTGACATCAGTACATCACAGTTCCACTCAGTTTTGTTATTGGCATTCTATCGTACAGTTAACATGGCTATTTTTTGTTGTGCTTCCTTTACAGACTGATAGACTATACGGATTCCTTGTTTGATGACGGAATGGTTGAAACTTCCAAGCGAATGAAATCACCTTCATTAGAATTCACAAGCATGGTCAAATCTCCATCTTCAGATATTAGAGGCGATACTAGACCATCACCTGCAGGTTTACGCAGCAATAGTGCAGCCCAGAATCTACGTTCAAGTGTTGATATCCAAAAGTAAATGCTGCTTCTATGATTCTCTTTTTTGTTTATGCCAATTTTGGTTATTATATATTGGTTCAAATAAGTGGTAAGCAGTGAGGGTGAAAATGGATTATAATTAGGAAAGGCATATTTTTACGCATCATTTGTATTTGTCCCTACGAATAAATAATAATAATGTCCTGTTAATCCATTATTCGGCATGCCGAAGCGTTTACACTCAACATTTAATAGTTGTATTTGTTGATATTTTTACAGGGCTAGTTCATCTGTTCCCAAGGTTGGAAATCAAGTGCAATTTCGTATCGGTGATGTGCGTTCACCACCATATCAGATTGACCCTTATTCCAATGAACAGAACACAGCTGCTGTTTCTCCACCAAAGCCTTCTATTCTTGGTGCTAGCAAAAGAATTGGGACCTCTCTGCTGGACTTTACTGATGATGATAACATGATCCCTTCAACTGAAAGTGAGAGGTGCTTATGATTCAGCTTATAATAACCCATCCCTTTCCCACCTCGAAACAGTGCTTTGATCAAACATGCTACCTGCTGGTATTGATTCGTGATATTTCCTGTAGAGAAAAACAAGCAAAAGCGAAGCGCTTGACTCGTTTCAGTGTTGAATTAAGCAGACCGGTCGATAATATTAATGATTTTGTAAAAGCGCAGAAGGGCTCTGCAGACAAGCAAAAACAAGCCTCTTCAATGGGAAAAGTTCCAACTGGATCGAAAGATGATATCGATGAAAGATCTATGGCTGATGCAGATTCCCCAGGGTTAGCTGCAATTATTGGGCTTTGTCCTGATATGTGCCCAGGTGTTTCCTGCTGTAGATCATAGATCATACCACTTCCGTGCAATATTTTCTTAAACTAGCTACTAATAACAGATGCATGTTCATTGTTTTTTATTAGAACCGGAAAGGGCGGAGCGTGAAAGAAAAGGAGATCTTGATAAGTATGAGAGATTAGATGGAGACAGAAACCAAACTACTGAGCTTCTGGCTGTTAAAAAGGCATGTGATGCTATCCTTATCACCTAGCAGTATGGCAAAAATTTATCTGAAACTATTTGTGATCACCTATCACAGGAAGCATGATTGAAAGTTTTCATCTGATTGATACAGTATAATAGGACCGCTGAGAGAGATGCAGACTTGATAAGGCCTCTGCCAGTTCTGCAGAAGACAATGGATTACCTTCTTAGTTTACTGGACCACACATACGATGACAACTTCTTGGGCTTATACAACTTCTTATGGGACCGGATGCGAGCGATAAGAATGGATCTTAGAATGCAACATTTTTTCAATCAAGATGCTATTTCTATGCTGGAACAAATGGTAGTTACATTTATTTCTTGGTGTCATTACATGTTTATTTATTTCGACACCTTAAGTTCCCAAAAAATTTCATCCTCAAGCCACCTTTTCTTTTCTGCCCAGATAAGGCTCCACATTATAGCAATGCATGAATTATGCGAGTACAACAAGGGAGAAGGGTTTTCAGAAGGTTTTGATGCACATCTTAACATCGAGCAGATGAATAAAACATCAGTGGAGCTATTTCAAATGTATGATGACCACAGGAGAAAGGGTGTATTGTTCCCAACAGAAAAGGAGTTTCGGGGTTATTATGCCCTGCTCAAGTTAGACAAGCATCCTGGTTACAAGGTGAGGTGAACTGAGTGGCTCTTGTTGTTTTCTGATATTTTCTGACTTGTACATACTACATACACCTGAATTTTAGGTTGAACCTGCTGAGTTATCTCTAGACCTTGCTAAGATGTCCCGTGAAATCAGAGGCAGTCCAGACATCTTGTTTGCAAGGGAAGTTGCAAGGTAGTCATACTATCTACTTTTGTTTGTACTTATCAAGTTCATTGATTTGTGATTTAACACCTTTTTTCCCTATTGCCATTCAGAGCTTGCCGAATGGGGAACTTTATTGCCTTCTTTCGTCTTGCAAGGAAAGCAACATACTTGCAGGCTTGTTTGATGCATGCTCACTTTGCAAAGGTAGAATTATTGCCTGCGAAGGATGCTTCTTCTGGTATCATTTTAGTGAAAATTATGGCTCCAAAGATAGCCAACATTTACTCGTTCCCATTGTGTGGCAACAAAGTAGCCTTTATAATAATAAAAATCAAAACTCTAATACTTTTGATTACTATACAAGTTTTGCTAAAACTGTTATTGCAGTTGTTAGGACCTTGCTTTTGTTTTTCATGAGGCAAAAGCTGCTTGATTGCACAGAGTTATTTCATTTATTTGTGACATGGTGCCATTATTTCGTAAACTGTTGTGACTGTCTCTCCCTCCACAGTATTTACTTCTCAGATTTAGGATGTACATTATTGAAGTACTATCCTTTTTATGTTATGACAGGTTTTCTGCATGATGCTCTGTTCTATGTTGACGTACTGAGTACCTAATTTTAGATATATTTTGTGGTTCTAGGCATCGGATTATTCTACTGTAATAGTATTGCTTTTCACTGCTCACATTTTAATGCACTTCTAGTTTTCATGTCGTAGGCTATTTGTTCTTCAGTCTTCACTTTTGAAAACTTAACATTTTTTTTCTCTACCCAGCTAAGAAGGCAAGCACTGGCTTCCTTGCACAGTGGTCTTCAGAATACCCAAGGCATCCCTATTTCCCAAGCTGTTGAGTGGCTTGCTATGGAGGTAACTGCTCTCTCACTTGTGTAGTGGAGTAATAAGTAGGAGTAATAACTACTTTAAAAACGAGGAAAATGATTATCCTTTTATGACTTCTTTTTTCAGGACGAAGACATTGAAAGTCTTTTAGAATACCATGGTTTTGGATTGAGGCAGTATGAAGAATTGTACTTAGTGAAAGAAGGGCCTTTTCTTAACAGCGAGACTGATTTCCCATCTGGCTGTTCTCAACTTGTGCACTTGAAGAAATCACAGAGAATCATCAATGATGTTTCTTCTGGTCCAGTTTGTGCTCCTACTAGCCAAAAAGAGGCTCTTGCATCAAATTCTGGTGGGTTCGCTCTAACACGAGGGCATGTTCACCCACAGCCTTCTCTTCTGGTAAAAAGAGAATTTGGTCTGTCCTTTCCTGGACCTGTTTCTCCCACTTCTGGGAGACAGACTACCTCCCTGTATTCTGGTTCCTTTTCCCCCAAAGCTGGCAACAAGCAATCCAGTTTGCCATCTTCAAGTCCTATGTCCCCAACTTCTGGCAAAAAGGAGAGTGTTCATGTACCTTTTAGTACTCCTCCACATACTACCAAGCAAGCTATATTACCGCGCACAGGATGGATAGATGAACAAAAGGTAGCTTCACCAAAAGCAGAAAGCAACACAAAGGCAGCTGATGATTTTATACCTGAAGATCAGGATGGTGGTCTTGTAGGGTTCCCTCGAGGGCAACCTGATGTACCGTGGACACAAGCTAACATTCAACAGGACAGTGCTTTGGAAGAAACCAAATTTTCACCTCCTCTCGCAGATGGTGTATCCTTAGATTACTCCAATATGCATGGAGAGGAAAATGAATTCAGGCCAGATGGTTCCAGCATTGACGCAGATATGGATGAGGAGAGTCCATCACACAGAGAAGTCAACTTCATACAACCTGAGTCATTTGTGGGTTCACATTTATCTGATTCAGATCACAAGGAATATGATGATCACAACATTGGTGACAGAGCAGCAGATAACATGTTACCAGTAGTTGTATCTCCAAAGAAAATTATTTCCAATGAAAGGTTGAAGATAATACTGAGGTTAGTCCTTGATCTATTGGTATTCCAACCATTAAAATGCTCCACTGGCCGCAACCAACCAAATGTTCCCTATTATGATTTTGTAGGAAATGGAGGCACCGTGCTATGGACAAGAGATTTATTAGAGAGCAGAAAAATGCTCTTGCTATTGCAGCATTGAGTTCTCTGTCACTTGGTCCACCTGTTCACCAAACTGCAGTGGTGAGTCTACCTTCATTTTATTTTTATTTCATTACCTTTTAACTTCAAATGTGTTTTGAGTACATAAATGTTGGGTTTTTTAGGCTTTTAGTGCCTAACTCATGTTTTGAGTTATACCAGTTTTTATGAGTTGAAAATGTTTAACCAGATGAAACTATCGAGCAATTCATCTTTAATTGTGGAATAAACATCTTAGCTCTCGTGGAATGTGGTTTGTGGGAGTCATGCCATTTTCTGTGATCTTTTCTGTTGTGAAAACATGATGACAATTTGTTGACTTGTCTACATTGAAGGTGCCGGTGCATGCAGTTCATGATCTAGACATCAGTCATGCATTTAAAGAGAGACACTCAAGACAACAACTATCGTTGTCACCTCTAAATGTCTCGGAGTTGGCTGGTCCCATTTTAACAGAAAGGAACCCTGATGCTAGATGCATCTGCTGGAAGCTGCTTGTACTTGTCCCCCCTGGTACCATGGAATTCACCAGCAATTATGCCTCAAAGTGGTTACTCAAAAAGCTCATGGGCTCTGGAAATGAAGATGCTGGATTGCTTTTTTCTTCAGCAGACCTATCAATTTGGACAAAGTGGAACAGTTCTCCAGACACATGCTGTTTATCTATTGCTAGGGCCATTGACCAGCAAGTCATTGGTAACGACATAGCCAATGGCACAAACTGTATAATATTCCTGGTATCTGAAACCATTCCGTGGGAAATGCAGAAGGCACGGTTTAGCAGTCTGTTAGCATCTATACCTGCTAAATCCAATCTTCCTCTTCTGATTTTGAGTGGCGACACATACAATGAAGAGTATGATTATGCGTCACAGAGTGTCATTGACAGGCTTGGCCTCGGTTGTTTGAGTGAAGAAAAGATCGCATCATGCTTGGTTATTTTTCTAGTTGCAGACGACATGGAAGGTTATGCCAATGGGTTCTTTGATGATGAGAAGTTACGTGGGGGCCTGAAGTGGCTGACCAGAAACTTGCCTCCACAGCCTGATGTCACTCTTGTGAAGACCCGTGAGTTGCTTTTGAACTACTTGAACCCATCACTTGACTTGCTTAACAGCCGTGCTGCACCTGAAGTTTGTCCCGAGCATTGCATTTCAGTATTCAACAAATCTGTCAACCAGCTTACAGAGGAGATTTCTGCAGCAGCATACACAGCTTCTAACCAATGGCCAGCTCCTGAGATTAATCTTCTGGAGAGATCAAGCAGTGAGAGAATATTTGCAGAAATGTTTCTACCTAGCATTGGATGGTCACTGCCATCGAGAATTCAGCCACTGGTTGCAGCCATAAAGAGTTGCAAGCTTCCAGAATTCAGTTACGACATGTCTTGGCTAAACAAAGGCTCTTATATGGGCAGTCAAATCCAAGACCAGAAGTTATACCTTGAGGAGTGCTTAACAAAATACCTGACAAAATCAGCTCATTTGCTAAATGAAGCCCAGGCGGCTACCGAAGTGAAGGTTATGGTGCAGAAAGGTGTCGGCCTCGAGCTCCGTGGCTCGCAGTACCACCTTGTGCCAAGATGGGTTACTATCTTCCGCCGAATTTTCAACTGGAGACTAGCCAAGCTTTCCACAGGAGAGTTTTCAGAAGCTTATGTCCTGAGTCAGCATCTTTATCAGACACCGGCAGCTGATTCACTTCCAAATGGAGGAACCCAGCATGATCTCTCTGCCAGCAGCAACACCACGGATGAGGCGGCACCCATTCTGGAGGATCGCGGCATGGCGCCTTCCGTGTCGTCCCGCCTCTCCCTAGATGAGATCATCGAGATCAGCTGCGATCTCGATGCCGTCAGCGCCCTGCCACCGGCGAAACCGTTGCCACCCCAACCGCCCACCCAGGTTCGCTATGAACCTCAACCACCGGGTGGGGTGAACGGTGTGCTTGGAGCTGGTGATGGCGTGCGGATGCCGAGAAGGACGGAGCTTAGAGATTTGGTGCCCATTGAGAGGGATGACAAGCTTGCGAGGCTACTGGAGCAGTGCAGCAAGCTGCAAGACAGGATCGACGGCACGCTCTCCATATACTTCTGAGTCATGAGCCTTCTTTTTTGTTTGAAGGCCACATATACTTCCTGAAGGTTTGAAGGGGCAACTAGAACTAGCTGTAGCTGTTACGCTCCTGCCTTCTTTGTTGTAAGCTGCTGTAACATTAGTATCATGCTGTGAAAAACCATTTTTACGGCCATATGAGTGGGCCCAGAGTAGAGTAGGGTCTACATGTAAGAGATTCCAACCGTACTAAAGAGAATTTTTTTTTTAATTTGGCGTGATCCAATTATCAGCTTTTCCATAGTCCAAGATATCTTTGGTCGGTGTAACCATCGCTATTACACCTGTCGGGCTTACGGGAGTGGATTAAGTTAAGAATTAAGAAGAGGATGAAGGTACGATTCGTTTCTTCAGATATGATATGGTTTAAAATAAACGTAAAAAAATAGCCGTCTCTTCTCAAAGGAAGATTAAGAGTCACGCGTCGCATCTCCAGATTGGCAGTGCTCCTCGAATCACACATTACGGCAAGCATCAACTTTAAGACATCTTTTCAAGTTGTTATTGGTAAATACAGGCACGACGACGCGTTGGTCGTCACACGAACAAAGTCAACCAATCCCCAAGTTAAACGCGACCCAGTTTGGGTCAGGAACCCCTTTTTTTTTTTTTTGCGTCGTCAGTCAGCAGGTGCTCTAAGAAAAACACGAGCAACAGCACCGAGAGGATTTGCCACCGGTGCATGACGGACACTCTGCAAAGCCAGCACCACAGCCATCGCACAGCAACAGCTCCCTGCAGAAGGAATCCGCTTTCTGTATAAGAATTTATCTGAAAATTCGACAAAATATTGATTAGGGCAAAAGATCTTACGGAGGACAGTGATGTGGTATCATGCTGCTTTTCTTGTGTCATTTAAGTTTAGATACTGTAAAGCAACAGATGAACCGATGAGAGTTTGTTTGCATTCACTCGATTCATCGATGACAAGATTGACAGTTTTACCTCATCAAGTTTAGCAGGAGGCTGTTGGGATGCTGCGCTGCACTGATCGATCCATGTTGACAACACCATCCCTTTGATGCCATGATGCTTCCGCTGGTTGCGACATAGCTCTCTCGCTTTCTATCAGCTTGGGGGTTTCTGATGTTCTCCCAACTCCAAGCAGAGGGTGAGTCGGAGAAGGAGCGACGCAGGAGAGGTGTTGTTCTGTTGGAGAGCCTGAAGAGGACGACGGCATTTCAGTAGCAGCATCTCTGTTCAGATGGCTAGCTTCTGACGGTACAAATACAGTTAGCTCTGGTTGCACCGCTCCCGAGCTGCTGCCGTTCATTTTCTGGCTCCCTGCAGGACCTGGCTGAGTAAATTTAGGAAAGAACAATAAATCTCTGCAGGCCAATTAATAGTGTGGTTTTATGCCTAAAGAAATTTGAATGTTGTGCACCAACATTTTCGGAATCCCGGATGTGCACAATGATTATCGTAATGTCATCCGTCCTGTTTTCATGCTCCAGCCATAGTTTGTACGACTCTGCAGCAATTGCTGAGCAAGCTTCCCGGGGATCTTCATATGCAGCCACCTGTTGGGATCAGAAAAGGAGGTTCGCAATTAGTGGCATGCAGTCAATAGAGAGAATATCAAGGTCAACCAAGTAATCAAAAGCACATACAATTCAACATGAAATTGTTACTCAAATTTGCATGGTGATGGGTACAAGGCATAAAAACAATAGTTCATTATCACATTACTTTAATAGTAACAAAAGGCAACATACAATCACAAGTAGCCAATCTACACCATTATAATCTAAACCCGCCATGATCAACATCATATATATCTCTTTTCCCTGATTGATAGGGTAATTTATAGGCCTTTGAGAGAAAACATAGTAGTCCCTTCTAGCCTTCTGTTAATAGTATTATAGGCATTTACACAGTTCAAAAAAATAGGATAACATATATTCTGACTGATCCAATACTGAAAAGTCATGCACTTTCTATGTAGATATTCACAGTGCAAGGCAAAAGGTAGAAAACAATGTAAATGAAATAAGCCATGGAAAGCAAAAAAGGCTGTTACCAGCCTGGCTTCCTTACACACGTAGTTGTAGCACATTCATTTAAGGAAAGTGGTGGGAAGGAAAAGAGGTTCATGAGGGGACCGCCCATTATAAACACCACTCCATGTTAGGGCCTAATCAAAACACATTTGACAGCATGCAGGCACATCCGTAGTGAACTAGCAATCAGCAGTCAATTCTAAAGTGACATTTCAGTTTTGAGTCCAATAAGATGTTTCCATCAGCAATACTTTTGGAAAAGTGTTAGATTATTCCTGATTCACACAGCCCATTTTGAGATGTTCTTACAGTGGTTTACCTATCATGCCCCTCGTTTCCGGTCAGACTTCCGATTAGTCAATTTGCTGTTACAAATCAAACGCTAATCCACTATTCTTCTACTACTCAATAGAAAGTACATCCACTTATGCATAACTTTATTCAGAGTGACAGCTTTCATGATGCCAACATCAATCAACCTCAAAACCCAAACCATTTTGTAATCATTACACCTTCCTGCAGTTCCAACTTTTTTGACAAAGCTAAAGGTTGATGGATTATTTTTACATGCATTTATGCAACAACAGATGGAGCAAAAATGTATATCCATGACCAAAATTGGCCTATTCAAATCCACGAGTGCAGCTAGTAGGCTAACTGTAACTTGTTAGCAACCATTAATATCCATCTCACCATAAATCGTGATATCGCATGTACTAAGCTCGCATCCTAACATAACTAGATGACTCCACAGATAACCTCCCCTTCACTGTAATCCGTGAAACGTTGATGATGTTCCGTAATCCACAGGGAATAAACATCACGGTACATAGAGGTTTTGCGCACCCTAGCATGCAACACTATGCTCATCAAAATCCTAATTGGAACTAACATATACCACTTTGTCTTTGTATTGGTGATCTTAACAAAAGCATTAAGCATTAAGCTTACTTCTGTGTCCCACTGGAGCAATTTCATGCTTCCCCTGAACAGAACATATGCCAAAGTCATACTCTGGTTGGGTTTTTGGCTGTGTACATCTAGTTTGGATGTAGAGGCTGGGCTTATCCCATTTTCTAAAAAAAAAAAACCTCTGGTTGGGTTTAAATGTCTCCAGAATGACACACTGGATGAAACCTATTAACTCACACATGCAGAATATAAATCACACTGCAAGGGCTGTTCTAGAATATCTTATACCATTCAAACATTTCATAAGCTTAGCTGCAACACCAGTTCTTGGAACATCGGATGCTTCATATAAGCCAAAGGCTGACAAGTTGACACACTGCATCAAGTTCTCCAGAAAGAAGAAAAGGAAGAAGCAAAAAAATCTTTTACTTCCATTATCAACCATGTTGGCTAGTTAACTATGTGTGGTAGTGATGAATTCATGGTGAGCAGTGCAGTGGAGTAAAAATATTTCAATATTATATCTCGTCTATTCCCAAAATGAAGCTCTGCACCAAGAAGAGTCCAGTTTCCATGAAGCAAATGCACTGGCTAAATACTAATTACTACCTGAGTCACCACTCACCACACCACAGTTCACTGGTATCCTATGTGTGCAAAACAAACATCGAAATGGATTGGTTCAGAAAATATTATGGGCATGAATTAGAGTGGAGAGAGAGGGGGAAATCACCATGTCCACGACATCCTGGCTGGAGAGAAACTCAAACACGCCATCGCTTGCGACGACGAAGAATAGGTGGGCTGGAGTGATCTCTACACTTTTCACCTCAGGTTCGGCGATGACACCAACAGCCTCGGCGGCTTGGTCGCCGAGGCTGCGCGTGAAGGCCGTGCCGGGGTAGAGCCCGTCGCGCGCCCACACGCGAGGTGGGTCCCCCTCGTCGGCGACCCAGCTCTCCGCCTCCGGGTCGCGCACGCCCTCCACCTGCTCGACCGACATCACCCGCGCGCCGCACGCCTTCACGCGGGCGCGCTCGTCGGCGCGGAACGGCGTCTGGTCCCACGAGAGCTCCTCCGCCGCCACGCGCCCCTCGCGCCAAACCCCGGCCACGGCGCGTGAGTCCCCCACGTTGGCCACGTGGAGCGCACCCCCCGCCACCAGCGCCGCCACGGCGGTGGTCCCGCTCATCGAGTCGTCCACCTCGTCCGCCGCGTGCATCTCCGCGTTCGCCGCCGGGAGCGCCTCCCGGAACGCCGCCGCGGGGTCCTCCACCACCACCATCCTCCCCCCTCCCTCCTCCCCCGCCCCCACCCCCACCCCCGCGAGCAGCCGCGGGAGCGCGTCGCGCGCGAACCCGGCGCACGCGGCGCCGCACGCGCCGTGCCCGTCGAACACCGCGAACAGGTGGAGGTCGGGGTGCCCCGCGAACCGCGTCGCCACCAGGTGCGCGTCCTGCGACTCCCTCCCGGGCGAGTCCGGGTACAGCCCCGCCACCGCCAGCGTCGCGTACTCCAGCACCAGCCCCGCCCCCGGCACCGCCACCCGCCCCAGCGTCGCGCCGCCGCGCCCACCCACCGCCCCGCCGCCGCCGCGTCCCCTCTGCCGCCGCGGCACGCAGCACTTCCCCTGCGCGCACCCCATCGCCGGGCTAGGGTTCGCCGAGTGCGCGATTGCTTTTTGGGAGTTTACAAATCGGAAGGGGAATTCGGAAGAGGAGGAGAGAAGAGAGAGAGATCGAATGATTCAAATGGCACTGTGCTTGTGTGAGAAGAAGAAAGGTAAATTAATAAATGCAACGAATAAAATAAAATTTAAACAAAAAAAAAAGGAGGCGTCAAGTGTGGAATTCGTGTGGGGGTTTTGGCGTGTGCTATGCTACCGCTGCGGTTTGAGAGTGACGCGAATAAAATTCGTTGAATTTTTTTCTCTCTTTTTTTTTGCGTGGAAAAATTAGGAGAATGTTGGCATGATGCATTATTGCGTTAAGTACAGCGGAAAATGTGGCTAAATGCTTTTTGGTCTTCCTTTTTTTTTCTTTCTCTATAGTGACAATCTAGTTAGCAGCAGCATGCAGCCGCCTTCATGTTTTAATCATGACCCAATAGCTTTAAAATGTTTGGTGCCAGTCAATTTTGGTCGATTTGGTGATAATACTACTAATTTGGAAGAAGCACATCCATCACAGATGTTTTTTTTAAAATAAATGATTACATGCTTGTGCTGTGACTTGTGTTGTCACTTGTGACGTTGCTTTCGAATAAGTGTCAGATCATTTTCGAAGCTGTCCTTGCCAATCTTGTCTTCTAGGACTAGACCAAGACATCCTCACAAATCACAAGAAAAGTGCCAAAATTCTAAAATAAATCGAAACCAAACCGCATAAAAATGACTTGTTTTTTTAAGGTGAGTTGTAGATGAGAATGGAGTGCCAGTGACTCAAGTGAGAGGCCCACGAAGCTAGTGTCCAACAGACCAACACTGAACAAATCGAGGAGAAAGGGACCAAGCTTAAATAATTTGGGATTATTAAACCTTCGAGGTTTAATTACCTCTTTAATTGTGTACTCTGTAGTTCTCCAAGGCCAACTTGCCTACATGCATCAACCCGATCCATTGTTCTCTCTTGGATGTGGTTTTGGCATGATATTTTGCTGCAAAACATTTTAGAGCGAAAATAATTTGTTTTAGGCCAGTTCTAAGCTGATATATGCAGCTGTGTTATCAGCGCAAAAATAATTTGTTTTTGATAGCTCTAAGCTGATATATGCAGCTGTGTTATCACTATCAGATGAGTTTAGGTTTTTTATTAGAACCACACCTTTATATTTTCCGAAATAGCATGCTTTCAGGTACTTTAGAATCGACATATGACGAGATAGAAACAGTTCTCACTATTATATTATTTTTTGGGGGAGAAAACAAGTCTTATTATTATATACAGGTACAAATGAGTAAGATCAATATAATAAATAGAAATGATGGATTCATTGATTAGGAGAGATGCGCAAGATGGTGGCGAGAAATGCCCATAATTCGTATTAAATGCAAACGATAATTTTAGCGGTACAATCCACATAAATCCACTCTTGGGTTGATCTGCCTGACGATAACATAGACAACAACAACCGTAAGAAGGAAAAGAAAATCAATCGAAGATGGAGGTCATTTTCTTTTCTGATTTTAGATTTTTGTTCGCATGCTTCTTAAATTTCTAAACGATATGTTTCCGTAAAAAAATATGTATATAATATTTTCTTCAAATATTTTTTATAAAAGAAAACAATACCGTTATGGTGTAATATTTATCAAATAGAGACCACTTCCAGCTAAAGAGAGAATATAAACTACTTGGATGTAACTAGGCACCTAATGACCTAAACAACATTAAAAACCACATTCCAGTGTAGAATTTGCAACCATTTTACTATCAATCGACAGACGAGTTGGGTGCTATCACCATTCACCGGTGATCGGTTCCTCCTATCACAATGCGTAGCGTCGCGTACAGTAGCACGCATACTCGTGCGGCTCGCCTGTCCGTTTCATTCCATCATGACGGCGATTATTATTGTTTTTAATTCGAAGTACTCCCTCCATTCCACAATGTAGCAATCTAAAATAAAATAGGATATGTCTTGTCTAGATTCGTAGCCCTAGAATGTGTCTCATCTCATTCTAGATTGCTACACTGTGGGAGGGAGGGAGTAGTTAACTTCATCTCTTGCGGCAAAAAAAAAAACAATAATGAACTTATCTCTCCATATGCTTACTATCTCCGTCCCATATAATTTGAGTTTTTGTTTGTAATGTTTGATCATTCGTCTTATTCAAAAAAAAATTTAAAATTATTATTTGTTTTGTTTGACTTGTTTTATTATAAAAATACTTTAAGTTTGACTTATTATTTTTTATATTTGCACTAGTTTTTCAAATAAAACAAATGATCAAACGTCGAAAAAAAAGTCAAAGCGACAAATAATATGGGACACAGAGAGTATCACACATGAGCCTGAGCCATGATTGGATAGATGACTATACGAGTACCTCATCCGTTTTACAATGTAAGTTATTCTAGCATTTCTCATATTTATATTGATAGATGTCTAGATTCATTAGCATCAATATGAATATAGGAAATGCTAGAAGAACGGAGGGAGTATTTCGCTAAAACAACGCTTATAGTTCCACGGTAGGAGTACTTATCAGCATTTGTGACACACTAATGGCTTTTTAGTGCCTTCAGTACTGTTGATACGGTGATACCCAATTATATAACGTACTCCCTCCCTAAATCTCATGTTATAATAAGATATTTTAGGTTTGTCATAAAAAAAATTTCTCCAGATTTAACTAAATTTATATAAAAATATAAAAAAATTAATATAAATTATGATGTTATAGATGTTATTTTTTTACATATAAATTAAACCAAACATCAAGAAGTTTATCACTTAAGAAAACCAAAACGTTCTATAATACCAAAAAAAAAAGGAACGGCAGAATCTGCAAGAATTAGAAAATTTTTAGGGAATGCGTATTGTACAATACGTATACGTGTATATGAGTATATCGATTCGATGTGCGCGCGCATATACGGTATACGTCGCGTGTCGTCTAAGTCTATGTATGCAAAGTCTATAAATGCATACACGGTATACGTCGTGTGTACGCAGCGAATTGCGCCTATGTATGCAGTCTCGCTTTTGATGGAGGCGGATTGCGGGAATGCACGTCGCGTCGCCGCCTACTAGCCGGCTGGGCGTATCAAGTGCATCACTATCTACTCGTGAAAAAAAAAGGGTAAAAGATGTACTTTATTTGTCACATATTAAGTTTATTTTTAACTGCTTTTATTTGTCTTAAAAATAAATTTATCTTCAGAGTAATCATTACATCGGAGTTTATAAAAATATAAAATAATTGTATCGGGAGTAGATAAAATGATGAATAGTTTTATTGAGATTTGATAAGATAGAGGTATGCTATTTTTTTTCTTTTATATTGGTACGTGTGTGATTAGTGAAAAATAAATTTATGTTATGATGGAGGTAGTAATGCTACATGCGAGAGGAACCGAACTACACGTACAAGAGAATAAAAGAAAACTGTGCCGTTTGGTTGATGCTACCGACCCGCGTCCGTATCGTCCAATAAGGCACTCCACTCGGGGGTGGTGTCACGCTGTCGCGACAAATGCTGGCTTGTATGTTCGAGCAGGGACAAGTATCAGACTATTAGCCATCTATAAATATATTTTAATGAGATAAAAAAAATAAAAGAGAAGAGTAGCGAGCTACAAATCTATAGCCACCTACACCACGAACTTCAAGACACAATATATTAATAGTATAGTACTACCTCTGTCCTATAATAATTGTATTTATAGGACTTGAATTTATCCCAAAATAATTGTCACAATAGAGTACTAATGGTCCCATTAATCACTTCTCATTCAAATTTCTCCCTATTTTACCCTCAACTACTCTTCCACTCTTACCTATATACCATTTAATAAGGGATATTATAGTCTTTCTTCTTAAAGCTTAATATGCAGTAAACAATCTAGAATTACAATTATTTTGGGACGGAGGTAGTAAGCAACTATTGTATGAATTGACTATTACATTGACTATAGATGAATTGAAGTTAGTAGTGAGATATACTATTAAACTTGCTCTTAGGGAGAATCTGAATGGTTGAGTTTCAGCTAGTGATAATCTTACGGCTCTCTTTCATTTACAAGAAAAACATAAAAAGCTTGGAAAATTATAACCCTATAGAAAAAGGGGTTGTTCATTTGTGCTACTTGTGACTGTGTTACATCTGTAGCAACAATACTCACAATAAAAATAAATAAACTATGGTTTGTGCTGCCCAAGCTAGCACAAACAATCGGAAACAAACGATTTCCTTTGAATTTTTCATGGAACGAAGAATCATATAAAGATTTAGAGGAAAGTTAGCAAATGTTCTAATCTCTTAGAAAATTTCTTATGAGTTTATCCCTCTTATTTGATTCCTATATTTTTTCTACTGTTTATTCAAACAATCACTACTATATTTTTCTTGTGTTTTACTGATCTCTATTTTGCACTTGAGTTCATGTAGAAATCATGTGTTCTTCCTATTTCCTCCATTTTCTCAATCCTACATTTCAAAGGAGCCCAAACCAAATTTCCTAGCTTTCGGTTTTTATCAATTTTCTAAATTTTGTAAGTACATATAACATATCCTCATAATTAAGTCTAAAGAGGCTGGAATTTTATTTATTTATTTAAAAGTTTTGCAAAAATATACTTCCCGACAGGACATATAAATCGCTATATAGCAGGTAATCTATATGAGAGAGAGAGTGCGCCATGTAAATTTTGTAGACGGCCCCCTCCAAGGATAAATTGCTTTAGGGGAGGGTAAATTAATTGCCGAGAGGCCCCACTCGGGAACAGTAAAATAAATATTTCAAAAATAAGTTAAAAAAATCAAAGACGTTGTACCTGCATATTACCTGAGAAAAAGAAAATAACGGAGCGGCCCATGTAACGTTGAGCTAAAGCCCATGTGGAACCAGCCCACGGCCCGGTTGATAGATGCGGAGGGAGGCGGAGCCCACCACCCTGCGGAAATGGAGGGAAAGCGAGCGCCACATGGCGGGAAGCGAGAGCGTCCCCCTCCCCGACTCCCGAGGCGCACGACGACACACGACACCCACGACACGCACAGTGCGAGAGCTCTCGTCGAGACCAGCGCCGCCGCCGCCGCCGATCATGTCGGAGCGCGAGGGCCCGCCGTCCTCCGGCCCCGCGGCGGCCGTGGCGCCGCCTCCCCTCGCCGCCGAACCCGTGCGTTCGATCTCCTCGCCGCGCTATCTCTCTCTCTCCGCTTGCTTCCTCTTCTTCTCCTGTTGTTGAAGTCGTGTGCGTTCTGTGCCCGCAGGGTGCCCGCGGCGGCGGCGACGGCGGCGGCGGAGGGAGGAAGCGGAAGGGCGCGGCGGCCGGAGCCGGAGCCGCGGCCGCGCGGAAGCCTCGAAAGGTAGCCACTCTTGTTCGATTCGTTTGAGTATGGAGCAAAGTGCCACTTCAACAACAGTAGATTTCCCCAACAAAATCTCTGCATCTACTGTTATTTCCCCAAACACAACATCACAATGACGCATCCGTACTACCATGGTTTCATGTAGGATTACGGGACAAATCAGGCTTATGTGTTCTACGGACATTCGCGAGATTTCCAGTACGTGGGCGTAGAAGATTTGCCTAAATGTGCACACGTGATTGCGGAGCTTCCACCGCAGTCGCAGTCAATGTCACTGATGGATGTGCAGATCTGGATCATCAAATTGTTTCGGCTCCATCCTGAAACTCAAGATCTCTCAATCAAGGGTTTCTACTCGGATTATTGCCCCTCTGTCCTAATTCCAGAGTGGTATTTTGGGTACTGGATAACCTATGATTGTCTACGTGATGAATCATGGGCTTCCTTTGCCAAGAAAGTTAGGGGGAGAAGAAATGGGATGGAAATGTTCGTCTTATATGTGGACTCCTCTGAAATCAAGCACTCCAGCAGTTTGATCAAAGCCATACCTGATGATTATTCTCAGTTGGAAACGGCTGTGCTGCCTGACGGAAAATCCCTGTCGTCATTTTTCCCTTTGAATTGCACTTCCAAACGCCTCACCGAAGACCTGACGATGACAACCACGGAGATCGCCGCATATCTTGCTCAATACTACGGCGATCAGTACAGTCGTGCTGGGGCATGGAGGGCAAAAATGAAGGCTTTGGAGCTGCGCTATGGTACCTTCTATGATTCACACAACTATGCGCCGAGGTTACTTAAGGACATAAAACATAAGCACCCTTACAGTTTTGTGGACATCAAGGATACAGAGGTTGCAGACTGTAAAGATTTCAGAGTTCTCCACCGGATATTTTGGGCATTCGACCAGTGCAGAAGGTCCTTTATGCATTGTCGTCCTGTGATCTGCATTAAGGGCACACCACTCTGTGGTAAATATCAAGGAGTGCTGATGACTGCTCTAGCATTTGATGCTAATGATTACTGCATTCCAGTCGCATTTGCTGTGGTCGAAGGTGAGAGCAAGGAAAGCTGGTTGTGGTTTCTGAGGAATGTGAATCATTCTGTTGTGAATGGGCGTTCTAATGTATGCCTCATACATGATTACAAAAGAGAGTTGCTTGATGCTGTAGAGGACCTGCAGGATAGTCCTGAAGAAGCATATCCATGGAGAGGCATACAGAGCCGGTGGTGCGTCGAACACCTTGCTGAAAGCTTCTTTGCACATTTTGGTGACAGGAAGCTGGTGATGTTATTCAAGAAACTCTGTCAGCAAAGCCGACCATGTAAGTTTGGCAAAATTTGGAAGGAGCTAGATGAGTTGACACTGAAATATACGCAGGAGAAAGAAAGTGGTGCTAGTGGGGAAATTCAACAGGAGTCAGTTGAGCATGGCGAAACAGAGTTTGTGGCACAAAGACCACACATCCATCTTGATTCAGTGGGAGAGGAGGTGGAAAGGAATTGCTCTGGTGGCACAGAGAGCAAAATAACAAGGTTCTCCGAGTGGATCGGTCCAAAACCAATGGAGAAATGGTCATTGTTGTACGATAAAAACGACGCAAGATATGGCATCATGGGCACCAGTATAGCTGATTTATACAAAGATAACCATGTAATGAAGGGGATAAGGTGCCTTCCGCTCTCTGGATTACTGGACCTGACATACCGTCGCATGGCAGAATGTTACGATACCAGAAGTGCTGCTGCAAAGAAATCAACTGGCAACCCTTTAATTAACTTCCCTGAATGCATCCAGGATGAGATGAAGGCCAAATTGCAGAAAGCCGAGACACATCACGTAACTTGTATAAACAGTGGGAATAAAAACGCTTTCTTTGAGGAAGGACACGGAATATTTAAGGTCCAATCAAAGAACAAGTATGTGATTGTTGAGCTGACACAGAGAGAGACACAAACGCACAAACATCCTAAAGTTCGAACCGTAATCAGCGGAAATACCATCCACAATACTTTAGTTCGAGAGCCAGTGATAAGAAAAGCTCACTGTTCTTGCAACAAGCTGAAGCTGCTTCGCAAGCCCTGCTCCCATGTCATCGCCGTCTGCTGTCAGGTTGGAGTTAGCCCTGATACATACATGTCCCCTTACTACACTCTGGCTTATCTTGCTGACACTTGGAGGGGCAAATTCGATGCATCGGAGGCCTTAGGAGAACACTACACATTAGGAGACTTTTGCAGAGATCCTTGCTATTCAACACTTATGTTAGGAAATCCGCCAACATGGATCCCTGATAAAAGGATGGAGTGCGGTCTTCCTGCCTTCCTAACATCGGACGGGACCCAAAATGGCGTTGATGAGGAAGAGCAACAATGCAGCATTGAGAGTGTATCATCAGCTGCTGACAATCAAGGCACTGAAAATCGTTCATCAAGAGAAACTGACCAGGTCTGAATTCTGTTGTGAGTGTATCACCTTATGTTGTATCCTGAATCTGTAATGTCCATTGTACTTGACCTATCCTAAGTAACCCTGAATTTTGCCATGATCATTTGCAATGCTATTGTTCTCTCTTGATAGTGTTGACTCTTGAGAATAGTACGTACTGCCTTGTTCATAGCAAAATGCACCTAACACTGATAATGCTGATATATCCTGTTATCTGGACGCCAGACTGTTTATTGGATCAGGTATTTCAAGTGTGCTGTTATGCTTACATCTTTCCCCTTTTTTCCTTTAAAGTTGGAACTATATTGATTATCGTGAATAATCAGCCTTTTAACATAATGACTATTACGTGACAACTTCTACAGCTATGTTAGATGCTAACAATAAGTTCTCTTATCTTAAACTAACAGTTGGCATAGTGTGCTGATTTTAGTATGGTCGTGTTACTCGTGTAACCATGTACTGTTAGTTCTGTAAATATCACAGGCTGAAAACACGAAAGGCCATTAACACAAGAATGCCAAAACGAGAAAAAGTTCACTCTAGATCCCTCATCTTGTCGTCGAGTTTCAAAAACACCCCTGAACCATAAAACCAGATTCAACGTATCCCCTCACTTAAAAAATATCAGTGCACACGAGATACACGCCTTGGGGACCTCCTCGTGTGCACTAGTTTCCGAGTGTGGACGTAAAGTGAACTTTTTTCCCGAAACGATGATCACAAGGGCCCATGGGCCTTTGTACTTTGCTTCCACGGCCCAGGACATCACGGTCTACTACCATCATCAATGGCGGGAAAAGCATGGGAGAAATGGAGGGAAAATGAGCTCCCATTCCCCACCCAGAGGCCGCCGCCGCCACTGCGGAGCGGAGCTTTTTTTTCGCGAACACGTAAAAAGATTGCACGTCAATATATCAGAAGAAAAGAGTTATAGTTACACAACACAATCAGCCAGACCGGTTTATGCCAGGGGAAAGGAAAAAAACAAAATAAAAATGTTGAAGCTTAGAAAAAACTACGGCGGCTAAACACAAACTCCAACTAATGGGAAGGGCCAAGCCACTCTACACTAGTATTTCCGTGTGTGGACGTAAAGTGACGATGTCCTCGCCGTCTCCCGCCGCCGCTGGCGCCTACGCGTCCCTGTCCTTCCCAAAGGAGCTCTGCTGCCAAGCACCAGAATCTCTACAAGAGCACAGGCTCATATATGCAGGGAATTTTCCTTCCTTTTTGTTTTTTTTTTTCAGTTTCTTCAGAAAGGTTAACAGGTTTTGTAGCGGATCTATCGTTGCTTTCTGACTTACTGTTTCTCTGAACAGTGAACACTGAAGCTTTGGTTCCTCTGCTGGATTTCATGTAGATGAAGGTGTGAAGGCGAGATATTGGATCAACCCCGATAAGAAGGTACTGGAGATCCTGCATGCTGAATCCAGGTCCAAGCAGGAAATGGCTCTGCTGCTTTGCCAAAACCTCATCACTATTTAAGCTCTCCACTCTAGATGTTCAGGGTTCTGCAGATATCTAGCGCTGGAAAGCAAAGAATGTACCAAGTAGTACAATCCTAACATGCTACATTGTGTTAAAAACAAAAACTATATCTGTAGAATTGAATTGTATAGCAGAATTTACATAAATTATCATCTTAGTTCAAACTAAATATTAATACCAAGGGATATTGTCCAAACTGATCAAAATGTTCATTATAGTAACGCCTGATTTTCAGTACGACTTGCCTGAACCTCACACTAACTGATCAAAATGTGCATTCATGACTAAACAAAGAAGAGGCTGCTCTCTGTTGCTCAGCCATTCAACAAAGAGGTCGGCTGATCAAGAGTTGTCTTATTGCAACCAGCCAATCTTATAGATATTCTCTTATCGTTTTATGCATATATATGTACGGCACAAAGTTATTTAGTGAGGTAAAATCTGATCCTAGAAATTGGGGAAGATAGTTTTTAGATGAGTTGATGTTATAGTTTTTATATGAGTTGATGTCACTATATCATATACAATTTGAAACCATAACTGAATGTAATATTTCAATCCGTAATTAATTGTCCCTCTATGCTTTTTTTGTTTGAGAATTTGAGAAGTCAGATTCCTTTGGGTGTGCGCAAACGCGCCTCATAATCTAATGTTGACCAGTAGGCAGTATTCATGTTAATCAATATATAATAGGCTGGTTGGGCTCATATGTTTGCACTTTTGGCTAGCAGCTTTTTTTTTTCTAGAGAAGGGTATTTTTTACCCCGCCTCTACATCCAACCGGACATATACAGCCATCAAAATAGGAAACTTAGCCCCGCAAACAACTCAATCTGAAATTCGCTCCTATGGAGATTTAAACTCAGAATCTTGGGGACTATTCAGGTCATTGTAACCACTAGGCTACATGCCTTTTCGTCTGCTGTCGATAATATCACGAGTAAAGCAGCACCATCAATGCCCAGTACAAGCCTACAAGGTAATTTTATCGTCAATACAAGTGTCAGAAACCATATAATGCTCACCAATTTGTGGTTTTTCCTTTTAGACAAACTGATGTTTTGGTTTCTTACCGCATAAATGGGGCAGACCAATATCCTCTGCAAATTTTATTCACAATCTGCCTAATTTCTATATCCACTGTTCATTCATTCTTCTTACTGCACAATAATCATTTATACAAATAAATATGTAGTAGCTTTTTTATGTTCCTGCAATATTTGAATAGATGAGTGTAAAGGAATATGTTTATTCTTTGCAGCAGGCCGCTAACCACCGTTACATCTTGATTAGTAAAAAATATTGCTTTGTGCGCATTTAGCATATTTTTTTTGAAATCTATGAGCCATTTATTAGGTTTTTGGGCAGCACATGCTTTTCATGTTAGATTTCAGAGCAAAATTGATGGAATGCTACAGGTTGAAAAATAAATAAGGAGTGGAACAGACTGCATGGGATGGAGGTCACCAATGTTGGCATCAATTGAAGCTGCCTAACAAATAAGTAAAAATATGTAGTGCAAACCTTATATAATGTAAACCTGAAAATTACTGTAGAATTAAAAATTGAATGTCCGGTTCACGTCACCCTGAGTAAACTTTTACTCCCAGTTTTAACCATGAGTACAGGTTTTGTTGGGATTAAAAGTTTTACTCAGGATGACGTGGATACATCACAGACGTCCATTCTTGGATCCTACGAGAGTTTCCCGGTTTGCACTACGTATAAGGTTGCAATACATATTTTTCCAACAAATAATGTGTTGTATTTCACAACAGTTATGAACTGGTCTATTGTGACATAGTTCTAGCAATTTTAAAGATTTCTTTTGCTATGGTGTAACCTGTAATTTTTTATTTTATCTTCTCAACTAAATGCTATTCCATTAGAGGATTTGTTTATTCAAATATCTTAAATATATATTTTTTCATCACATACTCTACAAATGGTGTTATTGATGAAGCAATAGAAAAACATTAAGTGATGTTTGTTTATGCATGTAGAAAAATAAGAACCATCTTACAAAGTATTCACATCAACAAGGTACAGAAATTACTCCCTCTTGATCGAGAATTGAACTACACAACTAAAAGCTACCCAAGTTTGTGACAGTTATAATAATAATAAAATGAACATGGATGTTGACATATATAAATATTTTTATGCATGCTTACTAAATATCGCCGTAGCGTTAGCACGGCCCTGCTACTAGTAACTAAAAGTACTTTTTTTAGGGACAAAGGGCTTAATTACAATGACAGATTTATTACAATACTTTACTATCCAAGTTTGCCGTACCTAGGTTTAGTAAGCCACAGGTTTTTAGTCACTCTTGGCCGACTCGATAAAACAGAAGAGTAATCACTTTAGTCCGGCAGGCAAAGTCGACCAAGTCACATTTACTGAGATTAACGCAAAATCAGTCTTTATTTCTTGAGTATCATAGCCATGGATTTTCTCCTTGAAGGAAACATAATGCTGGTCGAAACTGGATGGAAACGCACCCACTTTGAACTTCAAATCTATGAAAGAATCCCTCATTACAGCAACCACCGACCTCTTTAAATCACGTGACTCACTGATGACACCATCAAAGAGACGGATTTCCTTATCCAAGTCACTGGTTAAACAACCGAGCAACAAATTGAAACTGCTTTGCACTTCTGATATAAGAATCTCTACGGTGGCCTCAGCTGAACAATTAAAACGTGATAAAGTTATGTCAACTGCACCGTAATCGCCAGGAATGCAAATTGTTTCTGGCCGATTCCATAGGCCTCCAGGGCCTATCATTGATGCACCATCAATCAGCTGTAGGTCATCTTTTTCTTGTTCACCTGTCTTGATCCTCATGTCATATTCAATTAGAGCATAGTCCATCATGTCTATTCCTCGGTTAGGGCCTTCCATGTTGATGAGCGAACCCTACAAAATTATTATATTTAGTTGCTCTTCTTATAAAAGTAAGAAATATCTAAAGGTGGATGCTTCCTTATGTTGTTTCACTTGTAACAGCATTTACTTGAAAGGTCCTTAAAGTTGGAGCGTGGTGTCACTTAGGTCCACGATCTTGTAAAATCAACATTAAGATCCATGAACTTGTTTAAGTGAATCATTGCAGTCCAAAAACACGTCTGACCGGGTTGACCGTCCTACGTGGCAGTCTAGCGTGGCTACATGTTTGCAATTAGGCCCCTCCACGCCCGATCCACAGCCTTCATGGTGTTGGAGACGCGGTTCTTGCCGATGAGCGACATGACGGCCTCCCGCGCCTTGGTGAGCACCTGCGTGAGCGCCTCCCGACCTTCGCCATCATGTTGCCCGGCGCCGTTGCCGCCTTCGGTGGGTGTTTGTTGCAGCAGCAGCGGCGGAGGAGGGGGGACAGGGGCAGATGCACTAGGGAAGGAGAAGCAACACAAGCCGGTGCTCAAGAACACCATCGCCGGCGGCGACCACAGCGGGAACAATGACGGCGGAGGTGGCAGGGAGAAACAGCGGCGACCGCGCTGGCGTGAGCAACAACAGCAACAGCAGCGAGGAGGATGAACGCGATGTGGCGGCGCAGAGGATGGGTGATGTGGACTAGCGCAGGTACCAAGAGGACATCGAGGACAAAACCATCGCCATGGATTCCGATCCTGAGGTTCATATCGCGCCGAGTAAGCTCTTGCTCCGTTGATCTCTAGCTTTGCATGTGCCGCCGCTGACGGTGTTAGATTTGAAACTTTTTTGGTTGTTTGCGTGTGCCGCCGCTGACGGTGTCAGGTTTGACATGGCAAGGACCCTAGCGGTGCAGGAGATGGAGCAGTGGAGGGCGACGGCGCAACGTGTCAAGGTGTCGGCTCGGTGACCTCGGCGGCCCCGTCTTGGACGTCTCGGCGGCACCACACTCCACGATGCGTGTGCTGCGGGAAGGCGAGGACATCGGCACGACGCCTGTCGTCGACTCTTTCGAGTGGAAGGATGCGGCCACGTACACAATGCCTGAAGGCAGCGCTGCCGCCTGTCGTGTCCGGCGTGACGTACACCGACAAGATCAAGTTGGCAGCGACATGCACCACGGAGAGTACAGCAAGAAGCTAGCCACCACAATGTACGAGAAGGTCGCCGGAGTCGGGACCGTCGTGGACTCGTGGCTGGCAAGGTGCAGCAAGTGACGCAGTCCGCTGGCACCGTGATCTCAGGCATCAGCGGCACCTCGTAGTCACAGGGTACCGCGCAGGACTCGGACGCCTCCACCACCCTTGCCTCCGGCGAGCCAGCGACCGGGCAGCAGCAGGACAAGGGGGCGACGGTCACCGGCTAAATCGCCGACATGCTCCGTCGGGGCGATGAGGACCGCGTGCTCAGCGAGGCGATCTTCGGCATGGTGCAGTGGCGGAAGGAGGTCGTGGCACAGCGCGTGCCGGCGGTGGCGGCAGCGGTGCCGGACGAAACGATGATGAAGATCCGGGAGGCACTCGCATAGGTGCTCGCTAAGGTGCGGGAGGCCGTTACGTCGGTCATCGGCAAGAACCACATCTCCGACACCGTGAAGGCCGTGGATCGGGCGTGGAGGGCCTAATTGCAAATATGGAGCCACGCTGGACTGCCACGTAGGACGGTCAACCCAGTCAGACGTGTTTTGTACTGCTATGATTCACTTAAACAAGTTCATGGACCTTAATATCGATTTTACAAGATCATGGACCTAAGTGACAGCACGCTCCAACTTTAAGGACCGGTGGTGTATTTTACTCTTTTTACAACTACCAAGATCTTCATCATGTATCAAACAAAAGAAAAAAAAAATTATGTAGGGTACTAAGCAACAACAAAGTGTCCAAAACTATTTAACATGATTTTTCTTTGGAATACATGTGTTCCTTAGTTTCATAATTTAAACCTGTTCTCATAGTAAATCATCATTTCATAATATAGAGTACACTCCCTATGTAAGGTGCGTTTTGGAAGGAGAAATTCTTGAAAAGTAGAATTTTGACCTTTAATTTCTCTATCAATATATCACCAATTGCAATAAAATTAACATCTTAAAAGTAATTCGAGTACCAATAATTTGACGATTTTTGCCAAAACTCATGAAGTATGAATTTTCCAAATCAAAATACACAATGATATTTCTAGATAAGTCGGATGTGTACCTGCTCCACAATGATGGGATCATCCCTGCTACAGTTGACAATATAATTAAGCAACGGATCCAGATCATCCCGCACAGCTATGTATCCATACAACTCTACTGAACCACCATCCAGTGTAATTTTAGCCAACTCCAATGATAAAATTTGCAGCATGTGGCAATGAACATGTGACATGCAAGTTCCATTACTGCGAATGACACAATTTGTGGGATTCGAAAACCTCATTGCCTCCAACCGAGCTTCAAAAAAAGTAAAGTCATAATGTAAGTTTGTGACCGGAAATTAATACAGTGAACAAACACTTGACATTTGAAAAGTACATGTGATATTTGATGATTATATGGCCTTATTGGATTTTTTTTTCCTTTTCATCTACAAAGTAGAAACAACCTATGTTCTTTTTACTAGGAGAGCAACATCTATCCTAGTATCAACTACAAGAAAAAAAAAACTCAAGGGCAGACTACCTCTTCAGAAAGCCAGGTATATTCTTTCCTGTACCAGCCTTTTACCTCTACAGAAAACCACGTGTTTTGGGAAGTGGTCTATATTTTGGAAACTGGCAACCCGCTCCTCATATTAAACAGGGGCATTTGAATGTTTGGTTGGCCCCTTGAACACCTAGTAGTCCTTTAGGTTATATATAGTATGTGAACTGCCTGAGTACTTTCTATTATTGCTTGTTGTTGCTCCCTGCATGCTTGGAAAACTTGTACTATTACTGACAGTTTGTGGCTGCATGTATGGAGAATTTAAACCTAATGGCAATTACAACAGTGTGGATGCCATATTTAGATTATTATTTGCACTTATAGTTGTCATTTTCTTGTGTATTCTGCTATTGAAATACATGCTCAAAGGCTGTGTGATCACCGTGTTGCAAAGTTCAGGGATAAAGTACTTTGGACATTTATGTAATTAAATGGCATGGAATAAGGTCCTAGTCCATGTCATCAGAACTCTGCATGCAACCTCAGTCCCTCCCATCAGGCTGTGGCGCAGATTGCTATGTATGCAAATGGTGCTAAGCTGAAGGGCCAGTAAAAGTAAAGTACAAGGCTTGGGGTGGAAGTGTTACTCTCATCCACGTTTAAGGACCTCCAGTACAATTATCTCATAGCTGAAAAGAGTGTAAGGCGGGTAAAATTATGGCAGTGCTGCATAGCACCACATATACAATGATCTCTAGGATCGCAATAAAATATTTATAGATATGGAAAGAGATTCGTTATGTTCAAGGAAACAAATTATCTCTAATAAAAAATAATATAGCAAATAAAGATAGAGAAAAGATAGCTTACTCTCATTACGGTCTGCAATATGAAACTCCCTTTTCCACGGTGTGTCCATGATGTCCCTATATATAGAGCCATCACGGTGTCTACTTTTTGGAAGTATGTTGTTCACAGTATATTCTTCAGGATCAAGAACTTCGTCCTCCTCAACATGTTCCTCCGTTTCACTCCTTCGATCATCCTCATCACAGCCATCCTGCTTCGCACTTTGCCCCAGTACATCGTATTTGATGTATGAAACCTCTGAGGACGCCGCATCTCTATTACTTTTCTCATCTCCAGCTCTAGCCTCCAAGATTGTGCCCCTGGTGTCAATGGTTTTCATACCTTGAGTGATCGCAGTATGCTTCTTTTCCTGGGATGGAAGTCGCCTGTATGACTCGTCGCCTTTTACTCGACTGATGGTGGTCATGTTCCGAGGTTCCCAAGGAAATCTATCATTAATTAAGAGAATGAAAAACCAATATCAACAACTAAAATAAATAAGACGGTACCATCAGTCAGGATTGAGATCATCTAACCCTGAAATCGATAATCGATTTCTAAATTTTTTTTCTCGATCTCCTTTGTCTTTGTTTCGAATTAGTTTAAAGAAACTTATTTTCCACAACTACCTTCAAACAAATGAAAACAAAACCCAAAGTTTTTTTTTTTTTGCGAGGAAAACAAAACCCAAAGTTGATCGCAGATCCAAAAACTGTGGCAAAAGACGCAAACTTTAGCATCAGAACAAGGAAAAAAAACACATGCCCAAAAAATCTGTCTATGAAAATCATGCCAAAACTGTAGTAATAACCAAGTAAAGGCGCAGACTTTAGCATCGATCAGCACAAGAAAACACACCGGGAAACACGACGGACGACAGGTCCTCCTCGAGCAAGCAATGGTGACCACCAGCACCAGCTAGCCGCTGCAGATGCCATGAGAGAGGGAGAAGAGATGAGGCGGTGCATCGGGGCAGGAGATCGGGCGGCGGCGTTAGAGCGTCGGAGCAGACGCGGAAAGCGGCGGAGAATTCGCATCTGGGCGGCGGCGGGGGTTAGGGGGAATAGCCGTGCTGTGGCTGCGTGGGGGATTTCTGTCATCATCAGAAACGGGCATCATGTGGATGGACATAATTGCCCCTGGTTGGACGTGGTAAGTCAAGTCTATTTTGCCTCCCTCAACTCTTGCCTTTGGTGGTATGACGTCCCTGAAAAGGTGGTTCGAGGATGTTTTTTATCCCGACGACAAGTTGAGGGACCTTCGATGTACTTTTTCCTAGAAGATAGAGCAAATCAATCTGATGGGCCGAATTGGAGGCCCATATCCGTGCAAACCCAAGGTGACGATATTATCAGCCCAATATTGTACACGACTCCCAAATCGCTTTCTTGTTCGAGGTCGGCGAGGCGCGCGGGCGGCGGCGATCGGCTAGGGCTCGATGAGCGGCGGCAGGTCTCCGGCGGACGGCCGGGGATCACCGCCGCTTGGCACCAGGCTCCGGCCGCCGGTGCAACGGGTATTCTCATCCTCGTTCTCTCCAATCCCATTCCCCCCTCTTAAAACCCACCTCCACTGGGTTTCAATCGCTGGGATTTATCCAATTTTCTCCTCTACTAATCCCTCCCCAATACCCACCTCCACTGGGTTTCAATCGCTGGGATTTATCCAATTTTCTCCTCTACTAATCCCTCCCCAATTGGGTTCAGAAACCAGTTCATGCCGCCATTCCCGGGTGGCATTTCGATTCCCGACATCCAAACGGGAATCGACTCGCCGTTGCTGTGCTCGGTTCAGCGAACCGCCTTCTCCACTGCGCGCGCATAGCGCTATATAAACCCTCCTCCTCCTCCTCCTCCTCCTCCTCCCGAGAATTAGGAGAGGGACACCAACAAGCGAAATCCACAGCCCGATCGAATTGCCATCCGCGGCGGAATCCATTTCGTTAGCAAGCAAGCAAGCCGGTGCGCGCGAGAGGCGTCGCGGCATTAGCATCAGCGCCGCTTCGTCGCCTTCGTCTCCCTTCTCCCCTGCTCCCCTCCACTGCTCGGTGTCGCACGGTGGTGCGCTTCCTGGACGACAATGTATGTACTAGTAAATTGGGGAGCTAGCGCGGCGTTGCATTTGATCTTTTCTGTCGTTTGCTTGATTCTTGTGCGTTCTTGAGGTGGTTTGTGGAGCATCTGGTACAATCAAGAGCGGTTTTGGTTGAATTCCGGGGACGGGTGGGTTCTTGGCTAGAACGATCCTTCGCTTCTTGTCTACTCTTTACGCGGGTGAATTCTTGTAACGGTTTGTGGATTATCTGGTACAATCTTGATGGTTCTAGTTGAACTCTGGATACTGATTCTTGGCCGGGACGATGCCTTTTACTCTTGTGATTCTTTGCGGGTTCAGCTCTTCTAGGGGTTCGTGGATTATCGAGTACAATCTTGGCGGTTTTAGTTGCACTCTGGATACTGATTCTTGGCCAGAACGATGCTTTGTACTCTTGTGATTCTTTGCGGGGTGAGCTCTTCTAGGGGTTCGTGGAGTATCTAGTACAATCTGAGTGGTATTGGTTTAATTCCGAGATTATGTTCTTGGCTGGAATGGTTCTCGTTTGTAGATATACAACTTCTCTTTTCTTCTTTTCGTGTGTTCTTGTGGAGGCTCCGGTTCTATGGCATTACAGGAGGAGTAGGTTTCGGTTAGTTTTGGTTGGATTCTGAGAAGGGTTATTGGAAAGAACAGTTCTTGCTCATTGGGTTCGTTCTCTTACTATGATGATTTTGGCTGGGTTGGTGGGTATAGAGTTCCTGTTTTGCATCAATGTGGAAAAACACGAGTTGGTGCAAATGTTTCCTCTTTTGTGGGTGCAAACAGAGCTAGATGCAACATGCAAGGCTTCTGGTTTTGCTTGCATAATTTTCTCTACTGCCACATTTTGGTTTAATTGTTATCCTTGTAATCTTTTAGAAATAACTGCCGATTTTTCTAATCAGAAACATTGGTTTGCAGTGGGTTTTTATATTTTGTCCCTTGTGTTGCAGGAACGGGGAGCATATGCTCCAATGTCAACTGGTTTTGCGGCACAAAATCGAGAAGTTGGAGCCATCATGTGCAAATGCTACTGTTCAGTACGCCAACATAGCAAAGCCAAGTTGGATCAGTTGGTATGCATTTTCAGCTCCGGATGAGGCAATACAAGCCCTGATTAGTGAGGCGAAGTCATACTACATGAGGCTCCCCCCAATACAACACCTCCAGCAGTTACCCTTACTGCAGTCACCTTCAACGCGGTATGATTATGAATCCCCATCGCTCTATTTGGAGCCTCAGTTTCAGGTCCTTTTCTGATCTTGATTTATTTGGCCGGCAAAAGATCAATCCCTCGCATCCAAGGACTTGCACAAAATCTTCCATAAGTACTTTCTTGAGGATTTTAAAACTAGTTATTAGTTGAAGATATGTTTGATCTTGTACTCTTAAAGTTAGTTTCTGGTTATTATGTTTTCATCAAGACATATTTGATTGATGGATGGATGTAATGCTTAGGATTTCATCAGATAAAATTACAGGGTAGAAATTTGCATTATATATATTTAATTGCAATGTATATATCATAGGAACAATAAATTTCTACAGCTTGAGATGTACAAATGAGCAAAAGATACAATGCAGTTATTCTTATTCAAGAACTGCAGTCGTTACTGTTTTGCAAGTTTAACTTTTGGCATTCCATTTTATATTTCTTTGTTTCTGCTGAGGGTTCAGCTTTATTTCTCCGAGATATTAAGTTAGTTCTGCTGCTCAGACAGCTTGCAATGGATAATAATGCTGATGTCTCCACACCAACATTGTTGTCAATATCAGGTGATTTTTTTGTCGATTTATTATTCGGTGATGATATAGAATTTACCATATATAATATATGATTGATAGAGTTTGACCTTTGGCATTCCATTTTATAATATCTGATCGATAGAGTTGCTAATATGCTATGGGACCATGATAGTCAAATAGTGTACATACTGCCACATCACCTATTGACTCGTGATAGAAACTTTACTAATCAAGGCTAAAAAATCACACAACTGTTGAACATGTTATTATAGGAAGAGCTCATATTTAGTGTCAATGCATGCTTAAAAGTAGTTAAATTTTTACCCTGAAATCTGTCTCAAATACAATTATTTCCTGAGTTAGTGTGGTCCTAGGATGGTAGAGTAGAATCTGAAAGTTTGTCATAGATTAATAATAGAATCCAATAGTGCCGCAGTACTCTAGTATTGTATAGTTACATAAAACATTCAATAGAGATTTAACATGAAATTTGGTGAATCCAGTAACTTGTACTGCTAAAATGCCATATATTGATTTTATCTTTCATGTCAGCAATCGAATCCTTTTTAGGCTCAGCTGTAATATGTTACTAACATCTAAAAGTATGTTCTGCCAATTATTTCAATCAACATGTTAATTTCTTTGCATGTGGGCAGCTCTGGTTGGCGATGTTACTAATTTAAGTGCCGAGGAATCGAGAAGAAGGCAGCAACGTGAAATAAACAATTCTTTGAAAGTGGAAGCATGGAATGAATACACATTTCTTGGATGTGCTAATACAGCTGGGTCAGGTAATGCCCCTATTTTTTCACACACGATGTAAATTACAAATTCACTGTTGCTCTATTTTGAAGTTAATTAGCGATTCTTTGTTTCAACAGGAAGTGTAACTCGCCAACCCGTGATCACACCTAGACGCCTCACGCCTCTCATTTAGAATTTACATCCAGTCCAAGTTAATTGCAAATCTTTGTTAATCTTTGATAACTTACAACCCGACACTACTGTTTATATGTTCTATACTTGTCTTTATACATCTGTATGACATGTTAATCGATTGAATGGTTAACAACGTGCTAAATATTTCTCAAACTATTTGACAGTGCTGTCTCTTGTCCAATTAAAACTGCAATGAGAAATTCTGTAAAATTATTAAATCCAAGATATTTTATTTCCAAAAATGTGGCATGAGTTTGGAAAAATGACATTCATTAGTCATTCAATTATTACATCTACCCCTTTGGGTGTGCCTGCACATTGGAGCATAGGAATCAGGACTGTGATCTGATAATTGCAACACTTGCAGCTTGCAAGAAAAGAGTCAAAGCTTCATCACTTGATAATGTAAAAGCACAATGCCATATGATACTTGAAGATAAACGAATAGAGCTGAAGGAGTACTTGAATGATCTGTGTCACGACAAGCACAAGGTATTATGTTTCTATAATTTGCAGTACTATTATTAATTTTGTAACACTATGGTATCTCAGTTACGAATGAACTTTGCAGGTTATTGATAATATCTGTAAGAAATATGAACTAGAAAATATAGAAATCACTAATGCCAAAAAACAAAAGGTAAGCTAAGTTTCTTTTTTCTTTTGAAAAGTATTTAAGCTAGGTATTTGGATTGCTGGTGTTATTCTAATGCTATATTTTTTCTGAATGTTGGAAAATTCAGGCAGAAAAACTCTCTAGGGAAATGAAAAACAAATGTAATAAAAAGATGCCCAAGTCACAAGGAGCAAAGGTAAGTTGAACTAGTTTGATTTCTTCATTTGAAACAAATGAATGTTACTTTTTTGTGATGCATGTGCCATTGGAATGCTGCAAAAGTTGTTTGTGTAATAGTTGAATAAAGTAAGCTAAGCATTTCAGCTACTGATAGTTTTCTTTAATGATGCTCATTTCTTTCACTACTATGAAACTGAAAACTGACCATATGCTTGAGTCATGGGGGGTTTTGTACTAATGTTTAATGAAAGTTGTATAAAAATGAAAAATACTAATAGATCCTTGAGTCACGAAGGGCAATATTCTTTTCAGGTGTTGAACACCATGAGGTTCTTCCATACAACTCCTTCTAAGGAGAAATCAAAAACAAAAAAGGTATGGTGATTGAGGGATTTTTAAGATCGTTCATGCTATATTTAGTCTATTTTGGTTTTTGTTGTCTCCTTATCTCAAGGAAATCCAACAAGGGAATATTTTCTTGTTTTTATATTATGCAGTTCAGAGATCCAAAGGATGGTTATCCAGGAAATTCAAAGGATGGAAGTTATCCAGGGAATACAATCACAATGGATATGGATAAAGACAACCTGCCTGCATTTAGGCGTAGTTTTAAAAGGGCAATTAAAAAAGGCCGAGCATGGTGCCAGGCAAACAGCAATTCGGTTGACATATCAGGACTCTTTGGTCCCGGAGCCGAAGTTTATACAACCCCCGCAGCCGGAACTTTGCATGTGAAGCTTAGGAACAAAGGGCGTGAACTTACACTCTTCTTCCGTGGTAGAGACTTATACCTGAAAGGGTGGAGAAGTGATAGGTTTGGTCTGTTTGCTGCCCACCCTGATAGGTTTGATAAGAAGAATTGCTTCATACAAGACAAAGCTTGCAAACACCTGAACATCGAGGATAATTATCATCAGCTTGTTCCAGGAGGAAGAATCGGGAAAGTCAGAGTGGGACCCCTTGCAATGCTAGACTATTTTGAAGTCCTTCACAAATGCAATGGAATAGTGACAACAGATGTTCTGGGGGCTGTGGCTGGATTTGCTGTTAACTTCGCAGAACCAATACGCCAGGAAGATGTCTTGGAGGATATCTTAGAGTCGTTTGTTCATTTTGATGTGGCTATGCTGGATAGCAGAAGGGCACTATCCTTGGACGTAAGGAAATACGACCACTACTCAAGGGAGTTTCTAACTGGTGTTGATTGCTTATTGCACGGTAGACCAATGCCAGAGATTTTGAAGCGTGAGGAAGTTACAGTCAAGTCACTCCATGAGTTGTGGTGCAGAATCAAAGTTCCGCTGAGAGACTCTTATAATGATGGTGCATTTTATCATGATGATAAAGTTGGCATACCCGTCTGGTCTCCCCCCTACCCTGATGGGAATAATTGGGAGGAGGAGGAAGATGAAGAGGAAGAAGAGGAAGAGGGAGATAAAGAGGAAGAGGCTGAGGAAGAAGAGGAAGAGGAAGAAGAGGAAGAGGCTGAGGAAGATGCAAACCACCGTGATCTAAAATTCACAAGCCAACAGGACTTCTTTTCAGTTGGGATGAAGGCTAATGAAATCAACACCTCTTGTCTCTGTCGTCCTTTCTCTGCAGTTGCCTCAGGTGGGATGAGGCCCCTTGTTGTCCCTCCAAGTCAGGGTGGGGAAGTCCAGAGCCGGTTTCTGAGCAGGAGGCCACAGTGGTTCTCCAGATTCATTAATGGACCAAGGGCTGCGTGTTTTTTGAGGAGGCTACTAAAATAGCGACCACGGCTGGTGGAGCGGGCTTCTTGATTCTTTTGTGTCTGTCTGAAATTTTGATATGTCTGAAATGTATCTCTTTTGCTTTGTTTAGTTGCTTCCTGCTTACAAACATGTAAAATTTCTCTAAAGGAGAAGTTGTCCAGAAGTTTCATTTGCATCATGCTCTTTTCTGCCTTCCAAACATGAGCAAACTCCATTAGGATACTTGGCTTTGTCTTGAGTACATCATGGATCATGAAGCACATTTATGCTAAGTGAGATTTTAATTGGTCGGAATTTTGCTCGGAATGTCCTAAACTACAAATTTCTGAGCCCAGGGGAGACGGATCCCTGATAAACGTTTGGAGCGTGCCTTTTTAACATCTGACAGGATACAGGATGAGGATAGCATGGATGAGGGAGATCAAAACTGCACAACTCAGGTTATAACAACTGAAAACAGTCAGGGAACCAACAAGTTCTCACGCTTGACTTGTGTTATCATCTGACAACTTATCTATGCATGTTAGTTGTATCATAAATATGTATTATCCATTGAACTTAACTTATCCTACGTGACCTTGAATTTCCTTTTTAAAAAGAAATCATGTGTGTGCTATGCCTATTGTTTGTTCTCTGCAATCTCTGCCATTTTCTGACTGTCACCTATATTCTTCTTGGTTTTGCAGTTTAACTGTTGAAGGCAGTATTTTGGTGCATACATATGTTAAAGTCTGTGATGCTTTAGCTTATGCTTCGCAAAATCTTTGATACTGCCATAATGCCATTGATTTTTCTGTGCTGGTATCTCTGATTTATCATGTCTTCCCAGCCAACCCGCACCGAAGCGCAGGGTGCACACCTGCAAGTATAATTGTTAGCAATAGTGTCAATTCACTTCAGTAAATAATCAAGCAATTTCTAATCAATCTAGCATGTAATACTATACTCTCTCCAGCCATAAAAGAAGATCAATTTTGACTATTCAAAGTCCACAAGACACAAATTTGAACGCTAGATTCTTCCTCATAAGTCTGAAAACAGGTTAGGTAAGTGCAATACTGTTATTCAAGCATTTGCTGTAATAAACTTGGATATATAATTTCATATGCGAAATATACATTCTAATTCTAAATAATAGACAAATTTTGCTACGGGACATTCAAAAAACACGTAATTAGCTGGGAGACATCACAAGAAGGCATATCTGTTATAGGACAACGCAAAAAACTGGTAATTAGCTGCTTGACACCCGTGGGATTATTTTATTTTATTTTAACATAATGACTATTACGTGAAATCAACCACAAACTATTTCTTCTTTGCTATTTACAACTTCTACAGATATGTTAGGTGCTAATAATAAGTTCTCTTAAACTAACATTTGGCATAGCGTTCTGATTTTTTTAGTATGGTCGTGTTACTCGTGTAACCATGTACTGTTAGGACTGTAAATATCACAGGCTGAAAACACAAAAGGCCATTAATACAAGAAAAGCATATGCCAAAACGAGGAAAAAGTTCACTTTAGATCCCTTATGTTATCATTGAGTTTCAAAAACATCCTGAACCACGGATCTCGTGTGCGCTAGTTTTGTAAGTTAGGGGATGCGTTGTGTCCGGTTTTGTGGTTCAGGGATGTTTTTAAACTCGACGACAAGATGAGAGACCCAATGTGAACTTTTTTTTCCCAAAACGATGATCATGTGGGCCCATGGGCCGTTGTACTTTGCTCCCACGGCCCAGGGCATCACGGTCTACTACCATCATCAATGGCGGGAAAGCATGGGAGAAATGGAGGGAAAACGAGCTCCCATTCCCCACCCAGAGGCCGCCGCCGCCACCGCCGCCGCCGCCGCAGAGCGGAGCTGACGATGGCGAAGCGCAAGGCACCGTCCGGCCCCTCCTCCTCGCCGTCTCCCGCCGCCGCTGGCGCCGACGCGTCCCCGCCCGTCGACCCCGTCAGTTCACCTCTCCCTCGAATCTCACGCTAGTTTTGATTTCTCTTCCTTTTGTTGAGGTTTCGTATTCTAGCTCGCAGGGTGGATCCGCCGGCGGGAGGAATCGCAAGGGCGCAGCGGCGGCGGCCAAGCGGAAGCCTAGGAAGCCGCAGGTTTGCGTCCTCCCAAATCCCAATCGCAGCAAATCCTTGCATCCTGCTCTCTTTTTTGATTCGTTTGAGGCTGTAATTTTGCCACTGAATGTGTGGTTACTGTTCTGCCCCCAAATACAACATTGGCCTGATGCAATAATTCTGTCACTTTTGCGTAGGTTCACGAGAAAAATTACGCGCATGTGTACTATGGATGTAGAAATGTTTTATATGATGGGAATGATTTCTACTATGGACATAGATATACAGAAGAATTTCGTAAGGTGGAGGCACATGATTTGTATGGATGTCCACACTTGATTGCCGAGCTACCACCACAACCACGGTTAATGTCATTGCTGGATTTACAGCTCTGGATTATCAAGTTGTTTAGACTCCATCCAGAAACACAAGACCTCTCAATTAAGGGCTTCTTCGAAGAAGAAGACAGTTGGCAGTACTTAGGTTCAGCGGGCTGGAAGACCTATGATTTTCTATCTGATAAAAGTTGGCAGTCCTTTGTCAAGAAAGTAAAGGGTAGAAAGGGGATGGAATTTTTCAAGTTGTATGTGGACTCCTCTGAAATCAAGCACTACGACAGTTTGCTAAAAGCAACAAATGATGATTATTGTCAGTCGGCAACTGTCTTGTTGCCCGAGCAAGATGATCTGACATGGTATTTTCCTTGGGATCACATTTCCCGACGCCTCACGGAAGACCTGGCAATGACAACTACACAGATTGTAGCTCATCTTGCTCACAACTATGACAGGCACCTTAGCTATGCTGGGGCATGGAGAGCAAAGCAGAAGGCTTTGGAGATACGATTTGGTACATTTTATGCTTCACACAACTATGTCCCGAGGTTACTCAAGGAAAGATTTTACATAAATAACCCTTTCAGTTTTGTGGACATCAAGGATACAGAGGTTGCAGGCTGTAAAGATTTCCGAGTCCTCCACCGTATATTCTGGGCATTTGCACAGTGCACGCAGGCCTTTCTGCACTGTCGTCCTGTGATTTGTGTTAAGGGAATGCCGCTATGTGGGAAATATGAAGGGGTTCTGTTAACTGCTCTAGCATTTGATGCTAATGGTTACCCCATTCCAGTAGCATTTGCTGTCATCGAGGGTGAGAGCAAAGAAAGCTGGCTATGGTTTCTTAGGAATGTGAAACATGCTGTTGTGAAGGAGCGATCTCATATCTGCATCATACATGATTGCAAAAGGGCATTGTTCAATGCTATAGAAGATCTAAGGAATAATCCACAAGAAGCACATCCATGGAAGGATGTACAAAGCCGCTGGTGCATCCAACACCTTGCTGAAAACCTGTTCGCCCATTTTGCTGACAAAAAGCTGATGATGCTGTTCAAGAAGCTTTGTCAGCAGAACCGACAAAACAAGTTTGTTAAGATCTGGAAGGAACTAGATGAGTTGACGCTCAAATTTACGGTAGATAAAGAAGGTGGTGCTGGTAGGGAAATGATGCAGGAGTTGGTTGAGCCTTATGAGAATAATCGACTCCCGGAGGAGGATGAGGAGGAGAGTAATCGGCCAAGTGGCAACAAAAGCCAGGTAGCCATGTTTTCTGACTGGATCAGTCAAAAACCAATGGAGAAATGGTCATTGTTGCATGATACAAATGGAGCTAGATATGGCATTATGGAGACTGATATAAACAAAAGTTACCATGTATTGAAGCTGAAGGGGATAGAATGCCTTCCACTCACTGGACTAGTGGAGGTGGCATTTGAACGTGTGACAGAGTATTTCAATAACAGAAGTGCTGCTGCAAACAAAGCAACGGGCAACCCTTCCATGGGCTTCCCTGAATGTGTCCAGGATGAGATGAATGCAAAAGTGCAAAAAGCACAGACGTATCACGTGACCCGCATGAACACTGCGGATACAAATGTTTTCTCCAACGAAGCGCATCAAAGGTTTAAGGTTCAGTCAAGACAGAAGGGTGTGATTGTTCATCTGATATCGAAACGTATCCATAAGAATCACAAAAGGAACATAGCGTGTCAAAGCGAAATCAGAAGAATCGCTCGATGTTCATGCAACAAAGCAAGGCTGCTTCACAAGCCCTGCTCTCATGTCATTGCCGTCTGCTGTCAGGTTGGAGTCAGCATTGCCTCATACATGTCCCCCTTCTACAGCCTGTCCTATCTAGTCAAAACTTGGAGTGGAAAATCAGATGCATCCAACCTTGTTGACCGGAATTTTGCTCGGAATGTCCTAAACTACAAATTTCTGTGCCCAGGGGAGACGCAAACATGGATCCCTGATAAACGTTTGGAGCGTGGCCTTCCTGCCTTTTTAACATCAGACAGGATACATGATGAGGAGAGCATGGATGAGGGAGATCAAAACTGCACAACTCAGGTTATAACAACTGAAAACAGTCAGGGAACCAACAAGTTCTCAGGAGAAACTAGTGATGCTTGACTTGTGTTATCATCCGACAACTTATCTATGCATGTTAGTTGTATCATAAATATGTACTATCCATTGAACTTAACTTATCCTACGTGACCTTTAATTTCCTTTTTAAAAAGAAATCATGTGTGTGCTATGCCTATTGTTTGTTCTCTGCAATCTCTACCATTTTCTGACTGTCACCGATATTCTTCTTGGCTTTGCAGTTAAACTGTTAAAGGCAGTATTTTGGTGCATACATATGTACGGGATAATTTACTATTTGCCACTCTGTTAAAGTCTGTGATGCTTTAGCTTATGCTTCGAAAAATCTTTGATACTGCCATTGATTTTTCTGTGCCAACCCGCACCGAAGCGCAGGGTGCACACCTGGAAGTATAATGTTAGCAATAGTGTTAATTCAAGCAATTTCTAATCAATCTAGCATGTAATACTATACTCTCTCCAGCCATAAAAGAAGATCGATTTTGACTATTCAAAGTCCACAAGACACAAATTTGAACGCTAGATTCTCCCTCATAAGTCTGAAAATAGGTTAGGTAAGTGCAATGCCGTTATTCAAGCATTTGCTGTAATAAACTTGGATACATAATTTCATATGCGAAATATACATTCTAAATAATAAGTATAATAAAGTTAACATTATAGATCTAGTGAGATCAAAGATGTGCCGTTGATTTTTATCTCTTTGAGCGTGTGTTAGGGCCATATTCATGGGTGTGTAAATGTGATGTTGCATGGCCCACTCTGTTACAGAAACAGAGGTATCACTCGTCCAGAAAGCAAAGCTGACCAAGTCACCTTTACTGAGATTAACGCAAAATCAGTCTTTATTTCTTGAGTATCATAGCCATGGATTTTCTCCTTGAAGGAAACATAATGCTGGTCGAAACTGGATGGAAACGCGCCCACTTCGAACTTCAAATCTATGAAAGAATCCCTCGTTACAGCAACCACCGACCTCTTTAAATCACGTGACTCACTGATGACACCATCAAAGAGACGGATTTCCTTATCCAAGTCACTGGTTAAACAACCGAGCAACAAATTGAAACTGCTTTGCACTTCTGATATAAGAATCTCTACGGTGGCCTCAGCTGAACAATTAAAACGTGATAAAGTTATGTCAACTGCACCGTAATCGCCAGGAATGCAAATTGTTTCTGGCCGATTCCATAGGCCTCCAGAGCCTATCATTGATGCACCATCAATCAGCTGTAGGTCATCTTTTTCTTGTTCACCTGTCTTGATCCTCATGTCATATTCAATTAGAGCATAGTCCATCATGTCTATTCCTCGGTTAGGGCCTTCCATGTTGATGAGCGAACCCTACAAAATTATTATATTTAGTTGCTCTTCTTATAAAAGTAAGAAATATCTAAAGGTGGATGCTTCCTTATGTTGTTTCACTTGTAACAGCATTTACTTGAAAGGTCCTTAAAGTTGGAGCGTGGTGTCACTTAGGTCCACGATCTTGTAAAATCAACATTAAGATCCATGAACTTGTTTAAGTGAATCATTGCAGTCCAAAAACACGTCTGACCGGGTTGACCGTCCTACGTGGCAGTCTAGCGTGGCTACATGTTTGCAATTAGGCCCCTCCACGCCCGATCCACAGCCTTCATGGTGTTGGAGACGCGGTTCTTGCCGATGAGCGACATGACGGCCTCCCGCGCCTTGGTGAGCACCTGCGTGAGCGCCTCCCGACCTTCGCCATCATGTTGCCCGGCGCCGTTGCCGCCTTCGGTGGGTGTTTGTTGCAGCAGCAGCGGCGGAGGGGGGACAGGGGCAGATGCACTGGGGAAGGAGAAGCAACACAAGCCGGTGCTCAAGAACACCATCGCCGGCGGCGACCACAGCGGGAACAATGACGGCGGAGGTGGCAGGGAGAAACAGCGGCGACCGCGCTGGCGTGAGCAACAACAGCAACAGCAGCGAGGAGGATGAACGCGATGTGGCGGCGCAGAGGATGGGTGATGTGGACTAGCGCAGGTACCAAGAGGACATCGAGGACAAAACCATCGCCATGGATTCCGATCCTGAGGTTCATATCGCGCCGAGTAAGCTCTTGCTCCGTTGATCTCTAGCTTTGCATGTGCCGCCGCTGACGGTGTTAGATTTGAAACTTTTTTGGTTGTTTGCGTGTGCCGCCGCTGACGGTGTCAGGTTTGACATGGCAAGGACCCTAGCGGTGCAGGAGATGGAGCAGTGGAGGGCGACGGCGCAACGTGTCAAGGTGTCGGCTCGGTGACCTCGGCGGCCCCGTCTTGGACGTCTCGGCGGCACCACACTCCACGATGCGTGTGCTGCGGGAAGGCGAGGACATCGGCACGACGCCTGTCGTCGACTCTTTCGAGTGGAAGGATGCGGCCACGTACACAATGCCTGAAGGCAGCGCTGCCGCCTGTCGTGTCCGGCGTGACGTACACCGACAAGATCAAGTTGGCAGCGACATGCACCACGGAGAGTACAGCAAGAAGCTAGCCACCACAATGTACGAGAAGGTCGCCGGAGTCGGGACCGTCGTGGACTCGTGGCTGGCAAGGTGCAGCAAGTGACGCAGTCCGCTGGCACCGTGATCTCAGGCATCAGCGGCACCTCATAGTCACAGGGTACCGCGCAGGACTCGGACGCCTCCACCACCCTTGCCTCCGGCGAGCCAGCGACCGGGCAGCAACAGGACAAGGGGGCGACGGTCACCGGCTAAATCGCCGACATGCTCCGTCGGGGCGATGAGGACCGCGTGCTCAGCGAGGCGATCTTCGGCATAGTGCAGTGGCGGAAGGAGGTCGTGGCACAGCGCGTGCCGGCGGTGGCGGCAGCGGTGCCGGGCGAAACGATGATGAAGATCCGGGAGGCACTCGCATAGGTGCTCGCTAAGGTGCGGGAGGCCGTTACGTCGGTCATCGGCAAGAACCACATCTCCGACACCGTGAAGGCCGTGGATCGGGCGTGGAGGGCCTAATTGCAAATATGGAGCCACGCTGGACTGCCACGTAGGACGGTCAACCCAGTCAGACGTGTTTTGTACTGCTATGATTCACTTAAACAAGTTCATGGACCTTAATATCGATTTTACAAGATCATGGACCTAAGTGACACCACGCTCCAACTTTAAGGACCGGTGGTGTATTTTACTCTTTTTACAACTACCAAGATCTTCATCATGTATCAAACAAAAGAAAAAAAAATTATGTAGGGTACTAAGCAACAACAAAGTGTCCAAAACTATTTAACATGATTTTTCTTTGGAATACATGTGTTCCTTAGTTTCATAATTTAAACCTGTTCTCATAGTAAATCATCATTTCATAATATAGAGTACACTCCCTATGTAAGGTGCGTTTTGGAAGGAGAAATTCTTGAAAAGTAGAATTTTGACCTTTAATTTCTCTATCAATATATCACCAATTGCAATAAAATTAACATCTTAAAAGTAATTCGAGTACCAATAATTTGACGATTTTTGCCAAAACTCATGAAGTATGAATTTTCCAAATCAAAATACACAATGATATTTCTAGATAAGTCGGATGTGTACCTGCTCCACAATGATGGGATCATCCCTGCTACAGTTGACAATATAATTAAGCAACGGATCTAGATCATCCCGCACAGCTATGTATCCATACAACTCTACTGAACCACCATCCAGTGTAATTTTAGCCAACTCCAATGATAAAATTTGCAGCATGTTGCAATGAACATGTGACATGCAAGTTCCATTACTGCGAATGACACAATTTGTGGGATTCGAAAACCTCATTGCCTCCAACCGAGCTTCAAAAAAAGTAAAGTCATAATGTAAGTTTGTGACCGGAAATTAATACAGTGAACAAACACTTGACATTTGAAAAGTACATGTGATATTTGATGATTATATGGCCTTATTGGATTTTTTTTTCCTTTTCATCTACAAAGTAGAAACAACCTATGTTCTTTTTACTAGGAGAGCAACATCTATCCTAGTATCAACTACAAGAAAAAAAAAACTCAAGGGCAGACTACCTCTTCAGAAAGCCAGGTATATTCTTTCCTGTACCAGCCTTTTACCTCTACAGAAAACCACGTGTTTTGGGAAGTGGTCTATATTTTGGAAACTGGCAACCCGCTCCTCATATTAAACAGGGGCATTTGAATGTTTGGTTGGCCCCTTGAACACCTAGTAGTCCTTTAGGTTATATATAGTATGTGAACTGCCTGAGTACTTTCTATTATTGCTTGTTGTTGCTCCCTGCATGCTTGGAAAACTTGTACTATTACTGACAGTTTGTGGCTGCATGTATGGAGAATTTAAACCTAATGGCAATTACAACAGTGTGGATGCGATATTTAGATTATTATTTGCACTTATAGTTGTCATTTTCTTGTGTATTCTGCTATTGAAATACATGCTCAAAGGCTGTGTGATCACCGTGTTGCAAAGTTCAGGGATAAAGTACTTTGGACATTTATGTAATTAAATGGCATGGAATAAGGTCCTAGTCCATGTCATCAGAACTCTGCATGCAACCTCAGTCCCTCCCATCAGGCTGTGGCGCAGATTGCTATGTATGCAAATGGTGCTAAGCTGAAGGGCCAGTAAAAGTAAAGTACAAGGCTTGGGGTGGAAGTGTTACTCTCATCCACGTTTAAGGACCTCCAGTACAATTATCTCATAGCTGAAAAGAGTGTAAGGCGGGTAAAATTATGGCAGTGCTGCATAGCACCACATATACAATGATCTCTAGGATCGCAATAAAATATTTATAGATATGGAAAGAGATTCGTTATGTTCAAGGAAACAAATTATCTCTAATAAAAAATAATATAGCAAATAAAGATAGAGAAAAGATAGCTTACTCTCATTACGGTCTGCAATATGAAACTCCCTTTTCCACGGTGTGTCCATGATGTCCCTATATATAGAGCCATCACGGTGTCTACTTTTTGGAAGTATGTTGTTCACAGTATATTCTTCAGGATCAAGAACTTCGTCCTCCTCAACATGTTCCTCCGTTTCACTCCTTCGATCATCCTCATCACAGCCATCCTGCTTCGCACTTTGCCCCAGTACATCGTATTTGATGTATGAAACCTCTGAGGACGCCGCATCTCTATTACTTTTCTCATCTCCAGCTCTAGCCTCCAAGATTGTGCCCCTGGTGTCAATGGTTTTCATACCTTGAGTGATCGCAGTATGCTTCTTTTCCTGGGATGGAAGTCGCCTGTATGACTCGTCGCCTTTTACTCGACTGATGGTGGTCATGTTCCGAGGTTCCCAAGGAAATCTATCATTAATTAAGAGAATGAAAAACCAATATCAACAACTAAAATAAATAAGACGGTACCATCAGTCAGGATTGAGATCATCTAACCCTGAAATCGATAATCGATTTCTAAATTTTTTTTCTCGATCTCCTTTGTCTTTGTTTCGAATTAGTTTAAAGAAACTTATTTTCCACAACTACCTTCAAACAAATGAAAACAAAACCCAAAGTTTTTTTTTTTTTGCGAGGAAAACAAAACCCAAAGTTGATCGCAGATCCAAAAACTGTGGCAAAAGACGCAAACTTTAGCATCAGAACAAGGAAAAAAAACACATGCCCAAAAAATCTGTCTATGAAAATCATGCCAAAACTGTAGTAATAACCAAGTAAAGGCGCAGACTTTAGCATCGATCAGCACAAGAAAACACACCGGGAAACACGACGGACGACAGGTCCTCCTCGAGCAAGCAATGGTGACCACCAGCACCAGCTAGCCGCTGCAGATGCCATGAGAGAGGGAGAAGAGATGAGGCGGTGCATCGGGGCAGGAGATCGGGCGGCGGCGTTAGAGCGTCGGAGCAGACGCGGAAAGCGGCGGAGAATTCGCATCTGGGCGGCGGCGGGGGTTAGGGGGAATAGCCGTGCTGTGGCTGCGTGGGGGATTTCTGTCATCATCAGAAACGGGCATCATGTGGATGGACATAATTGGAGAAATTTCATTATTTGACATCCAATTCGCAGGCCTTTCAGGGCAAGCCACTCAATACACATTCCTTTCAGATTTTGTCACTGCGATAGCGAATTCCTTTATTCCGTGCCACTCCGTCGCCGATCCGTCCGTCCGTCCCCAACGCCAGCTTTTCCGTCGTCTTCTCCACCTCGTCACGCTCGTCACCGGCGCCGGCGTGGGCTGCGCTCTAGAGGGGCTCGAGCTCAGATTCCGGTGTGGATGTCAGGAACCAGTCGTCTTGTAATCTCGCAAAGCAGCAGCCGATCGAAACGGGCGAGCCGAGACGCACGAGGCGGGGCCAGCCGCAGACGTCGCGGCCGCCCTCCACACCGCAGAATCGTTGGGCAACTCGGAGAAGAAATTTCCAGCGTCTTCCACCTCGACGTAGCCGGCGAGCGGCCACCTTCGCGAACCCGGGCCACATCGGGAACGAAGGCCATATCTAATCCCGCAGACGTGCGACCTCAGCACCAGGCAGAACTGCAGAGCTAATCTCTTCCATGCCATAATCAGCAAAAAATTGTTAATCTTCCCAAACAAATGCATTGAGAAAACTGACAGAGGAATCTACTGTTTTCATTGATAAACTACCAAGCGTGCTCCTCAGAAGTCAGAACGAAGAAGAAAGAAATCACATTACGCAACTAATTGATGGGAGAGAACGAAGAAACTAGGGAAGAAATTAGCGAGCTGCAATTAACACACAAGCTATATCTATGCACAATCAGTTGCTGCTGCTTCGCAAGATTAGACCCCGCGCCGTCTCGCGCCTCGTGTGTTGATGTGATGTTTTGTGTGGGGGGTGAAATGTGCGTGCTCTGAACACGCAGGCTGACGGCGCCGCCACCGCCGCGGGGAAGAGGAAGGGCGCCCCGGTGGCCGCCGCCGCCGCCGCCACGGCGCCGCCGAAGGCTAAGAAGCAGCAGGTCTGTGCCGCGCACATTCCGTTCCTTTGAATCTCCCTTGCTTGCTCGATCTCGTTTTGGTGCTGGATCTTGGAGCAATGGGAGGTCACTAGTGGTATTTTGCTTCGCAAGCGTCGAGTTTAGGATAGATTACAATCTGCCAATCTGGGCCTTGCTTAGGTACGAATACTGAAGCAATGTGCTGTTTTTTTTTTATTATTAGATAGGTGGGGGCAAAATCTGTATCCATATAAAATGTTCTTGGTATTTGGTGAGGAACAAGTATTTGATTTCATTTATTTTTAGATTGTTACAGATTTGCCTGAATCTAATATTGATCACTTCGCTGTAAGATTTGTAGACTTTTCTAAGACCTGATGTCTGATGTAGCCCCCAAATATCAAACTTTGATGTCTGATATTTGTGGTAAGGGACAAATGTTTGGTTTCATTTATTTTTGGGTTGATACAGATTTACCCCCAACCTTATTGATCACTTTGCTGTAAAATTTGCAAACTTTAATATAGCCCCTAAATTCAACACTGATTTGATACATGGAAATCTCATTGTTTGGTGTAGGATTTTGGAACAAACCAGGCTTACGTGTACTATGGGCTACGAGAGGACAGATATGGGCTATGTGAGAGAGAGTTTGAATTCATGAAAGGGTCTGATTTGAGGCTATGTGAACGGGTAATCGGTGAGCTCCCACAGCCTCGATCGATGTCATTGGTGGATCTGCAGTGCTGGGTCATCAAGTTGCTTCGACTCCATCCAGAAATACAAGATCTTCAAATCAAAGGGTTCTTCTCAGAAGGCTTGCCCCTTGAGTTTCGTCCGGAGTGGTTTTATAAAGGTGACTGGGAGACACACCATATGCATAATGATGATTCATGGGCTTCCTATGTCAAGAAAGTAAAGAGAAGATATGGTATGTCAATGTTCGTGCTCTGTGTGGATTGCTCTGAAATCAAGCACTACAGAAGTTTGGTCAAAGCTGGGTATGGTGTTTACGCTCAAGTGGGGAAGGTTGCGGATCATGAATGCATGCCTACGGAGGTTTTGCCTGGGCAAAAAAGTCTGTCATCTAAATTTCCTGCTCAGTATCTCTCCTATCGCCTTAAGGATGAGCATAACATGTCAATGACAGCTGAAGAAATTGTACCTTTTATTGCTGACAGATATGGCGACAAGATCAGTCTCCCTGAGGCATGGAGGATAAAGATGAAGGCTTTGGAGATTCTATTTGGTACCTTCTATGATTCATACAACTCTGTACCAAGGTTACTTAAGGACATAGGATATAAAAACTATGGCAATTATGTGAACATCAAGGACACAGAGGTTGTAGGCTGTAAAAGTTTCCGAGTCCTCGATCGTATATTTTGGTCACCTGCACCGTGCGTACTGGCCTTTACATACTGTCGTCCTGTGCTTTGCATCAAGGGCACTTCACTATGTGGGAAATACCAACCACTTCTGTTAACTGCTCTAGCATTAGATGCTAATGATAACTTGATTCCAGTAGCATTTGCCATCATTGAAGGTGAGAGCAAGGAGAGCTGGCTGTGGTTTCTTAGGAATGTGAAGCAATCAGTTGTGAAAGAGCGATCTGGTATCTGCATTATACATGACTACAAAAGGGAGTTGCTTGATGCTATAGAGGACCTCCAGAATAACCCTCAAGAACAAGAACCACACACATGGAGAGACATACAAAGCAGGTGGTGCATCGAACACCTTACTGAAAACTTATCTGCACATTTTGGTGGCAAGAAGTCGGCGGTGCTGTTCAATAAACTCTGTCAGCAGAGCCAACCAAGTAAGTTTACTGATATCTGGAAGGACCTAGATGATTTGACACTCAGGTATACGACTGAGAATGACTCTGTTGCTAGTGAGGAAATGGAACAGGAGTCAGTCGAGCATGATGAGGCAGAACTTGAATCACAAAGCCCATCCCACCAACTTGATTCAGCGGATGATGAGGAGGAAGTAAATCAGGGCGGTGACAGCAAGAGCAAGATTACAAGGTTTACTGAGTGGATCCGTCTGAAACCATTGGAGAAGTGGTCGCTGCTGCATGACACAGATGGAGCTAGGTATGGCATCATGGGCATTAATATAGCTGATATATATGAAGGTAATCATGTGTTGAAGGGGATAAAGTGCCTTCCTCTCAACGCAATAGTGGAGGTTACACACCAGCGCATGGCAGAATACTTCAAGGAAAGAAGTGCTGCAGCGAAGAAAGCAATTGGCAATCCTTCAATGAACTTTCCTGAATGTGTCCAGGATGCCATGAATGCCAAAATGCAAAAGGCGCAGATTCATAGTGTGACCTGCATGGAAATCAAGGAGAACAAATATTTTCCCGGGGAAGAGGTTCAAAAGTTTAAGGTTCAGTCAAATCAGAAGAAGGTTGTTGTTCAATTAACATCGGAGTATACCCGCATCAGTAGGGATCATGCACGCGAGCTCACGAAACGCGCTGAATGTTCCTGCAACAAGTCAAAGCTGCTTCATAAGCCCTGTTCTCATGTCATTGCCGTCTGTTGTCAGATTGGAGTTACCACTGCTGATTACATGTCCCCGTACTACACCCTGCCCTATCTGGATAACACTTGGAGTGGAAATTGTGATGTACCCAAATTCTCACCAGACTACAAAATCATCATGCCATTTGACAAACCAACTTGGATCCCTGACAAAAAGCTGGAGTGTGGTCTTTCTGTTTTTAGAACATCAGATCGCGTGCAGTCTGTCATGGATGAGGAAGAGCAACAGAGTAGCAGCACTTAGAGTAGATCAGTTTCAGACAATTCAGGGCAGCAAAAAGCACCTAGAAGAACCTAGTCAAGCTTGAACCTGTGTTATTGTCTGTTGGCTTAACCATGTTTTGCGTTAGACATTAAGTTATGGTATGCAAAACCTGTGTTTCTATTACTTTTGTAGTGCTTATGTGCTCCCTTGACAACTGATGTTTTCAGATCTTTTAAGGCAATATGGTTAGTGGTCTCATGGATATTTCAAACTGTGGGCATGATTATGTTCTAAATCAGGTTAGTTTTGCTATCCTATACTATACCCTTGCTCTCTTTTCCAGTTGGTTACACTTTTGATATTTGAATAACTGTTATAGGATTACATTTTTTCATGCCCTGATATGCATGAATGGGTTGATGCCAAATTATGTCGAAAGGTATCATTTCTAGGATGATCATTATAATGAATGGCATGCATGCTCTCTGACAAATCACATCTCATGTTTTATTTTTTATAACAATTTCTGAAGTCTCTGCACCAGAACTTGTTAATTTTCTGCACAAGGCAGTCGTCTGTTTTCTCCGTTTTACTGCAACAGCAACAAAATGCAGCATCTACAGAAATTGCATGATGAGATATATAGATCTAAGAGAGTGAAAGCTCCTTAGCATTCCTGAAGCAACTTGTGCAATTTGGTTGCTGCAATGCAAAGTTGCAGTAACTTGTCTGAATCACGCCCTGGTGATGTCGGTGATGGTGATACGAAATCCGACGTTCCCGATGCATCCACGTGGTCAGCGTTTCACCGACACACGCTGCTATACTATTCCTTAATCATTTTCTGGTCTCTTCCTCTGTTGTTTCAGTCGTCTTCCTCGTGTTGCTCATGGGGAATATAGGAGTATTATCATATGATCTGAAATTCTGATTTCTGAACACATATGCATCGCGATTTGAACTTGTCCTTCCATCTGTTTCTCTTTGGAAACAAATACGTCACGAATTTGCATGATAAGCTGTTGGATTAAACGATAAATAATTGCAAAGTCGCTGTATGCATGATCTTTCAGAATTCTTTCTCTGACTTAACCAATCATAATCAAGCAACTACTCTAAAGTTGTAACGGCAACGTTCGCTCGTCGAGTCCTCTGCTGTGCCCAGAGGAATAAAGAAAAAAAGAATTGTCCATTAAGAAGCTGACCATTCAAAGAAAAACTTTCATGATTGGAACTCACTTGGGGCCATGAAGAACAGTTCATTGCGATTTGCAAAGGTGATTTGGTCATCCTTTCCTGGCACTCAAAACTTGAGGAATTAAAAAAAAGAATTAATCAATCAGCTCGTTACAAAACAAACATGAAGAAGCAATTAACCCAATGTTCAGATCACTGCAGGCGTGTCGGTTGGATCGATCGCAACCGACACGATGATACATCGAGACACGACCATCAGATTAAACGAAAGGATTAATTACTGCAAGTGCTGAAGCTGTTCTTGCTTGTGTGTTTTGCACGTCGACTAACTAACGGCCTCTCACGCCATCGCCTACTAAGCTAGCGTGTATGCTTCCAACAACTATATACTTCGATCCCTCTGTCCTTAAATATTTGACGCCGTTAACTTTTTTAAACATGTTTAATCGTTCGTCTTATTTAAAAATTAAATAATTATTAATTTTTTTTCTATCATTTATTCAATGTTAAGTATACTTTTATGTATACATGCATACAGTTTTATATATTTTACAAAAGTTTTTCAATAGGACGAACGATCAATTATGTTTAAAAAAGTCAACAGCGTCAAATATTTAGAGAGTATTTCATTTGCAACCAACCACCGGCGAGTCGGCGACGAGTGGAATTATCATGGCCATGCAGGACGACGACGACGACGACCAGCACATGCACAGCATGTCTCGCTGGCGCGCGGCGACGGCGGCGGCCGGGAGAGAACGTGCGTGGTGACCCAAACCTTGACGCGCAGAACACAAGCTGTACACTACCACTTCTCTAATTCTTTAAGTACAAACCAACACGTAGCACCACCTACCTAAGCTTTAGCTTCCTCTCACATTCCACTCCTCACATATATATATATACCACATTGTTGTCATGGCACGGCTCCTACTCCAATCAATCACAACCAACGAATTAGAATCTAATCACCCTGTCCCATTAACCAAATTAACATCGATCGATCATTAGTACAAACTAATTAATCAATCAATTAGTTAGAGATCAAGTTATTAGTGTCCAAGTATAGCTTAGGAAGGTAATGGGAAAGAGAGACACGCCGGCGAGGTCCTCCTAAGTTAGGACCTTGGACCGTCCCTCCTCCATCCTCACGGCTATACCAACTTTATCCTCGCCCCCTCCCCACCACCCCTCTCTCCCCTCCCCTCTCAAACACCACCGCCACCGCCATGGTCACGCCCTTCCCCTCCTCCTAGCACCACCTCTCCCCTTCCCGCGCTACGCGGGACGAGGACCAGGGATGGCTCCCCCCACCGCCGTCTCCGCCTCCACCGCCGGCCTGATCTGGTCCTTGTCGCCCTCGCTCTCGCTCGTCGTCACCACCTCGGTGGCGCTTCTGCTCGTGCTCGGCGGTGTGTCCGGGATCCGCGTCAACGTCATCCGGCTCCCGTCGGCGTCGCCGTTCCCGGCGTTCCGGGAGGCGCCGGCGTTCAGGAATGGCGACGGGTGCCCGCCGGCGAGGGGGTCGGCGGCGGCGGAGGGGGGGCGGGTGGACGTGGCCATGACGCTCGACGCCAACTACCTGAGGGGCACCATGGCCGCCGTGTTCTCCATCCTGCAGCACACGGCGTGCCCGGAGAGCGTCGCGTTCCACTTCCTCGCCGCGCGCTCCGACCCGGACGCCGGCGACCTCGCCGCCGCCATCCGCGCCACCTTCCCCTACCTCGGCGCCGCCGTCAGCGTCTACCGCTTCGACCCGTCGCGCGTCCGCGGCCGCATCTCCCGCTCGGTGCGCCGCGCGCTCGACCAGCCGCTCAACTACGCGCGCGTCTACCTCGCCGACACGCTCCCCGCCGGCGTGCGCCGCGTCCTCTACCTCGACTCCGACGTCGTCGTCGTCGACGACGTGCGGAAGCTCTGGTCGGTGGACCTCGCCGGGCACGTGGTGGCGGCGCCGGAGTACTGCCACGCCAACTTCACCAAGTACTTCACCGACGCGTTCTGGTCGGACGGCGAGCTCAGCGGCGCCGCGTTCCGACGCGGCCGCCGCCGGCCGCCGTGCTACTTCAACACCGGCGTGATGGTGATGGACATGGGGCGGTGGCGCGACGGCGGGTACACGCGGCGGGTGGAGGAGTGGATGGCGGTGCAGAAGCGGAGGCGGATCTACCACCTCGGCTCGCTGCCGCCGTTCCTGCTGGTGCTCGCCGGCGACATCAAGGCGGTGGATCACCGGTGGAACCAGCACGGGCTCGGCGGCGACAACGCGGAGGGGAAATGCCGGAGCCTGCACCCGGGCCCGGTCAGCCTCCTCCATTGGAGTGGCAAGGGGAAGCCATGGCTGCGCCTCGACTCGCGGAAGCCCTGCGCCGTCGACTACCTCTGGGCGCCGTACGACCTCTACAAGGCCGCCGTACCCGCGCTCGAGGAGTGAGCTAGCTAGCTAGCTCGCCGCCGGCGAGCCGAGGCGGCGGCGTGATTGCATTGCATGCATTCGAGGGCAGACATACGAGAGAAGAGGAGAGAGGGAGAGGGAGAGGAGGTGTGTACACGTACGTACGCACGTGCGTGCGTGCATGCATGCATGCATGTGTCCATACGTGCAAAACACAAAAGGGGCAAAAAAAAAAAAAGTTGTGACGTCATGCAAAACGGCACAAATAAGATTAATTAGGACTGGAAGTGGTGAAGAAATACATGCCAAGAGGATCAATGGAAGGAAGGCGCTCCGTCTCGTAGAAAAACTAATCCTAATTACGAATCTAAATACATATGTATCTAGGTTTATAACTAGGATTGACTTTTTTTTACAGAGTAGTACATATGTGGATGCATGTGCCGATCTCTTTTTCTTTCTTCCTCTTGTTTTGGGTTCCTTGAAAAATTTTCTACCGTTGAATTTGATTCATCATGGTGACGATGATGTACATAGGTGTTTTGATTGGAGTACGATGTGTAAAAAATTAGGGTGGTGAGATCAGAAGTGGGTGGTGCACTTTGCAAATGTGTATGTACTATATGCTTTGATGTTGATATATCATACAAGAACACACACATTCAGGGGGGCAAACATCGGTCCATAGCTTTATTTTCCGTTCATCCATTTGATCACATAAATTGATATAAAGAGTAAAATACATTATCGGTCCTTAAAGTTGAAGGTGGTGTCACTTCGATCCATGATGTTGTAAAATCAACATTAAGGTCCATGAACTTGTTTAAGTGAATCATTGCGGTCCAAAACAGACCAGGTTGACCGTCCTATATGGCTGTTCAGCGTGGCCGCATATTTGCTATTAGGCCCTTCCACTTTCGCACTACCGGTTTGGTTGGCAGAACAATCGGGGTGCGACAAATATGGGGGCAGCGGTGGGGACAAGGGGCATGTAAATACTATCCATCCTAGGTCGGATGCAACGCTGATGACTGGTGAGAAGGCAGGATCCAACGCCGGCGCCCGAGTGCAGCTCGGCATCCATCACTCTGGCGCCAAAGGAGCGTAATGGAGGCCGCGCCCATCTCTTCAGCTCAACAACGCCCAACGACTTGGTGGGCAGGCAAGCGGAATCCGCGGCATGAACTCACCGCCCATGGCCAAGCCTCCAAGCTTGCCGCTTCCCAATCTGTCGTCACCGGGAACAGGAGAGACCCTCGCGGATCTTGGGGCCCCACGCCCTCTCCGGAGCCATCCCTCCACCGTCGCCGGATAGAGGGGCACCACCAGGGAGAACCATGCTTCATCGACGGCCAGATCCACCGGTCACCCTTCCCGCTGGTCGTCGGCGCTAGATCCACCACGTCACTAGATCCGTGCCACGACGCTTTGCCGCCAGAGTGATGGATGCCGAGCTCCACTCGGGCGCTGGCGTTGGATCCGGCCTTCTCACTAGTCATCAGCGCCGCATCCGACCTAGGATGGATAGTATTCACATGCCCCTTGTCCCCACCGCTGCCCCCATATTTGTCGCACCCCGATTGTTCTGCCAACCAAACCGGTAGTGCGAAAGTGGAAGGGCCTAATTAAAAATATGTGGCCACGCTGGATAGCCACATATGACAGTCAACCCAGTCAAACATGTTTTGGACTGCAATGATTCACTTAAATAAGTTCATGGATCTTAATATTGATTTTACAAGATCATGGACCTAAGTGACACAACGCTCCAACTTTAAGGACCAATGGTGTACTTTACTCATTGAAATATATGTTGAGGCATGTGCATATCAGCATGAACAAACAATGTTGCTCGCGGCTTTTGCATCTGACGGGCCGGGGCTAGGTGTGGTGGCAAAGGAAGTAAGTTCACTTTGACTCCCTTCACTAGTGGTCGAATATAATTCGTATTCCACTATCCCTGAACCACAATACCGAATATTTTGACCCCTTCCTCCCCCAACTATTAAAACCGATGCAATTTGACTCCCTTAACGGTTTTGGAGAGCAGTTTCGCTGATGTGGCGCCTACATGGCAGTGTTCACTTTGTCTTCATCCAACGTGGCATTGACGTGACATTTATATGACAATACAACTAAAAGAAATGTGGGACCCATTTGTCATTTACACAAAAATATTATGGGACCCACTGACATGTGGGGCCCAAAGTCATCCTCTTCTTCCCTTCTTCTTCCTCCCTCTTTCTCTCCCTTCTCTTTCTCTTCCCCTTTCTCTCCCCCTTCACCGTCCGCGGGAGGTTGCCGTGTAGGGAGAGCAGGAGCGGCAGCGGCGAAAGGGGTCGGAGTTCAAAGTGAACTTATTCCGGTGGCAAATGCTCGCGGTCCCGCGTTTCGTGGGCCACGACCTAGGCGCAGGTGAGCCAAAATGGCTAATTTTGCTCTAGAATAAGTTCACTTTGACTCCCTTAACTAGTGGTCGAATCTTATTCATATCCTTAAACCACAATATCGGATATTTCGACCCTCCAAACTATTAAAACCGGTGCAAGTTGACTCCCTCGGCGGTTTTGGAGGGCGGTTTCGTTGACGTGACGTCTACGTGGCGATGTTGACTCGGTCTTCATTCCACGTGGAGTTGACGTGGCGCTTATGTGTATTAGAATTAAAGACAATATGAGCGGACCCCATTTGTCATTCACACAAATAATGTGGGACCCACATTTCATCCTATTTCCTTCATTCTTCTCCCTCTCTCTCCCTTATCTCGCTAGATCGGATCGGCGGGCGGTTCGGCGGCGGGCGAGCGCTGTGACGGCGACGTGTGGGCAAGGGCTGAAGCGGCGGCGGTTTCGGCCCGCAAGGCCACATGTGGCATTTCCCCTCTCCTTCTCTTCACGCGTCCTCATACGATGGTTTCCACCTTCTTCGATCTGGAAGCGTGGTTCAAGGACCACAGTGCCACAATGCTCTTCGAGAAGGCGCACGTGATGTCCCCGTCGAGCTTAACCAAAAGTGGCGCATCATACAACCATGCGATGAATGTCGCATGCGTGGCAGACAACACCTTCATCATGGACTTAGTGCTGAATTCGAAAGAGGATTTTTTACCAATGTGGATCAACGGGGTAGCATTTTGAAATTCATCATTCAGTTGTAGAGATTTGGTTCGGTTTCCTCCTATTCTCCCGACTCTAATTCTATAAGCTGGATAGAGATACAGGAGGACTACCAACCTATATATGTGCACGCGCTATCTGGCAATAGATTACTTGTGTCGAGTTTAATCCGCTTTACAATTTGGCATTTCCATTATCAATTAAATATAGCCATCTAAAAGAGGATGAGAGATTTTTTTCTCATATGTCGAACGAAGAGGTGAGGGCAACTATAGTGGAACCAAGCGAGGGGTAGTGAAGGAATTTGGCATTTCCATTATCAATTAAATATAGCTATCTAAGAGAGGATGAGAGATTTTTTTTCTCATATATCGAGCGAAGAGGTGAGGGGGCAGCTATAGTGGAACCAAGCGAGGGGTAGTGAAGGCAGTGGTGCAGCAGAGGCTGTTGCTGCCGCTTAGCATGATAGTAGTTCAGTTGATTTTAGTGGAAATGTTGGTACTGTCGAAGATAACGCTCAATGACGGGATGAGCCCGTTCGTTATTATTGTGTACCGCAACCTGATCGCCGCTGCCGCTACCGTGCCACTTGTGTTCATATTTGAGAGGTACTAGATTAATGACCTATATCTTTCATTTTTAGGTGTTTTCCTTTACATCTTCATGTTTATAATTTTTTTTCTATGTTTTTTCTGTTACAGGGATATGTGGAAAAAGTGAACTGGGCAATTGGGGGCTGGCTTTTTATAAACTAGGTGAAACCCTGCGCGTTGATGCAGAGTTTAGTATGATAACAATAAGTAAAAATAATATGTGTGATAGCTAGACAACATAAGATTATGTAAGTTAATGTGGTTTATGATAATTTAAATTTAAATAGTATATAGAATGATGATTCAAATGTAAAAGTAAGGTGATATGACTTTATGAAAGAAGAAAAGTATTGAGATAGTTTGAACCGTAGATTAATCATCTAAAGGCTAAAAATAATTGAGGTGATATGGATTAATGAGAGAAGAGAAAGAGAGATATAATTTGGACTATAGATTAATCATTTAAGCACTAAAAACAATTAATGTGATATGGCTTAATGAGAGAAGAGAAATAACATTAACTAAGTGATGATGAACTATATAGGTACATAGCATATTATAAAAAAAAATGAAGATATATATTAAAATATAATGTGAATTATGTGGAATTATGATTTAACATGTTTGGATTTTAAATGCTTTAAAATTTAATAAATTATAAATAACATGTTTGCATGTTGTTTAAATTTAATGATTATTAGTGGATGATGATGTGGTATCTTGTTAATGAATGATGATGTGGCATCTTTGCATGTTAAACTTTAGAAATTAGTGGGTTATAACTTTATAGTAAGAGAGGATGCTGTATTTGGGTGAGGTCTCCCACTCTACCTTTAGATTTGGACATTTTGTAGCCGTACTACTTTTTATTCCTTAGTGTCATGGGCATGGACCATGCTTTTATTCCGCATGGACCATGCCCATGTAGCAGTTTGCATGTCAGATCGATGTTAGTCATAATGCCAATATATTTTTTTTGGTCTATTGAGTATATCTATATTCCATGACTCTAGAAGAACATAGTAAACCACAGGTACCAAAGATCTTTAAGATAACATATTCTAATCAGTGGCGAAGCCAGGATTTGGGTATAGGGGGTGCTGGCCAGGAGACGTAAGAACTCACCAGCGCCTCGGTAGATAATATAGCGTGGATCTTGGTGTATAAAATTGAACTTATTTTTAGAATGGAGGATGTATGTCCGAATATATGTTAATATAGAATAAAAAGAACCATTTTTAAAGTCACTAAATAGCACCAACTTTACTCAATACAGAATGACACACGACATCATTTCTATTCATCCTTTTTAATTTTGGAGACTTGCAACCACATCGCTTAGTTACGTTAATAGACTTGCAACCACATCGTTTAATTACGTTAATTAACTTAGGTAATCACGTAAAGCTAAAACCTATTGGACAGCTAGGTAGGTATAGGCTCAACTTGCAACAAATTAATGAGCTAATTTTATGGATTAGATGGCTAATCATCCGGGGGTGGGGTTTGCAGCGCATGGGGATGGGGGGGTGCCAGGCTCACCCCGGCACCCCCTGTGGCTTCGCCACTGATTCTAATCCTAACAACTATAACGCAAGGATCCAAATCATTTTTTTTGACAAACAAAGAAATAATGTGAACATATGACAGTTCTTGGGCAGTAAAAGATAGAAAGTGCTAGAGACTTGGTGTAGTGAACACTTTACTGAAAAGGCTTGAATTTAACCACCACAATGGAACTAAGAAATTTTACAACTTCAAATTGATTCAAGCTTTGTAATAATGGCATATAAACAAGGTTGCCCTAATTTAGGTTTATTGTATACTATTAAGTTTGATTACATGGCCTAAGTACTAAAAGTTACTCAGTAATCTCTAATTTAGGTTTATTGTATACTATTAAGTTTGATTACTTGGCCTCAGTACTAAAAGTTACTCAGTAGTCAATTCACAAGCGTGTTGACGTATTTCAGGCATATAGCCCACTTACTATAGACAACTTACATGGAAGGGCGGTAGTTAGACCTAAGTTATAGCTAAGCTACAAAATAATAAAAAAGACACCTCTTGGCAACTCTGGTGCTTATCTTTGTGATAAACTAGTGGTAAGATAGTATGCCGTTAAAAATCTCAGCTTTGCATCATGTACACAGTATTTCAGCTGATATAACTTTCCTGAAATACAAAGCACTCACAAATTCAATATGGCATACATGAGAATTTAGAGAATTTACCATCAAATTCATGTGCCTCAACTTTTTTTACCACCCAATCCGCGTGCCCTCTGTAATATATCATTATGACTGCTAATTCGTCTATTTTGTACCACTTTCTCTATTTTTCATGTGTTTTTTAATTCTTAATTCCATTTGTACTCCCTCCGTCAAAAAAAACAACCTAAACACATCCTAGTACCATGAATCTGGACATGTGACACATCATAGTACCATGAATGTAGTACTAGTATGTCCAGATTTATTGTCATATCGTAGTACGATGTTGAGTTTTCTCGACGGAGGGAGTATATTTTTTACAGGTTTGTGGGCATTTTTCTCTGGGCCCACCTGTCAGAACCAAAAGAGATATTTCTCTTTGGATCGATCGGATCCCTCCAGGCAGGCGCACCACCCCGCCGCCGAGCGCCGCCGCTGCCACTGGACTGTGCTGGCCACCCCAGCTCACCGCCCCCACCGCCGAGCGCCGGCCCACCACCCCGCCGCCGAGTGCCACCACCGCCCCAGGTCAACGCCCCCACAGCCGAATGGCAGGTCAAGTTCCTGAGTCCTGACGAACGAAGAGAGAGTTGGGAGGCCCTGGCTGAGACCAACACCACCAGATTTCACCAGAGTTGGGAGGTCCTGACTGAGAGTTGGGCGGAGATGTCCTTCTTCTTCCGGGCGGCGTCGCGGCCGGCGCGCCCGTCGCCGCAGGAGCTCGTCCGCTCCATCAAGGAGTCCCTCCTCGCCCTCGACACCAGGACCGGCGCCAAGGTACTCTCCCCGCATCCTCCCTCCCTCGCGAGCTTCTTTCCTTAGTCCGCACATGCATGAGATCTTGGTTGATTAGTGCTCGAGGTGTCGCTTGCTTTAACCGTAGCTTGTGTGTTGAGATTGAGTGTTTATCTGTCTGGAACTCTGGATCTTAGTAGATGTTAGTGCCTGAGGTCGTTGGTAGTGCAAGATGTGCTTTATTTTGGTCGGAATTCGTCCTACCTACAGTGTAGCAAACCCGGAATGCAATGTAATCCGTGTTGGTAGAACCGTGGGATTAGTTTTTTGGGTTTAAATCTTCACCGATACTGACCTTTGGATGCTATGGCCTGTGCTGAGATTGTGCTTACCATTGGAGTGCTCATTTTTACCCCCAATTTAGTGGCGACGAAGGCGTCAATGTTAGGGTGATTCAAGCTTATCTATGATGGAGTTTGGTTGTACTTCACAAGGAAATAGGCAAAATAGCGCAATAAATTGTTGGTTCATAATGTGAAACAAGAATAATGCCTGATAATTTTTCAAAATAAATTTGCTTGAGCAGGTCTAATGAAGATTCAGGGCATGTACTTAGCTCAAGTCACTGATATTGATTCGGGAAAAGGGGCTCTTGTTTTATTTATTCGCTGCAGGGACTAACTTGGTACTACTTGGGATCTTTGAGCAACTGGTTTCCGTGTATCACAAAGAGTTTCAAGAGTCACATTACTTGTAAAATATGCTTTCTTGTTGAGAGATTCTTTTTAACAGTGTTGATATACCAGTATATTGCATATGGCACTTGCATCTGGAGCCTACTCATAAGCAATGGCATATTTGTTCCTTTGTTTTACTGTTCTAGTTGTTTTATGCTCTTCTTTATACACAGAACACGATTCTACAGTCCCACTGGTTATCTCACGTAGTATTTGTTTTCTAATTAGGCTCTTGAAGATGTTGAGAAAAATGTATCTACTTTGAGGCAGACACTTTCTGGCGATGGAGAAGTTGAACCAAATCAGGAACAGGTTCTACAGATAGCCCTTGAAATTTGCAAGGAGGATGTCCTTTCGCTCTTTGTTCAGAATATGCCTTCCTTGGGTTGGGAGGTATGGTTTCATCAGTTGAATTTGATATCCCTTTCTGTTCAAGCTTACTCGACTTATTAGTTGAGTTCTATATTGCAGGGTAGAAAGGACCTTGCCCACTGCTGGAGCATTTTGTTGAGGCAGAAGGTTGATGAAGCCTATTGCTGCGTGCAGTATATTGAAAATCATTTTGATCTTCTAGATTTCCTTGTAGTTTGGTAAGGCCCATATGCTCAAGTTTTTTTATGGAAAACAATCAATATTTAGCACATGCTAATTCGTTTATTGGTAGTAATGCAGATATAACACCATCCAAAAAAATGTCTATTTGCTGCAACAAAAAATTCCTTCTTTTTCCCCTTTCCTCGTGGTCCCATCATTCACGTCAATTTATTGCCGTCAGTCCTCACCTATAACTACAATATTAATTGTATTTATTTATGACTATGTCTACTATTATGTCATTGAATATTTTCCTGGAAGCTGATTGATTCTCTTGCATCAGCTACAAGAACTTGGAAGTTGCATTGAACTGTGGGAATATGTTGCGAGAATGCATAAAATATCCTACACTTGCAAAGTAAGTCTTCATAAATTTTGTTTCCTTTGCATAAGTATTAGGGATTTAATTGAGCCTTGTTTTTGTTGCCTGCTAACATACGGTATCCAATGGGTATGCCTTGAAGAAATTCTGTGGTTGTATAAACAGAAACAGTGAATCAATTTAGCAATTTGCATACCATGGCAGTTACCATACTACTTGCTAGTTCCCCTCCCCTGTTGATTGCTTACTAAATTGATATGGTTAATTTACAAGCATTATGAAGTACCCTTTACTCCTTTCAGTTTTACATTCTGGAATGTATCAATGAACAACTTGGGTTTGTTATCAGCTATGAGATCAGTTAACTAAACCATGCTAGAAAATATACCAATAATACCATTTAGTTAATAATAAATCAATTAATTGTACATGCATTGAATATTTGATTTTGTAGCTCTCTTTCAGATATATATTGGAGTCAAGTAGCTTCGAGTTGTTTTTCCAGTATGTTGAATTATCGAACTTTGATATTGCTTCTGATGCTCTGAACACCTTCAAGGTAAACCCAGTTTTATTATAACTTGGTATTTTATGCTTCGGTTCTTCAAAATTGATGTTTGTTCTTGACAAGATTCTTGCAGGATTTGCTCACCAAACATGAAGCCGCAGTTTCTGAGTTTCTGTGCTCCCATTATGAACAGGTTAGCTGGAGTGTTATCTTTTGTGAAATGTGTTTATTTATGATGTCCTCACCCTTTTCCCTGCCTTGTTGGCACCATCATTTATTCATTTGTACATGACAATTTTTGGAATCATGCAACTTGTCTATATTGCTATATCTTTTAATACTGATAGATACCATGTGTTCATTTGCAGTTCTTTGAGCTCTACACAAGACTTCTAACTTCAACTAATTATGTTACAAGAAGACAATCAGTGAAGGTTGGACTAATTTGGATTAATATATTCAATTTATTATTGCGCATCAAAAGAGGAAATCTAAAAGTATTGTGCTTCATTTCAGTTTCTTTCAGAGTTTTTGTTAGAGGCCCCAAATGCTCAAATAATGAAGCGGTACATTGTGGAAGTCAGTTATTTAAATATCATGATTGGCCTGCTGAAGGTATTTGATTAGTAGTTATATGCTTCCTTTTTTTTACATTCAGAAGTCACTAATGTAGTAATTACCCATTTTTGCTTTCACAGCTTTTCTTTCCTTCCTTTTTTTTTTCTTTTTTGACAATTCTGGATATTAGTGCTACCAGTATGAGAATCGAGAAATCCTGCTTTCTTACTGTATTGTCAACCAAAGGATTTCCTAGGTTAGAATTATAAACCTGTAACTATTCTTAGGTCTACCAGAGCCCCTAGGTCCAGAGCTAAATGGGTTTCTATTTGTTGCTAAGTTACATGTCATCATCATTTGCAGTTTAGCTGATAAAGATCGAACACTTGAATGCCATATTGGTCATAAAGTGGTAATTGGTTGAGCAACCACATTGCTTTTCCAGTATATGAAAATAGTACAACTAGTCAACACTCCTGAGGAGAACAGGGTTTAAAGTTTTGTGTTGAGGCAATAGATCCATGGCTAGAACACAGTTACCGATGACTTCCTTTGCTTCATGGTAATCAGTTTTTCATGGCTCTGCACATCCTATCTTTATGGCTCAACTAAAGTGAAGCTTTTGTAGGATACAAGCAAAAATATCAGGATATGTGCCTTCCACATTTTCAAGGTAATTTTTATCCTTAATCTTTTGACCTTTGTATTCGGCTAGCTATAACTAACCATCTAATGCCAAATAAATCAATACCAGTTGTCAATTATCACATAATCACCATTTGAAATTGCTTGCTTGACCCTTCAGTGGCTATAAGTTATAACCTCCATGGAGTTTTGTATTTCTTCTGATATAACTTTCCAACGGAAATTTCCTTTGTTGCTGATCCTGTAAACATTTCGTTGAATAGTTCGAAATCTATTCCATTTGGCACTTGATGTGGTTATTGTTATAGTGCTATCTCATCTAATCAAGTCGTTTTTGTTCTTGATCACATGTTGTTTGATTTGTGAAATTTTCTGTTGAACTTGATATTGTTAGTCCATTGTAATAGGATAAGCACCTCTCTTTCACCATTTTTTGGGGTTTCACTTTCACTGCATGTAAGCAGGTATTTGTTGCCAATCCAAACAAGCCTCGTGATATTATTCAAGTTTTGGTAGACAATCACAGAGAACTGTTGAAGCTACTAGGCAATCTTCCCACAAGCAAAGGTAGTTTTTACTCTCAACTTCCAGCCTGATGCCAGAAATGGAATAGAGTAACCAAGCATTATGAGTTATAATTGCATCTGGGTGTTTAAGGAAGATTTCTTGTTAAATTGTTGAGAGATGCAAGTTGTGGCACTACTAATTGCGCTCCTTTTAATAGGTGAAGACGAGCAACTTGAAGAGGAGAGAGATTTAATCATCAAGGAAATCGAGAAGCTTGTGCATTCATCGGTATAGACCCTCAAGAAATTCAAATCCATCCGTTCAAGTTTCGCTGGTCAAGAAATGTGATCCCTTTCTTCCCTTCTTGTTTTTAAGACCTGTGTAATGTGATCCCTGTATAGAGGGTGTTTATCATAGGGAAATAGTTTGACCAAGAAGTATGTTGGTCACAAGAACACTTTACCATTGCTGTGTGCATTTCCATTGTGAAAATTTTTGGAACAACTGGTGGGCACATGTTCGAATTATGAATGACAGCTGATGTCAAACATATCTTTGTTCATAATTGAAATGAAATATTTCGAGATCTGTGACAGCAGCTATCGAATTATGAACGGCAGCTGATGCCAGACATATCTCCTATTCAGAAACTGAAACGAAATATTCCAAGATCTGTAACAACAGCTATCGGTTGAAACTTGTTACGTATGGGTATGCTTCTATACATATTATTTTTTCAGTTGACATTTGACAACATTATATATATGTGGTATATATATGTATATATGATAATTTACAGAAGGAATTAATTGAATCCGATTAACATGGAGGGTGTTCTTGAGTAGTGTGCTAAGCTGCGGCTGACGTCAGCGGCCGGAAGATCACCGGCGCGCCGAACTGCGGGCTGAGTATCATGAGCACCCTGGGCGCGTGCACGTACGCCGGCGATAGCCGGAACTCGAAGCGCCGCAGGACGACGGCGAGCGCCACCTTGGCCTCCATGAGCGCCATGTTCTGGCCGATGCACACCCGCGCGCCGCCGCCGAACGGCATGAACGCCATCGGGTGGCGGCGCCGGCCGCCGTCGTCGTCGGCGGCGAACCTCGCCGGGTTGAACTCCGCGGCGTCGTCGCCCCACGCCGCCGCGTCGTGGTGGACGGCCATGATCGGGATCATCACCTCCGTCCCCGCCGGCACCACGCACCCGCCCAGCTCCACGTCCTCCTTCGCCGTCCGTATCATCGCCACCGCCGGCGGGTACAGCCTCAGCGTCTCGTTCAAGATCATCCCGAGCTGCAAGGAGAAGACGACGACCAAGAATTCATGGATCGTTGCAATGTAATCCCTCTCTCGTTTTGATTTTTAATCCAATTATTTTAAAGTTTGACTAAGCTTATAGAAAAATATATCAATATTTTCAACATAAAACCAACATATCATCAAAATATATTTAATGTTACGTTTAATGAAACTAATTTAGTGACATAAGTATTTCTAAATTTTGTATATAAACTCAATCAAACTTAAATAAGTTTGACTAGAAAAAATAATCAAAACACCTTACTCCTTACGTTCCATTTTATAAGTCGTTTGACATTTTTTTCTACACAAATTTCTTTGAATTTGATCAAGTTTATAGAAAAGTATAGTAATATTTTCAATACAAAATAAACATATTATCAAAATATATGTGATGTTATATTTAATGAAACTAATTTAATATTTTAAATGTTATTAAATTTTTCTATAATTTTAATTAAACTTAATAAAGTTTGACTAAAAAAATCAAATAATTTATAATATGAAACGGATGGAGTATATCTGAACATTCGACATCGTGTGACGCAAGAATTACATACGGTTTTGAGCTTGGGGAGGTGGTCCTTGGTGGGGAGGTCGCCACGGCCGCAGACGGCGACGACCTCGCGGCGGGCACGTTCCTGCCACTCCGGGTGCATGGCGAGCGCGACGGTGGTCCAGGTGAGGAGGTTGGACAGCGTCTCCTTCCCGGCGAAGAAGAAGTTCTTGCTCTCCTCGATGATCTCGCCCGCCGTCATCGCCGGCGCCATGAAGCTCATGAACTCCCTCATGCCGCCGCCGCCATCGCCGCCATCATCGGCGTCGTCGCCATGGCTGCTGCTGCAGCTCTGCAGGCCGGTGACGAACTTGGCGAGGTGGCTCCTGATCTCCCTGTCGAGCTGCCACACGCGGCGGTTCTTCCTCGTGGGGAGGAACCTGTACCCGGGGATGTACACCTTGCTGTGCGCCTCGGTGGCGTAGCCGGCGAGCTCGTCCTGGAGCCGGAACACGGCGGCGCCGTCGTCGTAGTTCCGGCGGCCGAACGCGGCGAACGTGATGGCCTCCTGCGGCACGCGCTGGAACCACTCGGCGACGTCGACCTCCGCCTCGCCGGCGCCGCCGGCGCGCGCGCGCTCCGCCAGCTCGTCGAGCATGCGGGTGACGGTGCCGGCGACGAACGGCGCGATCATCCTGAGGTTCTCGGTGTGGAACGCCGGCGTGAGCACCCGGCGGCGGCGCGCCCACCGCTCGCCGTGGAGGTTGCTGAGGCCGTAGCCCTCGAACTGGCAGATCATCGGGTGCGCCTCGTACCGGTCGAAGTGATCCGCCCGCGTCAGGAGCACCTCCCGGATCAGCTCCGGCTCGCTCACCACCAACCTCGGCGTCCGCCCAAACCAAATCAAATGCATCGGACCTGTTGGTAAATTTCAAATTATTCAAAAATTTACCACCAAGAGATAATCAGAAATTTTCTTGAGCCTCGACGAAGCAAATGTTATATCTAGCTAGCCTGCTATCCACCGGCTTTATCAAATGTTAGTAATAAAGTGGGGTCGGAACACTTTTTAGGCTCCTTTGAAACATAGGAATTTTACAAGAATACGTTCGATTCTAAGGAAAATTCTCGTAAAATCCATTCATTCCAAAGGGGTCCTTCCTATTGTCATTTTGCCATATCAGCTCAGTGGCAGTGGAAATAAATAAGGGTGCATTTGGACTTGATTTTCCGACCGTCCGATGAGAATTGGACGGTAGAGATTGACACTGGAAAGAAACTATATGTGCATGTGTATGTAGGTGGTCAACTTTGACAGATTCAAAGAACACGCAGCCAGCATCAATGTGATGCTCATGATCTATTGAGTTGTAAACAAATTGCCAAAACAAACCGTCACTGGAACTGACAGACGACGATTAACTTCATCATTTCTTAACTGACCGACCGATCAACAATAAGATTCCTCACTTGGATTAAACGCGGGTGCATGCCTGTAGGTAGCTAACTTCGAGCATATTATACTCCACAAACCGTTGAAAAAGAGGGAATTATCATCGGCTGCCGTGACAATTAATGAGATAAACTAATCGGAGCATAGCAGAAAGCAAACCAGATCATGAACTGAAATGCTCTGGCAATGTGCAGGAGATGCTAGCTGCTGTTGATATAGTCATATGCAAGTATGCATCAGCTGCAAGGAGGACTCATTGCTAAGCAAGCCTGCATGTGGGTAGTGTGTCCTCTGAAATTCTGAACTGCCGGATGGATCTGCATGGATGTGAGCTAAGCCAAGCTAAGGTAAGCTAGCTAATTAAGCTCTTGTTTATTTAATTAATTACTCACTCACATGATCATTAACCTACATTGACAGCCTGTTGGAAAGATCCATGGATGGATGGATGAATCATGCATTGTGATCAGTGATGACAACATCACCAAGTTTGACTTGGGAGGCTGGCTAGCTATACTTCCTTCGCTTCTGAATATAAGCATTTGAAGGTTGTTTAGTGGATTAAGAGGGCAAAATCCTTCTTAGTCACTTCATTGATCAAATTTTGAATTACTTGGATTCCCCTCCTAAGCACTCGATCTCAATGGGCTGAAAATGATTGAATTACGTCCGTGTCCCAAAATTATTTGTATTATATACAACATTTGAATTCTTGAAATTTTTATATTTGATATTACGGAGAGAGAATAGCTAGCTGCAGCATTTTTTTTTTTTGGTTATCAAAGAGCAAGTAGTAGTGGAGAGGAGGCATGCAGTGCTAGTACACCTAGCTAGTACTACTAGCTACTACCCACACCCAGCAAAAGTGAAATATGAAACGAAATGAAGCTCTCATCTCCACCTAATCAACCATAATTTAACCTTTTGCATCCTTGTTTCTACTTGCAAAAGCATGGAACCTTGTCCCCTTCCTAATTCCCTCCGCGTTCACGCGTGATAGCCTACGCGTATACTCATATATATACTACTCCCTCCGTTTCAAAATGTTTGACATCGTTGACTTTAGCACATGTTTGACCGTTCGTCTTATTAAAAAAATTAAGTAATTATTAATTCTTTTCCTATCATTTGATTCATTGTTAAATATATTTCTATGTAGACATATAATTTTTCATATTTCACAAAAGTTTTTGAATAAGACGAACGGTTAAATATGTGCTAAAAAGTCAACGGTGTCAAACATTTTGAAACGGAGGGAGTACTATATATAAGTATACATATCCATCAAATGCCCCAAGTTGGTTAATTTCTTCTTATTTTTTCGTGTGAAAGTGTTGCCAATTTCATATGTAAAAATATGATTCGTGTGAAAATCGAAACAAAAATGAGAAACAAAATCACCAATTTGAAATTTCAAAGTTATAGTAAGTATGCATGCACATCGATCAATAAGAGTGAAATTAAATTGGAGAGTGGAACTAGAGAGAGAAATTTTTTTTGAATGAAATGGAGATTAATTAATTAGAGGGTGATCGATCGAGGTGGTGTTGATTGATTACCGTAGAGCTTCCTCCAATGGTGGTAGAAGGGGAGGACGCGGGGGAGGATGTCGTGGGAGGTGGGTGGCTCCATGGGGCGGGAGGCGGCGTCCACCATGAGGCGGACGAGCTCGATCGAGCTCCCCACGAAGAACCGGTACCCCGGCCCCCGCACCCCCTGCGCCGCGAAGTGCCGCTCCACCCGCCGCGGCCGCCACCACAGCGCCTCCGCCGCCCTCGCCGCCGCCGCGTACACCGCCACCCACGCCGCCGCCGCCGCCACGGCCACGGCCGCCGCGCCGCTCCAGCTCCACGTCCACGCCCACGACGACCACATGGCGCGCTAGCTACGGCGGCGCGCGCTCCTCCTCCCTGCTGCTGTTGTTGATGATGATGATGCTGCTGCTACGGCGGCGGCGGCGGCGGCGGCGAGGCGGCATATGTGTAGACGCGTCGTGCCGTTTCCTGCAGGTTTATATATACGTGCTAGCTGCGGTTGGGAGGGAGAGAATTTGAGAGGGATTTGATGATTGAAATTTAATTTTTGATGCTGTTGATGACGTCATAAACGTGTGTGGTTATACTTCCAGGTATGCATGGTTTGATGCAGAAGGAACTGATCATATATAACTCTTGGATTAGCTGGTGCATGGAAATTGCCATTGAGTTTGTTATTATTCCATTCATTTTATAATTATTTTATATTATAAGTCGTTTTAATTTTTTTCAAACTTATTTAAGTTTGATCAAATTTATAAAAAAAATTAACAACATCTGCAATCCGAAATGAATTTCATTCAAATTAACCGTTCATATAATATGTTCATTTTGTGTAAAAAAATATTGTTAAATTTTTAAACCAGTAAAAAATCAAAACGATTTGTAGTATGAGACGGAGGGAGTATTTATTATATTGGTTTACTGTGATTGTCGAACTGTGATTGTCGAACTAACTGAGGTCAATGCTTAATGCTTCCTTATTACCAGTGCTACTACACTTTAAAGAAATTCTTACGAAAACTTTTACAAACAAAAAGTCTCAACAGTTTGGTTTAGCTAGTTATAGGAAATCTAGATTTTTGTTCACGTACATGCCACATCAGCTGGTTATAAAAGTTTTGTCAAAGAAATGTATGTGTTGATTTTTCCTTCTTCCTAAGAGGTAGAAGGGTTTCTACTGCATCAGTAACAAGTGTACTAGTTACCCAGTAGCATTACTGCTTGTGTCAACACAAACCATATATTGATGGATGTATGGACATTTTGAAAGACCTGTACATCAAAAGGATCAAATGAATACAATTGCACATCGTTTTGTAATCTTTAAAAAAAAACAAACATGTTTTTATACCATCGATCATGGGAACTCGGTATAGACTTTAAAAAGCTATGTTCCATATCAAAGAGAATGTGTACTGTCTCATCCCAAGATAAATTTATTTTCACCCCCTGCCACATATACCAATACAAAACTTAAAAAGACAATAATAAAATCAGCCCACCCGAGTTTAAATCTTAGATTTGATACGAGTGCTTGTATTTATGGCTAATTATTCTTTCAGTGCTAGGCAACGTACCCGTCGACAGCGAGGTGCCCATGATTCGTCAATCTCAATCTCAAGATATACAAATCCAGTTTTCCCCGGAGGTGCTCATACAGATAAGTCGTGCGTATTTGTGTTTATAGAAGTGGGTATGCGCGCATCATGTACACATGCATTTGTACTATGTTTCCAAAAAAATCACAATGCAATTATTTTTCTCTTTATTTATTTCTAATGTAATTATTTCGTATTTTTACAAATTCTGATGTAATTGCTTAAAAACAAAACTATTTTGGGATAAACGGAAAGGGAAAAATGATCAAACGGAGTGAGTATAATTTAATAGCAAACCGCCACTTTCATCCTTCGAAACAATGTGATATGTTTCGTTCAAACAGTACACGCATATGCGAGTTCGGTGGTGTGACCGAGTTTAACAACAAAAACACGGAGCACGACATGGTACACTCCCAAAAAACATCCCCAAACTATTAACTGCAAATAATAAATCCCCAAAGTACAAAAACATGGTCGACAGACACTTCATAACCCCCCTCTCACAATCCTTCCAAAGTAAACTAGATTAAGGAGCCTATCACCTCCAAAACCAAAACGAAACTAACTTTTTATTTTTTGTTAATGCATTTTGGGGTTGTGGAGGGGTGGCGCAAGTTGACGAGGGTGGTGCTAGCTACGCATTTGTTTCTTGTTCTCTTGCTGTCCCCCCGGAAAAGCATGGCGAGAGGTTGCAGCGGTCGGGCTCCTGTCGCACCCAAGTGCGTACAGTCTGTTCCTCACAACCTGTCCCTCCTATTCTTTTTTTTCTTGTGTGTTAACTACTGCGATCTAAAATAAGTTCATTTTCACCCATCTCGTACATATCAATGCAGAACTAAAAAAGACTAAAATATTCTGATTTTATCAAATTCTAATGTAATTATTTCTCTTTATACCTTTAACTTTCAGAAGCTCTGATGTAACGATTACTATAAAATATTTTTTTAACTAAAAATATACTTATTCTAGGAGACTAAGATATATACACACACACTACTGCTGCTACTCCTAACAAAAGATAGCCTTTGCAAGTTTGCATCAGATGGATGCATGGGTCGGTTGCGACTTGCGAGCTGGTAGCCTGGTACTAGTGCTACTAGGTTGCAGCTTTTATCCTCTCTTCTCTTTTGTTTACATGAATAATAGTGTATGTGCCACTGTCAAAACCTTGTTTGATTATCATCTTAAAAGAATGTTTGATGTTTGACGAATATGTGGCAGCTTAGAGTTTCTTGGTTTGAATTTTCTTCATCTTGGAAAAATTCTTATGACTTGAAACTTGAATGGGTTATAAATTATGTAGTATATGCTAGCTGGTTACTCCTAACACTAACACTATGTATACTACTACTTCACAATTAAGTATACTACCAATTCAGATCCTGTACAGTACTGCAAGCTGACATGTGCACTGAGAGTCTGTGGGGCCCATATGTCAGTGAGTGGTACTACATATAGAGGACCCTCACTCGCATACTACTATTTACTATACTACTGCTACTCCTAACACTAAGCTAGCCTTTGCATCACATGGTAAATTAGTGCTACTTTGTTTACACAATCACTTGTATATTTGCCATTGTCAAAACCTTCGAATGTTTCCCCCGCAAAAGAGAGACTTGTTTAAATGCTTGATGAATGTGTGGTATTTTAGAGGTTCTTGGATTGGGTTTTGTTGATCTTTGAGGTGAACAAATTCTTATGATTTGAAAGGATTTCAATATTAATTATCATGTGCAAAATTTCTTGCACTTTGAGGTGAAAACATTATTATGGTTTGGAAGGATTTTAAAATTAATTATCGTGTGCAAATGATGCCTGACTCCTGATAAAATGTTTTTGTGATTTTTTTTTACTTTGTAAGTTTTAACCCATTTGTGTTTGTGTAGAAATGTCATTTGGCAAATTATATGCTGAAGAGAGTATACTAATGCTCACGCCAAACAGAGGGATTATATTCTACACAGACGCTTTCGCCACAAGCACAATTTACTATTCTGTCAAGGCTTGATAGCTGGGTTTGTCACTCTCCTCACCAATCACCATAAATCGATTTGGTTTCCTATTAACACCAGATCCTCGTGAAGTTTTGTTTATTTTTCTTTCTTCCGAATGAAAGCTCTACGAAAGCAGTTTAGTTTATCTTGCTTCACTAATTTTAAGCTTTCTGATTTGATTCTCTGTAGTATAATTATTTTCTCAACAAATCCCCTAACATACGAATACTTAAAAAAAACAAATCCTTAAACCTTATAAAATTCCTCCTGAATATTGTTGTCAGAAAAAGCTCACGAATACCATGAAGTTATATAAAATCCGAAACTTCAAAATCGAGTACGTCAAATCAAATAAAAACAGGGTTTACCTACAAAACGCCAGCGTACAAAACGACCTGAAAAGTCACTCTCTCAGAAGTCGTCGCTGTGTTCATCGATCGATCATCACTTGGGCGTTGAGTAACCGATCGTTTCGTCAGACGAAGAGAAAAAATCAGAAGCAAAAGAAAGAAAAAGAAATGATTTTAATTTGTGCAGCTCAAAGTCGTTGTGAACAAAACTGTCATATACAGGACACCCCTGACACACTAGTCTTTAATTAACTAATAACAGAGGAGTCTGCTCATGAAATATTCTGCAGGTGTTTATGTTAATCTTGAGGGGCCAATAATCAACTGCACAAGGGGGAAGCTGAAGTGCATCATGCATTTGTCATTACCTGCTGTCATGTCACCGGCTGCGTGGTGTAAACAGCTGGGCTATAGTTGCAGCGTACGCCAATGCAACATGTTTTGATTAATCCCCCGTTGACATTGCAAAAGCCAAAAGCTAGCCTAGGCCTGGTTTACGGAGCTTCTGTTAGTTCCAACTTCTTTCAAAAGTTGAAGTGTCAAATTCTCATATAGTTCATAAAAATATATAGTTATAAAATTTAGAAGAAAAAAAACTAAAAGTTAGAAGGTGGCTAATTTAGCTTTTCCTAAAAAAAAATCACCAACTGCTTTTTAGAATCTCAAACTCCCTTAAACAGATACTTAGATACTACTATATTTAGAATAAGGAAAAAGGGGTAAGAGATGGACTTACAGTATAATAGGATGCTGTAACTGTAATGTAATGGGCTTGTTGGGGATTTTGGTTTAGGAGATTAACTACCAAAGTCAACATGATGGTGCCATTAAGGAGGATTGCAGATTAAGATGACAGGGTTTGTTGTTGTTTCTTGGTCTGTGGATAGGCATGGGACTAGAATAGTCCTGGTAACTGTAGCAAGGAACTTGGCCACATATAGCCGGCAGAATCATTGTTTAAAGATGGAGCAAGTGAGCAGCTACCACTAGCTTGTAAATCACTATCATTTTCTTTTTCAAGTGTTTGCTGCATAGTTTAACCTTTGCAAATGCATGGTCAGTGACAGTGAGAGCAAACCTTTTGGCCTATCAAAATGGCCGCCTTTGGCACAGAGGAACCTGACAAGGATCTTGCAGGAAACATTCACAACTTTCTCATGGCAAAATGCAGTAAGGCCCCTTTTGATTCAAAGTAAATTCATAGGAATTTTAGAGGATTTTATTTCTATAGGAATTTTTCCTACTAAGCCCTTTGAATCAAAGGAATGAACCCTATAGAATCCTATGAAATTCCTATGGAATGCCTCTTCCTATACAAGTTTTGGGGGAATTTTAACAAGAGGTAGAACCTCATGGAAAAAATCCTTTGAGTCTTTATCTCTCCTCAAATTCCTGTGTTTTTCCTGTGGTCCAATCAAACGATCATTCCTACGTTTTTTCTGTGTTTTGCAATCCTCTGTTTTACACTTACATTCCTATCAGAATCCTATGTTTTTCCTATTTCTCCGTTTTTCCATTCCTGTGATTCAAAGGGGCCTAAAGTTTGGTTGCTCACCGTGGCAGAGTTTTAACCCATGCACAGTAGCAGTAGCTTCTTTGAGACAGACAGAGACATTGTACTTGTTTTTCTTCGAAAGGACAAGGCCTTCATTGGAGGATCTAGCTTGACAATTACCGGGCAGTGCATGTGGTTCATGCTTCTCCCGACATGGGACGCGGATCTGGTTCCAACTTCCAAACCTCCCATCACGTGAGCATCATCGAAAGAGAGAACTACTGTATACAGACACACACCTGAAGTGACTAGGAGCTATCACGTATGTTTGATGGGCCAATTTGCCATTCACCATTGCAAAAATCAGGGAGTTGAAAACTACTCCCTCTATTCCAAAATATAAGAACTTAAAACTGGATGGAACATTTTCTAGCACTACGAAATCTAGACAAGTTCTTATATTGGAGAGAGTACCATCGGATGTGCCATTGACGTTGAGTCTAGGTCTCACATGTCATTCTCACGTCCCAACTCATGAATATTTACAATGATATTTCCCAAACTTTCCCTATGTTGGATATGAATGGATGCTGAAGTTCAAGGTAAACATTGTCCATGAGAAGAAGCAACCAGCATATTCTGAAGGTAATTGCTGAAGCCTGAAGCATGTAATCTGCACTACCAATTTTCTCAGATGACAGCATACTCCAAGTCCAGGAAACAAAGCATGGTAAACATACCAACAAGACTAGTGAATTGGTTCCCAAAAAAACATGGCAAATGTTCAGAATTTGAGGACCAAGCTCACAGGATATAATATCAAAGTGTCTGTAGGATTCATTTAATGAGCCTAAGACAAGTACCACTACTTGTCACACCATCAGCATCAGTTCACAGCGTTAAACATTGTAACTAGCAAAAAGGATAAAGGTAGAAACTGGCAAAACATTTCAAGCTTTTCCTTGCGAAGGCGTCACATGATCACTTCGTATCAGGTATGAGTATTGTTGTAGGACAGCAATCTGATGACAGTGAAAAAAAAAAAAGAGCCATTCTGAAGGGGAACATGCCCAGCTACCTCCCTAACAAAAGTGTAGAGAAAAGAGTGCCTATTTCCTCTGCTGATAAATAAACTACCATCATGTATATAGGTGCCTGGAGATCTTGTTAGACATTGTTAGACAGGAGGAATACAGGATGGTAGGGCAAAAGAATTATTGAGACCACTGTGCATAACAAAAGCCACTGTTCAGCTTGGTATGTGCTTGCCAAGAGATTTTTACAATGTAATTCTTCCACATACACGCCAGTATGCTCCAGGGTGAAAAAGGGATCTTTCAAACACCCATATATCTTTCACAAGCACCTATAAGAATATTTGCACACGCCAAAACATCATGAGTCACCATGTTGAAACAATTGATTAGGCTGTCATAAGGTGTGAAACTACAACTGCTTTTGAATGATATAAACAACTGCTTCTTATAATGTAACGAGTTACTGATGGTCTAGTCTCTCCATTTATTTGCTCTACAGTTTCGTAATCTTTTCATAACATGTAAGATAGATATACATCCCCATGATGGATCATGCAGAGGAATACACAAGATTAAAATTCTATGTTGTCTCCCTGTGCTCTTTTGTGGAATTTACAGAACAATAAGAATCCCTGATGCTCAATCACTAGAGTCCAGACAATAATCAGCTGTTAAATTTCCAGCATATTGTCGCAAACTAGATACTAACAGATTATTTCCAATGTATCATTGTGAACTAATATTTGAAGTCAGTTATATGCTTGGTGTTTTTTTTAAAAAAAAAAAAGCCTGAACAAAACTAGTCCCACTTGTTTCATTGTTTGAACATTAGAACTTCAGATAGTCACCCATATTTTACTTACCTCTTTTGACTTATCTCCAGACACGACCTCACCTTTTGTATTATAGGCTTCAAATTTCTACAGAAATACAATTAAGAAACTGTCATGCGATGAACATACAGTACTGCACAAGACAATAGGATGCAGTGCTCCTCAGAACCACTAAACCATCTATTCATGATCATTGCACAAAATAATAGGAAACAGAGACCAACCAAATACAGGGAATAACTTAGTCAAGGCATTAAAACTATCTTTGAAAAGTAGACATTTTGAAGTTTATACTTCAGGTGCTTATGAGCAATGCATATTCTGAACATCTCCAAATTGTGTAGACATGAAAGCTCTAAAGAAAACTAAGAGGGGCATGCCCACCTAATGGTGCAAGCAGTCAGAGGATGAATACGAGCACATGTGGGGACTTTCAAGAGGTAGCTTAATGCTATCCAACTTAAACATAATACTTGGTACAGTATTAGATAATAGATATTGATTCCATGGTCAGCAATACGAAAACCAGAACAAATTATGCAATTTACACAAAGAGGGCAAGAAATAATGCAAAGATACACAGCTCTCCTGCAGATTCTAGAAAGAAGATATATAAAGACACAAAAGCCAAACCATAAAAGTCAAGGACAAATGACACAAACAAAGAAAGTAGTGGCACCACATTGAATCACACAAACAGCTAAACTTTAGGGAATGAAAGTACGGGACCTGTTTAGTGACGAATTCAAGCGTAAGCTGTATGAAAGCTTTGTCAAGGTCATTTTTATCGAGTCCAATCTGCAAAGTTTTATAGTTAACCAATCATAATATCACTGGACAGCAAACATTAAATGCATGAATAATGAAACGGATGGTTATTAGAGCTGACATATTTTAACATCTATAACTTGATCCGAGTCACATATGTACAAGATAAAAAACAATCAGCAATCAAGGAAAATCAGATCTTAACTTACCATGCGAGCCCTCAAAGTTCTTATGCACACAGCAGGCTCCACCAATTCCCAGTGAACAGAACTCCACATGGATTGTCTTTTCTTCAGTTCATTTTTTATAGTCTTCACCCATAAAAAGAAGAGAGAAGAATAAATAGCATGCCTCCAAAAGTTTGTCTAACATCCACTCACAGTAAGGTGAAAACTTACCGAATGCATTCTCTCTGTCAATATTTTACGGAGAGATGATGTGTCTCCATGTGCCATCAGTGTGTTAACCTGAATGAGAAAGAAGGGTCTCATTGTTTGCCCTATGGCTTATAAGCCGTTGCCAAATTTTGAATTTTAAAACTTGTTTTTGAAGTTGATTTTGATGCTTTTTCAACATTTGCTTTTAAGCCACAAATAACACATATATAAAAGGTTTACCCATAAATCTTTTTTTAATCACTAATCAGCCGTGAGTAACCGATGGGGAAAATATGTAGTAGTTGGCACTTAAATTTGCATTTGACATATAGACAGTATTCTTTATAAGGAGAACACAATCAAAATTCTATGTTACATACAAATTGCAAGGTCGCACTACAAGTCATGTATGCTATGCACTGAAGAACTCGGAGATCAATTCAAGCCAGAAGATAACTCAGGAAAAGAAAAAAAGAATGCTGCTCAGTGACTATTGCTATTTCTCAAGAAAAGGAAAAGAGGTAGAAAATTCACCAGCCTGTTACTACTCCCTCTGTCCAGAAATATAAGGGAGTCTAGAGTTTGAAATTTGTCCATAATATAAGGACATCCCCACCTACTTACTTATACCAACCAATCAAAGCTATCCCTCACCTCAACTTAATCTCTCCAAAAAAAAAAACTCCAGATGTGCTTATATTCTTTGATGGAGGGAGTATGTCAACCTTTAGTAGCAACAAAGTGGCATAACCATAAAGATCGCAAATCAGTAATTTGGACCATTTATCTACTGAACACTTATGAAAACTATACTAGTTATTGGTCTAGGCCTGTGCCTAGGAAACACGATTGTCAAGAGAGGTATGCCAAACCTTCACTGGTAACAGTATACCTGATAACACCATTAAAAATGATATTATCTTGTAATAATATTGAACACTACAAAATTCTACAATTAAAATCACCAAACGAATATAGGTACTGAGAAAACATTAAATAAATCAGTCGGTACTAGGTACAGCTCTTATCTTCCATTATCAGATCATGATATCTGCATGGAAACCTGAAACCTATGTAAGTGTAATCAAAATGCTTAGATTATTCTACTTGTATATTTGGTTTCCTAAGAGATAAAGGAAATGTACCTCCTTGTATATCTTGAATGCTTGATCATAGAATTCCTTTTTGGTATAGCCTGTTTTCTTTCTCAATCTTGACACAGCATATGCATTCTTCATCTGTCAGTATAACAACCAACTAATCAGCTCACAATTCGTGAAAATAAAAATATCACAAAGGAAAATTGCAGGGTATCTCAGATCAAATACATTAAGGTATTGCAGCGGTAGCAAATAAATTCCAAAAGTTATCGTTGAATGTTGATAGGATAGAAAGTAAGAAAATAAATAATGCAAATAAAAGACAGTACTCCAAAATGTGTACTCATATATGCAGCATTGCACTGTTATAACATGGCAACTCAAGAACAGCAATAATAAAGAAACTCTGTTGCCAAGCATCATGAACCTAAATAAAAAGGAAAACATAAAAAAAACTACAGTAGGTTTCTGTTAAATATCTCAGTTTGTGTCATTTCATGTAAACAATCATTGTTCTAGCTGGTAAATAATCATGTACAACCAGGTATGACCAGATTGGTTGTGTCAATGGTGGCACACAGGTGCCTATGGATAAGGATCGAAAAAAAGTAATGTGTGATCAAGGAAAAAGAGGGAGGCCTTTTAAATTTCTAATCTAGAATTCAATTGACTAATCAAAGAAGTAGTCACAGGTTGTAAGAAGGAAATAAGAGATGAAAAGCAGTTTTCTAGACAAAAGAGTCAGTACCTCCAGAATAACGTCCTCCTTTGTTCTTCTCCAGCCACTTGGTGTAAACCATCTAATTCACAATAAGCCAAGGTTATGATGATGAAGACCTTTTATCATGCGATAGGACAGTTTTATTTAAAGGATATTTATTCCTCTAGCACACATATAAGTTTTGATATCAATGCGCCACTTAACAGTATTTAACTTTTGTAGGATCAGATAGAGAGAATCAGCATAACCAAACATGAGAAATAAAATGCTTGAAATGTCTCTGCATCATTCAGCTCATCTAAGTTTGTTTAGCCAAGGCAGCAGATATTAGGGTAGCAGACGGTGAAAGCATATCTCATGATTTTGCATTCTCAAGGGGCTCCATCACTTATTTATTAGTTAGTTAGCTCCACACTTAAGTGTGCTCTTGGTGAACTTAGTTTTCTGTCTTAACTGAAAATATATGATTTTCCCCATCCATTTTCAGAAACTAAAATGGCAATGCCACAGCCGTGCTGTAGGAAAAAAAATACAGTAAGGAAGAAAGAAAAAGGTTACACTTCTCAGTAGTAAGTTTATCGTCCATGAAGGGGAATGGCAAAAACACTGCACTGAACTGTAATGTTCATTCCCAAGTGCTGCACTCTGGAATAGCATGTCATTTGTACCTTTTAGTGTTGAGCTTAAAGCTACTCACTCTAACAATTCTGTCCTGGAAACTAGCAGATGGGTCAGTGTTTGGAAAGGGAAGAGAACTGATTACCATGTACAGATTGATTTACGTACGTATTGATTCACGTGACAAAGCATAAAGGTCAAAATATAGAATGTAATTTCACCTTTTCCAGAAGGGGATTGGTTCCCGAATGCTGTATGGCTCATATACAAAACCAGGGCTCATCATGACAACCTTCATACCGACCTATACAGAGAAAAAAAAACAAGATAAAAAGAACACAACTTCAACAATTATATGAAATCCCTTAAGCTAACCAAATCACACCAGAAAACCAGATTCGTCCTCGCACCTTGCGGGCACCAAGTGGCACCTTCGATGATGTTTGCGACGGTGTCGGTGCCTTCGATAATGATGGCGGCTCTGCCTGTGCTGCTGTCGACATTGATCTTGTATGATTTATTTGGAATAGTAGCTCCAGAACCTGCAGCACATGCAAATTTACAGCACAAAATCACATAACACCTTATTGGCAGCAAATTGTACATCATCCCCAACTCGATAATGACTCAAACCTTCACAGTATAGACAGGCGACCGCCCCCTGTAACCAATCACGCCACCGGCATTGTACGGCGAGCTTGCAAAACCTAATGGCACGAAAAATGATTGAAATGGAGCCCAAATTAAACCGGGAAAGAAAAACAAGCGCTGGGTTGCTCACCTCTTGCGCGTGTATTCGCGTGGATCAGCGCGAACGAGTGGGCAACCGAGGCATGGTGATCCCTGAAACGGAAACAGCAAAGAGGAAGTAAGAGAATATCCGATTCGAGCCGCGGGGAACGAGATCTATTCCGAAGTGGGAGCATTACGTAAGCGGCGGCGGAGGAGGATGGAGGAGGTGGAGAGGGCGGCGGAGGCGTCCGGTGACAGCGTGCCCGAGGCGAGCCAGAGCCATCGCCGGCGGATCGTCTCGGCGCCGGCGACGACGGGAGAAGAAGCGGCGCGCCGGCGTGGAAGTGGAACTAACCAAGGCGGCGGCGGCGGCGGCGGCGACGAGGGTTTTAGGGAGAGACTCAATCCAAGCCGTTGATAGAAAAGGAGCGGCTGTTCTTGCTTTGATCTTCTCCTCCGAGTTCTTTTGTTAGAGGGCCTGTTAATCTATTTAGAATGGCAAATGGTAAAATTTTTGGTGGTAAAAGATTTGGTATAGAGTTGGTGCTTAGATGTATCATTTTATCATTTTAGCACTAGAGAGAGCGCATGGTCCCCAAACACTTTTTGGCAAAAATTACTACCCTAGACTAGCAAATAACAAATACTAAATTAAAAACTTTTGCTACTAGTGTTTAGATCCAAAATAGCAAAACTTTTACTATTTTAGAGGATCTAAACAGACCCATAGTTGCCAAGAGCTTCGTCGGAGCCTAATAAACCAAACTAAAAGTCGAAATTTGATTTTTTGCAAATAAAAAACTTAAAAAAATTTACGTTGTTTTTGCTTGGATCTTCACCTCGGAGTTCTAACAATGTTAGAGTTGCCTATTCAACTTCCTCGATTTCGAGAAAATTACCATAATCGGAGTTAGGTTTCGTCAATATGCTATCCTGAAATTAGGATTCACTATAATACCACTCTCAAATTGTGACAGTATGTTAGAATGTATTTTCTCTCATTTCTTCCAAATTAAATGAACTCTACCCTGATTTCCTTGGTGAGCTGACCAAGATACCCTTGCTCAATCCCGTGTTGTCTCACCGCTGCCACGAGTCATGGCTGGTGCTATGGTGCATAACTGCATCCGTGTCCATCGCCGGCAGTTGCGCTAATTCCATTCGAAAATTACATCACCTGACACACCTAGCATCATTACATCAGCGCTCTCAACACAACATCTATAGAACAAAAAAACACAATCAAATTGATTAGCTTGTTCATGTGACTGCGACAAAGATGTTTCGGTGGCTGGTGGGACAGTGGCAGTGCCAGGAATGGACCAGCGAGCCTACCTCTACACTCATGCTCACCGCCGCTGTTCCTCCTCATGTTTGTGTACGCATCATTGCTGATTCGTCGTCGACCACCGAATGAACCAGCATGACCTCAGCGGGGAAAAGCACCACGACCTGCACGTCGCCCTGCTTCATTGCATCTAATGACGACGACGATGCCGCAGCCACAAGCACCACCTAACGCTAGCATGGTGGTGCAGCCCGTTGTCCTCCTATGTAGATCTAACGAGCGTATGGAGTTGGGGATGGCCATGGCTGCCCTACTGCGTCATCCCTAGCTTGTCGAGGTGGACCAGCTGACAACGACAGGGCGTACCAGTGGTAAGGTCGACGACAACGGTCGTAGGAGAGCGCCACAAAGGAGGCTGCGGCTTTGGCAGCACGCCGGTCGATGAGATCGTTAGTGACAATTATGTAACTTTGGCATGAGAAAAAGAACATACGGAACTAAGGGCATTTTAGTCCCTTCAATGTGTAGAAAGTGCAAAAAAATAAGTAAATGAGAGAAAATGTACTCTAGCATATTGTCATTATTTGAGAGTGGTGTTATAGCGAATCCCAATTTAAAAATAGCAATTTAGCGGAGCCCATCTCCGAGAATGGCATAATGTCAATTTTCTCATATAACTTGTTTGAATTACGTTAGATACAAAATCGCACGTGCGGTTACAAGGCAAGGAATCCATTCCCAAGCCGACCGATGCAAGCGTGTGCAACTCAATCAATCCAAAACACGTCCCTTGTCATTCTTCCTCGCACCGCAACACAAGCCCACCAACACCAAGCAAACCAACGCACCACCTTCCCCTCCTCCTCCTCCTCCGATCCGATCCGATCCAAATCGCCATGGATTTCTTCAAGTCCATCCTCGCCGAGCCCGAGCCCGGCCCGTCCTCCCCGCCGCCGCCGCCGGAGACGGAGACGGAGCAGGAGCACGCCGGATCCACGTCGACCCCACCCACTGACGACGACGTCGGCGGCGGCGGGGGTGGGGGTGGGGGCGGGGGATGGGGCTTCGGCGGGCTGCTCAAGACGCTCACCTCCCAGTCGGAGACCGTGCTCGAGGCCTACCGCCGCGACCTCGCCGAGTTCGGCACCGGCCTGCGCCGCGAGACCGAGGCGCTCCGCGACGCCGCGGCCCGCGCCGCGCGGGACCTCCCGGCGCACGCCCACGCGCTCGACGGCCTCGCCGACATCGTCGCGCAGGGCAAGGACGCCATCGCGCAGGTCGCCGCCGCCGCCGCCGCAGCCCCCGCCACCGGGCACTCGGACGGCGGCGGCGGCGAATCCGAGCCCAGCTCCGCCTCGGGGCAGGTCCGGTACAGCCGCTTCGAAGCGCAGCTCCGCGCGCTCCAGTCGGATCCGGCCACGTTCACCTCCGATCCTGAGGACTCCGATGACTTCGCGGCGTGGAGGGTAGGGTTTAGCGTGGATGAGAGGAGTGGGGAGATCGAGGCGTTGTGCTACGAGAGCGATGCGTTGGAAGGGATGGTGGAGAAGCTCGTGCCGGGCACGGTGGAGAGCGAGGTGTTCTGGGCGAGGTACTTCTACCGTGTTCATAGGTTGAAGCAGCAGGAGGATGCTAGAGCAAAGCTCGTGAAGCGGGTTTTCGCGGCGGAGGAGGACGAGGAGGATTTGAGCTGGGAGGTGGATGATGAGGATGAGGAAGAACAACAAAGAGCGGAAGCGAATGAGGAAGGATCAAAGCAAGAACCGATCGAAGAAGATGTCGAACGTGTAGCGGGGGATAAGGAAAGCGAGAGGATTGTGGAAGAAAAGGAAGTTGAGGCAGTGGAAGAATCACGCGGTTTGGAGAAGGAACAGCAGAATGCCGATGCACCGCAACCGGAGGTTTTCGGCAGCTCTATGGTGGTGGTGGACAAGAGGGAGAAGGAAGAGGCATCCGTTTCGAACATTGAAGAATCAAGTGACAAGAAAGCTGTCACTGAAGAACCACGTTCAAGCACAGGAGATGATGCGGTGAAAGACGGAGCAAAGCATGAGACAAGCGACTCAAGCAAGGATAGTGACTACTCCATGGTGTCTAGGCAGCGAACAACGACCGAGGAAGAGGATCTTGAGTGGGATGAGATTGAGGATCTTGGGGAGCATGAAGAGAAGAGAGGGAGCAATAATGACTCAAGCTCTGCTTTAAAGGAGGAATTGCGGAAGAGGCTCAGTGTTGCTGAAGATGATGAGGATTTGAGCTGGGATATCGAGGATGATTGATGATGATAAGGCTGAAAAAACAACGTGCCAACCTGGTATGAAGTGTTGATTGTATCTCTATACTTTTTTGCCAATTACTTGTGCAAGATACTGAAATGTGGCCAATAAAATTGGTTTAGCTGTGCTGATTATGTTATGGATACGTTTGTAAACTAAACTTGGTGTTATCAAATGGCAATTGGCTATGCGTCAATTCGTTGATGTCTTTATATCACTGTAAATATTTTTGTTTTATTTGACTATGTGTTGTTCAGTTAAAATACGTAGGCTGCACTAGAATTTGGAATAGCATTTGGACGATTTGTTCCCACACAACCTTTGAATCAGGACATACTGAATAAAGTTATGACTGCAAAATCGACATCACCCCTCAGTGATGTAGGTTTCATTCATTAGTGATCAAGCTCTCACCAAGATTCCAATAGTAGCAGATAGTGGACATAGGATACAAGGCTGATATTTATAGTCCATTTTTTACTCTTTTGGATATGTGCATTTTGCCATTTCTGCACATGGGGACGCTGGTGCCAGTGGGCACCAAAAACACATTTGTTCTGAATTCTGTGTTCTTGCTTCTTTCACAACTTAGACTGGTACAATGCGACCATTATATGTAAATTGTAAGTTTTACAGTTCTCTATGTAAGATATTTCTATATCAATTTTACTTGCTAGTTGTATGATACACTAAAAAACTATATCAAGTAGAGAATAGTCATCTGTTACTGCTATTACGTTTTCCAACAGTTGTCCATTATTCAGTGCCTTGTAACAGGGTAATATTCATTCAGCACATGCCTTATACATGTCATGGCAAAACGCTGATGAAGCTTATGCATCATACTAGCATATAAAGCAGTATGAGTTCTTTCTGTATTGAATTTGGAATGTAGGGAAGCAAAATGTACAGAAATTTGCCTGTCATTCCTGTATGATACAATATCGGCATATGGCTGTTTCCAGACCCAAGATGTATGTAACTACAGAGCAAACAAAATTTCAATTACCATGGTTTTTACCAACAAAATGGCTTAGCTCCAGTTATTGTGCCTGTTTGCCTAGCTCCGGTTTGGGTATCAACAGCAGCCTTTTTCTTTAGAACTTTTTCTCTTTTTTTTTTGGAGAACTTTCATTTGGGAAGATGCTGGTACAGCTATGCTGCCCTTCTGATTCGCTGAATTTCTGTCAACCTCAAATCTTCTGAATCCTAACCTGCTTAATTCATAATCTGTTCATTGTTCAAGCTGCCTCACAAGTTATAATGGTCTTGTTTGGGGGGAGCTTTTTCTAAAATCTCCAGTTCCCTAAACAGTTCAAATCTTCTCACCTAGATTCTTATATTCTAAGAATCTGTAGTTATATAATCTAGGACATGAATTAGAAACCAGAAGCCGAGAAACATAGTTTTTTTTTATACTACTCAGAATTTTAAAACTCTCCCAAACAAAACCAATATATGATCATGTGGCAGCAAGCAGCTGCACACTTTATCCTGGGTCGAACAAGGCAAGAGCAATATCCTGGGCCAAAATTTACCCAATATAACGGCCCATTTACGACATTCCCAGCCCAGTCCGGCCCGCCCGAGAGCGTCCACAAAAGCCGCTGCCGGGTCGCCTCCTTCCCTTCCTCCTCCGTCAGGTCAACCATCTCTTCGCAGATCCACCTGCTCCGCCGCCGCCGCCGCCGCCGGCCTCCTCCGACCCGCGCGTCTCAGCCGTCGAGGTACGCGTCGTCCCCTCCTCTCCCTCTGCGCGCCTCTCTCGGTTGTTCTCGGAATCCGTGGCTCGGGTAGATGGGATGGAAGGATTCGTGTCCCTTGGTGGCCATGTTGACTTGGGGGGAGGGATTCGTCCGTATCGCGCTCGATTGTTCGCGGGATTCGTGGCTCGGTGGATGGGAGGATTCATGCCGTGTTGCGACGTTGGGCGAGGGATTCGTCCTTATGGCTAGGATCCAGCTGATGCGGGATGCGCCCAAGTTTCGTGTCTTGACGTGAACTCTTTGCTCGGCCGCGCTTTAGGGATGATATGGTATGCTTGGTGTCTAGGTGATTTCCGTTGTTTGATTAAAATTTGCTAGATGTGGGGTTTTATATGGCTTGGTATATCTTGGAATTTGGTATCCCTGAGTGAATTCACATGCATTTCATGGTTTATTGGGTCTGCTTCGGTGTGATGAATACATGCTTAATTGAACATGAAATAGCGCTCTCATTGATATTTGAGAGCTCCTGTAGCGGTGCTTATGTGTTTCAACTCGTACTCTTAGAGATGTGCTAGTGCCATTATGAAGTCTCAAGTGTTGACTAAATAGTTATGTCGGTTTCCTTTTCCGTACAATGACATGACTGATTTGTCTCATACTCATACTCCAGATGCCTCACCGTGTTCTAATTTTATGATTTGTAATACCGGTTCTTCATGATCAACTATCTAATCAACTATGTAATGACGACCGTTAAACTGCTCTATATTAATTTCAATCAAAAATAGTTTATGCAGCCTACATATGTTGACCTCGTCTGCTTTTATTTTGGGTAAGATCTAGGGTGATTACTTTAACTAGTTACACATTCAAGTACATATTATCTGTTGCTATATAGTTTTCGAATCTGCTTCATATGGTTATGTTTGTGTACAAAGTTCAAATACATTTTGCTGTTCAAAGAGCTCAGAAAATGCTTGGGAAACGGACTACTGTGCTATGTTGTAGAATTATAAATAAGTATTTCTTGCTAGCAAGAGACAGCTAACTGTTTAAAAACTGTGCGGTACTCAGATCAGTACGGGAGTTTAAATCCAATTATGATGTTTATGGCTAGCAAATTCAATAGTTCAATGATTATATAAAATTGTTCATGGAGATTAATATTCTCTCTGAGGAAGTGAGGATTTGCTTGAGTGAAATTATTGTGTTGATATGATCAAGTTGTCTTAGCTCCTTGTGTCATAATGCAGGATGACAGAGGCACCATTTGTGCCACGTGAGAAGCTGTTTAAGCAACAGCAATATTTTCAGAATTTAACCAAGCACACCTACCTGAAGGGGCGTTACGATGTGATCACATCTGTTGCCATTCCCCTTGCGCTGGCTGGCACCAGCTTGTTCATGATTGTAAGTTGAAAGTTTCAATTTGTTGCCTATGCTACTCTGTTCTTGTTCCTGTAGTCTTGTTCAGTCAATAACTTATTTGCTGTTTTATAAACAGGGCCGTGGAGTTTACAACATGTCCCACGGTATTGGGAAAAAAGAGTAGGCGGTTCAGTATCTCAACTTGGCATGGAAGTGGTACCATCCAGGCTACATTGTCTTTGGTTGCAAAATAATACTGTCAATCTGAGCACATTTTGGTTCGCTTTGTTGTTATTTGTTTATATCTGATGTCAGCAAATTGATGCTAACTTATCAGAAATGTGAGAACATTGGCATCGTTGCATTTCCCCATTTAATTGCATGTTCCTGCTTTGTGTTTTCTTTTGATTGGTGATGGCTACATGTACTCGTTGCTTCACTATGGTGACATGGTGTTTTCTGATTTCACCATTCGCATGGCGTACAAATGGTGAGAACTGAGAAGCCTTAAGATCCTGAATGGTTGCGAGTATTATTTTTGCGATACCATGATGGTTGTGAGAGTTGGCATCTTGCTGAGATTTTCTTGCGTGGAGATATACTTTGACACACCGTAGCAATAAACTCCTGACGCGTATGTTCCAATCTGGTTGGTTTCTTGGGCATCTTAATTTCGGTTCGGATGTTATTGGTTAGTTCGCTAACAAACGAAACGATGCGGCTTGGTTTCCGAAGTTAAATCTTGCAACGCGAAACATCTCAGAATGTAGAACGGTTTGACATGCATTTTGGTGGGTTAGTGATTTGTACTCATTACGGGTAGGCCATACTAGCTTAAAGGGCATGTTATTGATACGGAATGCACATGAGCGGAACGAAAGGAATGAGCCAACGAGGAATCATGTTCCCAGGAATATTTGCATCATTAAAAATGAGAACCCTAAACACCCGTTAATAGCCCGCAGAATAAAAGATTTCGTTAGCCAAATGTAGATGGATAAGTCCAATTAACAACGCTAAACTATACTCCCTCCGTCCCATAATATAAGAGATTTTGAGTTTTTACTTGCAACGTTTGATTACTCGTCTTATTCATTTTTTTTTTTGCAAATATAAAAAACGAAAAGTTGTGCTTAAAGTACTGTAGATAATACATAATTTCAAAAAAATTGAATAAGAGAGTGATCAAACGTTGTAAACAAAAACTGAAAATCCCTTATATTATGGGACGGAGGGAGTACTGAATTCCCTTATATTATGGGACGGAGGGAGTACTTAATTAGTATTTGAAGATCTTCACTTTCTCCAATATTGCTTCAGCTAGGGATAAAAATGGTTCGGATAGTTTCCGTTCGTCCGGACCATTTTTCGGATTCGGATAATTTCGGTCGGAACTATCCGAAAATTCTCGGATTCGGAAACGAATTCGAATTTTTTTCTCGGAAACGAAAATGAATACAGTAAGGGTACTATCCGTCGGAATCGGAAAACGGTCGGAAACTATCTGGAATTTTTGCATACATTGATAAAATTTTAGAAAAAACACGTATATATACATAACTTTTTCATACGGAATCAGATGAAGATAAACTTTATATCAACATTGTAGAGCTCGATGAGATCTACAACTTTCTTATTGACTATTTTATTATTTGAGATCATTTAAGGGTCTAAATATTTATTATAATATACCATATTAATTTTTATAAAATCTCAGATCTACAATTCAAACGACATCTGATGGAGATGTGTTCTATATCAAAGTTGTAGAGCTCAACGGGATCTACCACTTTGTAGTTTATAACATTTGTATTTGAAAGCATTTAAAGCATAAAACAAATATTGCAAGTTTCGAAGATGTGAAGTAAAATAAATAACATCTCCAATTTATACAATGGCAAGTAAGTTATACATCTAGTAAAAGGTCTTGAGAATAGAAAATGATAATCATATTTGCATATGGATCTCTTAGAGGAACAACCATGAAAATCGATTTTCACATACGGTTGTGAGACAGTCTACAAAATTGACGATATAAATGTTAGAGATGTTGAACTAAAATAATAAGTGATATCTCTTCCTTGATCAAGAAACTCAATTTGAGGGGTTTTTTATATACCGGTAAATATTCGCTACCGTATTCGTTCCGTCTCGTATTCGCTCCGTATCTGTATTCGATAATATTCGATTTCATTTCCGTATCCGAGTTTTCGATTCCGATTCCGAAAAAAATATGAAAACGAATATGTTAAAGCTAGTTTCCGTCCGTTTCCGATCCGTTTCAATCCCTAGCTTCAGCTAATACCGGAGAGATTGCCCACCTGGAACAAAAAGAGAAGGTGAAATGCGACACTGGATTAGCATCATTTTGACAAAGAAAAATACTGCAGCTCAACTCAAAACAAATAACTGAAACTACAAATTATCAAGGGACAGTATTTCCGTATTATGCTAGATATCACTCTAGGGGCAAGAAATGCCAAAAGGAGCAAGAGTTTAATCTAAAATTCTCAAAGACAAGATCATAGTCAAGTTATCGATGAAAAACAGTCAACTTTATTAGTAATTGGTAATGGGGACATGGTGGTTCTGATCTCTATTTATATGCTTTAATTACCCTCAATTACTAACTTAGCAAGTACTCATGGGTGGCTAGCAGCCTAACATGCTAGTGCACATATACTATTTAAGACTAAGTATAGCATGAAAATCTTAAGATAAGTTATCCAAGAGTAGTGAAGTAGAAAGGTTAGTATTTGCATCAAATGCTTTCCTTTACTGTCCCACCCCCTCATCATTCTTAGAATGAAGTGAGCTGCAATCATGAAATTTATGAGGGATTTGTGGATCGCGTAACATACCGTTGAGCATTTGGACTATGTAGTCCCTCTTATAGATTTCTGGGAGTGCTAAAAACATCTCCATTTGGTTTGGTTCCTTTGCGAAAATACTTGCTGCGAAGACCACCTCGCTTCCAGTAAGGCCAAGCTTTTGAATTTCAGCTATAGCTGTCACTTTGGCCTTTTGTTGGGGTTCCTCGCACATCTTCTTCTCTTGTGTATGATCGGTACCACATTCCATCACTGCTGCTACCATGCTTCCATGGTGAGTGATATTCTGAAAACGATCATGTGCGTCTTTGAACCGTTCGATGGCTGATGCTGCGCTGCTGACACTCTGCACAGCACCCTGGAAGTGATCATGTGCATCCCTGAACATCTCCATTGCCGTGGCCATCGCATTGGCATGCTGAACAACATTTTGGAAGTGATTGTGCACATCCTTGAACAACTCCATTGCTGTCACCATGGTGCTGACATGTTGAATGGAACTCTGAAAGTGGCTATGCACATCCTTAAGCATCCTTGGAGAAGGAAAGTTTGATTCAGTCCTACTCCTTTTCGTGCCATTACTATGTTTCTTTTGCCTCTTACAGCTTGATGCCACATCCAAGGAGCGACCAGATGGCCCTGCGGATTCCCTATCCTTGTCCCCATCCTCATCTCCGACCTCGTCTGTGTTTTCATTCTCCATGTCAGCAACCACTTCATCGGACAATTCCTCCTCCTCTCTGCCTGTTCTGTCCTTGCCATATATTACATCAAATGTATCAAAATATGGAAATGGGATACCATACAAACTCTTGGCTCTAGGATGATCCTGCAGAAAATAAACAAGTCGTAACAAAAACACATTATGATAAAAACAAATGTACAAAAATACTTAGAATGGCTTACTTTGCAATGAGCATCATATAACTCTTTTTCACACTGAATCATCTTCCGCATGCCGTCCCACGAGAACCTGGGCAACGCTAACATATCTTTGATCGCATAATACTTCCTCTTCAGCACTTTTAACCGAGAATCGACATGAGGACTGGATCTAATACCACGGCCTGGCAGCCTTTGCGCAAGAATGTTCTCTATCCCTTGAGAATAACAGTTCTTGAATCCCCCTCCTTCGACCTTAAATCTAGGATCAAGAGAAACCTCGCACAATGCTTTGACAAGCTCCTCATCTTCATCGGCTGTCCATTTCCTTTTGTTCCTGCCTCTGCCACGCACAACTTTGGAGCACTGAGTTTGACTCATCCCTAGAACAAAATCATAATCAGCTTAGGGTGCATATAAAAAGGAGTTGCTTATTAACATATAATAATTAATATTATCTGAAAAGAATTGAAAAATAGATTAACATGATTTTTTTTAATAAACACATTATTTAGTAGTTCGGGAAGTTTGCGCGCGAAAAACAAGCGAACAGAGGTTGGTAACTTTGAACATTAGAACACAGCCTTACATGTACAGAACAGTTCATACAAGCTAGGGTTTTACAACAACGTAGTATATCACTCCATTATCCATGTCCATAGGAGGAGTTCGACGGCTAGCCGATGAGAGAAGAAGTCATCGAGGCGGCGGCAGTACTGGAGGCGTGTTCGTCGGAGAGGGCGAGGCGAACGGCGGGGGAGATGTCAAAGCCAGCCGCTGCGGCCATCGGCGAGGGGAGAGGAGGAGGAGGAGGAAGGGAATAATACCTCACGTCACGAGAGGCAGCGGCGGCGGCGGCGGCGGCCGGAGAGAGGCGGCTCCGGGACGGACGGCGGGAGCAAAAGCGGCGGAGGGGAGATGGGATTGGGATTTGGGAATGGTAGGAACCGGATTAGGGATTTAGGGTTGCTGGTTGGTGTGGGTGTAGGAGTGGGACTGGGACTGGGATGGGAGGGAGGCAGGCCGGTAATTGGATTCCTCATCTCGTTGGGCTTTGTCGCTTGGACATCTGTGATCCAATACCACTGGATTCGGGTTAGGGTCTTTAGGACTAGGATTTCCTAAGCATTTTCCATCAGAAGGGAAACGATGGGCACATCCCGGTAATCACTATCGAGATAATCGTTTTTTATCTGTATTATCATAGTATCGAATACTATGATCGGAATACTATCAGATTTTATAAAATACATATTTTTATATAAAATATATATTTCCTCATTCCCTAAATGTTTGACGCCGTTGATTTTTCAAAACATGTTTGACCGTTCGTCTTATTCAAAAAATTTATGAAATGTGTAAAACTATATGTATACATAAAAGTATATTTAACAATAAATCAAATGATAGGAAAAGAATTAATAATTACTTAAATTTTTTAATAAGACGAACGGTCAAACATTTTTAAAAAAGTCAACGGCGTCAAACTTTTGGGATGGAGGGAGTAATATACTGTATTATATATATTAAAACATATAATATTGATTTTGATATATTTAATTGGTTTTTAATGTAAACATGAGCATATTTATTCATATTATTTTCAATCCATCTTATTTTAAATAATATTTTGTAGGATAGTAGAGATCGTAGAATTGGGATACTACCTAAGATTTTATATAGAATCGTGTGAAAATGAATAATAAGATCGAGATGCTATGAAAAATAAGATACTATGTGTGATTTTGGCTTGATAGTATCGTAGCATTATAAGATACTAGGGCATGGATCGGGATAATTACAATCTTGCTCTAGACTCTAGAGATTGTTTGGCAATCACAATAGAAATTTAAATTTTGAAACTTTATTTTAAGTTGGTTTTGGAGTATTTTTATTGTAGTTTATTCTGTAGCATTGGTTTTTAGACCGTGATCAATAATTTAAAAGTTTTACACTAATTATTTTTTTTGTTGCTTTGTTCATTTATCTACGGTTTACCAGCGATAGCTCGACCGATCAGACATTGGCCTCTTCCAAGACAAAAGTTTTAGGGTAATTCTATGGAAAGTTGACTATTATTAAAATTCCATAAAATCCTACACTTGTAAGAGCAAGTTTAATAGTATAGCCAACTACTAACTCCAAATCATTTATAGCCAATTCATATAATAGTTAATTACTACACTATTAATATCTGGTCCCACATGTCATTCACGTATTATGTCTCCGAGTCCGTGCTGTATCTGGCTACAGATCTATAACCCGCTGCTCTTCTCTCTCTTCTTTTATCCTTTTAAAATATGTTTATAGTTGGCTTATAGTATGCTATTGTAGCTGCTCTAATATTGTAGATCAAGTAAAGGATAGCTTATAATTAATCTCTTGCAAACCTGAAAACACACTACGCCATGTCACAGAATTGCCCACAGATGTGTGTGGGTAAAAATAGAGAATCAACATCTAACCATCTGTCGGTAAAGGTTTGTGACATACCATCTGTAGGCAGTTCTACGGTACAGGACAGATCGGGAACTCTACGGATTTTTGGGGACAAACTATATGTCGCTGATTGTTAATCTCGTGTCAAACTATCTGTCGGCATAGACTCATCTGTTGGATCACAATCAAACAACCCATAATCATTCTCGCAATAAATATATAAATGTTCATCACCTAGACCCTAGATCAAGTCGGTAAGGGCCTTTTCCGATAGATAAGATGACGTGGAAGGTGACCTCTGCCGACAGATGTTCTGTGGGGGGTGGTGTTCTGTGGGGGTGGGGGAGGGTTAGGACATGGTGTAGTGATAAATTGGCACTTGTATTTAACTTCTTTTTTTTTTGAAAAATAAATATGATAGTTGAGGTAACTATAGGTTGGTTCGCCATCATACCTTCTTCAAATAACTGAAGTACACATGATGGAGTGACTGAAGGCATCACAGTTTTTGTTTCACATGAAAGCAGGCCTCACAAAATAGGCTTGTTTGAAACGCACAGAGCACTATCATCGAAATTTTTAAATAAACAATTAAAGTTCCCTGGGAACAGGAAATTAATGTTTTCCAAGCATGGGAAAGTAGAGAGAAGAAAGAAAGATAAAAGTAAGAGAGGAGAAGAAAGAGGAGAGGACATTGACATGTGGGGCTCACACACTAACTCAGTCGGTTGGACTATGTCAACGAGCCACGCTTAGGGAAAACCATCCTCAAAATAGCCGAAGCAGTCATTTACACCGGTTTTACGGTTGAGGGGTCGATATACCCTGTTTGCAATTGAGTTGAGGGATAAAAATCAGATTGAACACATAATTTCGAGGGAGTCGAATTGGACTTTTTCCAACGGCTGACCACTGTGCCTCTTCGAGTGAAGAATCCTGAAAAGCAGCCCATGGGCTCATGAGAAAACAGAGCCTACGGACAGCCCATGGGGATTCCTCTAAAATATCCTGTCCTCCAGACCTTGAATCCATCAATCCCTAAGTTCCGCGCCGCCAACCCCATTCTCCAGCGCACCTCAGGTAATCAATTAATAATTGACCTTTCCTATCTGTTGTATACATTTTACTAACATACTGTAGAGTATAATGCCTTGTTTGTTTTTGAAGCTGACAATCGAATCAACGATGGGCCTCTCGCGTCGGTTCCTGAATCTAATCGTGGACAACCGCTTCCCAGGCGCTGTATCGCTGCTCTCGATCGACTTGAGGCGCCACAAGCTGTTCAACACAACAACACCTGCTGATCTGCCATTGATCAACAGATCTGTATCTGAATCAGAACGGCCGCCATGTGTAGCCAATGCTAACAATCATCAGAAGAAGAGGAAGAAGAAGACAGTAAAGATGAGGATGCTTCATCTTCCCGCGCCAACCATCGACCTTGAAGCCTCATCTAGGGGCTATAGCTGGAACATCAAGTGCTCACCGCTCACAGATCGCAAGCTGCTCTGCACGGACAACTATGGCCGCCATGTCCTCTTCAACTCCGAGGCGCGCCAAGTGGAGGACTTGCCCTTCCTCAACGAGCCCAAGAATTCGACCTTCTCCATCTTCATCCCTGGTGCGGCTACTGACACCAATGGCTGTGACGACAATGGTGGTGGCGGCAGCAGCATCTACATCATGGAGCGTTGTCCCAGCCATGAACAAGAACAGCGGTTGCTGAGCGGTCAATTTGAGGCATTTGTCCATGGAAGGCACAACACCTGGTACAACCAACTACTGCCTTCACCGCCATTCATCTACGACCCCAAGTACAAGCGACCCAAGATCAGCTCATATGCAGTGCTTGTTGACGACTGTGGCAGATCACACATCTGCATTTCAGTGGATCATGTTGGCACCTAATGCTTGGACACAGTGAAACACACCTGGATCAGAGTTGGGGATTGGACACTACCCTTCACAGGCAAGGTTGAGCATGTGCCAGAGCTGAAGTTGTGGTTTGGCATTTGCACCAATGACTGGAAATTGGGAGCTATTGACCTCTCCACTATTATCTCCACAGCCACCATGGAGGACTTCCAGCCACAGCTAGTAGGCACTTGGAAGGAGCTTGAGGCACCTCAACACTGGAGTGAGATGCGTTGTCCTCAGCTTGCCAACCTGGGCTCAGGCAGGTTCTGCATCGCAAGGTTCTTCCACACTTGGACTACTCCCATGGAACCGAACTCATTTGGTTATGATTCAATTAAGGTGCACTCTTTTTCTGATTTTGATTCTGATTCTGATTCAATTGAGTTTGAGGAGCACTCTTTTACTGTCTTGACCGGTACGGATGTAGTGCCGTGCGTCCATGATGGCAATGGGACTGGCAATGGCAATTACGCCAATGGCAGCAATGGGAAAGTGGAACTCCGAATGATCAAGCACAACTCGAAAAGCCACATATCTTATGGCATAGATGGTACAATTAGGCTAGTGTTCTGAATAACGTACTTTGGTTTGCTTCCAGACCCATGTATTATCTTATTATCCATCATTGTCGTCTGAATAGTTAGGGGACTTTGTTCTATATGAGACAATTTGGTGGTATCACTTTATCCTATGCATTTTCATTACGAATTTGTAGTATTTGTGCAACTATTGTATTTAGATCAGCTTGTCCAGTTCCTTGTATTTGTTTGGAAAACAAATAACAGTGATCACATAATGCTATGAATTGGCTTAGTGATCTGGCATGTTTTTTTTTTTCAATCAAGGGTTAGTTGATGAAGGATCCGTGAAGTGGTCTGGACATAAAGCTTGTCTAGATCCATCATACTACGGTGTACGGCGTGTCAGCGTGTGGCTGCATGGCGGCATTCCCTTCTCGTATTATTATTATTATATGACTCTCACGATCTCAGCCTTTGAGGCACCCCGGCCCTCTCATCTTCACTATTCCTAGTTCTTCAAATTTCTTTGTGGTTCCTTCTCTTCTAGTTTTAAATATAACCTCTAGGTTTCTTGACCACCATATAATCTGTTCAACTTCTAATTGATGAAAATACACATGATGATGGGAGTGGCTGAAGGCATTACCATTTCTTTTTGTTCCAGACGAAAACATGGCTTCATTGAAATTTCACAATAAACAATTCAATTGCCCTGGAAACTCTGAAATTATGTGTTCCAAGCAGGGGCCAAACTGAGTACACAAGAACCATTCCATTCATAAGAAAAAAGAAAAAACAAGTTCATACCCCTAATAGGCAGGATACACTGGGCACAAAGAAATATTAACATCCATGTTACTAACAAGTAAGCGTGCTGTGAAAACCAATGCACATTTACACAAGACATTCTGGACGCGATTGTACACTACAGGCAAGAACAGCAATCGACATGATGGCCAGAAAGTATATCCTATTATGAGTTTTTACCTGCGTTGCTTCGGCGCAATACTGCAGATCAAATGTCATACTCCTTCCATCCCGAAAGAACTCAACCTAGGAGGGGTCACATCCCCTCTTGGATTCTGTCCAGATTCGTTGTACTAGGAGGGGTCATCCCCTCGGTTGAGTTTTTCTGGACAGAGGGAGTACGCAGGTGACACACATTCCAAGAATCAGGTGACAGCAGTCCACATTCCAAGAATCAAGTGGATCTGAAAGATGCGGTACCAGATTTTGCATCGAAGTGCTGTCAATGGCGGAAAGTTCTCACAGCTTGGTCAATTCTTCTCCGGCAAAGTGGACAATTCGTCAAATGAGAAGAGCAGTTCATACAGCAGCACATGTGGCCACACCTGCACGGTGTTTGATTTACATATTCATTCATAAATTTTTGAGGTGACAGTTTAATGAGAACAAAAGTTGCATAAAGAGATGTATCGATCACAAAGATGACAATGGGGGTGATTCAGAAACAAAATCAAAATTTTGTACCAATCAGAGCTCAAAATGTAATGATAAGGTAACTACTCTTCAATTCAAATATTTGATCAGATTCCAACAAAAAATGTAATGCATAGTCTATAGTAATGTTTAAAGAGTTATTTTATTATTCAGCAATATATAGACAGTTCTCATTGCTAAGAGGCTAAGAGTAAAGCTATATGATGGAATGCAAAATATAAGATACTTACGGCACAAAAACAGCATTATATTCCTGTTCAAGGCATATGACACATATGTCCAAGACCAATTGATCCTTTTTATTGTTAGAATCTACATCTGATGTACCATTGCCCCCTGTACAAAATAAAACTGATGTTATAAGACATGAACAAGTTATGATAAAATAGCCTAACCAATTGATAAGAAAAATGAAAAATCACCTTCAGCTTCTCTAGCTTGTCTTTGTGCAGCAGCAGCATGAACCCTGTATGGAAAAAATAATGCATTGTAACAACATTTTCAGTATCTTGCATTAGCAAAATCGTCAATGGTTACAAAACATATCCTAGTGTCCATCTGTATGCTACAATGTTAGTTTGTGATTTTCACCCCCGATATAAAATTACTCCCAGGGTAAAACTTTTTTCAAGACAGCATCTCCAATGTCTTCCATTTCAGTTTTGTCCTAATGATATATATTAGCTGCTGGAAGCACATGCAGGTTCCACAATTTAAAAGATACAGAGATCACAATGCTATTGAACATTACAAGATGTTCCAAAGCATCTCATTCTGACCATGTCTAGCAAAGTGAGCAAACCACTGAAGAATGTAAATGGGAGTAACATGTCCGTCTAAATCCAAATAAGTGGTTGGTTAGCACACACCTCTTCTGTAATTCATGTCGTCGTTTTCTTTCGAGAAAATGCTGTAGTGCACGCTTTGCAAGAAGAAAGACACCAAATGCTGCAAATCCCATGGAAGCAAGCTGGTATAACCTGTTGTAGTAAAACACACTATTAGCCTCAAGAAGCCTAAAAAGAGAGAGAATATTCTACTGCATCTTCATACTTGGCCCATTTCCCAAGATTCATGATAAGTTGATCGATGCTTTTCGGGGATACATAAAATGGTCCTTTGTGTGGTCGCTGAATTCGAATAGTTCCAACATCATCTTTAATGGCCTATTCATACAACATAAGAATCAAAAACGAAAGCAAGACTTAGCCATGTAAAGGAAAATAGGGCACCAACACAAGGCATTGCAGACGAATTAAAGCTATGAATTACCTCACCAACAACAGTCAATGAAGTTCCAGTTGGAAGAACCCTTTCAGTTCTCTTGACTCCAAGCATCTACAAGCATTATTTCTTAAACATGAATAATACTACTACAAGCATTTACATTAATAAAAATGCAATCGTTACTAAGTACTAACCTTCAGCCCTTGTAAATAGTCTAGAGTTCCACGCACAAGTGTCCGCCCTGACTCCTCAAAAACTTCGCTAGCAACAGTTAAAACTAACCCAGCTGCACCACGAGCTCCAACAACAAAAACACGGCCGGTACCATCATCCTGTGGTGAATTATATTAAAGTAGTATTGAGCATCTAAGAACCTAATATGCAATTTATGATACTAAAAGAGCTCTAAATAGTATGTTAAAAGAATCAAGCTCCTTTCCTTTATTTTCTTGAGAAGCCATTTGTGCTCAATATTAAAAAAACTCTTTTGCTACCTTAAAATTGGGTTCATCAGCTTTTTAACAAATAATCTAGATGATGAGGTCTTGTCATTAGGTTTACATGGAGGAGCTCGATGTAGGTAGGGTTAGGCTATGGGGCTGACAAACAAGGTTTATACACAGAACAAGCTATATCAGCAAGATTATTACAGAAGTCCAGACATCCATATGACATTAGATGGTTCATCTACTATAAATCCAAGATTGAATAAATCAGCTGATATACAGTCACCAAGATTGGACACATAATGGCACTGTTTGATATCGAGACTAAACTGAATTACTTGTTTCAATAGAACCAAAGAAAATTAGTATATAACAACTACAGCAGTTAATTACCAGGTACCATGGAACTTCTTTGCTAACAGAAAGCATCACAGCGGAATCTTGAATCCATGATCCAGCATCGTTGTGCTTTAGGAAGTGTTGTTCTGCCTACCAGAGGAAAATGGTTAAGTAAAATTGCTAGGATATGCTTGCCACAAAACTAAAAGAAAAGGAAACCGTAGAAATGGAACCAATAGATACCGTTTCCTCTACTATTACACCTCTCATGCCACTTTGTTGGCAGATAAGTGGTGTATCTGAACCAACCCGTCCAGAGACTGCCACTACAAGTGGCAGGACCTTACTTGCAGTGTCCAATATAGCAGCTGTTGAAGACAATACAGATAGGTCAAAACAAAACTGACAAAAAGGTAGTATTATGTATGTACCTAATTGGACAAAATTACAAAAACTTCATTTATAAAAAAAAAAACAGATTGACACACTACAATAAAGTTATAAATTCTTGTAGTATCTTAATGCTGGACTTCAATTACCACAACAACTCTCAGGTTTTGAACGCGTGCTACAAGAACAAATTGTGCTTCTCTGGAGAAAGTGGTGACACAGAGGTCTACTGCTTCATCACTGAATCTAGATGGACCTGAAATATTCTCCTAACACTTTATCTCATGCATCACTAGGATTGAATTAGCTCGAAGCATAAAAATTTCCCCAAAAGCCACGTACACGGTACATTAACCTCAATACAATAAATTAACAAAACCGCAGAGTAATAGAATTACTGCAGAATCCAGCTAATTAAGCACGTATTTAGCAGACACCCAACAAAACATCAAACCAAACCAAACCCTCGCTCGCTCGCTCACCCAAATCCTTCGTGCTTCCGGCCCTCGCCACCGATCGCAGCACCTCCGCATCCCTGAGCAACAAATCCCCGGTCAGAACCACCAAAATCCCCCCAAAAAATCGCCCAAAAAAATGCCGCCCTGCAAAAATCCCGCACCTGCCGCTGCTCCTCCCGAGGAGATACAGCGCCGCGGCGCTGAGGCAGCACCCGACTCCGCCCCATGGGATCAACATCTCGCAAGGAATCGCCAGGCGAGCACCGAATCCGGGGGGGGGGGGAGATCAGTGAGGAGGAGGACGACGAGGAGATGAAGCCGTGAAATTTTATTTTTATTTTCCCCCCTTTTTCGCGGCGAGGGAAGAGGAGGAGGCGGCGGGGAGGGGGACCGGGAGGCAAGCAAAGAACAGGATACGAGGAGTGCACCGGCCTCGGTGGGGGTGGGCCTCACATGTCAGTGAGTACATTCCCTGACATGCGGGCCCCGCAGGGATATGCCACGGCCCCTATTAGATACTGGCCCAGAAGCGCTTTTAGTAAGACTTGGCCCTAGGGCCTGTTTGAGGGAGCAGCAGGAGCTACAACAAAGCTTCCCAAACTATCCGATTTCCATGTAGAGAATGTATATGGAGAATTCAGAAAATAAACTATAATTTAAAAGCTGAGACTTCTAGTTTTTCTAGTTTTTCGCTAGCTGTTTCTTAGAACCTTAAGCTACCAAAATGGAGTATGACCTTAGTTAGTTTTGGTAGTCAGCCACAGTTACTCTTATAATCAAAAACTTGCTTAAATATTTTTCTTAAGATTCTAAAAAACTATTGTTGTGAAATCCATAAAATAAACTAAAATTGAAAAGTTAGAAGATTTTAAAAAACTACTGTATCTACTAATCGGTTGTTTCTCGTAATCTTAACCTTCGGCATAGGTAGGGCGAGCTCCTCTCGCTTACATGTGGGGCCTGGTCAACCTCGGTGGTTCGAACGCTGCAAGTGGGACCCACCTAGGGTTTTAAGAGGAGGAGATTCTCGTCGGCGGCGGCGGCGGGCAAAGGTTAGCCATGGAGAAGGCGAAGCTCTCGTCGGCGCTCTTCGCCGGCACGCACTTCGACCGCAAGCGCTTCGCCGGCGACTTCGCCCGGTTCCGGCAAGGCCCGCCTGCCCCAGACGTGGCCTCCGCCGCCGCGCCGTCGCCGGAGAAGAAGCGGAAGCGCCAGAGCAAGGCCAAGGCGAAGAAGAGCAAGAAGAGGCGGGCGGAAGGCGCCGACTCTGCTTCCGGTGAGTTCTTCTTCTCAAGAGGTTGTTGCTTTTTGGGAGTGTAATCTGACTCTGACTACTCTGTCGAGTGTTGTACGCTTTGCAGATGCTGTGGAAGGGTTCAGTGTGTTCAAGGGATTGGCAGCAAAGAAGGATGAGGACGATTCGGAGAAGAAGGTCGAGACTGGTAAGAGTGAGGACTCGGAGGTTGTAAGGCGGAGGAAGGAAGTCGAGAGAGAAATCGAGGTAATGGCGTTTTGCAAATCCGTTGAGCTAGCTGTGTCTCTCTTTCGCAAAATTGTGCTTATGTAAAATATTTGAAAAAAATGTTTATCATCCAGCAACTATCTTGGATTAGAAATAATGGCAGAAATTAACATTTCGGTGTGTTCGGTTTGCATGTGTTGGATTGGTTTGCAGAGAGCGGCAATACTACGGAAGAAGTTTGATATTCACATTTCAGGACAAAATGTTCCAGCACCGCTAGAGAACTTTGAAGAACTGGTTTCAAGGTTAGTATCTGAATAATTCAAAGAGTTCAGACATACTAAATTCTTTATTATAGGTGCTGCTACATATTAACTTCAACACATCATGGTACCGTCTGAGGTGGATTTTAACCTACCTGATTTTGTGCACTAGGTATGGTTGCGACTCATATTTGGTTGGAAACTTGTCAAAACTTGGATTTCAAGAACCTACACCTATCCAAAGGCAGGCCATTCCAATTCTTCTATCCGTAAGTCATTTTGACTCTGTTTGGATATTTTTCCCCCTAGTGATTGAAAATTTTAGTTTTTTAGGGTCATATATCTGAAATTGCTTTGTTTCAGGGGAGAGAGTGCTTTGCCTGTGCACCTACAGGTTCTGGCAAGACTTTGGCTTTCTTGTTCCCAATCCTTATGAAAATCAAGGTATTTATCTTTGTGATATTGTTTTATGCTGTTTGTATGTGTTGTACTTGTACATTCTTTTTAAGCCATGTTGTTATAGCCAGGATCTAAAGAGGGTGTTAAAGCTGTGATTCTTTGCCCAACAAGGGAATTGGCAGCACAAACCACAAGAGAGTGCAAGAAGTTAGCAAAAGGAAGAAAGTTTTATATTAAACTAATGACAAAAGATCTATCAAAATCTGGGAATTTCAAGGATATGCATTGTGACATCCTGATCTCCACCCCACTTCGTCTGGACCACGCTGTACAAAAAAGAGACCTTGATTTAAGTAGGTCTGTGATCATACCTTCATTATTTTGATTTGCACACTACTACCTGTTAGAAGCTAAACTTGATACATTATGAACTCTGTCTAATGGTTTATCATGAGTTTCAACCTTGGAATCCCGATTTCTAACATTTTTGTTGGAAAGCGAATGCATGCATACCAATCCGGATAATAATGGTATTTAGTAATGAAGTGATGGTTTACCTGCTAGAAGCTACACTTGGTACATTATGACTCTGTCTAGTGGATTATCATGATTTTCAACCTTGGAATTCCATATTCTAACGTTTTTATTGGAAAGTGAATGCACGTATTTAGTCATGAATGTTAGCTTTTTAGTGGAAGGTAAAATTCCTTCACTATATTACCCTGAAAACAATCTTAAGTGTTTATTCATCTCAAAAAATACTATAGAGCCTGTGCCTTGTTAATTCCCACCAATTTACTTACGAAATGGAAATTTAATTAGATCAATTCAACCGTCCCTTAGTGGCATCACAACTATATGTCTGCATGCCATTTATAAAGGAATGACAGGTTGCAATTTTCGCCATTGTTTTTCTTTTTATTCGTGGGCACCCAGTTCGATTTAACAGTAACATATGCTGTCTTTCAGAGTGGAATACCTTGTCTTGGATGAATCTGATAAACTTTTTGAGCTTGGATTTGTTGAAGTGATTGATTCAGTTGTCAAAGCCTGCTCGAATCCTTCAATAATTCGATCTCTGTTTAGTGCCACATTGCCTGATTCAATAGAAACGCTTGCACGCACGATAATGCACGATGCTGTTCGAGTCATCGTGGGAAGAAAGTAAGTATTGCTTTCACAGTGTGTACTGCGAAAACTATTTTTTCAGGGTTATTTTTGTCATTAATTCTTCACATACAGGAATTCAGCCTCTTCACTGATTAAGCAAAAGTTGATTTTCGCTGGAACTGAGAAGGGGAAGTTGCTAGCTCTTCGCCAAAGCTTTGCAGAAGTAAGCCATGATCCTTCTCTGATGGTTTTCTCCTAGTTTCCATCTTGCTGTTTCCGAGAGCTGATTAAACAATTTCAACTGTAGTCTCTCAATCCTCCAGTATTGATCTTTGTTCAAAGCAAAGAGAGGGCAAAAGAACTTTACAAAGAACTGGCATTTGATGACGTAAGAGCTGATGTAATTCATGCGGACCTTGATGAGGAGCAGGTATCACTTAATATCATTTTTAGTTGCTAATAAATGTTTGTGGTAGTTTTGTTTTCACTGCTACACTTGGCTCAATTTCTATCTCCTCACTGAAGCGTCAAGATGCTGTTGACAACTTGAGAGCCGGAAAGACTTGGGTACTGATAGCTACCGAAGTCATTGCCCGGGGAATGGATTTCAAAGGTGTTAACTGCGTTATCAACTATGATTTTCCAGAGTCAGCTTCTGCCTATATTCACCGAATAGGTAAGTATCTGGCTTTGACAGGCTACACGCACCCGTCTGTGCATTTTTGTGAATGATGTCTTGTACATAAGCATCTGCGTGGAAGGCCTGAGTTCTGATGGGCATTTGATTGGTTGGATACTGATTATATGGTCCTCTTTTCAAATTTATATTATTGTTATTTTGCCTGTTAGGCTTGTTTAAATTTACATTCCAGTCTGATAATGTAGCCAGATATATCATATACCTCTATTGATCAGTTTAGTTCAGTTTCATGTATATGCAATTTTTTCTCTCTTATGAAAGACCTGGCATCATGTTTTTCTTCCGCCATCTCATGATTCATGAACTAACTAGGGAAAAAAAAAACTCCTTTCTTGTTATATAGGACGATCTGGAAGAGCAGGTAGATCAGGGGAGGCCATCACATTCTTCACCGAGGAGGATAAGCCATTCTTGCGGAACATCGCAAATGTGCTGATATCTTCAGGCTGCGAGGTTCCTTCTTGGATAAAGGCATTGCCTAAACTCAAGCGCAAGAAGCACAGGGTGAACCGGGATCCCATCTCCACATTACCAGACGAAGATTGAGTTTCCCTGTAACGTTTCTAGATGAAGATTGAGTTTCCCTGTAACGTTTCTAGATGGCACCTTGGCTTCAGTTTTCCTGTTTGAATGCCAGAAACTGCTGCCTCTATTAGTTTTGTTGACTGAAGCCTGAGATGAGAATACACTTGCCTTTTGTTATTTACAGTTTTGACTGATCAATTGAATAGATTATTTCTGAATTTACAATTAGATTCATCGCATATCCCAACATACAACCAATCACAGGCATTTACCATTTTCAGTCTGTCCTGTGGTCATTTGTTAACTGTCTTGCAGAGCCTGCATGATCTCCATGGCATCATCTACAAGTGAGGCCAGAGTTGAGCTGTGCCTGCTCAGCCCAATGCTGCCAGAGAACATGTTGAAGCTCTCGAGCTCGGACGTCGACCTGACGACGCTCCTGAGCTCCTTCTCCAGCTCCATGCTCCTGAAGAAGGGGACGAGCTCGGCGTCGCCTCTCATCATGGCGATGGCGAGCTCGATGACGAACCTTCTCATCCTCGGAACCTTCACCCTGGGTGTCCTGTGCTCTTTCAGAATCTCCACTAGCCTCCCTGCAATGTCTGTATCTGGTACACCTGCCTTTCCAAAGATTTCCTTGTGAAATTCAGGTGTTGCAAGCCTTGTAATCTGTATTGCCAATCCTATAGACACCTCAAGCAAGCTGCTCTTCTCAACCATAATTGCTTTGAACACCTGTGAAATCATGTAGCAGACATCATTCATCAAATCATAGCAACGATGTCTACTGAAGAATGAAATAAGTGATCTTGTTCTAGAGAATCTATTCTATGCCCTTGAGTTTACTCTAGTTAAATGTTTTTTATTGGTTTCTTTGATTTGTTTCAAAAGAACATCAACACAGGAATTCTCTCATGGTTGCAGTGACATGAGTAGCACTTCATGGTTCTGAGTTCAAGTCTCTATAGGAGCGAATTTCAGTTTGGGTTATTTGAGGGCTAAATTCCCTGTTTGATAGGTTAAGTTCCCAATTAAAAAGGCTATATATATCCGGTTGGATGTAGAGGCTACGGCCTTGTTTAGTTCTAAATTTTTTCTTCAAACTTTCAACTTTTCCATCACATCAAAACTTTCCTACACACATAAACTTCCAACTTTTCCATCACATTGTTTCAATTTCAACCAAACTTCCAATTTTAGCGTGAACTAAACTCAGCCTAGGTAAAAATTACCCTTCTCTAAAAAAAAAGAATTCTCATCCTTTTTTGGTTGGTTTTTGAGAACTTTCTATTGGGACAGCTAAGTTCCCTATTAAAAAGGCTATATATATCTGGTTAGATGTAGAGGCTAGGTAAAAATTACCCTTCTAAAAAAAGAATTCTCTCATATTTTTTGGTTGGTTTTTGAGAACTTACTATTGGGACAGCTGCAGTGAGGCTGCTGAGCTGCAAGAAGTGGTCGCTCCTGCTGTACCTGCACAGGTTCAGTAGGATTCTGGATGACGTGATCTGCAGCCCGGGGTGGTGCAGCGTCATCACCAGCCTCTCGACGACGGCGGCTTCCCGGAGTATCCGGTCGCAGTTGGCGGCGCTCTCGAGGGCGAGCAGCGCCACCACCTCGCCGGCCTGCAGCCTGATGTGCGCCGCCCCCTGCGCCGCGTAGGCGACCGCCGGAGCCGACTCCGGCGAGCCGGCGAACATGTCCAGCAGATGCGCGATCATGTCGCCCGTGCAGCCGATCTTCTCCTTGGCGTCGCCGTCGATGGCGAGGTCGGCGAGGACGCCGATCGCCGTCAGCTGCATCTTGCCGTGGCGCTCGCCGCCGTGCTGGAGCACCTTGCGGATGTTGCCGAGGACGAACACGTTGTCGGAGATCTCCCTCCTGATCGCCTCGCCGGTGTGCCCCGGCGTGCTCGAGAGGTTCTTCACCACCTGCAGCGACCGGAGCACCGTCTTCGCCGGCAGGCTCCCCTCGCCGCCGGCGCAGATCTGCAGCGCCGCCCTGCTCGTCCGGGTGAAGTGTATGATCCTGGAGAGGACACCCCTTGTGCTCGAGATCTTCGCCGCGTTGCCGTGCTCGCGCGCCAGCTTCTTCATGATGTGGAGCCCCATCTCGTTCATGGCGAGGTCGCCGGCGGCGGCGTCGGTGGTGGGGGTCTCGAGTAAGGTGGAGATGGACTCGATGGCGCCGGGGATGGTGGCGACGCGGATGAGGTTGCGGCGCTTGCCGGCGAGGCGGAGGACGACCTCGGCGGCGAGCGACCTGACGCGGCGCTTGCTGGGGCTCTTCCAGCTCACCATCTCCACCAGCCGCTCGACGGTGGCCGCCGACGTGCCGATCTTGCGCACCGCCCGCCTCGCCGAGTCGCGGTTGGCGATGGAGCCCCGGAGGATGTGCGCGCCGATGAGCTGCTCGTCGCCGGAGTCCGATGAGAGGAGCTCGACGGCGAAGGAGACGAGGTCCATCCGCGTGGCGTCGAGGATGCCGCCCTCGACCGACCTCGAGAAGGCGCGGTAGAAGAACCGCTTGATCGGCACCACGCCGGCGTCGCCGAGGTCGCACTCGCCGCTCACCGCCTCGACCAGGCGCCGATAGCTGAGCACCCACTCCCAGTACGCGCGCTCCACCAGGAAGATCACCGCCTCCGACAGCGCGAGCACGTAGAACAGCATCAGCGCGTAGTACGCGTTCTTGTTGCCGCCGCCGCCATTGTCGCCGGCGAAGCGGAGCGTGGCGAGGCGCAGCAGCGACAGCGCGACGCACGCCGACGCCGAGAGGAGCTGGAGCCAGTAGAGGACGTAGCTCACGTTCCTCGCCTCGACGAGCCAGCCGCCGAGGGGGAGGAGGTGGATGGGCGAGGCCGCCGCCGCCGCCTTGTGCGGCGGCGGCGGGTCGTCGTCGTCGTCTCCGGCGGCGGCGGCGGCGGCGTCCGGGAGGTGCATCGGCTGCTCCTGCAGATCGAGCTCGTTGCTCCGGCTGAACACCCTCGTCCCCTCGACGAGGAGGATGGCGGTGACGAGCCAGAAGTCCCGGGCGTCGAGGTCGGCGGCGAACCCGCCGAGGATGACCACCGTCGCCCACACGAAGCAGACGGCGCCGACGTGCGACGCGGCCTTCTCGAGCACCGCGACGTGGAGCGCGAACGCCGTCACCTTGCGCTCCGGCACCACGTCGTCGACGCCGCCGCCGTCGTCGGAGGCGGTGGCGGCGTGCATGGACGAGACCTGGTGCTCCACCGGCCGCCGCTGCGGCTCGTACGACGACGCCGTCGAGTCGCCGGTGTGCGTTCTCCGGTGCCTCGCCGTCGCCGTCGCCGTCGGCGGCGGCAACGGCGGCGGCTGCACTAGTATTTGCATGGGAATGTCCACGCCGCCGGCGCCGGCGCCGCCGCCATGATCAGCCGTAGTGTCGATGGCCATTAGCCTTGTATTCCCGAGTGCGTGCACAAGTGCACTTGGGGTTTAATTTCCATGGTTTTTTGCATGGTGATGTTATAAGGTTGGAGCTGATTGGGCGGGAGGCTAATTTTTCATCTAAATTAATTTTGCTGGATCTTGTGTGAAAGCAATCAGAAGAGAAAGATGAAATGAGATTCGTGTGGCTTCAACGTGCAAGAAACAAAGTTTCATCAAGTTCAGATACACGCTCGAGTAGATTACAAGTTGTTTATTGCATTCCTGCGCAATGCAATGGAGCAAAAGCTGTGTTTACCTTGCCGGTTTTCAAGTTGTTTAACCTGCAGGTTACATCATCTTGTGTCATGTAATGTTGAGACTTGCTGAACTTCTCATGTTACAGTGCAGTAGCCAAGACATGTTTGATTTTGATTGTTGGAAGGATTATTGGTGAGAATTATCTATAATCAAATATTTATTAATAAAAATAATAAATAGAGCAAATAGTCCATAATCCATTTCAATAATCAGTAAATAAAATCTTTATAGACAACCTTTCACCGTTTCACGCAACAGTCATTTTCAGAGGTTTACATACCATTGCCAACTCTATAACTGCTTCTCGTACACTCAGATTGCATCTCAATCAACTTGTTTTTAATCTCCAAATTAAGAGGATCCTCTTCATTCAACCATTCTCTTAGACTAGATCACATAACATTTCTCGGATTTTATATATACATGTTACTTGATCATGGGTACGTCAAGCAATCCTATGTCTGAGTCAACAGGCAAAATGACTTCATTTGATAAATCCAGAAGCCAAAACAATCATCCGGGTTGCTTATCTGAACACTGCCGGGTAGCTGAAGACCTACGGGTTCAGGCTTTATACATGCAGAATTCAGTGTATTCTTTAAGCAGAAACCGTACCCGTAGCTTCAGGAATGGAAGAGTACATTTCGTGCCGCGCAACGAGGAAATCATTCTCCGGCCGTACGGTGTTCCACGCCCGGTAGGCCGGCGGCGCCGCCGCAACCAATGACCAATCACCAAATCCAACACCTCTGGAGTTTGGAGTTTACTCTGCATCCAAACAAACAAATTCAATTGAATTTCAGTGCATCGAATTCTACTGAGAAACCGGCAGCAATTACAATAAAAAGGTAACTCTTGTACTACACATCACTCCTCATGGTTCATGGACTTTGGCAATTTAGCACCACTTGACAATAAGTAATAACATGATGGTATATTTTACCTCTTCCGTTTGTTTTTTTTCTGTAATGCGTACAACTCTTAGGTAGATAGAGAGGAAGATGCCATCAGCTGTGACATTTTCCTAGAAGATGAACATTGGCATGTCAGTCAAGAAAACTATGCTCCAGCTCTATCGGGAGAATAATACAAATAAAGGGAACTTCGCATGCGTAGTAATCGAAGTTGCTGCTGACTCATCATTGGATTAACCGGTGCTCTCGTGTCAGCTGTCTCCTGATTGCCTACAACCCTGCCCCTTCAGGAGGTATACTTTAGAAAGTGCATCAGTATTCTTCGTAGCATATACAGAATTCCAGATAGATACATCAAAGAACCTGAACTGATTCATGAGTATGTCGACACAAACAGAGAATGTACTGGTAGATGTAGCAGAGAGAGTTGCCCAACCTGAGGCGAGCTGGCATAGCGCGATGCCAGAAGAGCAGCTGAATTGCTTTGTTCAAGTTGTTGCCTCCGTTGAGAGGGTGGGCAACGCCCTCGGCACACTGGCGTTCACCTGGGCCACCGTTGTCCTCCTTGGAGGATACCCAACTAGTATCACCTGTGTGGACTTTGCGTACGCCACAGCATTGTTCTTCTTAGAAGCTGCAAGGTATGCATCAATGATCAGTCACATGTGATAATGTTAGTCACAAACCTGTGTACTCATGTTATCACTACACTTAGCATTCGTAAGACCATGATCAGATTATCTAGTACTTAGCAATTTATCAAGTCCAAAAGGATTGTTGTTCATTTGGTTGATATATCATCCTGTTTTTCTCGGTTTCCATGTGATGCACCGTGCATATTTTCAGGATGTTCTGCCCCAACAGATCAGAGTACCAACTTTTCTTCAGGACTCGCGGAGCTTTGAGACCTTTCTCATGGAATAGAGTGATTGTGGTGATATGTTTGAATAATGTTGGTTTATTCCTCCCAAGCACCAAAAGTAAAGAATTGTCGGTTTCCATATTGATGCTTGTTGCTGCCACCTTGCCTTTCCCAGGAGTTCACAAACTTAAAGGTGGTCCATTACGCAATGCTATATCACTATTGAGCCCCTTGGTTGTAATGGTGCTGTTGATCCCCTGTCTATGGTGCAAAGATACAACACCAGCACCAAAATGGCATTTGCTACTCCTAGCTAGGGCCTTTTACACACTGTTACTGGTCATGGTGTTGCTACTAACGATCAGCAAATTGCAGTTTCCAAGCATCGTCAGACTAGTTCATAGGCTTGTCATCCACAAATCATTATCCTGCCACCAAGTCAGTTTGTTTTCTTGCATGTACCTTGCAGCAGTGCCCTTGGTGTTCTTTTCTCCATTTTTGTTAGTAATGATGGTATTCGCTCTGTTGACAGCAATGTGTGGCAGTTTACAGATTCCAGCTGCAGTCATGCGCATCGTTATTGGATCGATCTGCCTTTTGCACCAAGATTATTATGGCAAAGGTGGCCATGCAAATAATTCTGACAAGACAAACCTCAAGCCAACACTTAGGCTGCGTTCGTTGGGTGGAGAAAGAGAGAGAGTTTGTTTGGTTTTCCGCGCGCACGCTTCCCAAACTACTAAACGGTGCGTTTTTTACAAAAAATTTCTATAGAAAAGTTGCTTTAAAAAATCATATTAATCTATTTTTAAAATTTAAAATAGTTAATACTCAATTAATCATGAGCTAATGGCTCACCTCGTTTTGCGTATCTTCCCAATCTCCTCAATCCCCTTCTCCTCAAACACTCCCTTAATGTCTTCTATGGAATGGTGCTCGGTCAAGGGATACTATACATTGTGGCTCGCATAATGGAGTTTTTCTCATTCTTTCCTCGGAGATCATTGCCCCGTCGTGGTGGGTTCAGGGGTCAGCAGGGAGTCAAATCTCTTGATATGTACTACACACATGCATTTGAGAAATGTATGAACGCTAGCATCCTTGCTCCAAAGAAGTTGAACCTCACCAATTTTGCCATGGAATCCCTCGAATCAGACTCAAGGAAGAAGCAGCTGTGCGGGGTTCGAATTCTGTATAGCCTTGTGAACAGAGAGCCCTATGACAAACAAGTCCTGTCAAAAGTCACAACTCCATGAAGACGGTCACCACACTGATCCAAATGCTGGGATGGACTAACCAAGAAGACAATCAAATTAGATTGCTTGCCGCGAAGATTACAGCTGAGCTTGCTAGAGGTCTCCAGATTGTCACAATCCCTGGTGCAATGAACTCCATATCATCACTTCTGGACAACCAGAACAAACAGCAGATACAGGAACTCATAATTCAGAAAGACAGTGGTGGTGAGGAGAATTGCTGGATACTCAAACTTTGGCATCAGATGACTAAAAAGTGGTCCATTCTAGAGGAGGAGCAGTGGACAGAAACTGATGTTTTCCTGGTACTTGGCCTTGTAACTCTTGAGAGGCTAGCTACATATGATATTGTCAACTGCATGGAGATCAGCAGATCAATGGACCTCATCCCAAAGATCACAGAGTTCACGAGTAACAACAGTGAGAGAATATGTGTCAATGAGACAAGTCAGAAAATACTGATTGATTTGTCATTGAAGGTGCTGAGAAGACTGGCAAGCATTGGTGGGGAAACTGGTATAACATTGAGGCACAAGATATCAGAAGATCCCTTCCTACTTGGCAACCTTGCTGAGATTTTGGAGGATAGCAAGAGCAGTCAGGAACTGAGGAAGTTGACAATAGATATCCTTATAAAACTTGCCATGGATGAGACTACAAAGAGAGAGATTGGGAGCATCCAGGTGATTGTTCAGATGTTGATGTTTGCATTCACTGCGCAAGATGATCTGCCAGGTGCATATTCTGACTGCTCGATGACAATGAAAGCAGGACAAGCATTGTCAATGCTAACACTAGAAAGTGCAGACAACTGCTCAGCTATCATGAAGGAACCTGGGCATAGATTCTTTAAGGATGTGGCAAGAATGCTAGTGCATGACAACAGGTACATACATGTTGCAGCAAATGTACTGCAAAACCTGTGCAAACACTCTAGAGTTGAGCTAGGAGATTCAGTTTTGGTGGAACTTTCCAGTGTCCTACTAGAGGTGAGATCTCCACCTATGTATGATAATATTTGGCATATTTTTTTTAAAAAAAAACAATGAGAAGCACAGGAGGGCTTTGGCCCCATTCTAAACTACAACTTTCTCGTCTTCCGTTAGCACGCTTCCCAAATTGTTAAACGGTGTGTCTTTTGTACAAGATTTCTATATAAAAGTTTCTTAAATAAATTAAATAAATCCAATTTTCAAGCTTGCAATAATTAATACTTGACTAATCATGCGTTATTGACTTGTCTCGATTCGCATGCCGCAAAAAAAGGTTGTCCCAAACATATTTTGTATGAAGAAGGGGCTGAGAAACCAAAATTTTAGCTTCTTATTTAGGATATCTGTTTTCACCAGATATTTGATTCTAGAGTCTAACTTACATGATGCTGCGTTATACCGTCTACAGGTGTTGGGACAAGTAATGGATGCAGAGGGAAAAGAACTCGAGGTCCTTGTTGGCCTCAGTTCACAAATATGCAGGGTTAGTCCTAAAAGCTTTTCAAAAGCGCTAGAACAGGGTCAGAAGGAGGCAAGATTCGTGGAGAAGCTAATCAATGGACTAAATGCGAATATGAAACCCAATCCACAGTTTCCAGGAATCAGAAGTGTGATAGTTGAGCAGTGTATATACATGATGGAGCTGAGCTCTCGTTATGCAACATATTTCAGAAATCATGAATTGATGGAAGCATTAATAAGGGTGGAGAAGACACCATCAAGGGCTGAAAAATACAGGCTTTTCTTGGGCAACACAGGGCTCATTGAGCACAGAGTGAATCTGTCCTCTCTTGTGGAGAGGGCAAAACAGTTGATGGCCGTGCATTCAACTCAACAGCCTTGAGAATCCAATTAGATTTTCGATCATATTTACCACTAGCCTTTGGATCATCCTGGTCCACTAGGATATCTTTGTAATTCAAAATACTGATTGGCCCAGAAAACACTGGTGCTAAGCTCTGGCTAATAATTTATCTGTACAGTTTAAACTTGATCCTTTTTAAAAAAGGACTATAGAGAAATAAACAAAACAAACAAATGCACATAAAGATTCTTAGGCGCAAAAAGGAAAAAAAAATCAAAATTGCATGTTTATTTGACATACATCGAGTTCAATATTCAACATTTGTTTTATTCCCCAATCAAAGTGATCATGTCAATTGAACTGTTAAGCAACTATCCCAAATGGTGTACTGATAAATACTCTATGATTCCTAACCTATTTTGTTTTCTTGGACTAAATATCAAATAAGGCAAGTTTGGCATAAATGATCCTGTAAATAAGTGATGAATAAGAGAATATTCTGACATTAACACGGATGGGTCTGTTTTTTCTAATGGTCAGGCCGTTGCCGACGTTTTATATAAAAGAAGAAAGTGTCTCATTTTAAGAAAAAAAAACATGACAAAACCTTACAATGCACGGTAAATTAGGGGAAACTGCACGAAAACCACAACTCACCACCAACTAACCTAATCAGCCATGGCAGCGAAAATAGGAGTTACAGTACCACTAGCACCACACAGTTCTGATGTTCGAAGTAAATCCTGAAGTATACCGTATATATTCAGCAGAAAAACTCAACAGTTTCTGTCGCGAGCATGGGGGACGGTTCTTGTTGACTATAGAAGAACGGATATGGCTTATCTGGTCCCTGCAGCTAGTATAGCAAGTTCAATTTGAGCAGGAGTGAGTGGGTCTGTGAGTGCTTCCGTCACTGCTCGTATGAACAAGAACAACGATGGAAGGTGAATGGCTGGTGCACTCACTCTATGCTCCATGTGAATTTGTGAAATTTGGGTTTTGCTGCCCGAGTGGCTGGGGCCTAGTCGCTCGCCCCCGGCAGCATCTGATCCCACTTCCTCTTGTGAAAATTTTTTATATTCATCGTGAGGTCCAAGTGTGCGGCGCACTAGGCAGCAAATTAAATTAATCCCCCAAAATAATATACTACTCCCTCCGTTTACAATATAAGTCATTCTAGCATTTCTCACATTAATATTGATGCTAATGAATTTAGACATGTATATTTATCTAGATTCATTAGCATCAATATGAATGTATAAAATGCTAAAATAACTTATATTCTAAAACGGAGAAATTACTAATTTGCACCGAACTAGTACTAGAAGAGAGCAAAAGCACCGCTTAAACGGTTGAACCCTAGCTAATATTCGGGTGCCTTTCACACACCCCCTTAAACAAAATCGCCAAAAATGCTTTTCATGATGTATGAGGAAACCTAAGATTTCGAGGTTGGGAAAAACCAAATCCGCAGGAGCGGACGGGGAATCGAGACCTAATCTCCCCCGCGGATCTAGGCCCCAAGCATTTGGGCGCGGCGCGGCAAAATTAATACCGAATCGAATCGAATTTTTTTTCGATCGAAACCGCGATCGAGAGGAAAAAAAAAAGGAATGCATCGGAGGAACACGGAAGGGAAGCAATCGACTCACCGTGCTCCTTGCAGAGGCCAGAGCGGGGGCTCTGCGACCTGCGAGCGGTCACATCGCAGAGATCATGGAGACACAGTGAAACTAAAGGCAGCCCGTCTCTCTCACAGTCTCACTCTTTAGCAAATTTTACCAAAACGTCCATGTGCTCTGCAGAAAAAAAAATGGAATTTTCCTTCTCTCCTTTTTTTTTCAAGTGGTTTGAAATTGACCTCTGGCAAAAATTAACGAGCTATATAAATTTTTTTTGAGGAAGATAATGCTTTATTGATCATTTTAAAAGTTGGATACAATTACGATCAGCAGCTCTCTAGTATATAGGGGAGCTTGCATATGCCACGCACGCAATGAGCTATATAATTTTTTTTATTTGTTTTCTAGCATGTCTTTTATAAACTTGTAATGGTGCAATGAGTATTTGCACATATATTCACTCTCCTATTTTTTTTTGTTTTAAATATTTGTCACTTGTAACTAATTACAATACTTTGAACACTGATGTTACAATACTTTGAACACTGATAAATTTTAAGTAGTTAAATCATGATATATACTTAATTAATGGAGTACTTCAAATTTTATATGTTTTCTTCGAAGGTCAAAATGATCAAAAAATAGTATATAGACTATTTGGAGACAGAGGGAGAATTGCTTTAGAGTTTTATTAAAGAAAGAAAAATGATACTTGCTAACTTATAGAAAAACTTCTTCAACCCTTACCGTTAGGCACACAAACAATATGTCATGACTCTCTGAAAGGCCTAGTTAAGCAACAAAATACATCATGCGATATTGATACATATAGTAATTGCTGTCGATAAAAGAAAACTCATGTATGCTCGAGAACACGAGTCAGCTATCAAACTCTGTCAAAAGCGTAACTTTTTGAAGCTAGTCCTACTGCTGTTGAAGATGCAGAGGACTAAGAACATCCCCAGCAGTTCCGGCATCCCATCTTCCATCCAGAAAATGGCGTATGGGGGGAGAAAATCCGGCTCCAACGGATACGCCATCTGGGCCTCCATAGATGGTACATGCGCTATTCTTGGCGTTTCTCTCTCCTCACGCCATCCTGCAACCACCGCTCCCATCCGTTCTACTGCCCTCATCCGAATCGAGATCGAGGCAGAGGGTGAAGCAGTGAAGGTAGATCGAGGAGAGAGGATGAGGCAAATCTTCGTCGGCCGCTCCCGCCGTCGACCACCTTCGGCCGCGCCGCCCTTCTGCTCCCACCGCCAGTCTGCCCAGCCGTCGGCGAGCCGCTCGCGCCGCGCCCTCCGCTCCGCTCCCACCGGCGGTCGGCGGCGGCGAGCCGCTCGTGCCACCCCTCCGCTCCTCCGCCCTTCGCTCGCGTCTCTCGATCTCTCTGGAGTGACAGAGAGATCGTGTGAAAGAGAAGATAATGATGAAAAAAGAAAAAAAGAAAAATAATATTAATTGATAGTAGTTGAAAGATACTATTAAAATATAGGAGGATGTGATATAGATGATGTAATATAGATGATTTGTTAGAGTGGAGAGAAATATGAAAGAGGAATCTTTTTTGGATAACCATCTATATAGCCATATGAAAGATCAAATTTGGACGAGCTGCTGGGGATGCTATAAGGTGATACAAAATATGAATTTCCACGCTGCCTTTGCACCCCTAGTAGTATTATTGAGGACTAAGAAGACTACTTGTGTTCTTTAGTATGGATTGGGATCGAATCACTCGCATACGAAAAACAGAGTGATATATTATAGCACATAATTAATTAAATATTAGTTAAAAACTTATATAATGAATTTATATGATTTTAAAGCAACTTTTTATATATTCTTTTTAAGAAAGCACACCATTTAACCCTTTGATAAACACATACGGAAAAGTAAGTGAGTGAAGATTGAGAAACTTAACTACAGACACATCCTATGTTTAGGAAGAAACGTGGAGTAGGGCACATGGTGTCTATTTTCTTGAAAAAAAGAGAGGGGGCCCATCCTCAATCCTTACCAACGAAGGGGCAAATAGTCAAATTCCCCCCAGCTAAGCTGCGCAGCCTCCCTTCCTGCCTGCGCCTGCGCTACCGTAGTCGGCCTCCCTCTGACTCTTTTGCTCCCCCCTCCCTAGTTTACCCTAGTCGATCTCCCCCCCCCCCCTTCCCCCTCCGCCGAGGCAGCGCCGCCGCCGCCGCCGCCGCCGGAGTCCCCGCTGCTTCCCCTCGCCGGTGAGCGCGTCATCCTCCTCACCCCACGCCGCCGCCGCCTCTTTGTTTTGACCCTTTTGTTTAAGCTTCGGTTTTAGATCTGGAAGTTGCTTCTCTCTTTGCCCTAGAGTTAGTAGTAACAGTGATTTTGGTTCGTTTCCAGGAGGAATTTGGGGGGTTGAGGTGATCCCCCCCCACCCCCACCCGTGCCATAGGGTTGGCTGCTCCTGCTCCTACTGTACACAGCTTGATTGATCCTTTTTGGTGGGTGTGGATGTTGGGGGTAGCATGCCGCTGACCTGCTCGGGGAGATGCAGAGGTACGCGGGTGCCGGTAACAACAGTGGGTTTAGTGGCGGCGGTGGCGCGGGTGGAGGCGGTAGAGACAGCTCGAGGTTGGATGGGTCGCCCTACTCCGCCAACAATTATCCCCTGAGCTCGAGGTGACGCGCTATCGCTCCATTTCTTTTTTTTTCCCTCCATCCAACATGATTTCTTGTTTTAAGCCATGTAAACAATAAGATGCCCTAGTATGCTCTTATTTAGTTGGAATCTTCCAAGTTGTAATTGATATGATGCGTGTACATTTTGGATGCTACAGTAATGGCATTTCTTCGAATCATAACGATTCCGTACTGTTTTATGACTTGCGTTACTTGCATGAAGTAACTGCCGTAATCAAACTCACCACATGTTCTACGTATAATTTCCCAGCTATTATCAGAATGACTTGATAACCTTGACACAAACTGTTATTGAACCACAAGCAATCAACATGTATAGAATGTTGTTCTGACCAAAGGAAATTTTTTTTAGTAAATATTTTCTTTAACTGATGTTGCTGATATTTGTATGGTTACGACAATACTTTCTCTAGAAATTAGATAAATTCCGTCAGGCTGTTCATTTATTAGTTAAAGAACAAGCTAATCCGTCACGTATAGTGATTGAATATATATTACCATGCCATGAATATCAACAAGACCATCATCAGTTCAGTTTTATTGAATATAGCTCATCGCGATAAATCCCTCCATCCTAGTTGTATTTCGTATAACCATCTGATTATGTAGAACATACAGATTAATAGGCGTATATATATGACATCATGCTTTGGAAATCAGAATGCCATAGATAATCAAGTTTGTATCATTAGTATGATATTGCACCACTTCAATCTTTGTGGTATGGTTAGAGAAGGAGCAGTCATTTTCTCTTTGATATGTGATCGAATGAAGTAGTGAAAGAGGTTATTTACTACTGCCTCAAATCTTATACTTGTCATGCATATGCTTTGCCATGTTTAAAATAAAATATGTCATAATATTGCTAAAATATGTAAATGCATTTTTTCTGTCATGAAACATGTTGTTTACCTTTGATCTATATGGAATACTCACCTTAATTTATTTATAACTGGCAATTCATTTATATTCGACTGTTGTGTAATATTAAGGAATTCAACGGGTAATATATAAAAACTGCAGCGGGAGTAAGTGGGGTGGCAGATTCACTCAGCACCATCACTCCATTCTTTTAAAAAGAGTAGTTTATTTTTCGCCGGGCCAGCAAAGGAATGGTGGCCAAATTTATTAAGAGCAGAGAGGAAAATGGTTGGTTTACATAACAACAAGATTGTTGGATGCTACTTAACCGCTGCAGCCAAACATACCTGACAAAATCAAAGTGCAACATTAGGAAGCCAAGATAGAGGGATAAGATAACAGCTTTGCTGCACGCCACACCCATAGCTCCTCCATGATTGTCTCGACCCTCATTGGGGTGGATCAAACCTCAACCCTCACAAATAATTGAACATGGAATAAAGAATATCTGCTCTGTCAATTCTTCACCTCTATTGCTTGTCCAATATCGGAAGTAATATTTGATGAAGAGTACAACGAACTTGCTACTGTCACAATCACTTTCTTAGTATCGATTTTCTGTCAACAGAAATGGGGGTACCTAATTCAAACCAAACCTGTGCAATTTTATCATCACAATAACTGAATTTTGATATGTTTTTCTTCTTCATTGTTGTTTTCAGGCGGCAGCAGCAGCTAGCTCCTTACAAGCTAAAGTGTGATAAAGAACCACTTAATAACAAGTACGCATATACTTCTTACCAAAGACAGTTCACTCAGGGAGTTAAGTGGGTGTTTATTAATCTAGATGTTAATCTTTCAGGGATTGCATTTCCTTTACTTTCTTTGCCCTTCGTTTTAACTTTGGCTGTGCTCTTTGCGTAAAAAAACACATCTGTGTTGTCCAATAGCAAGTTAGCAACAAATAGTAAAATACTACTTCTTTATCCTATAAGATATTACTTCACTTGATCTTAGGCAGTCCAACTGTACACGATGGCTCTTTTGCAGGCTTGGACCACCTGATTACTATCCTCAAACACCAAACTGTCCTGAAGAGACATTGACAAAAGAATATGTACAATCTGGGTATAAGGAGACCGTTGAAGGAATTGAGGTGCGTATGGAGATGAATGTTGTATACAATGTATTATGAGTTTGAATCCAATTAGAAATTCATTAATGTATCTATCTGTGCTATGCTTATTGAGTTTGGATATAGTCCAATCTTGTATATTGACTGATTCAGTTTTTTCTTGGGATTCATAGGAAGCCAGAGAGATTGTACTTAGCCAGATCCCGTACTTCTGCAAGACAGATATTGTTGTAAAATGCAAAGAGGTGAGGAAACTTGGCCAATATTTTCTCAGTAAGCTCGTGGCATGATCTTATTTTGCCATTGTGTTTCGGAAGAAATACGAAAAATTCTTTGCAATAGCAAATGGATTGACAGTTCATGGTAACAAAGAGACAAATTGCCACTGGCACCAACCTTATATTCCAATGTTCTGTATATCAATTTGGCATCTAGGCATAATTTGTTGCCTGGCTGGTTTACTACCCATGCTATTTGATTACCTTGACTTACTGGAGATTAATCTGATATCCTTTAGTTATAAAGTGTCACCGACTATTAGGACTAAATCTCAGAACTTATTCCATCCTGCAAGGATAGTTAGTCTAGTGATTATTAAGTCTTTATCAACAATTGATTCTGGCTTGCACAGTTGTACCAGCTATCATCAGGTGCAAACATTTAGGCAAAAAAGTTGCTGTAGATTGTGGGTTGTGTGTTTCTGTTCTCTTTTAGGAAATCTTGTTTCTCTCGTAATCTCAAATATGTATGTTGAAGATGTAGTTCTTTAAATGTTGTAAGACACCACAACTATAAATGCATGGATACATTTAATTAACATGGTTGATTGGTAGCTTCATCCTTTTGTTTTTATTTTATGATCTGTTTTGATGTATGATATAGAGTACTTAGTATAACATTTAACAATTTCTTCATTATTTGCTGAAGGCACTAAAGAAGCGCTTGAGAGCTATAAATGACTCTCGTGCTCAGAAGAGAAAGGTAGTTGTGCAATATTTCTTGATTTGGATGTATTTACCTCCTGACATCATATCAAACAGACCAACTAATTTTCCTGTTTTAGCAGGCTGGCCAAGTTTATGGAGTTCCTCTTTTTGGATCACTGTTGATAAAACCTGGAGTTTATCCAGAGCAAAGACCATGTAACGAGGACACCCGCAGGAAATGGGCCGAGGTCGACATACTTGCCTGTTATCTGTTTTCACATGCTTTTTTCAATGGAACTGTTGGCATAATTTATGAACTGTCATTTAAGTTTTCTTGCACTTTTATCTTGAGCTTGTCGCTAGTTAATACTTAACTTTTCTGCTCTAGTTTGAATCTTCTTTTTTTAGGAATTATGGGTTTAGCATACAATCGATTAGAAACTTTATTTTTTGCTTGGTGTTGCTTTGACTTTAAACTGCTTATTATTGTTTGAAGTCAAGGGTCAAGTTTGTGTGAGGCAGACCTCCCTTAATGCATCTTATCATCTCATCGGTTGGAACAATGCAAGTCAAATAACCTAAGAAAATTGAGTTATTTTGTTTACAGACATCATTTTCTACTTCTGTGATATCACTGCTGCCATGTATCTGGCTATCTGCCCATTTTAACTTTTTGATTACATGTGCCATCGCCATGCAGGCCCTTTCCCAGCCAAACAAGCGACTGCGTTCATTATCTGAACATGTTCCTCATGGTTATCGTAGGAAATCTCTTCTTGATGTTCTCACTCGATACAATGTCCCATTATTAAGAGCAACATGGTTTGTGAAAGTCACGTACCTCAATCAGGTTTGTATTTCTTTTTCGAAACTAAGCCTTGCTTACTACTCACTCCGCTCTTGAAAGCAAGTCGTTTTGGATATCGAGATGGTCTTTGAAATACAACTTTGACCACTACTTTCTATTGCAATATATCTTTATAACCTGACGAGATTATAATATTATGAAAGTATTTGACAAAATGAATCTAATTCTAAACACATGATTTTCTTCCATCCAATCTAAATATTTAAAAGATATTGATGGTCAAAGTTTCTTAAGTTCGATTTGAAACATGTCCAAAAAAACATGTTTTCAAGACCAGAGGTAATACAAAAGAACATGCTACTTTGTTGTAACCAAATATACTTAATTGCAGCCACAGGTTCGATCAACATCGGTCAGTACATCAGCAGGAGGCTCTGACAATCATCGATCTAATCAATGGACAAACGATGTCGTTGAATATTTACAACAGCTTTTGGATGAATTTTGTTTAAAAGAGGTACCTCCATCTTTTAGAGAACAGTCATCACCAGGGCTTATTGCTGGGGTCACACAAGTAAAAATGAAAAGCGAAGCACCCCCAGCTGTTGGAGACATAGACGAGCCTTTGGTGCACTTCAAATGGTGGTATATGGTCCGCCTTATTCAGTGGCATCTCGCCGAAGAATTGCTTGTTCCCTCGGTACTTATTGAATGGTTATTTAACCAATTTCAGGTGATTTTATTTCCATTGACTGAGTAGCTCATTTATTTAATGATGTTTAAGTTATCTCTTATTTTCTTTACTTACCAGTGATATGCTTCTACCCTTTACTCAGGAGAGAGTTGCAGTTGAAGCTTTAGAGCTTCTTATGCCTGTGGCACTTGGTATGATTGACATCATCACTCTCTCACAAACATATGTGCGCATGTTTGTGGAAATATTGGTTAGACGTCTGAGTGATGGCCCTGTTGTTGATAACCCCAAAAGGGCACATATTTCTTCTGTTATAGCTGAGGTACTGCGATACATGGTGCTTGCAGTGCCTGATACGTTTGTTTCTTTGGATTGCTTTCCTCTTCCATCTTTTGTGGTTCCTGATGTTTACAGTAGAGGTGCTTTACTGAAGATAACTGCTGGTGGTGGTATTGCTGGTTCAAAGAGGCAGGATGGTTATCGTTACTTGTCCTGTGGTTATGCTGTTTGTTCAATTCAGAAACGTTCATATGATCTTGCAACAGTTGCCAACCCTAACTTTCAGGCACGTGGTGCAGCCAAAGTGGTGCAAGCTTTGGACAAGGCTCTTGTCACAGGAAATTTGACAATGGCATATTTGTCGCTGTTTAATGATTTATCTGATGCATTAATGGAGGAGAGATGGATTAAAGAAGTGAGCCCTTGCTTGCAGTCTTCTTTGATGTGGATCGGGACTGTTGAGTCATCCCTAATCTGCTCAGTATTCTTCCTTTGTGAATGGGCAACGTGTGATTATCGTGATTGCCGCACATCTCTCTTGCGGAACGTAAAATTTACAGGACGAAGAGATTTATCTCAGGTACATCTGGCAGTCTCCATCTTGAAGAATAAAATGGATGAGATAAATAACCTGTCTCGTTCTAAGAGTAGCAGTCGCATTGCAGTGAATAATACTGCTAAAGGTTCTTCATTAAACAACACTTCTTTAGCAGCTACAGTGAGTGATTCCTCTGGATTGAGAAACAACGCAAAGAGCGTGGATGAGAAGGACAAGAAGGATATATTTGAAAGCCCTGGTCCACTGCATGATATTATTGTGTGTTGGCTTGATCAACATGAGGTTAACAGTGCTGTAGGTTTTAAACGTGTGGATGTTCTCATCATAGAACTTATCCGCAGTGGTATATTTTATCCTCAGGCTTATGTTAGGCAGTTAATTATTAGTGGAATTACTGACAAGAATGACACACTGCTGGATGTGGAAAGAAAAAGGAGGCACCGCAGAATTCTGAAGCAGCTTCCTGGGTCATCTTTATTTGAAATTCTTGAAGAAGATAGAATTACTGAAGAGCAGCATTTGTATGAGATGATGTCAACATATTCTAGTGAGCGTCGCCTTGTGCTTTCCGAACTTTCAACTGGCCAAGCATTCGATGCAAATAGCAGAGGTGAATATGCTTCAAGTTCCTGTGTTCCGAAGGCAAGTGATCTTTTTCTTGCATCAGGAGGCGATAAGCATGGGAGGGTGCCGGAACAAGTCGAAGATGTGAAAGCTCTGGTGTCGAGCATGTTGCGCTTTATAAATCCTCACTCAGTGGAAGAAGAGCATTGTCAAATCAAAACAAACCCGCAAGGATCGTCAGCTTCAACGGTCACACAAATTGATACTGTAGATGTGAAACATGACTGTGAGGATTGTGCGAGGACCAAGAGACAGAAATTGGATGAGAGGGCCTCTCCATTACAAGGGTTCCCATTGATTCAATCAGATGAGGAAGATATTTGGTGGGTGAGGAAAGGGACAAAGTTACATGAATCCTTGAAGGCTGAACCTGCACAGAAACCCATTAAACAAAACTCTAGAGGTAGAGCAAAGGTGGTTCGGAAAACACAAAGTCTTGCACAGCTTGCGTCTTCCAGAATTGAAGGCAGCCAAGGGGCATCTACTAGTCATCTTTGCGAGAGCAAGGTGGGCTGTTCCCACCATAAACCTAGCATTGATGTTGACAATGTCAAAGATGTTGATCACATGAAGATAGTGGATCTGTCTGAAGTTGGGAAATCGTTGAAGAGGCTCAGATTGCTTGAAAGACGATCTGTTTCTGTATGGTTGTTGAAATCAGTAAGACAGCTTATTGAAGTAAATGAGATGGCTGCTTCTAAAGCTAGCAATTCCGTAAGTTCTTTTTCGTCGCAGTCTGATGATAAAACTCTATTGAAATGGAGGCTTGGTGATGAAGAATTACTGTCGATTCTCTATATATTGGACATATGCTGTGATTTAGTCTCTGGTGCAAGGTTTCTTGTTTGGTTGCTAACAAAAGTTCGTGGTGGAATGGCAACCTCTGGTCAAACAGGGAGAAGTGCCACTCATATCAAAAATAGAGAAAACCAAGTTTGCCAGATTGGCGAGGCACTTGTGTTCTCATCCTTGCTAAGGTACGTTGCTTTTGATGTTACTTCTCTTCAAATGTCTCGCGCAATGATTGATTTGAATAAATGGGTGAGCTGGCAAATGATTATGAAGATTCTTGTTACTAGAGAACTATGCTTCCCCATTCCTTTTTCATCTCTCTCTGCTTTGATGTCTCAATGTAAAATGTGCTGTAGGTTCTTTCATGACGTCAGTTGCGTCTTTCTTATTCCCGAAAAAAGAAAAACCCTGTGTCTTTCTTGTCCATGTACCTGACAAGAGGGCTTACAACAAACGGCCAATATTTGCAGGATCTCTGCAGTCTATGTATTTACACCTCACCATCTCTGCGATAACCGGGCAATATTTGAATACTCTTTTGTTTGGGCTTTTATGTTCTGCTATGTTTTTTAATCCACATAGTTCTTGTTTTGTGCATATGATGATTGGCATCGCTAACTTTTCAACATTGCTACATAAGTTATCATGAAAGTACTTTCTAAGTTGGTGTCCAGTCAAACCCTTTACTAAAAAACAAAACTCACCAGGATGTTATTGCATTACTTGAAATAAAATTAATGTTGATCAGAGTGAGGAAGAGATATTGTTACTCACCAATCAGAAAGTGTACAATACTTATTGTTTCGTATGACTCTCTTCCTATTTCTAATACTTTGAACTTTACTATATTGTTACATGACTTTCCTTTGATTGCTTTAGCATGTAATATGTGCAGGTATGAGAACATACTTCTTGCAACTGATCTCTTGCCCGAAGTTTTAAGTGCTTCAATGAGCAGAAATTTTGTGTTAGCTACTGCAAGGCAGCCTGCTTCAGGAGCATTTGCTTATACTCGATATTTCCTGAAGAAATACAGGGATGTTCCTAGTGTGGCAAGGTGGGAGAAAAGTTTTAGAACCACATGTGATCAGCGACTGCTAGCTGAGCTTGATAATGGACGTTCAGTTGATGGTGATCTGGTTTCTTCTTCTGGGGTTTCAGCAGGTGAAGAGATTGATGAACAGATCCGTCAAAAAATGAATGTAAGGAATTCAAGAATTGTTCCAAACATGAAGGATATAATACAACGGCAAACTGAGGAAAAGAAAGGTATTACGGCACCCAAGAGCCCCTCTGTTGATAGGGAAGACAGCTATCAAATTGCACATGACATTGTTTTGGGCTTACTTGAATGTATCAGGCAAAATGGGGGAGCTAGTCTAGATGGAGACCCTTCAATTGTTGCTTCTGCTGTCTCTGCAATTGTTCTCAATGCTGGGCATACAATAGCTAAACATTTGGATCTTTCGGCCGGTAACTATCACGGTGTTTCTTCCATGGGTAGTTCATTGAGCTCTATTCGGCACATTTTGCATGTCCACATAAGTTCTCTTTGCTTACTGAAAGATGCTCTTGGGGATCGCTTCAGCCGTGTATTTGAAATAGCTCTGGCTGTTGAAGCGTCTTCAGCTATTACAGCAACTTTTGCCCCTCCAAAGATGCAGCGTAATCAGTTTCAACCATCTCCAGAGACCCATGATGTATATGGAAATCATACAAATGACCTAAGCAACACAGGGAAAGGTTTTGTTGGGAGAACTACAAAGGTAGCCGCTGCTATTTCTGCACTTGTTGTGGGATCTGTTATTCATGGAGTTGTTAATATTGAGCGGATGGTTGCTGTCCTGAAAATAAAAGATGGTTTGGATATTTTGCATCTCCTAAGAGGTTTGAGATCAAGCACAAATGGTGTATCCCGGTCCACTGGAACGTTTAAGATGGAGAATTCAGTAGAAGTTTTGGTGCATTGGTTTAGGATTCTCTTGGGGAACTGCAGAACTGTCTATGATGGGCTTATTGCTGATATTCTTGGTGAGTCCTATGTTCTTGCACTCTCAAGGTTGCAGCGGATGCTTCCTTTAAGTATGGTCCTTCCTCCAGCCTATTCAATTTTTGCCATGGTCCTTTGGAAGAGATATACTTTTAGCCGTGAAGATGTGCAGCTTTACCAGTCTCTGTCAAACGCAATAAATGACATCACCATGCATCAGCCTTTTCGGGATATCTGCTTCCGTAATACACATCAGCTGTATGATCTCCTGGCCGCTGATGTTGGTGATTCAGAGTTTGCGGCAATGCTTGAAATGCATAACCCAGATAAGGGTTCAAAAGCAATGGCATTTATACCTCTTCGTGCTCGGCTATTTTTGAATTCCCTTGTTGATTGTAAAACAGCTGGGGCAATTCTAGGAGATGGTTCATGTGCTTCAGAGTCTGGCGAGGCAAAAGAGAGTGAGTTGAAACTCTCTGACAGACTTATACAACTACTGGATACCCTCCAACCAGCAAAGTTCCATTGGCAATGGGTTGAGTTGAGGTTTCTTTTAGATGAACAAGCTCTTCTGGAAAAAGTTGCAGCTGGTAATACATCAGTCGCAGAAGCAATCCAGTCGCTTTCCCCTAATGCTGAAAGCTTTGCCCTTTCTGATAGTGAGAAAGGGTTCACTGAAATCATCCTGTCAAGATTACTTGCCAGACCTGATGCTGCTCCCCTCTACTCAGAACTTGTTCATCTTCTTGGGAAGCTTCAAGAGTCACTTGTCGTGGATGTCAAATGGCTCCTGCAAGGGCAAGATGCCCTTCTGGGACGCAAATCCACAAGGCAGCAGCTTGTTCATATTGCTCAAAGAAAGGGCCTCTCGACAAAGACTCAGGTTTGGAAACCATGGGGCTGGGCCAGCTTGCTTAGTGATGTAATAGCCAGTAAAAGTACCAAGAGGAAATTGGAAGTCACTTCAATTGAGGAAGGAGAAGTTGTGGATGACTCTGCTGATGCTAAAAGGCCTAGCAAGGCTAACCCCCATAATGTGGACAGAAGCTTCGAGGGGATTAGATCTATTAATAAATATTTGACTGAGAAAGCCCTTTCAGAATTAATGTTGCCATGCATTGATAGAAGCTCTGCTGAATTTCGTAGTATATTTGCTGGTGATTTGGTGAAGCAGATGGGGACTATCAGTGAACACATCAAAGCAATAGCAAGGAATGGTACGAAACAATCTGGTTTAGTTCCATCAGGAACTGAAGCAGCATCGAACAAATCCAGTAGCCGTAAAGGGATTCGAGGTGGAAGTCCAAATATTGGACGGCGAGCTCCAGTTGGTAATGATCCAACTCCTCCTTCAGCATCTGCTCTGCGAGCAACAGTGTGGTTGCGCCTCCAATTTATCATTAGGTTGCTTCCATTAATCATGGCGGATAGGTGAGGCTTCATTAAGGACACATGTCATTTGAAGTTAATTGAGCTTGGCGATGGTTTCTAGTATTGTCTTTTTCAACAATTATGCTTATTATTGGTCGTCCTAGATTATAATTATTTCTCTCTCTCTCTCTCTCTCTATATATATATATATATATTGTTCAATGTTTCATATAAAATAGAACTAAGAATATGCACAAAATTACCCTTTCTTTCTGTTCCACGTGCTAAATATTAGTAGGCAATAGGTCAACTGTGAATGTTTTCTACTGTTATTATTGGAAATCATGGTACTTTTCTTTTCTATTAATAGTTGCCTCTTACACTTACATACGTTTACTATATGATTCAGGAGTATGAGACATACACTTGCTTCTGCAATTCTAGGCCTTCTTTCAGCACGCATAATTTATGAAGATGCAGATTTGCCCCTTCCTCCTACCAACACTACCGTTTTAAGGCGGGACGTGGATTCTTTGCTGGAACCTCCCTTAGATGTCCTTCTCGACCGCCCTGGTGAAAGTCTTTTTGAGAGGCTCATATGTGTTTTCCATGCATTACTTGGCAATGGCAAACCAAGTTGGCTGAAGTCAAAGTCAGTTTCTAAGTCGACCACTAGAACTCCAAGAGATTTCCCTGCATTTGATAGTGAAGCAGCTGAGGGCTTACAGGTCAGATCAATGCTTAAATTAATAAATGCTGTCACTTGGTTTTCAATAAAAATGATAATCTTCAATAGAACTTGCACCTCTGAAACCAATGTTGTTTTTTCACTTCTAATGCTAAATTTCTTTTGCAGTCTGCACTAGATCACCTGGAGATGCCTGGAATAATCAGGCGAAGAATCCAAGCAGCTATGCCAGTTCTCCCACCTTCTCGCCACCCTTGTATATCATGCCAACCACCTCAGTTGTCTTTGGCCGCATTATCACCACTCCAGAGCGGTACATCTACTTCAGGTCCTCAACAGAAAGGCAACTCTACTAGCTGGGTTCCTACTAATGTATCGATCAGAAACAAGGCGGCGTTTGCAACCCAAGATCCTGAGATGGAAGTAGATCCATGGACATTGCTTGAGGATGGCACAAGTTGCCCCTCCATGTCATCTGGAAGTAACAGTTCCAGTGGCATGGCTGGCGATCATGGTAATTTGAAAGCTTGTAGCTGGCTCAAGGGTGCAGTGAGAGTGAGGAGGACAGAACTAACCTATATTGGGTCCCTGGATGATGATAGCTGATCATGCTTGTACGCTATCACTGCTGACGTTGCACAAATTCAAGATGGGGATTGAGGAAAATTTTTCGGTTTTGGACCAGGTTGGGCTTGAGTGGTATACATGCCGCCACCATGATAAACTCCACTATTGAAGTGAGTTTTGTGTTGAAATTGTGGCCTTGTGGGGGCGGCCTTGATGTAGAATATCTTACACCCTGGGGTATTGTTGTTACTAGGGCCTGCGGGAGCGACCTTGTACATAATGTAACATTAATCCATTTGTCAAGCAAGCTGTCCCTGAAAGAAGTTGCCCCAGGGCCCTGTTTGTAGCTTATATTCAAAGTTAGGAAGATATGCATGCATGCAGTAGCTGATGAGTCGAAAGGAATGTATTGGTTTTTGTTTTGCTCGATATGTAACCTAGTGTGAGTTAGCCCCTGCTCAAAACCGAGGGTTGATATTATATAACATTATGTATATCATATGGTGGCTGGCCTCAGTGGAAGTTGATATTGTTTCGGATGGGTTTTCCTCTTTGTAGTGGCATGCATATTCATGGGATGTATCCAGCCTACCCAGTTTCTGCTTGTCTGTGAATTCTCATGGCTGGTGAGGTGAGCTTGCTCAACCCGAGCAGATTGCCAGATCTGAGGATCCTTGACACATTATATTCTATATATGGTGGAAGGAACATTGAATTCTATAAATTGGTGAGGTTCCCAGAGACCGTGTTCAGTTGGAAAGAGCTACTCGATCGTGTATACCAACATGCAAACTGTAGCTACACATACTGATATACAGGAGTTACTAGCAATATGCAAATTTCTTGTGATGATGAGAACTTCCGTCCCAAAATTTATCTATTTCTAATGTCTTATACTAAAATAAAACTATATCTTCGCCTACCTCTTTTTAACCAATCACAATTATTCTTCATTTAATTTTTTTCACATGGTTTTTCTTCTCAGTTAATCACAACATTTCTTCCATCATTATTATTTTAATACCCATATCCATCTTACAAAATACTTTACATTTCCACACGATTTGAGGCTCCGCTGAGAAGGATTGTTACATCAAGGACATGACTAGTGGGGCGATTTTTGCACTGTATGCTGCCTTTTGCAAGTATCTTCTTTTAAGGAAATTATTTTTTTTCCTTGCAAGAATCTTGCTACCAAAATTTTCCTGATTGGCTGTGGGGGTGTTCTTCGTAGAGGCCGTCAATTGCAAAGTCTAGGCCTGGTTCCGCCAGAATTTCTGTGTTAAGTGTATATCCGCTTTGGTGTTGTAATAAAAAATATATGACTTATCAACATCTCCAGAAATATTTTGCATTGCATTGAATTTCAGGGCAGCGTATTAAACCGAGATCCCCATTAGTGATTGCAAAAGAGTGTCACTCACTCATCATCCATAAGGTGTCCTGGGACTTTCGGCCAATCAGCAACGCCTGCCACTTCACCAAGTCACTATTCTCCAAACTTCACTACAGCAAGAACAATCCAGGAAACCTCGCATGCGAAGTAATCGAAGTCGCAGCTGTCTCATCATTGGATTAACCGTACGTGAGAGCCTTACTCCGTCCGTCCCACAAAAAATCAACATAGTACTAGATGTGACTCCTAATACTACGAATCTGAGCATAGTATATCCATATTCGTAGTATTAGGATATGTCATATCCAGTATTAGCTTGGTATTTTTACGAGACAGAGGGAGTATAGGCTGTCTCATGATCTCCTGCAACTTCAGGTAATCAGGTCTGATACTTTAAAAGAAGCTGAACCAGTCAGTCATCACAGCATCCACAGATACCTGCATGCAAAGATAAAAAGAAGAACCTGGACTGACGTCTCGTCAGGATGCCGAAACAAACCGAGAGTGTCGTGATAGATGTAGCAGAGACTACGGTTGCCCAACCTGAGGCGAGCTGTGCATCCCAGCTGCCTAACACGGCACCGGAAAAGCAGCTGAATCTCTTCGTTCGAGTTGTCGCCTCCGTGGAGAGGGCGGGCAACGCCCTCGGCACGCTGGCCTTCACCTGGGCCACTGTCGTCCTCCTTGGAGGGTACCCGACTAGCGTCAACTTCGAGGATTTTGTGTTCGCCACGACATTGTTCTTCTTAGAAGCTGCAAGGTATGCATTAGTTATGTTTTTTAGATAATGGATTAAGAAACCCAGCCTCTACATACATGAGAGGATGTACACAGCCAAAAGTAATCAAGAGTACAAAGTCTCGGACGCCTTACAAGATAGTTTCAACCAACACCTGAAAAACTGAGTACATAGACTCCAACCCCAAACATATGAGAGGTTCCTACACCACTTAATACGACACCTTCAAGAGGCAGCAAAAAGCGAAATTAAGCCTCCAATCTTCTTCTCCCATTCCACCTAAATTTTGAGAAGAGCTCCAACAATCCCGCCCCCAAAAGCCTGCAACCTTCTTTCACCTTTAGAGCGTCTTCCTCCTTAATCAACACCGACCATTGATGTGCCCAATATGTATCCCAAGAGAGATGTACACGGAATTCCACATGAATCTTGCAAGTTGGCAATCAAAGAAAAGATGTTGTATTGTTTCATTTGCATTACAAAAGCAACACTTGGTATTCCCCTTCCATCTCCTCTTAGCCAAGTTGTCTATAGTAAGAATGATCTCTCTCTTTAAATACCAAAGAAAGATTTTTATTTTTAAAGGAACTCTAAGTTTCCAAATAAAAGTTTTCCTTGGTATTACCCCGTCACATATGAGAGCTTTATACATTCAGTTGACTGTAAAGACCCCCTTCTTATGAGCCTTCCAAATAAAGACATCATTTTGATCTGAAAGCTTTTTTTGCCAGGTCGGCCGACCAATTTCATTAAGATTTGGGGAGAAAAAACAGTAAATTGTTACAACGACATTACGATGTCGTAGCAGGCCAGGGAAGATCCCCAGCCCAGCCAAGAACGAAAAAAGAACGAGAAGAAGATAGGCAGGGCAAAACCCCGTGCTCTAGCCATGGTGATTACTCGCGAAATTGGGAGAAAATCCCAGCCATGGTGATCTGAAAGCTCAAAGGAAACCACTTCTGTTACTAGAGAAAACCAAGAATCAAGATTATCCCCAACCAATGCCCTTCTAAAAGAGGCATTCAACGGTTCCCTTCCTAAGACTTCAGCCATAGTAACATTTTTCTTCCTCGTTAACTGATATAGCGAAGGATAAAGCCTATCAAAAGAAGAGTTACCTGCCCAACAGTCCTCCCAAAATCTCAATTGAGTCCCATTATGCACCTTAAAGTTTAGAGTTTAGTCATGAAAGTGTTTAGAGTTTGGCTGTGTATATCTTCCTGTGGATATAGAGGCCAGATTTCTATGTATTATCTAAAAAATATGAAAGTGTTAAGAGTTAGCCACAAATCAGTACTGATGTAAACCATTTCCATTATAAAAAAAATTATCTAGGAGTACTATATTACCAATTTTGCCAAATTAATTGGGCACAAGAAAAGGTGGTTGTCTTTCATTTAGTTGACAGATAGTCCATTTTTGGGTCGGTCTCCATATGATGCGCCATCCATATTTTCAGGATGTTCAGCCCAAACAGATCAGAGTACCAACTCTTCTTCAGGACTTGGGGAGCTTTCAGGCCTTTCTCATGGAACAGAGCAATTGTGGTCATATGTCTAGATGATGTCAGCGAATACCTCAGGAGCAACCAGAGGAGAGAATTCCATAGCCTAGTTGTGTCAATGCTGATGCTTGTTGCTGCCACCATGCCTATTCCAGGAGTTCACAAACTTAAAAGTGGTCCATTACACAATGCTATATTGCTGTGGAGCCCCTTGGTTGTGATGCTTCTGTTGGTTCCCTCTATAGTATGCAAACAGACAGCAGTAGCACACAAAGGGAATTGTCTAATAGCTAGGACATTTTACATGATATCACTGGTCACTGTGCTGCTACTGATCATCAGCAAATTACAGTTTCCAAGCATCACCAGAATAGTTCATAGGCCTGTCATCCATAAACTACAATCCTGCCACCAAGTGATTCTTGTCTTCTGCATGTGCCTTGCGGCCGTGCCCTTGGTGTTCTTTTCTCCAAACTTAATACTGATGATAGTACTCACTCTGTTGACAACTGTATGTGGCAGCTTACAGATTCCAGCAGCGGTCATACGTGTTGAGATTGCATTGATGCGCCTTTTGCCACAAGATTACTGTAGCGAAGGTGATCCTGCAAATGATTCTGGCAAGATAAACCTCAAGCCAACGCTTAATGTCTTCTATGGAATGGTGCTCGGTCAAGGGATACTATACCTTGCAGCCCGCATATTGGAGTTCTTCTCATTCTTTCCTCGGAGATCATTGGCTCGTCGTGGTGGGTTCAGGGGTCAGAAAGGAGTCCAATCTGTTGATATGTACTATGAATATGCCTTTGAGAAATGCATGAACACCAGTATTCTTGCTCCAAAGAAGATGAACCTCACTACTTTTGCCATGGATTCCCTCAAATCAGGTTCAAGGAAGGAGCAGTTCTGTGGGGTTCGAATTCTGTATAGCCTTGTGTGCAGAGAGCCCTATGACAAACCAGTCCTATCAAAAGTCACCAACTCCAGGAAGACAGTCACCACATTGATTCAAATGCTGGGTTGGGAGAACCCGGAAGACAATCAAATTAGATTACTTGCTGCAAAGATTACAGCTGAGCTTGCCAATGGTCTCCGGATTGTCGCGATCTCTGGTGCAATGAACTTTATATCATCGCTTCTGGACAACCACAACAAACAGCAGATACATGAACTCACAATTCAGACAGATAGTGGTGATGAGGAGAATTGCTGGGTGCTCAAACGTTGGCGTCAGATGATTAAACAGTGGTCCATTCTGGAGGAGGAGCAGTGGGCAGAAAGTGATATCCTCCCAGCACTTGGCCTGGTAATTCTTGAGAGGCTAGCTACATATGATCTTGTCAACTGCGTGGAGATCAGCAGATCAATGGACATAATCCCAAAAATCACAGGGTTCACCAGCAACAACGGTGAGAAAATGTGTGTCAATGAGACAGGCCAGAAAGTACTGATTGAATTTTCACTGAGGGTGCTGAGAATATTGGCAAGCATTGGTGGGGAAACTGGTATAACATTGAGGCACAAGATATCAGAAGATCCCTTCCTACTGGACAACCTTGCTGAGATTTTGGAGGATAGCAGGAGCAATCAGGATCAGGAGCTGAGGGAGATGACAATAGATATCCTTACAAAACTTGCCATGGATGAGAGTACAAGGAAGGAGATTGGGAGCATCCAGGTGATTGTTCAGAAGTTGATGTTTGCATTCGTTGCGCAAGATGGTCTGCCAGACTCACATTCTGGCTGCTTGATGACAATAATTAGGATTATTTATTAATCTATAGGCTGTTTATCTCCTAAACTTTTACACTCCTAGATAGTTACTCTCCTAGACCTTTGGTCTTATGTAACTCCCTAGTATTGATTGTAACTCAGCACTAGCATTGATTGTAATTCTGCTATATATATATGAGAGTTCACCTCCCCACATTGGTGAGGCATCTATTCCACTTTCTCTACATGGTATCAGAGCCTAGGCTCTTACCTTCTTTTCCGCTGCTCTAGCACGCTGCCATCGCAGCTGCATCCCAGCCATGTCGACTGAATCAACTCAGTCCTCCACCTCCTCGGCCTCGAGTCCTCCACCTCCTCGGCCTCGAGTGGTTCTTCTTCTTCCAGCACCACCAGCGAATTCCTCTACCCCTACGCCACGGTCGCCGTCAAATCCCACGTCCCCATCACCCTAGAAAACACCCACCCGAACTACAACAAATGGAGGGCCTTCTTCACATCTTTGTGCGGCAAGTTCGGGTTGATGGCTCACATCGACGGTTCCGCTCCTCCACGCCCCAATGACCCGGCCTGGGAACAGGCCGACTGCTGCATCCGCAGCTGGATCTTTGGGTCAGTCGCCGACAACGTCCTTGACCTCGCCATGGAGCCCAATCAGACCGCGCGGGAGCTCTGGGTCGCCATCGAGGACATGTTCCACGCCAACAAAGAGCCTCGAGCGATCTTCCTCAGCCACCAGTTTCACTCCATGATTCAAGGCGACTCCTCCATCGACGATTACTGCCAGAAGATGAAGACTGCTGCCGACGCTCTTCGCGACGTCGGCCACGCCGTCACCGAATCCCAACTCGTGCTTAATCTCCTCCGAGGCCTGAACGAGCGCTTCTCCAACACCGGAGATAACATCGCCGGCGCAGCCGTCCTCCCAAGCTTCACCTCAGAGCGCAACACCCTCCTGCTGAAGGAGTTGCGCATCGCCAACGAAGCCAAGGTGGCGGCGGCCACGGCGCTGGTGGCCGGCGGCGGCTTCGGCTCCGGTTCCTGCCCTCCCGGCGGCTGCATCTCCTCTGGCGGTGGGGGTGGCGGCAGTGGGAGTGGTGGCGGCGCACGCCAGACCTTCCCGGGCGGTGGGACTGGTGGCGGCGGCTTCCCTGCTGGCCAGGCCCGCACCGGCGGCAACACGAACCGCCGCAACCGCAAGGGAAACGGTGGACGCGGCGGCGGAAATGGAGGAGGGAACGGCGGCGGCAGTGGGGGTGGTGGTGGCGCTCGCCAGGCCTTCTCTGGCGGCGGTGGCGGCGGCGTTTCCTCTGGTGGCAGCGGCTTCTCTGCTGGAGGGAGTTCGACCGGCTGGGTGGCCAACTCTAGCTGGAGGCCGGCCGGGCCTTGGGTTTGTTTTAACCCCTGGCCGGCCCAGCAACAGGCCTGGCACCCCTCTTCGGCCGGCCTTCTTGGGCAGGCTCCGATGGCCCACTACTCCCAGGCCAATACCACATATGCTAGGCCATTTGTGTCGCCCACATCTGCTCCTACAGGCCAGCCCAATTGGGAGCAAGCTGGCCTCATTGTAGCACTGAACCAGATGGCCTTCCAAAGCCCAAACAACTGGGTTTTGGACACCGGCGCGACATCTCATAAGTCCTCCACTGATGGTATCCTCGTTACACGCTTGCCTAACTCTTACACTTTTATTACTATTGGAAATGGTCAAACTATTCCCGTTACTTGTCATGGGACCTCTTTTCTACCCATAGGAACCACCAAATTTGCACTCAAAAACATCCTTGTCGCCCCTTCCTTAGTTCGTAATTTACTTTCAGTTCGTCAATTTACCCGCGACAATAAATGTTCCATTGAGTTTGATGAATTTGGTTTCTCTGTTAAGGACCTTCAGACCCGGCGCGTGATTCTTCGCTGCAATAGTCACGGGGAACTCTACACCCTTCCAGCTGCCACTCCCTCCAACACCGCGTCCTGCTCCCTCGCCACTTCTTCCACGCTTTGGCACCGTCGTCTCGGTCAGCCTGGTCCAGCCGCCATCCACAGTCTTCGGAATATGTCCTCTATTTCCTGTAATAAAATAGACACCTCTTTATGTCATGCGTGTCAGTTAGGCAAACATACCCGATTACCTTTCAATAGGTCTTTGTCTCGCACTTTCGCTCCCTTTGAGCTTGTCCATTGCGATGTATGGACCTCTCCAGTGTTGAGTACTTCGGGTTTTAAATATTATTTAGTGGTGCTTGATGATTTCAGTCATTTCTATTGGACCTTTCCACTCCGACACAAATCTGATGTTCATCGTCATCTTGTTGAGTTTGCCGAGTATGTTTCCACCCAATTTGGCTTACCACTCAAAACCCTTCAGGCTGATAATGGCAGAGAGTTTGTCAATACCGCCACCACTTCATTTCTTACTAGTCGTGGCACCCAGCTACGACTCTCTTGCCCTTACACCTCCCCCCAAAATGGTAAAGCCGAACGGATGCTCCGCACCATGAACAACTCCATACGCACCCTTCTTATACAGGCCTCTATGCCTCCGTCCTACTGGGCTGAGGCTCTCGCCACCGCCACCTACCTTCTCAACCGGAGACCCTCCTCCTCTGTTCACCACTCACTACCTTTTCAGCTCCTACATCACACCACCCCAGACTACTCCCACCTTCGCGTCTTTGGCTGTCTTTGTTACCCAAACTTGAGTGCCACGACTCCACATAAGCTTGCCCCTCGCTCGACAGCTTGCGTTTTTCTTGGGTACCCGGCCTCCCACAAGGGATACCGATGTCTGGATTTCTCCACTCACCGCATCATCATTTCGCGCCACGTCGTGTTTGACGAATCACGATTTCCCTTCGCGGCAACTCCCCCTGCTCCCTCGTCTTTTGATTTTTTGCTGCAGGGACTCCCTCTAGCGGTCGCTCCCTCATCAGAGGTTGAGCAACCGCGACCTCTCACGGTGGCTCCCTCCTCGGAGGTTGAGCAACCGCGACGCCTTACGGTGGCTCCCTCCACGGAGGTTGAGCAACCGTACGTTCCCCTCTTCCGCCGACGCTTGCCGAACGACACCGTCCCTGCGGCACGTGACGCCCGATCAGCTGGCACGCCCTTGGTCAGCGCCTCCTCGATCGGCGCTGCCCCGTCGGTCAGTGCCACCCGAGCCAGCACCGTGTCACCATTCCACCATGTCTACACCCGTCGGCCCACCGTGACGGTCCCGCCATCATCTTCACCCAATGTGGTTGTCACGGCTGCTGCTCCTCAGCCGCATTCCATGGTGACGCGCTCCCAGACTGGCTCCTTACGGCCGGTTGACAGGCTGACCTACACGGCTACCCACGCCACCGCTGCTTCTCCTGTTCCGGCCAATTATCGCAGTGCGTTGGCTGATCCCAACTGGCGCACTGCCATGGCTGATGAGTACAAGGCGTTGGTTGACAACGGCACTTGGCGTCTCGTTCCTCGCCCCCCTGGGGCCAACATTGTGACGGGCAAGTGGATATTCAAGCATAAGTTCCACTCTGACGGCACTCTTGCTCGTCACAAGGCCCGTTGGGTGGTCCGTGGTTACTCGCAGCAGCATGGCATCGACTACGTCGAGACATTTAGCCCGGTTGTCAAGCCGGCCACCATACGGGTTGTTCTCAGCATCGCTGCATCCCATGCTTGGCCAATTCATCAACTGGATGTGAAGAATGCGTTTCTTCATGGTCACCTACAGGAGACCGTCTATTGTCAGCAACCCTCCGGGTTTGTTGACCCCACTGCCCCTGATGCTGTCTGTCTATTGCAGAAGTCCCTGTATGGTCTCAAGCAGGCTCCCCGTGCGTGGTACCAGCGGTTTGCCACGTACATTCGACAGATGGGATTTCTGCCTTCGGCGTCCGATACATCTCTCTTTGTTTACAAAGATGAAGATCATATTGCCTATCTTCTGTTGTACGTCGACGACATCATCCTCACTGCTTCGACCATGTCACTACTTCAGCAGCTTATGGCTCGCCTCCGCTCCGAGTTCGCCATGACAGACCTTGGTGACCTCCACTTCTTCCTCGGCATCTCTGTGACGCGCTCCTCCGCCGGCCTCTTCCTCTCGCAGCGCCAGTACGCTGTGGATCTTCTTCACCGGGCTGGCATGGCCGAGTGACACTCTACATCGACACCAGTGGACACTCGTGCCAAGCTCTCCGCCACCGACGGCCTGCCCGTTGCCGATCCTTCAGAGTACAGGAGCATCGCTGGCGCCCTACAGTACCTCACGTTGACTCGGCCGGATTTGGCTTACGCCGTTCAGCAGGTCTGCCTCTTCATGCATGATCCGCGGGAGCCTCATCTTGCCTTGGTCAAGCGTATCCTCTGGCACGTGAAGGGAAGCCTCTCCACCGGCCTCCACATCGGCTCCGGCCCGAGTCAGTCCCTCACAGCATACTCCGATGCGGATTGGGCGGGTTGTCCCGATTCTCATCGTTCCACGTCCGGTTACTGTGTCTTCCTTGGAGACAATCTGGTTTCTTGGTCCTCCAAGCGCCAGACTACTGTCTCTCGTTCCAGTGCTGAGGCGGAGTACCGTGCCGTTGCTCATGCCGTCGCCGAGTGCTGCTGGTTGCGGCAACTGCTACTGGAACTTCATGTCCCGATTGCTTCGGCTACTATTGTCTATTGTGACAATGTCAGTGCTGTTTACATGACAGCGAATCCCGTGCATCATCGACGGACGAAGCATATCGAGATTGACATCCACTTTGTCCGTGAAAAGGTGGCTTTGGGACAAGTCCGGGTACTTCATGTCCCTGCATCGCACCAGTTCACGGACATCATGACCAAAGGCTTGCCGGTTCAGTTATTTACTGATTTTCGGTCCAGTCTGTGCGTTCGTGCTCCTCCCGCTGCGACTGCGGGCGGGTATTAGGATTATTTATTAATCTATACGCTGTTTATCTCCTAAACTTTTACACTCCTAGATAGTTACTCTCCTAGACCTTTGGTCTTATGTAACTCCCTAGTATTGATTGTAACTCAGCACTAGCATTGATTGTAATTCTGTTATATATATGAGAGTTCACCTCCCCACATTGGTGAGGCATCTATTCCACTTTCTCTACAACAATAAAAGCAGGGCAAGCACTGTCAATGCTAACATTAGAAAATGCAGACAACTGCTCAGCTATCATGAAGGAACCTAGACATGGATTCTTTAAGGATCTGGCAAGAATGCTACAAGACAACAGGTACATATATGTTGCAGCAAATGTACTGCAAAACCTCTGCAAGCACTCTAGAGTTGAACTACGGGATTCAGATGTGCTGGAACTTTTCAGTGTCCTACCAGAGGTGAGATCTCCTTGACAGATTAAAGAAACTATTTTTTTTAAAAAAAAACAAGAGGGCTGCGGATTCTGTATTGAGAACAAAAATATCGGTATCTGATTCTAAGTTACATACTGCCGTGTTATTTCCTCCACAGGTGTTGGGACGAGTAATGGATGCAGACGGAAAAGAACTCGAGGTCCTTGTTGGCCTCAGTTCACAAATATGCAGTGTAAGTCCTGAAAGCTTTACAAAAGCGTTTAAACAAGGTCAAAATGAGGAGATTTTTGTGGAGAAGCTAATCAATGCACTAAATGCAAATAGCAAACCTAATGCACAGTTCCCAGGAATCAGAAGGGTGATAATTGAGCAGCTTACATACATGATGGAGCTGAACTCTCGTTATGCGACATACTTCAGAAATCATGGGTTGATGGAAGCATTGATAAGGGTAGAGAAGACACCGTCAAAGACTGAAAAATACAGGCTTTTCTTGGGCAAAGCAGGGCTCATGGAGCACAAAGTGCACCTGTCCTCTCTTGTGGCTAGGGCAAAACTGTTGATAGCCATGCATTCAACTTGACGACAGCCAGGAAGCATCCATTTCGATTTTTGTGCACATTTCTGCATCAGATAACATATTGATGGTACAGAATCCTAGGGGCTTATAGCAGCTGATCATGTAATCGTGTTCCAATCCCATCTGAAAATCCAGCCCAAAATTTAAGCTCTTTAAGCTCAACCGTGCACTCAGGAAAATTTTGTGGAGTGGCAGAATACCAAATCTCATCCATTCCCTGTATTTGTCTTTTCTTGTATATCGGTTGTATAACCTTCCCTTTCAATCCAAACATTTCATAATCGATAAAATGTTTCCTCCTGACAATGATCTGAATACTTGCCGAGCCGGCCGAAGAAAACGCCGACCAAATTTACTTAAGATTGAGGGTACGTACAAATATACAAGTTTATGAAATTTGACAAGAGGCTGTCGAAACAGAAGCGGTGTCGATAGAAAAGCACCCTCCCCAAAACAAAAGGAGAGATTAAACCTCGGTTGTTTGAAAACTCCTGCTTCCTTCCAGATTGTGATCGTGAATACTAGCAATTTGTCTTACCTTCCAGCAAGTTTCGACACATCTCTACCAACTACAAAACACTACATTCCTAAACCACGGGTACAACCGAACGGGATGGAGATAGTAGGGCTATATATAGCAACAAGATGGATTCAGGCATTTAATCAAACAGCCGGAGTGCAGCCCCGGCGGGTAGATCAACCCATGCTCAGAAAAAGAAAAAAAATCAAAATGGAGGAAGCAACTACGGAGGATTGAAAGAGCGGATTGCCGGGTACCTTTCACTGTTGGACATGGATGGGAGCGGCGCCCGCCGTCGAGCCGGATCACCCTAGGTGCCTGGTTGGGTTAGGTGGTGCGCCGGATGAAAATGCGAGCTTTCTGTTCCATTTGGTGGAGCTTTTGTATGCAGGATTAGGGCCAGGAGTGACAGCATGTCCTCCTTGACTCTCCTTCTCCTCGCCGCCGCCGCCACCGAGAAGAACTCCTCGCCACAGGCGATGGTGTAGGACTCGTTCTACTTGTTGGAGGTGTCACTGTTGGTGGTCTGGTCGGGTGAGGTAGTCCGCGATGGGATTCAGATTGAGAATCACAAGCCAGCCCTCTAAAATAAATTCAACGTCTGAGAGGCGTTAGATTTGTTAGATTTGTTTTGGAGGATCGAGATCTACCCCATATCACATTATGACATGTCTACCCTATGTCACTCAATCTAAATCCTCCGTGATGTGTCCGTGGGCACTACAGTACTGCACCACGTGTTGCTTCCGCGCGACAGTGTCACATGGCCCCACCGCTGGCCCATCCAGGACACACCCACGCTGTGCCGTACCACGGGAGTGTATGTTTATGGGGAAGCAAGTAAGCTGGATTGAGATCCTCTGACGTAAAGTCACAGGAATGTGGTGACTGATATGTGGGCTCCACCGCTCTCGGGTTCACCTGTCAGTAACTATGTTAGGGGTAACTTTACGTCAGAGGATCTTTTTCCAGCAATAGTAGGGGAGAGAGATAGAGCGCATGCAAGCTTTATATTTTTTTTTCACTTACACGTGGGTCACATTTATTTTTTTTTCTGACTAGGGTGTTACGTTAGTGAAACCAGCTATCTATACTATAATGAGACCTACTTTACACAGTTTTAAGATAAAGATTTTTGGTATTGAAGATTAAGACGTCGTACAAACTCGACGGAATGTCGAGGGACGACAGGTGGATGCGGGAGTGTAGCATTCGTAGTTTGTTCTTATACTTCACTACTTCTTGAAGCCCAGTTTGTTCTAGCCCAATTTGTGCTTGTGAGTTTGTGACGACATCTGGTGGCCAGCATACAGAATTGCATATGCAGTCTAGCAAAGTATCTCTATCTCTGTGTGAAATCCAAAATGGCTTAAGAAAGAAAAAATAGACCATCCGATGAAGGAAAAAGAGGAGAGAAGCCGTTGGATCTGATCGGTAAAAAAAAAAATAAATTCGGGAGCTTTCCAACGCCTCGGCCACCTCAAGATGAAACGAGACCAGCGACGAAGAGATGGCCGAGAGAAATTGCCGCGGATATGGAATGCAATTTTATGTTTTGATCCTCTGTACAATTTAATTTTACAAATAAGTCGTTAATCAGAAATAGGCTACTCAATGATAAGAACTTCACCAGACGAAACAGCTCATCGGAAATCAGAAACCATGGCTTTTGTTGCCTTCCTCGGTTTATGAATTTTCAGTAGGCGCAGTGTGCAGATGTGTTAGTGTTATGTTTAAATATCAGGAGCTAAACAGCTGTAGAATTACGGCAGTTGATTAAGGCAAGAACACTGAACATATGCAGTGTCATGTCATAAGATCCAATCACAACAAGAAGTGAAACATGATAAGAAATTCCATCCAGAAGAGGGCTCGTTAACAAACGGTTTTCTACTCTATATCTATATCTATATATATATACCTAATAAAAATATTCGTAAAGCTTCCGTGAGGTTTTTTCGTCCGTCGGCGGTTTCCTGAACGCACACGCGGTTTTTTCTGCCATCCGGTTTTTTTTTGGTTTTCTAACCCGGTTTTTTTCGTCGTTTTTTCTGTCCGGTTTTTTTGGGCCGTCCGGTTTTTTCACGGTTTCCTGGCCCGGTTTTTTCGTTGATTTTTTCTGTCTGGTTTTTTTTCGCAGTTTTCTACCCTGTTTTTTTTGGGCTGTCCGGTTTTTTTTTTTACCGTGGTTTTCTTTTTTTCCATCCGATTGGGTTGAAGCACAAATTTAGTGGGATACAAATACATGACTCAGAAATTACAAAGGCCAAATAGAGTCAGGAACAATTAGATGGCCCAAAAATTTGCATACAGTCCAATGATAGAAATTACATACCGAATTACATACAGAATCCAACTATTGAAATTACATGCCCAAGTAGAATACAAACATCTTATCAACCTATATAAAAAACTGAAATCACAAATCACAAATAAGACTCGTATGCACCCAAAATTTGGTGTGGATACTGAGCAATCTCTCGCTCGGCACTAATATATGCCCCCAAATTTGTTATTTTTTTCAAAGTGAGCAATTTCTGGTTCAACGTGATACTAAATCTACGTTTATGATGGTCGCAGGTAATTCTTTAGCCCTTAATGATGCACATATTAAAAATTGTATTTATTTTTTGGCATAACTTTTGGAACAATCACAATTGAATCTGGATATTCAATTATTCGTATGCTCTCGTAGACTGGAATTTGTAAATTATTCTTCTACTTCCTGCTCACTACCTTCCCACCTTTTACCTAAATTATTGAGTAAATTCAGACAAAATCAATTACATATAGCAAGCATTAGCAGCAATTATTTTTCACTCTTAACATACACACAAATGAAAAGGTTAGAACCAGATTAATTTTTTTTAGAATGATCCAACTTTGCATCAACTCTGCCAGGTCAAATGTAGTAGGAGCAAGAACAACTACTCCACTATATGCAATTCTAATATGAAATAAAGACAAACAGTGGCATGCAAAATACTCATACATATGCATCATGCATCCATATCAAGTTGTTCTGAGATTGCTTCCATGATTGCGTGGTGGCACTCAAAATCACAGCTAACTAAGTGCAGTTTAGAGGTATTATCAATGTTTGCACAAATCAGTATGATAAGTATTATTTAGTGGTTGAACATCCACACCCACATAATAGTATAGATCTTAGTGTCCACACAAGCTAGAAGTACTTACTTCAGTACGAGTAGTAGTATCATTTAGAGGTTGACTATCCATATGACCACATCCACTGAACAGTACAGACCATGAAACATCACGCAACACAAACAAGCAGGAAGGAGTTGAGGTTGAGAGACCGTAAAACTTACATATTTCCAACTGGCGGCAGCGCAAAACACCTACCATATGCTTCTCCTCCACTCCCAAAGTTCATGTCCGCCATTGAAAATAAACTTCTACAGGAATCAACATAGGAAAATGATTAGCACAATAGGATACCATTCAATGTTGGAATATCATATTAGTGTCAAAATAATGAAGTGATCTAATCTCCTGCAGCTCAATAAAACGAACAAAAACAGCTGTAAAAATGTAAGACATCAATCAGTAATATAATTGAGCACCACAGAGTAGATCATCATGAAAACCTTAGAATGCCCCCAGAAATAAAGGGATAGAAAGGAAAGCAGAGGCCCTCGCGGAAAGATAAAAGAAAATGAAAAGCACAGCTGGCTTAGACGAATAGACAGAGTAGGACCACGAGAGGTCATTTTTTACGTAAGGAATAGGCTCTAGGAAAGCTGCCTGGAAAAGTAGGAATGAAAGCAGAATGCTTACCGGCTTCGAAAGATAGGACTGCGAGACTTGGACATGAAGGAGAGTTCCCGCTATTCCATAGGGATTTGACAGATTCTCATACACCAATATGGCCTTCTAGCCAGAACAGACACATCATGCAGACCTTCTGGTCAGAGAGATAAATTACTTGAGAATCAAGCAAGAAGCACCATACACTAGAAATTGACTTCTTCTAATTATTTAACATAATGTAAACTAATTATTTGTTTTTACCAGTAAATAATCTCCTAATCAATATCTTGCTAGATAAATATACTTTGCATGCTATTCTTTTAGATAGAACATCTAAAGGTCTCTTCTAATTTTGCTATTTTTGGTTGAGTTTTGATCTCCTGAACTTTGTTAATGTTTCAAAAGTTAGTGTTTTGTCACTATAAACTTGATGGAATTCTGCTTTGTGATAGAACCTTGAAATCTATTATATATCATGTAGATCAGTCATTCTATTCTTAATGGCCTAAACTTATTGTGCACGCAGAGATCCTCGCGTTATTGTTTTATTATTTAAATACATTATGTTTTCTTAACTGTGAAGCTTTTTAATTCATCGAAAAGACATATAAGATTACCCATGTGTGTAGAGTCTAAATTACAATCCACAGGTACCACCTAGGTTTATATTCATCTCAATATTCCATAAGTCGTAGAGCTACAAACCAATGAAATCAAATTAACTAACTGTTCTGTTTTTTTTTTTTAAAAAAACTACTCTTATGCAGTATAAAAACTACTAGAATACAAAAGCAATCTTAAAAAACATATATACTGGAAGGTGAGATATAACTTGTGCGTGTGTGTGTATGTTGTGCGGGGAATAAAAAATGAATAACAGGAGTTAAAAGACTTAGAATGAGATTTACTGATTTAATTTGCAATATCAACAATTCAAATTAAGCATCGGAAACTTCCGCGTACCTGTCAGACATCGTACGCCGCAATCAACCATCAAACACCCTATAAACAGCTTCTCTCTGCATAGCAGCATAGTGCATATGCAATTAGGTTGTCCAGCAAAAATAAGACAATTACTCAGTTACATACTACTGAGAAGTAATAGGAACAAGCAAATACTGAAAAGTAGCAAAGGAGCGAGTCTTGAGGCCACAAGGAGCCTTCATTGTGTTACCATGCATCGGGTCGGTAACCCATGTTACTATCTGGACAGCAACATGAACAGCACGTATGAGGTGAGGGAGTTTCACTCTAATGTTTTCAGGTAATGCTTGCTCATAGGGAAGAAGAAGGCACTCATGTGATGTCCAGAATTCTGTTGTCATAATAGGGTGATCCATAGTGAGTCCATCAGCTGCCATGAACCACAAAGCCTCATCAACTCAGTGAGCCAACTCCATGTACCTGTTCAAAATTGTACAAGAAATGCAGTGGTCAGCATATGCCTGTGGCTTAAATGAATTAAATGAATCAATTCATCTGAGAAACATTCAATTAAGAGTTGGAGACAGTTTAAGATCAAGATAACCACCTGTCACCCTGTTCACTATGCTATGTTCCAAATTAATCAGCATGGAAATACACTGGTGTTCCGCAATTCCCCCATTTCAAAAACAGAATTGCTCCAATGCAAGATGATCCCAAGATTTCACATGAACAACATGATATATTATCTTAAAAATGAAAATTACCATAGGCGGCAGTGGCTGGAACTGACGGCGAATCAAGGACATCAGTCACTGGCAGGCACGGGGCAGGCGAGCTCTCGAACTCGGCGGGCCGCAGCCAGGCCTCGAGAGCCGACTGGACGACCAGAAGAAGCACCAACGGGACGTCGAGCCGGACATTCGTCCACTGTACCAGATCCTGAGA